CATCTGGTGCAGTATTGATGGTAGCGACCTGATAGGTCGGCCGACTGTTTAAAACGACTTGCTGAGAGATTCGCGGCAGTCAGAGTAAACCGAGCGTCTAAGCGACACGGCCTCCAGGCTCCAATGTAATTATCGATGCTCTCAGCTTCGGGTGCAGTTCCTGACTCCTTACCATTCTCTCGTAAAACATCCTTGCTTAACCCGTTTCAAGACATCTTCTTCTCAAGCTTCCCCAGATATGGCAATGGTGGATTTTATCGCATTCTCTCCATTAATGCTGTAGATCACAGGCCTGCTTGCCTTTTTTGCCTGCCACATTTGCGTATTGTCTTCTGTGGCTGAACAGGCCAAGTTGAAGTGAGGCGCTGGCAGGCTGGCAAATCGATGGGAAGTGCAGATCGATAACATGTCCATTCCCAGTACAATACCGATTACCCATCTCGAAAGTCGCAATCCAGATCGGGTCAACCATGATTTTGGGCTGCTGGGCTGCTTGGCTGCAGGGCCGGCTGAAGAATCACTGCACATGATCAAGTGCCTTGCCCCACCATTTCTGATAGATCGTGTTGAAAGCTTGGAAGGTTTGAGGTTATGAAGTTGGCGAGGTAGCAAAACCATGATCGCCAGGGCGGTGGACGCAATAACCCCCACCAAGGACCTATACTATGGTGCCTCACTAGAGGTAACGCATCAAGAGTTGAGTGCTGGTGTTGGGCATCCGTGGGAACGGCGCAATTGTGCGCTCCTCTCGTCATTTCTCTTGAACTGATTTTTTCGAGGGATTCTACAACCCTTCCAGCGGTAACAAAATCGAGATTATGATGCAACGAGATCCAGGACCACCAATGGTTACTTCGGAAGTTTGCTCTGACATGATATATCATTTTCCCGCTTTCTGAGTGAGTTCTGTCGAGGGTGGCTTTATCCCAAAATAGACCCCAGCCGCACACCCCCAGACCATCTGAAAATAACGGGGGTGTTCGCTCGGGTGTCCACCCATGTTTCCTCACTCCTCATCGGCCGAGAAAACAACACCGTTCCGCGAGAGCATACCGTTATGAGTTGCCGTGGGAAGTTAGTATCCGTTTTCGAAACCGCCACGACTATTTCTCGTAGTGTTGTAATGATGCCGGCGGATGAAGAGACCATGACGGGGATTAGCAGAACCTGAAGTGTATTGGTGTTTGTGCTGTTATCTCTTGATGCCTGCTACCACGACGAAGTCATAGCGCAAATGAAAAGGCCTGAGGGCAAACAGGTCATGATGTATCTTGCAAATATTTTGTAACCAGAGTTTGTAGGGCGCAGCAATGTAAATGGCAGTCACAATTTGTGACATGTGCCAGTTGAGTCTGTTGACCAATAGAGCGATCCGACGTTTGTGAGCCACTGTGCAATGTGCAACACCAGGGCCAAAGAATCAGGATCAAAGCTCAAGATGTTTTCTGTAAGGCACCATGGCACGCGCATCTTTTCTTTTCTGCAGGGACCGGGACCGGTCCAGGTGCCTGTACTTGAGAGAGGTGAACGGACCGGTGCCAAACAATATTACGCTTCCCTGGCTTCCGCTCCCGGAAGCAATTTTCATTTCCAGCTGGGCTGACCAGGGTCGAAAAATAGAGTTAGCTTGGCTTAGAGATTTGTATCGCAGAAAGAACTGGTGAGCACCATCCTCGTTACCAGCTCTTGCAGGTTGTGGGCAAGTTTGTTCTTCAGCATGGATGTTGCAACGAAATGTCAAATATTCATTTGACAGTATGTACCACAGGGTATGATGTGTTCATTGTTGACCTACCTCGATTGGCCCGCATCTGGTTGGCGAGAGAAAGAAGGGATCCCAAATATATGATTGAAGGAGACAAAGAGGCATGATCCCAGCTTGCAAGCTATGAATAATCACCAAAGCCCTGGTCGTATGGTCTCTCAGCTGCAAGTGAGCTGTGGAGCTGAGTAGGCAGGAGTTGAATATGACGCATCTTTACCCTTGTAGGACCGAAAGAGTGATTTGCACAGCTTCTGGTTTGTCAAGAAAGCATGGTGTTGAATGCCACTTGGATGTTGTTTGATCCAGCAACAAACTCCTGTAGAAAAGCGCTGTTGTGCTGTGCTTTGCTATGCTGTATCTGTACTGTGGCTGTATGCGTGTGAGTGCCCGCGCATGTGTGGATGCAAAAAGGTCCGGATATTGACCGGAAATTAAACCAACTGCCGCACGTGCAGTCCAGTCTGTGAGCGGCTCTGTCGATATCAAAAGTAACATCAGCATACGTGTTGAAGCTGATGCAACTCAATATCATCCTAGGTAATCAATGACAAAGGTTACCTGTATTGTGTTCTGTTACAAATAATGCATGCCCATATTCCTCGATACAAGTTCTCAATGGGAGGCAGGAACGGGTTGGTCATAGTTTCATGGTATAATTGACTGTGGCTGTCTCAGAGCCAAAGGGGCACGTCGCGATTGCCGGCGCCTGACCTGGCTCTTCCGCTGGGAAGGAAATAGCAATGAGGAAAGAGACGCCAGGGACGATTGAGGGGCCAATCGATGGTTATTGTCGGCTGTGTAATAGTTTCTTGATACCTCCTTCCATTTGTAGTTTGGCATCTTGAGCAAACAAGACTCTCAATTACACGGAATGGAAGGAAGCAACAAATTATCAGGCATCTCTCAGTGCAGGAGCCTCACTCCATCACCCAGTACCTACCATATGCTCCTTGAATCGTACCGTTTTAGACGGAAGATCTACCGCCATGGTTTGCACTTACTCCTTCAAGTCTTATCTCAACCACTTATACTATCACTCTCGTTTAGATCCAGCTGTCTCACAACGGCCACTATAGTTTCCAGCCTTTGATATGCATATCTAATGCAGCGGAGCCAACGTTCGCTCTTAACGTTTGACCGTTGTGTTTGCAGCCATCCCCAGGAACAGTCACCAGCCGCTGCGTGCTCAGTGACTCAGCAGTCTTCCCAATGGCATGAAAACGCGACGCCTCATGACGAAGTCGAAGTCGACACCATGATGATATCCATCATAGAAAGACAGTTGTGCGGCGCATGTACAAGTATACGCAAGGGATTCGATGTTTGCTAGACTTGTTAGAAGCCCAGGTGGCGAGACGTGCTCGTGTCTTCTCCTTGCCCGGAACAGCTCCGGACAGCATAATATTGCATACATGCTGATACTGACTTGAGCACAGCACCTGAGAGATCGGAAAACAGCACGGAACCAAGTCTCAACCTACTGGCTTGATGCACAGCGACATAATTACTGGGCCTCACTACGAAACCAGCAGGGCTTGCGGAAACCACCGCCACGTTATATGTCTGGAAGGGAACCAGAGGGCTTGAAAACATGGAGCCGTTGAGCGGATCCTATTTCTAACTCGCGGTGGAGACGACTTCCGAATTGCAACGGGTCGTGGGATACTAAGACTACTAACTACTAACTACTACTACTAACTAGTAGCTGAGTTGATTTGTGTTTCTCGTCAAAGCTAAGCAAGTAGAAGCCGGTTAGGAAAGCCCCGAGAACATTCAGTACAGTAGCTCACAACGCAACTTGGGTTCACAACTCCTGTTAGTCGGAGTCGAGCTTTAACGTTAGACCCCGATGTCAGCGACCAACATTCAGCAATTCGAAAGACCGGTATTAAGCAACCGGAAACTACGCTGAAGCTCAGGCCTAGCACTGGGGCGTCTGGGATATATCCAGGTCTTGTGAGAAAACGAAATCTTTTAGAGATTATGTTCTGGGATCAGGGATGGTCCTTGAAGCTTCTCAGTCGCGACTATCCTACAACACACGCCCTCACGCCCCCTCCACCCCTTGTCCGAGCTCAAGCTCCCCCCAGCGCGGCGTCCTTTTTAGCGTGATATGACCCTTGTCAAGCTCCCGCATCCCAATGCCACACCCACATCTCTAAGCTCAACCTCAAATATTTCCAGATGTGAAAGAAGCATATCTACACAGACGACTATGATGAAGTTCTTGATCACTTCTTCAGCCTACAGCATCAGGTTGAAGAGTGCTTGGCTCGGGCTTCACTTCAAGGTTTGAATAAACCGCAAAACTGACAACATCGATCTCTAATTTCCTTTTGCATGTATAGCGGCCTCCTAAATCGACATGATCAACAAGGATCGATCACGTATTGAGAAAAGAGAGAGATCAATTCAGTTCTCTCATGAGAAAACTTCCGGGGTCGCATCCCCCCTGCTGAAGTTCACTCTCAATGTCTCAATTGTGGTTATAAAGTCATTAGAATCAATATCAACAAGATAGAGTAGTTTCTTGCGGTCCGGTCGAGACAGAGGAGCTAGACATGGGTCAATATTCGTCCATCTCCCCAAGCAAAGCCCTGTATGTGACCACACTCCCCCCCCTTGAATGATCATCTTCAAATGACCCAGGAACTCCATCTTGACTCTGGCTGACTAGATCTACCTCCCATTCCACCCCCAGGTCCACACCTCGTGGGGAGGGGTTTGAAGCTTACAGCCCAAGACGCAGGCCAGAGTTATGACGAGACCTGGATTACCTTTCTGTTACGATTCTAGGGCCTGGCAGCGAGGTACCAAATTCCTAGACCCGCCTCATAGAGGATCTCCGAAAATTACCGCTCGATTGGCTACAAGAGATTTTGACCCCTGTCGCACATCAACTTCTATTCTTGAGCCACGAATATATGTACTTAGTCCTTCCCTCTAGACATCTCGACCATCCAGTCAACTCTGTCTCACCAAGAACTTATACTCTCAACTCCAAAGAACATCTTTACAAATTATCCTTCCTCTTCCACATCTATCACACTGACTCTTACTCGAGTTGAACTTATCTATCACTCATCGTACCTCAACACTCTGTCTGGCCTCTTGTCTTTTTCTACTTTATCATTTCCAATATCTCAGACTCTGGAACAGTTCCTCTGCAGATAACTTCAAAACCACATAAACTGTCGGTCTTGATTCAAGAGCACATCTAGTCTGAACTGGCAAAATGTCTCTCGCCGCTCAACAAACAGGCACTCCTAACTGGGGGCGCTGGCAACAACAGCTTCCGGGTGACTATGCAATGATGGAATCTTCAGCCATGCTTCCATTTGACTCTCGCACCAACACCTCTGCTCCTCTACAACGACCCATGATGGCGCCTTATATGGTCCAAGGCTCTTACAGTTCCGGTCCCGTCAACAGCCTCACAGCACCTCACTATCAAGTTCCAAACCCCTACCAGTTCGGAGGCTACCACGGCCCACCTACACCTCCTCACCACTCTTCGCCTTTCAAAGTGGAACACAACGATCGCCGCTCCCTGGGACTTGATAACGACCACGGCCGAGTTTCTTCATACCATCGGGAAACAAGATATGCATATGCCGAGCAAGCGCCCTCTCCTGCTCGCAGTGACTCGCAAGCTTCAACTGTTAGGTCGAACGGCCTCAACCCAACTCTTGGTACTAAGACTATTACCTCCAACGAAACTCTCAACCCCGAGAATCATATCAGCTTTGAGACAGAAGTCGATGAGTTGATGAGGGCCATCCAACGTCGGGCAGACTTACAGGTTGATGCTGGACAACAACCACTCACTCCTGGTATGTCTCCTGTATCCGAGGCAAGCCTGGAGAGTCAAGGAACACCATCTCCTATGGACTCCAAGACACCCCGAAAGCGATATCGCTGTGATGGTCCCAGCTGCCAAAAGAGCTTTACTCAGAAGACTCATCTCGACATTCATCGCCGAACACACACAGGCGCCAAGCCATATGTTAGTTTGAATCACTTGCACCGACTAGATCCGTACTGACACATCTAGAACTGCGACTATCCTGGCTGTGACCTGACTTTCTCTCAACTTGGAAACTTGAAAACACATCGTCGCCGCCACACTGGCGAGCGTCCGTTTGCTTGTGACAAGTGCGATCGACACTTTGCTCAGCGTGGCAATCTTCGTGCGCACTTACAAACACATCAGGGCCTCAAGCCCTTTGTTTGCATCCTTGATGACTGCAACAAGACTTTCTCACAGTTGGGCAACATGAAGGTGAGCTCTGGTTACCTGCACGTCGGAAACTACATACTAACCCTTGCATAGACACATCAGAACAACTTCCACAAGAAGACGCTCAAGAAGCTCACCACGAGATTCGCTGAGGTTCTCAACTCTGGTGAAGATGTTCCTGAAGCCGACCGCGAGCTTTTCGAATACTTTGCTACACACTATAAGAACAGCAACAAGGGTATCAAGGGTCGAGGCAAAGCTCGCACTGTGGCTGAGCGTAAGACAAAGGCAGTTCAGTCTCCGCGCTCCAACCCATATGCGAATGCTCTTCAATACCCTCTGCCCCAAATCGCTTCTGCCCAACAGACACCATCACCTATCATGCCTCATGGACTTCCAATTTCAGGTAGCCTTGCGTCCTACAGCGTGAGTCGTGGTCATCCCAATGCCATTAGCCACATACCTCGCGAGTCCCAGTCTCACAATGGTGGCTACGAGATGTACGATATGCAGGGAGGTCATCACCACATCCAGCCACCCAACAACGGTATGCTCTACGAGAATAGCCATGCGCGTGAGATGGGTTACAATGAGCGCATGTACTGAGAGCTCGACGCACGCAACACGAAACGGGTATGCCATACAACTTGAATATGATTCGTATGCGTCACGCATTCGTTACTACGAGAAAGAAAACAGTACCACACGGGGGGCAAAACAGTGATTTTATCATGAAAGAGAAATCTTCACATCAGCGGGTTAATTTAAAAGGAGTTGAAAAGAGACGATATCGTCTTGAGTCATGACGAAAGGGTTGAATTCTTGGGTGGTTGTCTGAACTCGTTGACGCAGGGGTTTTGTCCTATGTGCCCAAGCCTTCCCTTTCTGCTATTTGATACCAACCATTTTTGGCTTTGCGCGCGCATACAGGCATCTCCTCAACCTTTGTATACAGGGAGCGATCCTCCTGTCATTCTATTAATCGGCAATGTTTGTTAGACGATGCAAGGGAGCGAGTGTCTTGGTTTTTGATTTTACGGAGCCACTGGAAAAGCGGTTTTAACCGCCTAAGTATTCTTGTTTTTTTTATACATCTTTTCTTCCATGTTTCGATTTGTTTCTACATATTTGGGTGGCTGAGTCGGATGTACAAAGTCGTATTTGGTAGATAGAACTCGGCGATTTGGAGCGATAGGGGTGCATTAGGGTTTTTAGACCTTTTTACGAGCGAGCATTGGAGCATTTGATTCGGGGTTTGAAGACTCAAAAATGGATGGCAGCACCTGAGATTTACGAAATGGGAGCGGAAAAGGGCGAGAGTAACCACAGGAGGGTGAAATCGGAACATAGGCGTCAAGATAGTACACAAATTGAGATTTTAACAACCAAAACTTGACATTCTAGACCTTCCAGGCTCATCAAAAGCCACAGGTGAGACTAAGATAGGGTCAAACATAGAAGAGAAATAGGGCAAGGCTGGGTGCTCAGTGGGTTTGTCATCAGACTCTGCAGTGGCACATGATGGGCGATTTCTTTCACCGGACAGAAATATGGGCAAATTGCAGAGTAACTAGGGCATGGGTGTTCCAGGTAAGGAACATTGGGGGCCGTGGTGATGCCCGAACTGATATTACCGAGCTGAGCCAAGGCTGTAAGGCCTCGATGGGAGGATGGGTTTCCTGGTAGCGAGATCGAGTTTTCCAGGGGAATTGGCTTTATTTGGTTTGGAGATGTGATGAGTATTTCCAGGGATAATAGAGCGTTGTTGGTTAGTACAAGTCGCTTACAGTTCGATTGCTGGGAATAATACAGATACATGTCGATTATCACTCCATGCGAGGGAAGAAAGTCTGGTAGGACATACATACATCGGTGGTCAAGTGAGGCATCGGAAGAGTATGCATGTCGGTGGAATGCTGTGATATAACATGCATGCAAGTGACACCGTTTGATCCAGCATACCATACCGTTTTGTATTGAAACGAGTTCATATAGAGATGAACATCAACTAGCGTTACCTACAATCAACAAGAAGTGGACTTGCATGCGAGGCACAGTTGTGTTGAGCACCATATTCTTAAAGATATTAATTCTGTATATAGCACACAAGCTGCAGACTCATGTAGATTAGGGCTGCATGCCTCTCCTTCTGGCTTGATCGACAACCCCAGCCCCAACCCCAACCCTCAGAAAAATTCACCGCTCCTCTCTCTCTCACCTAGATTGGATGGAAACCTTCTGAATAAAGAGTGAATGCACGTGAAATGAATATGTTCTCATGCATACGCACAGGAAGCCTCATTTCACATATCTGCTTCAACAACCATGTGGTGAGGCCTGCTCGGTGGCATATACCCCCTTCACCGCCGTAGATAGCGTTGCAATGGAACGGCCCGTTGTGCTATCGTGTCCAGGCGCTCTTTTCTCTTCCTTCCTTTTCTTTTTTGGGATGCTGTAAAAGAGATGAGGCTTTCCCGATCGTGAGGGCTGCAGATGAGAGGTATGCAAGCCTCAGTGGGGTTCTATCTCCATTCTCTCTTCTGTTCTTTTCTTTTCTTTTCCCCTCCACAAAGCCGTTAATGGCGCCTGTACAAGGAATGCACGTTCCTTGTATGTGTGTGTTCTGTAGATGCGAGATGCGATTTTGCTGGGAGACAGAGATAGCTGCGCCGAGACAGGAGACTGGGTATACTCGAGTCGTTGGTGCAGCACAACGGTTACAAGGCTGGCTGATGCTGGGGGAAGTGCAGGTGTAAGCAGAGACGACCGTTTCATGAGTGGCAAGGCAGACGAGACGAGGCCAGAGATAGGAGAGGATCCAGATGGACTCAGGAGCAAGCACAGAGTACAGTAATCAGCATTCGGGTAACAGATCCGTCGTGTCGGAACTTGAAGCCAGCCCCGAGACAAGTTACTGTGGGCTTAGCTGTGCATGCACTCGGTGCCTCACATGTCCATGTCCTTGACCATGGCCAGGTCCAAACCCATAGCAACCTTGACGCAAGGGAACTGCGTTGTGTTGTCTGTCTACATACGCGCGCATGTATGTAGAAATTCTTCAATAAACGCAGAGCCGGTACTGCACAGACCGACCCGCGGCAGCTATGTCTTGAGGCCAAAAGGGACATAGAGTACAGTACAGTAAGTAGCCCGCAGCGGTCTAACCTCCATGCAGCGTTGAGACAAACAAGATATTGTCACCGCTCTGAATCTCGTAGGCCTCCTCGCCCTCGAGCTCCCAGTCGGCGTCGTTTATGAGTACCAGGATTCCTGGTCGACTGTTTGCCACTCTTGTCAGTTACAGCCACAGACAAGATCGGATTACTTATGTAGATAGGGGGATGAAGCGTTGTGTGTTGTGTTGTGTTTGTTTGAACCAACGGGGTCCCCGGGGGAGTGAGTATAGCAAAGAGGGAGACAGGCAGTGGCCAAGACATACAGGTGGTTGTTCAGAACAAAGAGATCTTTACGAGAATCGTCCATGACGTTCTGGCATAGGTGGTCTATCAAATTGGCAATGTTTGCGGGTTTCCCATCCTGGCCTGCCGCGGGAATCACTAGAGCATGCTGCCTCTTGTTTGAGAAGAGCATCTCCAGGCCGCCACTGGAGTTTGCCACAATGTTAGTCCAGGAACTAGAAAAGAAGGGAAAAAGCAACAAGAACCAAAGAGAGTGTAGAGAAGGGGTCAAATGGGGAATGGAAATGCAGGCACAAGGCTCAAGCGTGGATTCAGGTGGGCACTCGAGACTCGATACCCAGAGAAAGATTCTAGCATATTGACCTGAATGAAAGGGCGCGAGTCTGAGTCCGAGTTTGTACTTGAGTGGAGGATTATGCAGGCCAGAGCTGATAGATCATATAATACACGCCGAGATGGGGAATCTTTGGTGAAACGACTTACGAGAACTCAACATCGATGGAGAGTTTAGGGGATGAACCCGGCTCGGCCATTGTGAAATGGAAAATGGAAGGGAAAATAGAAGTGAGGCGAAGATTCAGGGCTTCTGCTTTCTTTTTGCCGCTGTCAACTGGTTGTGACTTTTGGGTCGAGTATTTGCTTTTTGCTTGCGGTGGGTAAGGACGGTATCAACAAGATGCAGTGTAAGAGGCAGTGTATTTCTGCTTAGAAGCCGAGAACAGTCGGTTCTTCCTTGACGTAATAGTACAATACAGGCAAAATGAACAATCCACTGCCTTGAGTGAGATCGCGTACAGGTATAGTCGAGTTCTGTAGTAAAAAAAGAGTCACAACTTCGATATTAACTGCTTTTCATCATGTGTGGTGTTTAAGCGTTTGAGCGGATGACATAAGCACATCTGCCCCCGAAAAATCTCAGCAAGACGTCTCTGCAGCCAATCAGAATTCAAGAAGCACACACTTTTCAGAGTCATCTCTACATCCCTCCCTAAAAACGAATAAACGACTCCCGACCGAGTCAGAAGACGAAAAGCGAGAGATGGAAATGGAAATTGGATCAAGACCTGTCTCGGTCGAGTATCTCGCTTCTGGGGCCAATCGACAAACGGCTGTTGCGGATTGGAGTCGATGTGGTATCTTGGCCTTTGGAACTGATATCAATGTTGCTTTATGGCGACCTTTGGTTAGTATATGAGTCACCTTGCTGCTTCAAAGTCAATAAACCCTGTTTCTATCATCACTTTGGCGTTCATGCTATGATTGCAATTCATGCTAACGTCTTCTGCTCAAGTCGGATCCGCCTAAGGGAGTTAGCAAGTTACTCAACGGGCACAAGAGCACCGTCAAGGCCCTGACTTTTCTTCCTGAACAAGACCAAGATGAAAGCTCCTATCTCATCTCTGGATCAGATGATAAGACTTTGATTCTCTGGAAGGCACCGCGGGACAGTGAGGACTTCAAGCCTATTCACACCGCAGCTGAACACACTGCTGCCATCAACTGCATCGCTGTTTTGAGGATCAAGGGGGCTCGTAAATGGATTATCGCAACCGGAGGTGCAGATGCTTCCATAAAGATCTGGAGCCTTGAGAATGATCAACTGTCACTTCTTCAAAGCGTCAAGACGACACCCAAGTACTTCCCCATGTGCCTATCGCTCAGTTATGCTGGCGACGAGGACGACCTTTTGGTGTTGGCATCCGCAGGCACAAAGGATATTATCCAGATTCACACAGCCGAGGCGAAATCAGACAAGATCCAGTTCAATGTCCAAGCAAACCTGTCTGGACACGAGGGTTGGATACGGAGCTTGAGCTTTGCAAAGGAGACAACCGCCCCTGAGAGCGATTTGCTCCTCGCTTCAGCAAGTCAAGACAAGTACATCCGTATCTGGAGACTCCACCAGGGCAAAGAACTACCTGCTGCCGCGGCCAGCGGTTCAGACCCTTTAAGCGATGCCTACCTGCCTGGCAAATCCCCTTCCAATAAAGCCCACCGTCTTAACTCAGCTGGCAAGGACTTCTCCATCACCTTTGAAGCTTTACTTCTGGGCCACGAGGACTGGATTTACAGCGCACGCTGGCAAAGACAGGAGGATGGAAAGCTTCAGCTGCTGTCTACCTCGGCTGATAACTCCCTTGCCATCTGGGAAGCTGACCCAAGCTCTGGGATCTGGATTAGCATGGCGAGACTCGGCGAGATTAGCAGAGAAAAGGGTGCTACGACAGCCACAGGCAGCACAGGCGGCTTCTGGACAGGCCTGTGGTCGCATGATGGCAAGTCGGTGGCCTGTCTCGGCCGTACTGGAAGTTGGAGACGATGGGAATACATCGTTGCAGAAGACCTTTGGCGGCCATGCGTTGCCGTATCAGGACACACCAGAGCTGTTACCGGTGTCACATGGGCCAAGAACGGAGAGTACATCCTATCAACGAGTTCAGACCAGACGACACGACTGCACACGCGCTGGGACAGACCAGGAAACGAAACATGGCACGAAATGTCCCGGCCTCAGATCCACGGCTACGACCTCAACTGCATCGACTCCGTGGGAGCGTCCCAGTTCGTTTCAGGGGCTGATGAGAAGCTAATGCGAGTCTTCAGTGAGCCCAAGGCTGTTGCCTCCATGCTTAACCGTCTCGCAGGTATTGGAGGCAGTATGGATGTTCAGAACATGCCTGACGCTGCCAACATGCCAGTCCTGGGTCTGTCTAACAAGGCCATTGATACCGTGGAGGACGATCAAGAGATCCAGCCCATTGATGACCGAGACCGTGAAGCCATGGACCCAGCTTCGATAGTCAAGAAGTCGCACCTGGAGATTGACCACCCCCCTTTCGAAGAGACACTCTCACGACATACTCTCTGGCCCGAGACCGAGAAGCTCTACGGACACGGCTACGAGATCTCCTGCCTTGCAGCCAGCCACGACGGCACCCTCGTCGCCAGTGCATGCAAAGCCAGCTCGACCAACCACGCCGTCATCCGTCTCTTTGAAACAACCCGCTGGACTGAGCTTCGACCGCCCCTGACCGCACACTCCCTTACAGCCACCCGTCTCCGATTCTCTTATGATGACCAGTTCCTTCTGAGTGTAGGCCGTGATCGCCAATGGGCCGTCTTCGAGCGCGCGCCCGAGGAAGAGGCTGCGTACAAGCTCCTCCAGATCAACCCCAAGGGCCACGCTCGTATGGTTCTCGATGCAGCATGGGCACCAGCGCCATCTACAGCGCCCGTGTTCGCGACGGCCGGTCGTGACAAGCAGGTTCGCATATGGGCGGCTAAGGCTAACGAGGATGGAAAATTGCAGTTCTCCCAGACTGCTTCCATCGTGACCGCCTCACCGGTTACCTCGGTCGATTTCATTCCCCAGGTTGTTGAAGGACGGTTTGTACTTGCTATCGGCACAGAGCTTGGCCAACTGAACCTGTGCATAATCAAGGAGGATGGAACTGACGTTGTTGAGAAGCCCGCCTGTGAAGAGTAAGCTTTCATTTCCAAGCGAACATATGTGAATTAACCCACTTTGCTAACTTTCACTCCAGTTACTGCTTGCCCAAGGCCGTACACCAACTCGCATGGCGCCCTGTGGCAAGAGACGATACAGACAGGCCATACGAGCTAGCCATTGCAGGTGAAGATAGTTCACTTAGAGTGTATGCTTTTAGCCTGGCATACTTCAAAGTGTCTACAGACTCGTCGCAATAAAAGTTATGATATTTATGTCGATATGAACAACCTCTACCCTTTTCAAACTTGTAGACTCACGCCCGCACTGCAATGCTGTTCCAGCATAGTCTTAGCATTGATGTAGTCAAGTATAAGTATATTATCATTACAGCCATCTATTGGCCAAAGTTATCTAAATCCGTATCCATTATATCGTGACGCCAGACGAACCTTGGAGCCGCATCTCGCGGTTGTCCGGGTTGAAGGCTGCATTGCAAGACTCAGTCGGATGGAGGAGTCTCGTCGCTATAAATTCCAATCGGGCGTTACACCCCCTTTCCAATGCACGCATGCATGCCAGAATCTCCGGTCAACAATTCTCACATTGAATTTATAGCTCCCTCACAACCGTCTCGACGGTCTCCTTGGTGACATCCACTGCGCTCGATGTGGCCCCCGATAGCGCACTCGCCGACATATCCTTGACAGCCTCTTGCACAACCTCGGCGACGTCGATGTGCTCTCCGTTGATGTAGTACCACGCGCGGCCGACGAGGAAGGAGATGTGGTGCGGGAGGTAGAGACAGGCAGCGATGAAGGTCAGGCTGAAGAGGAGAAAGACGATGGAGCCTATGACGGTGGTTAGTCGGTTATCCAGAAACGAGACATATGAGTTAGACGAGGAGGAACGTACTGAAGAAGAACTTCTCCCATGGCGTGAACATGTACACGCTGAAAGTGACCTCGAGTTGGTACTGCTTGAGGCTCAGCCACTTGCGGAACGATCCAAAAACAGCCATTGTATGGGATTTAAATGGGAATCTCTTTTCGTTAATCTCAAATCCCGATATTCGTCGTCGTAGAGTTGCTGCGCGCTGTAGATTGGTAGTTTGAGGATGATGGTTCCAGGAGAAAGGTTGACGGGTATGGACGGAGAATAAAGGATAAGGATAAGGATCCAGGGAAATCCTCCTTTATCTGGTGGTACCTTAATCGTACCGGCGCTCCCGAAAAATGGTACAAAAGGCCCCGCGGGAAAGTGCCAATGTTTTGAAGTACTGAAACTTACAGGGGGTGCGGGTGCCCAATTTACTGGATGTTTGGGAGGTCTTTGCCAGGTAAGCACGCGAGTGGCTCGTGGCGGCGGTTGTGGCTTGCTCGTGGCACAAATGATCCATGAGCAGCCTCGTACTGCAGACTACGAATAACCATTGACTTGACTCAATTACGACTTCACCTTTACCTGGTGTGATATTTGTTTTTCTCTTTGACTTTCCCTAGATATACTATTCTTGTGAAACCACAATGTTATTGTCCCGCTCCCTCCGAACTGCCCGCTTCAGCGCTGTCTCGCCTCTAGCATTTCCCATACGCACATTTACCACTACATCAGTCTCTCTAGCAAAGGCTCTTCCTCCTCGGCCGAAACCTCCACCTGAGTCTGAGATAGAAGAATCATATGTCAAGGGCAGTGGTCCCGGCGGTCAAAAGATTGTGCGTGCACCTGTTCCCCGACATTGCGGCAGCTGCTTGATAACTTCCATCCAACGGCCCCTTGACTAACACCACGCTCACTGCAGAATAAAACCAACTCCGCCGTTCAGCTCAAACATGTACCCACTGGGATTGTCGTCAAGTCGCAAGCAACCCGATCGAGAGACCAGAACCGAAAACATGCTCGTGAATTGCTTGCCCAGCGTGTCGACGACCTCCACAACGGTGACCAGAGCCGATCGGCTATTGTTGGTCAGGTAAAGCTGAAGAAAGCATCAAGTGCTTCCAAAAAGAGCCGTAGGAAATACAAGAAGCTTGAGGAAGAGAAGGCTGCTGCAGCTGCTGAGGTGCAGCCAGAGACAATACCTGATGCCACAGAGGGGGTGAGCGCACATGCAAACGATACAGAGAGCGCCCAAGCTCCTCAGCCTCTTGATACTCAAAGTAATAGGCCTGCGTGACTAATGTCCAGATAATTCAATTCTCACGGTTTGGTTGCATCCCATTGACATGAGTCTGGCAAGTATACATCACGAAGAACCAATAGCATCATGTCATCACCTCGTTTCATTTCAACAGTTCTAAGCGGAAAGTAAAAAAGTATTTGTATGTCAGCCTCGGCTTCTACCCCTAGGCACGCATTACACGCGCAACTACAACAAAGGGGCCATCATATCTCTTCGTAACAAGCGCAGCGCCCACCCCTTTGACCATGTCAAGAACTTTTCGTAAATATGAGATTCGACTTTGACGTTTGCCAACCACCCATGGCTTAGCGTCAGTCGCCACCTCCATGATCTTGTCGTCGTTGCGCGAGTGGGAGGATTTAGTTTGTCGGTCGGGTAGCTTGAAAAGTCAGTAAATAATCTGAAACATGCGGGCTACTCAAACACACCTTAGAAGCACTTGCGGTGAACGATTGAGGGACCGCTCTCGTCGTACTCCTGCTTGGAGATCCACATTTGCTGGAAGGTGGACAGAGAAGCAAGAATGGAACCACCGATCCAGACGGAGTACTTTCGCTCGGGAGGAGCGATGATCTTGACCTTCATGGAAGAAGGAGCAAGAGCAGTGATCTCCTTCTGCATACGGTCGGAGAGACCGGGGTACATGGTGGTACCACCAGACTAGATGCACGTTAGAATACTTTAGGTCGCACAGATTGATGAAACTTACCATGACGATGTTGCCGTAGAGATCCTTTCGGACATCGACATCACACTTCATGATGGAGTTGAAAGTGGTAACGTGGATACCACCGCTCTCAAGACCCAGGACAGAAGGCTGGAAGAGAGCCTCAGGAGCACGGAATCGCTCGTTGCCGATGGTGATGACCTGACCATCGGGAAGCTCGTAGGACTTCTCCAGGCTGGAGCTCTGGGCGGCAGTCTGGATCTCCTGCTCGAAATCGAGGGCGACGTAGCAAAGCTTCTCCTTGATGTCACGGACGATTTCTCGCTCGGCGGTGGTGGAGAAAGTGTAACCGCGCTCAGCAAGGATCTTCATGAGGTAGTCGGTAAGATCACGACCAGCCATGTCGACACGGGCAATGGCGTGGGGAAGGGCGAAACCCTCGTAAATGGGGACAACGTGAGTGACACCATCACCAGAGTCCAGAACAATACCGGTGGTACGACCGGAGGCGTACAGGGAGAGAACGGCCTGGATAGAGACGTAGAAGGCGGGAGCGTTGAAGGTCTCGAAGACGATCTGGGTCATCTTCTCACGGTTGGACTTGGGGTTGATGGGAGCCTCGGTGAGCAGGACGGGGTGCTCCTCGGGGGCGACACGCAGCTCGTTGTAGAAGGTGTGGTGCCAAATCTTCTCCATGTCGTCCCAGTTGGTGACAACACCGTGCTCAATGGGGTATCGCAGAGTCAGGATACCACGCTTGGACTGAGCCTCATCACCAACGTACGAGTCCTTCTGACCCATACCGATCATGATACTGGAATTTTGTCAGTGGTCAGTCACCGAAAAAGGCGGCAGAAATTGCCGCGATAGCTGCAACTTACCCATGGTGACGGGGGCGACCGACAATGGAAGCTATTGACGATATTAGCATTCAGCTTCTGATTGTGCTTGCGCCCAAGAAATGTGATATCAAGCATCTGGGCGCAGTGGCTAGAAAGTGGGGTACTCACGGAAAACAGCTCGGGGAGCATCATCACCGGCGAAACCGGCTTTGCACATACCCGAACTGGGATTGAGTTAGCTATCATGAACATATCGGAATTGCCTTGCGCCTTTCAAGACCAAACACATCTGAGCATCAATATCGAGGCCGGTGTCGGGCATCGGACGATGCGGTGGCAGATGTGGCCAGGGGACAGAGGCGGGGAGGTAGTCCAGAGGTCGGTGAGACAGGCGGGGGAGCTTACCCATTGTCGATGACGAGAGCAGCAACTTCTTCTGTGAAGCGGAAGACAAGTCAGCGTGAGTCCAGAGATGATATTCGCGATGCTCGAAACGGATTGTTTAGACCCGACGATGCAGCGACGCGGTATAAGGGTGATGCGACGTACCCTCCATGGCTGTGGATTACGGTGTGTGTATGGGAAAGCTGTCCAGAAACGGGATTAGCGGCCAGGAATCAAAGGCGAGAAAGAAGAAAAAACAAAGATTTATAGAGAAGAAGGATGCAGGCTGAGGAATTAGCGAAGAGCAAGCTTACGGGAAAAGAAGAAACGTTTGATGGAGGAGACGGAGGTCGGAGAGTTGAAGAGAAGTAGTTTGGAATGGGAGAGGGAAAGAGACGGAGACGGGAGAATGGGGGAGGGGGGAAAGGAGACAAGTATCGCCGGGCGACGCTGTCACAAGAAAGTTGTGGGCGGGCCCCGAATTGCTGAGGTGGACACCTTGGGGACAAGGGGGGGTAGAGACCGCCTGCCAGAATTGGGTAGGGGAACCTGAGCAGACGACGGGAGGCACAGTCTAGAGCAGGAGCTGCCCTCTAGACTCTCTGGACTCTCTGGACTCTCTGGACTCTGGCCACTGGCCACTGGCTTACAGTGAAGCACCTCAGGTAGGGAAAAAGAGGCGGGGCAATCCAGAAAAACCAGGTCTTGCCAAACTGCTCGCCGCTTTACTGATTGGTTCGTGGCGGTCGTAGTGCAGAGTACCTACCTAGGCTGCCCTGGGAGGAACTTATCCCAGTGGTTGCAGAGCGGTCGTGGTGGAATGGGGATGGTTGTAGCCGTAGCGTACCAGTGGCTGAGGTGGGGGAGCTTACCGACAACAGTAGAGAGATGTTCACGATCGTCAATTCCTAACGAAATGGTTGTATTTGATGTTACTTGCAATAAAGCTGGAATAATCAGTCGATGAGCGTCTTTTTTGGACCCGGTACTGAATTGGTTTTCCGGCAGGGCAGTTACAGTACCTATCAACAGTCTTTACCGACAGAGCATAACGGGCCGCCTCACCGTCTTTAACTCTGTACTTTATCCTTCCTGCACAAGGTGACGTCGTAAGCAGAACCTCACATCCACCGCCACGCGACCTGGCGAAGACGTCAGCTAGGGGACTTTCTAATGCTGTAGCCTTTGAGGCTTCCTTTTATTTTTCTTGGCGAAGCGTTTGTAATGTTTCAACTACCAGGCCATTCGTTATACGCCAGCATCTACAGCTTCCACTAAGCTTGCTAAAATAGGTGTAACTCCTTCAACAACATGCCAGTCAGGCATCTGTACCAGTAATCAACTCCCATCTCAGGACAAAGACGACGCTTCAGGTCAGCCCCAGCCACCCAACAGCTCAAGGAGATTCCCGTCTCACTTTCAAATTCCTGTTGCGAGCGCCGGGCGTGGGCAGAACGTACACATTGCCTCCCAACGCCTCCCGAATACCTGCCCAGACCAAAATCGCTTCACCGTCCATCCAAACCCTTGGATACAGCGATTGAAAAGGGGGCTGGTATCTCCAGACCAAATCTCCAGATGCTCCGCAGATTGGAACCGGTTCCCAGCTTCCAGTTTCCGAGTTCCACTCCATAATTAGCACCAGCGGCTAATCAACCAAGCGCTCGTCCAGGGCAGAGTTACGCGGAGGCAGCTGTATTTCTACTGAAGGGACTTTTTTGCTGACGAACCATACCATACCAAATACGCGTGAATCTCCTTCGTCTAAGCTACACTCACCCATCCATTCCGACTGGCCAAGCCAACAGCTTAACCAGATGGTCGTCGATGGCCCCAAGAACAGCCTCAAGATTGCGTAGCTATCTCGCCTTACATGCTGTGCGGACTTGCAGGATAATCTTCGACGATAATTGTGGCAGTGTCAAGCACCAGTTCGATGTGCTCTTATTCCCATACGAAATTTTCGTCTCCTGGCTATTCGAGTTTTTTATTATTTAAGTTCTTGGCAGCTGACATCTTCAACACCGCCAAACGATCGCCCCCTGAACCACGAGGCTATCAATTGTTTACTTCAAACTCAACAGATCTCCCAACTCTTAATTAGACCCCTGTATCTGGCCCCTGCCCAGCCCAGCCCCGGGGAAATCCACCGCCAGGAGCTGTCGGCCAGTAAGCCAGGCTGTAAGATTGAATACCTTCGCTTACCTACCTACGAGCAGCGGGATCTCCGGCGCCTCTCGAAGATGTGAAATAATGTCCACTATGGAGTAGCTAGGCTGCATTGGCTCTTTGAAGACTGGGCTTTTTGCAACGACCGTGGTAGCCTTGCGGCCAGGCTGCTACAATAGTGACATGCGACGCAATACACGCGCGTCACCCCAGCCAGCCACAGTCCTTCAAGGTAGCGGTTTTGTGTAGGTTGGTGTTTTTTTGTAATCATTTTAATATCATGGTCTTTTTCACTCTATCGGCCACAAAAGCAGCGATGAGGGGCAACCTTGCGAGGTGGGGCAGTTTTGCTGAGCTGGAGGGGTACTATGATGAAGTATTCTTCTGCCACGTCGAACTGTCATCACCTGAATTGAATTGCGGTGTCTTTGTACGGCAGAAACTTGATGCAACTCTGCTACTTGACTCAGAAACACGCACAAGTCATCATAAGGCATCATTGGGCTGCAATGTATCGATATTGAGCTGTGATTGAGTAGATAGACCGGTAGTCGGAGGAACGATAATTCCTGGGCGTACACTGAGGCTAGACCGTTTGTGGATTAGTCAAGAGTCTTCATGAAGATTCCAGAAGAGGCAAATTCTAATCGATATGGTTGGTGAAGTTGAAAATCAAGTGCAAATATCAAAAGATCAAGTCTTCTTTTTATCCAACAAATAAAACTTTCTCAACACCATATCAGCAAGCCACACTCTGAAATATCATAAAAATGGGTGACAAGAGACTTAATGAACTCCTCAAATGGAGTATCGAGCAATCCGATGCTACCAAGAACGACCCAAATGCCCCAGCGCCCAGCACACAACTCACACCAGAGCTCATGGCCTCGCTTATGGGTGGCCCCTCTGATGCCGACCTCATGAAGGCATCTATGGAGATTATTACTTCAAACGACACTGAGCAGGTCTCTCTGGACGACAAGCTCATTGCATTCGACAACTTCGAGCAGCTTATTGAGGGTCTCGACAATGCCAACAACATTGCAAACCTCAGCCTGTGGACCCCGCTGCTTGATCAACTCACGCATGACGAGCGCGAGATCCGTAAGATGGCCGCATGGTGTGTCGGCACAGCCGTTCAGAACAACGAGCGCACTCAAGAGCGCCTGCTCGCCATGGGAGGACTGCCCATGTTAGTTAACCTGGCTACGAAGGAGGGCGAGCCTGCCGATGTGCGTCGCAAGGCCGTATATGCGCTCAGCTCGGCGGTTCGCAACTACCAACCTGCCATGGACGTCTTTGCCGACGAGCTGACCAACAAGGGTCACAAGACTGAGAAGGTTGATGCTACGAGCATGGAGGCCGTGGACGAGATTGTCAATGGGCTACGGGAGAAGATTGGCAAGGATTGAGAAATACTCGGAGGATAAAATATCAACGCATAATGAACGGATGCATTGGGACGGAGTTGGGGCGTTGGCTTGAAGCACATGCCATGCTGATAAAGACGGATAGATGAAAGGAAAGATAGTAAAAGGTCGAATGAAATGGGCAATTGGCCCCTGGATTTTTGGATGTTCAATTATGATACATATGTCTTGGTACATGGTCTATACTACATATCAACCACTCAGAGATGATATTTGTTTCCAACACAAAACTTTATAGTGACAACTTTTATTGTGATTTAGTGTCTGGGCTTGCCGAAGAAAGGAAGACCTAGTGCCTCCAGCAGAAGACGAGCTTGCCTATCCGAGGTACCGGTCGTCTTAATGAAGATATCACAACCAGGCATCAGTCGTGAAGGGTACATCTAATTATGGTTAGCTCATAAGTTTCAGATTAAACCACATTCAAACTTACATCGTAGTTGAACTCGACCTCGGGGAAATATGCCATCCAGTCAGGCTTAAGACCGAATGCCAGGTTACCTGCGCTATCACCAGTGCTAACGTCGATACCGGGCCAGTCCTTGATCTTGGGTAGAACCAAGGTAATGAGCTTGTCGAGGAACTCGTAGGCCTTGGCACCCTTCATTGTCACCTTGCAGCCAGTCTTGTCGCCCTTCTTAACACCCCACTGAACAACACCGTTTTTGACCTTTGTCACTTCGGGGAAGGAACCGGAAATAGCTTGAATAACAGCACGACACACGTGAAGGTACTCCTTGTTCTGGGCACCCATAGGGGCGAATGAATTGATAGTAATAGCCTCGATATCGGGGATGTTGTGCCATTCGATGGGGCGCTCGACCAAGCCAAGTCTTGAAGAGCCACCACCACGGGGTCCTCGACGAGGTCGGTTCTTGTGGTACGGTGAAGAGCCGTCCCATTCTCTCAAGTTGCCCTTATTGGAAACCGGGGGTTCTACTCCAGGAGGCATGTGCTGGTAGGTCATAGCAATCAGATCCGGCGCAATAGTGCTTTCGTAGGTGTGCTTTAGTCGAGGGAAGTTGAAGGGGCCGGGGACGAAATCTCGAGCAGTTGGGTCGGAGGACTTGGGCACCTGGACGGGATGGAGAGGTCCACGGTAGTACTTGGGAGGATGGTACTGGTATCTGAGAAGTCATTTAGCATATGTTCAGCTAGTCAAAGCCATTGAGTCACATACCTGTTACCAGGAAGTCTATTCTCCGCTCCTGAAGCTCTCTCTCTGTTGTTGAATGCTTGAATAGCCGCCTCATCGGGTGCACCTGTCGCAAAGGATGAGGCACCGTCGAGATCGGCCAAAGCGGAGGACTTGTCAGCCTCAGTCGAGGCAAATCGCCGGGCACAAAGGGGGGCAGTCCGTAGAGGAAGCTGTCTTCTCCCCAGTGAGCTCGCCAGGTGAGCCCCTTTTCGTAGGGTGGCCATTATCGGGTTCGTGGGGGTTGAGATCGGTCGTCGACAAAAAGATGTGAGGTTGTCGCGGAGTTGAGAATTTCCATCTAAACGGCTAGCGTCCGATACGCCACATGTGGCTCATTCTCCATCTAGATCTGTGGCTGTGCTACCTGCTGCTTCATCACCACATTTTAAAGCCTGCACATTAACAATCTCAAATTACTTATGAGAATCGTGATAACTCAGTTCTCTCTCTACATACTAATTGCTTATTGTCTATTTTTTTCTGTCGCTTAGTGTGCTATTTTATTTTCCAAAGAAAGGAGAAATTAGCAGGCACTTTGTCCTTACAGAAAAGAAAAAGGCATCTAACCATCAGCATCGCTATTGGATTCCACCTTCACAATGTTCGTATCAGTACATGTTTCTAAAGAGTCATAGAAAATGGCTCCACGAAACTTAACACTAAAGAAGGTTTTGATACACTATGCTCTCAGCCTTTCCTTTTCGAGTTGGCCGGCCACACCATGTAGCTTATAATCTGATTGCTCAGTCTTGATCATCTCACCACCTTGGAGGCACTCCGATCGCCCCTCAGTCACCCAGATCTAGACGATAGTTTAATGCAGGCGCCGAGTACTTACTCTGAATTTGCTTGACAAGGCACCAATGGCATTGTCCTTGAAGTAAAATCGCGCAATAGATCTTGAAAACACAGCACATTGAATCTCGGATCCCGCATCGCTTTGAAAGTAAGTCTCAATCGGTGTCGGGCTCTGGGTGTTGTCCGACATAGTTCAGTTGGTCATGGCCATGGACTTGAATGTGCGAGACCGAGATACTGATACGCTACATCGAATTGAAAAGCGAAAGCAAGCCCGAGTATTATGGAGCAGACCCAAACGGCTGGGCGCGGGATGTCCGTGGGTCCGGTGGCCCGGTTTATCTCCATCTTTCTCAGCAGCAAGGACCGACTGAGTGTCCGAGTTGACAGTCAGTAGGCATTCCCCATTCCCAACGGACGGCCCGAAGACACCAACAACCATACGTTATCGGATGGAGATGGGGTAAGCAATCATATGACAAAGGAATAGATGGACAGCCAGACCGCCGGTCTGATGATGAAATTCGAGAGCATACGTCAGAGCCAAAGGTTTTACAAACAATAGCTAGATCTGGCTGATTCTGGATAAATGTGCCAAGCATACGGAGTGCACCCTGCTTATACAGGAACGTGTGTTGGTGTGGCTGGTGAAGTATGACACCAATTCGCCTGGACAACCCAGGCTTCAGTATTTTCCAAGGGACTTTCGTCTTGTTTGGCACGACTCGCTTGCATACGTGTTCGAGTACGAATTAGAGATCCATTCTTGATGTGTAATGCTTCAGCCTGACTATTATTCTTTAAACAACCTGACCAACTCACACGGCGAGTCCGCTTTTCGCGCATGTCACGAGGTTCTGTTGTTCCAAGGCATTGATATCCCGAGGCTCCTACGGTGAGTATCTCAGCCTAAAATGTTACACACTCAGGTGGTGATGACAATATAATTGGCCCAGGTGACATGAAGAAAGGCAGTAATGAATACTGTAAGATGATGATGATGACAGTGTAGGACAAAGTTAAGCCACAAAACAACGTGGAATATTACTCTTTTGGAGTATTACGAGGTGTCTATTAGTGGGAAGTGTCTGTGCTAGTGGTAGTAGAGTTCTGACCAATTTAAGCTGAGGCAGAATCGAGTGGGTTAGGTTATTTAGGAATCAGATTACAGAACCTACTACTCATGTACAATGATGCTGTGCTAAAGTCTAGAAGAGGATGGGACCAAATGAAGCCACGAGTATCCCATTTCGCCTGATAACACGTATACAAGTGTCCTTGACTTGGTAGAACAAGTGAAGCAATTGTATATCACTTGATATTCGGACGATAACTGTCGCCTAAACAACTTCCATGTTAGTTTAGCTCGCCCTGCAAGGCGGCCGTTTTGTTGAATTTGAGCGGAAACTGGTTAGGATCGGCCCCGAGGTTTTTGCCGCTCCATGGGGATGGAAAAAAAAAGGTTGATCTAATTCAGCGCCGTTGAGCCAGTCACTCTAGGGGACCACTAAACTAAAACATAAAATTGAATACAGCGTAAAGACCTCGGAGGCAATGCAATGTATGGTAACGGAATTACTTGCTGCGAACTACTCCCTAGATTGATTCCATGGACAGGGTCTTGAGGTGAGAACAAGAAGAAGCCTGAAGAAGAAGAAGAAGAAGAAAAATGGAAGAGTGACAGGCAGGGACAGGCCAAGGCACAGGGGTCCTGCAACTCTGGTTACCTTCCAATTTAACCTTTCCCTTTTCTAGGGGTCCGCTGTCCCACCCCCGCCACTACGCCTATCCTTCTATTTTAGTTCAGTAACATCCAGGTCACTCCCCCTCAACAAGCGCTCCCGTGGGCTGTTCAGCCACTGGGACTTGGCCATGCTCCGAAACCCGACCTGACTTTCTTTGCTGATCATTTAGTCTCGGCCTTTTTTTTCTCAAGTACAGCTTCCCCTCCAAACTGTGTCTTTCAGCTTCTATTCTTCTCCCTTTCTCCTTCTTCTACTCCAAGATTTCAAAATAACCTCTTCATATCACCTCTTTCAAGTTCACAATTCGTCTCGAATAATCGATTAAACCAACACGAACAGTCCCGTCTTATCTCGCCCCTTCCCGCGCGCGTCGCACTCGAGCCACTTCCCGACCCGTCTCAAACAACGGATGCGCCCCCGATAATGAAGACTTGTGGCTTGTCCTTACCTCGTTGAACCTGACGAGTCCCTCTTCCTACATCCGATCCACACGTTTGCTTCTCTCTTCGACATTCGACCATCATGAAGGAGTTTCCTAGAAAGTTCCTCAGCTTGCGCGACAAGAATGGCACCGGCCGACGATCCAAGTCGGTTGCACCAGCGCCATCCGTACCAGCCATCCCTGACGGCACCGGGAACAAAAGCAAGGTATGTTTTTTAGCTTATTTGGATCTACTACTTCGAGAGTTATCTTTGGTTTCCTCATAAGTTTATGGATTATGCCCTGGTCGAGCATTGGTTGTTCTGACAAGTAGCTATATAGCCTCGCCCACTCTCTACTGGGGTTTTCATGGCCATGTTCAAGAAGGATGGTGCAAAACAAGGGGCAAAAGCAGAAGCGGAGAAAGAGAAGGATCACGCACGAGTACGAGTTGACCCTCGGATTGAAGAATCGAAACGTTAACCTTTGCTTCCACTAGGTCGAGGAGATTCTACGACGATTAGACGAACTCAACATAACCAATGTTACCGCTGACCACGTCACCGATATCATGGCAACCAAATTCGCAGACCACGATCCTGACAGGACAGTGGAATTCATCGATATGGAGCAAAAGGCCGCAGCTGGTATCATTACCCCATACGATCCTAGCGTGGATATGGTGGGCGCCGAAAACCGCGGCAATGTCACTTGTTACCTGGATGCGCTCTTGTTCTCAATGTTTGCCAAGATCGATGCGTTTGAGTGCATGCTCAAGAACGAATTTCCAGAAGAAGACAGCCGTAACAAACTCGTCAATTTGTTGAGGATGTGGGTGAATATGCTGCGGACAGGAAAACTGGTGCACACAGATATGGTGGGTGGTATAAGCCTACTCTTAATCGTGCTCAAACTAATGGACTGGACAGACCAAACTGATACAGGACGCTCTGGCCGATTGCGGATGGTCCGACGCACGGATGCTCGAGCAACAAGACACATCGGAAGCTTTTGCTTTCATAACTGAAACCTTGCAGCTGCCGTTGCTATCTCTGCAAGTCGATCTCTTCCACCAAGGAAAAAAGGATAAAGACGACCACAAGGTTGTCTACGAGCGCCTCCTGAATCTGGCTATACCCGCAGATCCTGAAGACAGGGGGCTCAAGCTAGAAGACTGCCTCGAAGAATATTTCAATGCTCAGGTCGATGTGAAACGAGACAGTGAAGACGGAAAGAAGCTCGGAATCGACGAAAAGAGTGGAAGTTGGACACCGACACTCAAGCATAGAGATACAATCCGCATCATTACTGAAGAACGGGGAGAGTCATCGACACCCACGTCCCCGCTGGTTTTCACCCCATTAGACAGGTTACCAACAGCTGAAAAGGGGCCTCTTCTTTCACCAACAGATCCCAGCCTCAAAAATGGTGACACTCCTGACGACGAAGAAGAGGGTGAGGTTACCACTGTCGAACTAGTGCCGACCAAACCAACCTTGCGAGGGAGGTCAACGAGTGTCATCCAGCGCGTGGTTCTGGACGAGGAGGGTCGCCCTGCTACCCCTGACAATGCCACGATGCTCCAAAAGGCAATGCGAAAAGGATCAACAGTAGTCAAGGCAGTCACTATTCCGGCTTGGCAATTTTTCAGACTAATCCGTGAGTTTAAACCAATACCTTCGAGGCTAAAATATATACTAACTGCAATCTAGCCTGGCATGCGCTCTCGAGCACCGAGCCCAAAAACAACACCGAAGTTGCCTTGAACTTTGAGCAAAGACCTGTAGTGGGCATCTGCCTTAAACGCTATGCCATGACTGAGTCTGGCCAACCGAAACGTCACAACACCTTTATCGACATCCCCGATTCCCTGAGACTTCCGCATTTTATGCTTGCTGATGAACCAAAGGCTGAGGAAGATATGAACGTTCTTAACACGGACTATAAGCTCGTCCTTCAGTCCGTTATCTGCCATCGGGGAGACTCGCTTCAAAGTGGCCATTACGTTTCGTTCGCCAGAGTGGCCCCTAAGCTATTGAAAGACAACCGGCGACACAATTTCGACCCACCACCGGATTACGAAGAGGCACAATGGGTCAAGTTCGACGATCTCCAGATTGAGAACCGAGTTAGTTATGTGGACGACATTCGATCGGCTTTGAAGGAAGAGATGCCTTATCTTCTTTTCTATCAAGTTATGCCTATGGTCGAGGTCGCTCCTCCATCTGTTGATGAAACGGAGACAGAACCACCCTCGTACAACGATTCAAAAGTCAGCATCGAGTTGCCTCCTACCCCTTCACGGAGCAATCGGCTCGGCAGTTTAGAGGAGGGCTATTTCGACAATACGCCGATTTTCACAAACCCCCAGTACTTGTCCAGTAAACCGCCCAGTATACGGCTGTCCATGGATAGCGAAAGACCACGAAGGAGTGAAGATGCTCCGGATCGACAAACCCGCTCTCTTGCTGGAGACTCACGAAGGCCCAGTGCCGTTTGGAACGAATCAACATCCCATACTCCCAACTCCCATTCTCCAGCTGTTACACCTGCCATCACACCGAACGAGGAATCGACAGCATCGAGATTATCGCGTGCGGCATCTCGATTTACATTGGTCAACAGAAGTCGCCCAAGCAGCCAGAATGGGGAGAACCGCCTGAGCTTCTCAATGAGCAGATTAGGAGGACTTATGCGAGCAAGCAAAGATCCCTTAGCTGAGCCCAAGGACGAGCTCAACAGCATCGGAATGTCTTCAGCGAACTCGACGGGCATTTTGACTGCCGAGACATCTAAAGAGTCAGGGGAGTCGAAGGATGTTGAGGACGGAAACGAGCAGCCAGCCGAGCCAGAACCCGAGCATCACCACCATCGCCATCATGGACACAGGCATGGCCATAAGCGGGTCAAATCAAAGGAAAAGAACAAGGGCAAGGGCAATGACCAACCCGAACGAGAATGCTCAGTGATGTAACAGCCCCTACTGTCAGGTCATGATAATTATCGCATCGCCAGATAGCAAGATGCAACTTAGTCATGCTACGCTTAAGATTACGACCATTTGATGTTTAGACATGCTTAGGTACAGGAGTTTTCACTTGCAAGTCGAAATGGGCCCAAGCCTCGACAGGTGGATAGTGAACGAGACAACACTCCTCTTTGGTTGCCATAATGACGTTGGACAGCAAACCACTAGGGAATGGTATGGTATTGGTGGCATATCAATACCGCATTGCATATTTGTCTCGTGTTTTTTTCCTATTTTCAGAAGAAGAAAAGCAACAGAAGTTTTGTAATTAGCAAGGCGTTTTGGGCGGGCGTGGCAACACAAAACAGTTGTCGCATGGCTACCTTACACAAAGAGCTTTCTTTGAGCATGATATACGCAACGATGAGATACAAGAGAAGAGACAGATAATTTGACGTGCTTGGAGAAAACAATTACACCAAGCTATAATGACTACCACTAAAGTTCTTGCAATGTGATATGATCTGCTACCGACTCACTTGTGACGACAGGCGTGTGCTGTATGTATATTGGTGGCGAGCCCATGATAGATAAACTCAGACTTGCCAACGTGTCATCATTAAGAGGTTATCAGGATACTTTCAAGTTTGTCTATTTCCTTATACAGAGTTACATGAACAGGGGAGGCCATCTCTTCGTAGCTTGCCTTATGATCCCTATTCCATCCCATCAACAGGCTGAACTCAAAACCGCCACCACGACAAGCGCCAAGAGGGGGAGTGAGTTCAAAAATAATGGTTTTAAAAAGCAAGAACAGTGAGATGACCGGCTTTTTATCCCTCGCCCCTCCATTGCGTGCGTTACAAGAAAAATTCATACACGTAACCAGGACAACAACGTAAGTCCACGACAATAATATACACAGATGCCAAGGTCCCAAACATATAGAAGTTTGAGCCAGGAACCATAATCGACCGGGATATATATGCGCTGGGTCTCTCATGGAGATAGAAACCGTGGCATCATCGGAGACGAAAAGGACGACTAATAAGACATCAAAAAATGGCGAAAAGGGGGGTTTGATAGAGGTCAAGGCTCCGTCCAGGCCTGGTCAACAGTGGGCGATCATTAAAATATTCCGTCTGACTGAAACGGAATTTTAGGTCATCCCAGGTGTTGTGGGGAAGTTCCTAAGTTCATAGCTTAGAAGGGGATGTTGGGAGGGGGCTGAGCGCCGAGAGTCTCCTGTTGTTCTTGAAGCTCCTCAGGGGCAGCCTCGATAGAAACACCCAGACCAATCTTGGCTTGTTGCTGTGGCAATTGTTAGTACATGGCTGGGCATATTGTATCATGGTTACATACCGTGAAGTGGTCGATATCGGCAGCAAAGGTCATCATAACGGGAGGGGCGACACGCTTCTCAAGAACGCAGCTAAGCTTGCCCTTGGAGTCGACCTGAGCTCGGAATGTTGACATGCGGAAATCGTACTTGGCACCAATAGTAGTGACACCCTCCTTCTGGAGACCACCACCCATAAGACCACCGGCAGAAGGAACAAGACCGAGGCTCAGATCCACACCAGCCTGGACCTTGTCCGAGAGTCGTCGCCAGTAAGAGGTGTTAAGAGTACCCATAGCGGCTTGGAGCTGGGCGGTAGCGATCCAGTCGGCGGACTTGTAGCGGGCGGCGTAGGAGACAGCGCACTCGGGGCCCTGGGTGAGGGCAGGTCGCTGCCAGAGAGTCTCGAGACCGATGGCGAGCTTAGGAGTAACGGATTGGAGGTAGCTTCCGATCATGATACCAGTGAGACCACCCTCGAGGTAAGAGGGGTTGAGCATCTTGAGGGATGCGCTAAAATCGTTGCCGGTGTACTCGTGCTCGAACTGCGCCATATCCTGACCCCCGGGAGAGATGGATAGCTGAGACTTGGAGACAAACTTGTCTGACCATCGCCAGTTGAATCGTCCGGAAAGAGAGCCCTCGTTGTCAAGGTTTCCTTGGCAGAAGACCTGTTAGAGAATTAGCGACCTGCGACATGCAAGTATAGTTTAATAATAGCTACCTTGCCTGTTCCGTACATGGCAGCAAAGGTGTAAGGGTTGATGCGCTCGCCCATAGCAAACTGGTGAGAAACCTGGAACAGAGGAGCCATGCTGAAGATCTTGGTCAGATCGGCACGGATTCCGGTAAACATATAGTTGTTGAGGAAGACATCGCGCTGAACCTCCTTCGCAAGACTCTCGATAGTTCCGGGGTTGGAGAGGCCTAGCTTGGCCCTCCGCTCGTTAAACGAGTTGAGAACATCTCCCAAAGCACCAGCTAGGGGATTGCCCAAGAGAGCCGTCTTGACGGGTTCCAATGCGGCGGCGGAGGCCATTGTGAGTGAAGAGCACCGAAGCGAGGATGGATATGAGGTCGGAAGAGGAGCGAGCGGAGAAATGACCGACGACGATAACGTAGACGATCGGGCAATCGCAGCCAATATATCGAGGATGCAATTAATAAAATAAACAAGTAGAAGTTATTAAGATAACCTCAAATGCGATTAAAATTCCGAGGCCTCTAAACGCCAGGAACGTGATGACGAGCGTAGTTGGATGGAGATGGAGAATAATTTTCATCTGGCTTGGACAGCTCTCGGGTGGACAGCACAAGCCACACCAATGATGCCGAGTCGGCTGTGGCGTCGCTTTGCGTGTGACGAGTGTGTGGCGCTTGAACCAACGAGTGATGGTTACCCTATAGCTGAAGAACACAGCCCTGAAGCACTACCTCTAACTGGCACCCTGGACGTTGGTAGTATAAAGTACCCTGTACTTTTGCCTATCACCCTCTCCCAGGGCTTTGGGGCTCCGTTGCACTACTTTACACCGCATACCGCGGCATGACGTCCCTCTTAGCGAGTACAGATACCTCAGGTAGTACCTGCACCTGATCTCTCTATCCCCTCCCGTTCCGTCCTGTCTTCTACAACACCAACGATTGCTATTTTACTTTCGCATTGTTCTTCTCGCTCTCGTTTGCCTGATTCCTTTCCACATCAAACACAAAACCCAACGCTTGATCCAAGTCACCTTGTCGTTATAGCCAATACAAACGCCCAAATTCTTCCTCTTTCAACGTTTGACCCCGCCAACAACGACCAGGTTCTTTCTCGTACTTTCCTTGAGGCTCACCTCATCCTTGTAAAGCTTCATCACAGTCCACAGTCAGGACTGCCAAGGGCCTCATCAACGCCTGAGGCACGGGAGCCTACGTATTCTCGGCATTCGGGACCGACTGGACTATTATCATTTAAGTCATCAGAAACCTGAGACATCCGAAGCCACAGGTATACATTAACAGTGATCTTGATCGATCACCCAGTATCTCTGGTCCTTCGAACACAATCCTACTACTTGTCACTCAAATCCTATCATATCCAAAGTACCTTGTGGATACAAAACAAGATGGATACTCTTCTGTATGTGTTCTATTCTCTTTATCACTTGATATCATCCTCGGCTCCATGGTGGTCCTGTGATCTTATAGACATATTGGTACCGTACACATCATGAGTTTTAGGACCAATGAGTCTGAATGAGATGCGTTGGTTCATTGCAACTCTTTAAGTGTTTATCTTCAAAGTTTGGACGTGATAGAACTAACAGTGACAGAACCGCTGAGATTGCGGCAAATGCTCCTCGCTACCGCCGCAAGAGTTCAACTTTTATTGATGCTATCCACGATATTCCTCATGGCCAAGACTTGGCCCCGGCTCAGCTGTACAGCACCATGTCAGGCCGTCTATTTCACTCTGGCCGTATTGCCATTGTTATGGTTGGGCCGCCCGCACGTGGAAAAACGTACGTTCCTTTAGCCCAGTATTGTTCCGCACTAACAGGTCTACAGACATATTTGTGTCTCTATGGCTCGGTATCTGGGATGGCTTGGTGTTAAGTCTCGCATCTTTCATCTCGGTGACTATCGTCGAGCAACTGTTGGTCCCGATGGATCGATCCCTGATGACTACTTCTTTCCCAATGCATCGCCTGCCTCAGTCATTCTGCGCCAGAAAATCTTGAAGAAGTGCCGTGAGGATATCTACTCTTGGTTGAACCACGACAATGGACAAGTGGCCATCTACGACGCAGTCAATCCTACTGCAAATGGACGGCGCTCTCTTGCTAAGGAATTCGCTAAGCACGATGTTCAAGTAAGGAAACCCTCTGAACTCTCAGGCCTTAACAATGACTTACATAACAGACCCTCTTCATCGAATCATTTGTCGACGATGAACGCATCCTTAGAGAAAATGCAAGAAACGTCAAAATCTCGTCCCCAGACGTAAGTACTACTAGTTGTAATTGTTATTATGATTATTGAGAATGCAACTGACGTTTACAATAGTTCGCTGGTATGGAGCCTGACGAAGCCGCCAAACTATACCTTCAAAGGATCGAGATGAAGATTCCCGTGTTTGAAACCATGAACGAAAAGGAACTCAACTACATCAAAATGATCAACGCAGGAACCAAATTCTTCTACAACAATGTCAGCTTTAACTACCTCGCACATCGAATTGTCTTCTACCTCACCAACCTGCACATCAAATCGCGAAAGACTTTCTTTGCCCGAGCTGGCACTACAGCAGAGGAGGACTCGTACAAGGCCGATGCTCCCTTGTCTCTTGAAGGGAGAGACTATGCTCAGAAAATGTCTGAGGCACTCTTGAAGCATCGTGAGCAAGAACGTCTAACGACCATTGCGGAAGGAGGAGCAGATGTACCTCTACCACCACTTACTGTCTGGACATCGACTCGTATGCGTACTGTACAGACTTCTGACGTCCTAAACGAGAAGGGCTACAAGGTCCGCCAACGATCACAACTCAGTCAGATAAACCCGGGCGTGTGTGAGAAGATGTCAGAACGCATGATTCGCCAGATCTACCCGGACGAGGTTGAGAAGCATGAGCTGGACCCTTACCATCACCGATATCCCCGTGCAGAGGTGAGTTTGACCCGGGACCTCATCTTACACTTGCATCAGTGATACTAATTACGGACAGTCATACCACGACCTTGCTGTTCGGCTAGAGCCCATCATTCTCGAGTTGGAGCGAGAACAGACAGATCTTCTCATCATTGCTCACGAATCTGTGCTGCGTGTTCTCTACGCCTACTTGATGCACTGCTCTACTACTGACATTCCAGTGATCAATTTCCCGCGTGATGAAATTATGGAGATCATCCCAGCGGCATATCAAAACGAGGCCAAGCGCATCCACATCCCTGGACTTGATCCTCAGATTGTACCGGGCTCTCCGCAGGACATCAAGATTCCTGTTCCAAGCAGTGGAATTGTGAGCGCACAATTATCCCCGATTCCTAGTGGTATCGGCACCCCAGCGGAGAATGTCGAGCGACCACCTGAGAAAGTCATCAACACAGCTAAGGATATGGTGGCAGACAAGGTGAACGACGAAGATTAGTCACTCGGAGGGATCTCAAAAAGGAACCATCTTCTTGGAATTACGAAATATCGGTTGCTTATCTATTTGCTTGTTCTCGCGATGAAGAACGTTACTACGCAGTCGAGGATATGACGTCGGAGGGGTGAACAGGCTGAATATCAAGACGTTACATGATCGATCACATGGTTTGGGCTGTTTATATTCCACGATAGGCACAATTGCTTTCTCAAATATACACGGTGATTCACCAAGTTAAGTTGTGAGCTCCCAACGGTATGGGGTCGATCTTTGTTTTGAGGCCTTCAGTTGTTGGGGTCGAGCGATATGTCAAATTGATCGACACCACGGGTTGTTAATTTCATCATAGCTTGAGTTGACGTTGTAGGATAGCCGCAAGCAACGTAGAAAGAGCCTATCATGGTCAGTATTGAGTACATGAATCATGGTATAGGGTAACCGTGACCTCGTTGATGTTACACAACAACACCAACCACTTAGGGTGAGACCGAACCATTTATTCCTGGCTAACGAGGATATGGACATGGAGTTAACCTGGAATGGGATATCCAACAGTTGATCGAGGTGCTGAAACAGGTACAGAGACTAGATGGACCGAGTGCGGATAAGTGCGAAGCACATGGCATTCGCCATTGTATTATTGTTAAAGATAATATTCCTAGGCTAAATATAACACACTGCCTTCATACGTTAGCCAGCCTTGAGGCAAAACAAGCACGCTAGATAGACCGCGTCAACACAGGCGTGGCAAGATATAACAAGCTTGACAGCAATCCGTCGAACCCTGTTACAGGGACTGGACTCGCATCGCAGCATCAGTCCTGCCCTAGCTGCCATGCTACAGTTACAGTCCGACCAAGGGATCGACTCGTGTCAATGGTAGCCAGGGTCTGGTTGCACAAAAGCACAACACAGCGGCCTCCCGATGCCTTGTACCTGGGGAACAGCCGGGGGCTTGGGATCAGAGGAGATGCAGGTCGCTGGATGGGGAAGCGGGTGCACAGGGGTCAGGGAGGGGACCGTGAGCCGTTTCTGTAGGACTGACGAGATGAGCGTTTTTTTTTTTTGGCTGGCTCAGGGTTTAATGTATGCTTATGTGGCCATGTGATGGATGGTTTGTTCCCTTATGACTGACAATGGTTGAGAGAGTGTATCACAACAGCAGATATGCTGCAACCATTTCCCAATCAGAGCTATATGACTAGCATCGTTGCTTGACTGATCAAGATGAAAACTGCAAGCGTCGATGGGCAGTTTGATCCCTTGTCAGATCATGAGCCATTGGAAACATTTGCTCCGGGGAGCCTGGGTAACGCTCCGGGCTGCAGTCATATATGACAGGCAGAACATCACTACCTATAGACAGCAATTAGTACGACATACCACATGAGGAGTTGCAGTACCCAATGAGTGAATATTTCGCATCAAATCAAATAACGCCCTTTGACTTCCGTTCTGCCTTTAATCTCCTCATGATTGCGGTATTGCCTGTAGTGAGGTATTGTGTTAGCGCTGCCTCTACCGAGTATTGAGAACCATGCTGTTATAGATAACTGGTTTGTGCAGAGTAATCAAACCTGAATGCTGAGGCAATGTTCTTAAGGCGATAATTCGATGTTGTTGGCTTGTTTCATGGACATACCAGCATAACAAGGACACTGTTTAAGACAAGGCAAGGTCCAGCTTTTCGGGTCGAGAGCTGCAAAAGGATGTACTCTTTCGTTGTCACCCCAAGGCCGTAATTAGTTACTGGCGGTTATAGAACTCCTCAACAAATCTACATTGGCTGAAATGGGCACATCGATATGTTGGTTTGACAGCCAGCAAGCCCACCATTTCACATTCTGAACGCCACGCGTAACAAGGCAGTTACCCTGTGATAAACCCCGATCAGACACCTCAAAAACAAATGACAAAAGCCCTGTGGCGGGCATGTAACCAAGCCTCGTCATGCCGGTCATAGATGGATCCCAAGATTCAGGTCTAAGCGTGATTGTTTGGCTACACTCGTCAGGGGTAGAAAGTCAGTTTACTGCGATATCTTCTTTCCGTAAGATAATTCTGTTTGTCCCGCTCAGGGACTTGATGTAATTCCTGTGTACTGTCCTCTGCGAGCACGATTTTAAAAGATCAATCGTTGGGTCGAGTCTTGCGTATAACGTTGGGTGAGATGTTCTATCTTCCGAGATAATCGAGCATTCAATATACCGTAACACGTACCACAAAGTAGACTGTGGCCGCCAAGAAGACAGAACAACCCATTTGAACTAAATAGGTAATCACCATCTCGTTGGTTTACTTGCAAGGTTGACATGAGGCACAGGGTGTCACGGATCTCTGCTGGGTTCGTGTCATGGATCGCCGGAGCCGACGAACAATCCCTGTTGAATTTTGAGAGGTAACAATGGTGGCGAGCACTCGAGTGATGCCATGAATGCCCCATGTTTGCCAAAAGCGAGAACAAATAACGTTCAACACTATGGCATGATTGAAATCGTACTCTCGATCCAGATAAGCCATAGGCATGTCATGCCCCCTAACGTAGCTGGACAAACAAGACCATTCTTAGCTGGGCTTGTAATGATGCATGGCGAATTATGAGGCTGAAAAGGATGTTGAAATTAGGCTGATACTGTTGCCCGTGCGTACTGTGTGTACGTCTAGGACTGATAGATGATAGTGGTACTAGAAACGTATTTGCACTGGAAGTCGTGAAACAAGTGCGTTAATAGGCATGGGCAGCAAACCTCAAGCGATGATGGCCAGAACAGGCGTGGCCAATGGTGAGGTATTGCATTATAGAGACGCAGATGTATATATCTTATCAACGATATGATGGGTATTGGAGTCATAATTGGTCTAGCAGACCTTGCATACTTCATGTAAGCCAAAGCAGGATGCTGAAACTCCCAAGGGTTTATGTCCACGAGCATGATATGTTAATTGCCCTGTAGTCTAATACCATCGCGAGCTCGTCTTGCAGCAGCTTTTTCAATCCTGTTTTTGGATTTGTGAAGTCAAGTCATGTCTTCCTTGTTAGTTTAGCTTGGATCTGCGAGCCACTTTAGCAAATTCAACGCTCACGGAACAATCCTAGTTGCCTTGTCTCAGGCCATCTACTGCAGTAACAATTCTAGGCTGGTTAGGTAGTTGAATCTTTAGCTCCACTCTAGCTATGTCAGGTGACACAGAATTGGAGATATCGCGGCTTCGAGACCCGGAGGTTTGGCGCCCAGCGACGCCTCCAAAGTCATGTTGACAAGCTTGGTGGCGTTGACACTGTTCTTCCAAGCTCGAGAGCCGCAGCCGGCAAGCGGAAGTTTGGCCTGGGCTTCCCGCTATCAAGTCATTCTCAGGCATGACCACCATAAGTTTTCAAGTCAAATCCCGACTTCAGGTAAGACGCTTCACGATGATTCGTGGCGGGTTTTGCAGGGTTTTGCGGAATTGCAACCTTCAGCCTGCCAATTGAGCCGCAAAGATGCTCATTGATCTCAACATCCCACAACCTCATTGTTTGTGCTGCTTTGAATTCGGTTCTTGTTGGTTGGTTCCTGATCGTGGAAAGGATGGAAGGACTTCAACTTCAGTTTGACAAATTTAGTGATTGGTCAACTCACTATCAGAGACCCCTTTTCCCCTCTTGCTGATTAGATGGGTCTTAGACTTTTCATGAACTTAAAGTCGGCCATGGTCGTTAGCGTTGCATACGAGGGGTCTCATGACCATCTGCATTCCGCCAAAGCCTGCCTACCTAAGCCTAAGATGACTACCCACCACCTGGGAAGCTCACTTTCAGCTTCCGCGACTGGTCTGCAGCCGCTTGTCGCCTCTGTGGCCAATGCTGCTCCAAGTGAAGTGGAGGCGGTGCCAGGGGCTTTGGTCAACTGCAGCCTCTAAGTCTTAGAGTTGGTTGGCGGCATTGAAGCCCTTCGGGTTTATGAGACGAGTTTCGTCAGGGCCGCAGACCGTGGCCGCATCGGCGACTTTCACCTGTCATGGCAGAACGGTGTCCATCCCGTCTGTGCAAGTTCTGTCGTCCGTTCTGACACATTTGGTTTGTAAACCCAACCCACCGGCAGACAATCCTTCGGTACTGTAGGTATCCTTACCGTAGTTCATTTGAAGATGACGTCCTCAGGGTGACGTCTAGCGCCATCATTGGCTACAGCCAGATCACTCACTGTTGGCGTCGACACTTAGTTATTCTGTATCCACATCGAGCACCATGATCATGCCTCGACACCATCGACAGCCAACCACCACATGCGGCTGATGACCCTAGAGTTCCTGAAGGACGGTAGCACTGAAACCAAAATATGCGAGGGCAAACTGGTATCCATGTCATGTGCATATAATATTTGAATATTATCCGAGTGTAGTATCAATGCTCGCTTGCAAGCCCGATCGATGACCCATTAGTTGACCTTGATGTTGGACAGATTTCGATATCCTGTGGAGGAGCAATTAGGGCACAGCAATTACAATAGCTAGTATTGAACGTACCGTTCCATTGGACACAGTCTGGATCTTGAATGCAAAGCTTCAGACGTCAGGGATCCACCCAGCCTCGCCGTGCCACAGCCCCGCAGGGGCATGTGCTCTGTCTGAAGCGGCCATCGTCATCTCGACTTCTGCATCAGGTGGGAACCAGCTATGGAAGAAACCCGGTCAATTTGGACCAATCTGACCGCCAGCAGAGACACAGGGGTCGGTCTTTACTCTCCTCTGCCCAACATACCCCTTGTCGTCAACGTTACTGTTTGATCGATAAGTTGAAAGCTGGTAATTAACATCTGGACCGTCCAAAGATCGAGGTAATCCCTGAAGGTGTGTTACCGATGTAGCTATGATTGAGCTACTAGCTCACCGAACCATCTTCGTTCAGCAAGTAGATGTCTCGTCAAGCTTGTTGGGGGTTGTTAACTCTCATCGGCACCATCGAGAAGTCGCTGCTTCAGCTTGGTTATACGTAGCTGAGAGACAACAAGGCGATTCGAAACAAATAAGGTAATGTTAGTTGAGTGAGGTGAAGTGAGGCATGATATTTTCTTGCTGATGTTGATCCCAAAATGGCCCGACTCCAATATTCAGTGTACCATGTGAAGCAGAGTGGTGATTAGAGGAAGGGTCTAATACTTATATGTTGAATAGTGAATAGTTTGTTTTGAGGCTCAGCTCTTGTGAGGCTCTCGATGAACAGAAGCCGAAATGTGTTGTTCTAATTCCACTCCATCGCCTGCGTTGTCTAGTTCTGTGTTGTTGAAGACAACCATGTGGCTTTTCGGGATATCATGCATTGGTGCCAGCAAATGGTCAGTGCTTCATTACCGAGCCCACCAGGGGACCCAGGTCGGGTGTGATGGGTGGTACGTATATCCCTAGCTGTGCGTGTACTTCTCTTTCTGGCAGAACTGTAGATCATTTTGTGCCTTGGTTGATCACCTGCTTATTGCGTTGTTAATGTTGATAAAATGATCTTGCAAATCCAGTTCGTTGGTTATGTTTGACATCGAAGCTGACAAAGCCAGCCATAAATTCCCTGAACATCTTTGTTAGTTCAATTGGTTGAGATTCGTGATTCTGCTTGAGATACTGTCGGTTGGATTGACAAGTGTGGTTGAATCAGTTGATGGGTCTCACGCAGTACAGAGTTTGTGGTTTATGATCTGAAGTGATCGCATCCTTCCGTCTTACGTTGGCCTCTTACTCTTAATGCTCAGGTAGGAACCATATATTCCTCCCTCATATTTATTGATTCACCTACGAGGAACGGTCCTTCCTCAATTATATATCATGCAAGTCCGCACTCGTCTTGGACGGAAATTTTCAAGGGCTGAGACTGCCTGTCATGCGAGTGCGCCAATACGCCTGAGGCAGGTACGGTTGTCGAGCGGTAGTGTCCATGCGTTTGGTGGGCTGCTCACCAGGAACAGGAAGCGAACATTAAATATGGTAGGTAGGTACCTACTAACATATATCTCTGGAGATTGGGTACTAATCTATCATGATTCAATGTCAAAGGTGAGCTATATACGGGTATGCAGACAACAATTCCTCAACATGAAAGTCTTGATGAGCGTAGCCATTCCCTGTCGGATTCATCAAACCCTACATACCTGCATAGGTACCTTACTCTTACCCTGAGGCATCTGATTAGCATCCACTGGCGCCTCACCTGCTTTGCTCTTGTAAGGTATCCGTAGTGCTGCACGACAAGGTAGACATCTCGCCTGCCGGCCTTTAGCGCCTGGGTACCTTGCCTCCCTTCCAATTAGTCCTCCGTACCCGTCTCGAGATGGGCACATGAGCAAGCCCAACGATGTGGGTCCTCCCTGAATGGGCGTCGAGTTGCTCACGGGACATTGGTAGATTAGCAACCAATTGCTTCGGCCTTGATGTCCATTGTTATGTGAATGACTTGATTCCGCCATCCTAAATAAAGCTATTCTCAGCATATAGTAACTGCACTCGTCCAGACGCCCGTGTCGCGAAGCTATTCGTCGACGAAACTGGATGTGAAAGTAAGTGAAGTGCTTGTTGAAGCTTCTCATTACCTCTGTGAAGCTGTCTTGGGAGTCTTGACAAACCGACCCTCTCCTCTGCTCCCTACCTAAAGCACCCAAGCAAATGAAGCCTCACACTGCCATTCTTCGTATTCCTCACGATTCAAGGCCCCTGTCGTGAACAACCTGCAGCTTTCGCTTCGTTCCTTGTCCAAAAAAAAAAAACCTACATTGTATCAATGGTGCCCAGCAATATTGCTGATTGCTATTGCTGTTGCTGTCAGGCCCTCTGTTCCCAGCTGTGGTTTTAACCCCTCACCCACCAGTCATCAATAAAGAATTCCCCTCCTTTCCCAAAGCACTTTACTCCATGTCGCTCAACATAAACAATAATCAACTAGTCGGTGGCCCAAGCTAACAAAAGCCGTTCTTTCTCCCCAACTCTAGGTTGTCTTTTTCGTTGACGTCTGCCTCTACCCATGCCCATGCCTCTCTACCCATGCCGTCACTCTGTGTCCGTTGATTAAGCAGAAGACAGCCCCGCATAACTGCCCCCGTGCACTCGTTCTAGCACCACCTTCAGGTCCCGCCGCAGCACAGGTAAAGGTACCCAACTCAAAAGGTACCGCCTGAGACACTGTTTTTTCGGTGGCATCCCAGGTCTCTAGGTTCATACAAGCTTGACTTTGGCCAGTAGCCAGTAGCCAGCGGCCAGAACCTCACACCCAAGCCCCGGGCCATTTATTAGAACCGCTTCTCAGCCCAGCAAAGAGCTCAGCAACATCAGAGAGAAGAGGCTCAGTCCAGCCCCAGCTCAGCTCATTCCACTAGACGTCAAAAACATTCCTCTTCTGCCATCATCTTTGATTGACCTCATACACTGTCCCTGGCATGCATTAAACTCGAGGGCTTTCAGACTCTCTAACTACAGTACCAGTACCAGCTATAAGAATTTCCGTTCTAGGCCCCATCGCATCGCATTGCATCCCGGCATCCTACGTCGCTTCTGTTCGTTCGAGCCGTTTCCCCAACCTGCCCGTCTGCTGTGCTCATCCAGACTTCGACGCCGTTTTCTGCAAACCTTCGACAAGCTCAAACACCTAGAAACAACCTTACGTTGTGGCTACCTAGGTACCTTATATTTCCTTCCTCACCGTACCGTTTACGACATAGAAGCAAGCATCTCAGACTTGCTCCATCTGTGACCCTGCTACAGTACCTACCCGCTGCACCACCACACACGCCGCCAGAAGTACATTACTGCACCGCACCCGATTACACTCACATGAACACAATACATACCCAGCAACCACAAATACCCTGCTTTGCCTCGTGTTCAGTCACCTTGATTACGTCTCTGTCTTCTCCAACGACCAGAAAAAGGAACTTGTCACTCCGTTCCCTAGTTTAAATCTGACGCATCTCACGATTGTTCAGTGCTAGCAGTTGCGACTAGATCTTGAGGTCACCAGCACGACTACGACTACTAACGACCTTACGCAGCATCGTCATCATCACTTGTTTCCGCCTCTACTACAGTAAGTTAATAGGTTTCATCTCAATTATTCTACCAGCCCTAGTCAACCATCATCTGCCTATCCCTTAATTCCTTTCATCTGCATATTTTACTCCATCACCATCACTTTTGTATCGTCTTTCTGTTCATCCTATTGTTTTTGGCGTTTGACCACATTCTGTCGATGGGCTGTCACGAGCGTGCTCCATCCACCCAGCACCCCGCCCCTTCAGACCCGCCTAGGTGGTGCCAGCCTCCATGCCCGCACTCCCTAGAACACTCCCCTAGCACCGAGCACACACGCCTGGTCCTGGATTCTGAGGTTTCGAGGCCTGCTGAATTAAAGCGTTTCTCCATCGAAATTGAGAACGTTGTTCGCCAGCCTCTTTTGAACCAAGGTCAACGACACTGGACAGTGACTGCAGTGCCTCCACTGCGTGTCCCTGGCATACAGACGTCGACAGCCCCAAGTGCAGAACCAGACGAAACAGAAGAGGAAGGGGGAAAAAAAAGAAAAAAAGGAAAAATAAAACCTACCCAAACAAATCCATGCTGCTGAATGCGTGTGCAGCATTGACTAGGTAGCGCATCTTGCATCCTGCCGCACTCACTCACGCACGTTGGGACTCAGATCCGTCAAGTCAACCTCTTCGCTCTTCCTCCCTCTCTGCCTTGGTCGTTGCTTCAGACAAAATCGACCAATTTGGGCTGCGATCAGTCAGCAAAATCCGCCTTTTCTTTTGGCCTTGGGAGACAGACGAGAGAGACCTGGACCTGAACCTGACCCAACCTAACACGGACTGCCTGTCCTTCACCTACGTCGCCACCTTTGGTTCGCTCTACCTACTACCTACTACCTTTTACCTCTACCTCTCCTCAATTAGTACCTCGATCTATCTTTAGGCCCTGCCCCCCCGGTGTCCTTTTTCCCTCGTTACCAACAGCTTTTTATACCCCGTCCCTTGCCCACTTTCTCGCACCCACCGTTCCCTTTCCTCCCCTCCCTTCCCCTCTGCCCCGCCCCCCCTCCAGCCTGTCCCGTGCCACCAAAAACACCACCGACTCTCCCCCTCGGTTTTCTCTTTGTTTCCCCAGATACCCTTGGCTTTGCCAGTTCTATGCGCATCGTCCCTGTTGTTGCCATCGACTCACAGAAACTCTATAGTCTACTCGGACAGACTGCAACGGTTTTTACCAGCCAGAAACCCTCCAGTTGACAAGCTTTGCGTGCAGAAATAACCTCACGAGCCGCCCCTCTGCGCCCGTGCCGACACCCTGCTCGACCGAGACATTACTTGCCCATCGTCATTCAAGTGTTCTACACTTGTCTATTGCGCGAATCTAGCTCTTCGCTGAAGAAGCATCATCATTCAAGCTTTTGCTTCCCGCCCAGCATCAATTCAACTACCCCAACAGCATCGGCTCGTTCTCTTTGCCCGCCACGGCGCTCATCCAATAGCTCTCCGCATTTCTCATTCATTCAAACGTCCAGGCGACTTTGCCCCATTTTGCTCGCGCTTGCGCCTTGAATAAGAATTAAACATTCAAACAATGTCGGCTCATCGGCCAAACGCTTTCAACAGCCTCCGGATGGGAGGTCAGTATTATATTCCCGCCATTGGGCTTGAATGCTTGGGTCTGGTTTGAGGTGACTGAACTGACACAATTGCAGAGGTGATCCGCGAGAAGGTCCAAGATGGAGTCACCGGTGAGACTAGGGACTTGCAATATACCCAGTGCAAGATTGTTGGAAACGGCTCCTTCGGTGTTGTTTTCCAGACCAAGCTGTCTCCATCGGGAGAGGATGCTGCCATCAAGCGTGTTCTCCAGGACAAGAGGTTCAAGGTACGCGATATCAACCCAGCACTACTGTGGACTACCATCTGACCTCGCATAGAACCGTGAACTCCAAATTATGCGTATTGTCCGCCATCCCAACATTGTCCAGCTCAAGGCCTTCTATTACTCCAATGGCGAACGTGTATGGAACCTCGCTCATCCAGTTATTGTTCTTTCCCCCGCTAATTCCCTCACAGAAAGATGAGGTCTACTTGAACCTGGTACAAGAATTTGTGCCCGAGACCGTCTACCGAGCCTCTCGATTTTTCAACAAGATGAAGACCACCATGCCCATTCTCGAGGTCAAGCTGTACATTTACCAGCTGTTCAGAGCTTTGGCATACATCCACTCCCAAGGCATCTGTCACCGAGACATTAAGCCTCAGAACCTTCTTCTAGACCCCAACAGCGGTATTCTCAAGCTCTGCGATTTCGGAAGTGCCAAGATCCTCGTTCCCAATGAGCCCAACGTCTCATACATCTGTTCTCGCTACTACCGCGCACCCGAACTTATTTTCGGTGCAACGAACTATACCACGAAGATTGGTAAGCCTCTTGGACTTAACGTTTGGTTCAAAACTTTTTGCTAACTTGCGTTAGATGTCTGGTCTACTGGTTGTGTGATGGCTGAACTGATGCTCGGTCAACCCCTCTTCCCCGGTGAGTCGGGCATTGACCAGCTCGTTGAGATTATCAAGGTCTTGGGCACACCTACTCGGGAGCAAATTCGAACCATGAACCCAAACTATATGGAGCACAAGTTCCCTCAAATTAAGCCCCACCCCTTCAACAAGGTCTTCCGAAAGGCGGACGCCAATGCTATTGACCTTATCGCCCGCCTGCTCGAGTACACCCCAACTGAGAGACAATCGGCCATTGATGCCATGGTTCATCCCTTCTTCGACGAGCTTCGGGAACCTGGTACCAAACTTCCTGATTCGCGACATGGCACTGGCCAGCTTCGCGAACTTCCCGCCCTCTTCGATTTCACCCGTCACGGTATGTCAACCCTTGTGATAAATCAGATAGGCAAGTTTACTAACAATTCAATAGAACTCTCGATTGCCCCAAGCCTAAACTCTAAGCTTGTCCCAGCACACATTCGTCCTGTTCTGGCATCACAAGGCCTTGATATCGACCACTTCACACCCTTGACGGAGCAGGAGATGATGGCAAAACTCGATTGAGCCCGTTTCGCGTCGAGGCAACGGGTAGTCGGCATGAGCTTGTGTCCTTCTCAGGCTCTCAGTGGCCCTGGAAGAAGCCATCCTCGTCCACTGCCAGTGCCAAGCTAAGCTAACGTGGTTGGGAGCAACAGCCCAGACGAACGCCAGGTCGGATGGCGAGCAGGCGCTACATGATCCTGAAGCTAATAGCGTCGGTCTTTAATATAAGCCACGGTGTACAGGCGTCGAGGGCCAGCTGAGAAGGCTTGTGTTTTCAGGCGAGCGTTGGAGTCTTTCCCGGCAGGGAGGGGATTGGGCGTTGTGCGTGCCCTTATATGAATCCGCTCTCAGTTTTGCCTTAAGGCTAGTCGCGACGGGGGATGACACCATTGATGCATATAACAGGGAATCACGTTTTTAGACCACGTTTCGATGCATGACGGATAATGGCCGGTGCTTCTTTTTCATTGTATGCGTCTCAAAGGAGGAACCCAGTGCTACAGCTACGGCCATGGCTATGGTTGACTTTGGGAATGGCGAGGATAACATTTGTTGAATTCTTCTTTTTGGTACCGCGTTCTGGCTTTGCCATGGTAGTTCGGAGGGTTCCGATCCTGATGTTGGTTGGAGGCGTCGGAGGTCAAAAGGTTTGGCCAGGCTTGGCCTGCGGAGGAACAGCCCGGCACCCGATATTGTTCTCGATGCTGCAACGAAATTATCAATTGAAGCTGGCCACGGATGGCCCTGTGGCATTTTACTCTCGCTTTCCCGAAGACGTTTAGGGGTTTGGCATTATTTGGTCTAGTCGTCGATGGTCCAAGACGAGATAAAAAATAAGGGACTGGTTACGAATTGCAAATAAAAGGCAGAAGAATGAATGACGCGATGCATTGAAGCATGTTGGGAGGGATTGATATCTCTGAAAAGCAGAGAGCTTTCTACGTCTAGACTTTGAAACACGCAAGTTGATCAAATTTACACGTTTGTCTATTACGCTTGATGCGATGCTTCTGTTGTAAATAATGATGGATTGATGCTGAGATGCTTGAGACTAGGATGTAGCCATCAACAGGCTTCAGTTTACTCTGTCCTTAGCTCTTGACAGTCTTAAACTATCCAACTTGAGTATTGAGCATCAGCCAAATCATTTAATTATCCTGGTAAATGGAAGCTGGAACGTACTGGTTAAAGGACTACCTTAGTACCTAGTGCAGCATCTGAAATTGTACGAGCTGTTGTTATAAAACTGAGTATATCGCCATAAATATAGTGAAGAATCAAGTAAAAGATCTTCATACTATGATTAATCAAGACTTTTTCCTTCACAGGATCTCAATTCTCAACTCATAGCAACGACTTTCTATCATCTCTTAAACTTGAATGTCAGGTCTATGCTTGGCCTTGATGCCTCAGGCATTAATCAACATACAGCTCAGGTGTTAGCGTGTTAGCCTCGCGATACTTTTCATTTGTACTGTCGCATTCTCCAATCCGAAGCTAGTTCATGCACCTCAACTAAACTAAACTACACTCGCTTCATGTAGTGGAGGTGCCTTTTCCCGAGCTTTTAGCAGTGACGCAGCCTCGTACTTTTACATTCTTGCATCGCAAACTTTCACCTCTCATCAATACCGATCATCATTGACACACGCCGAGTTGTCACATTGCCAAGGACGACAAGCGCATCATGGCCGACTACGATAGACGACCCCAAGGAGGGCATCGCAAGCGAAGATATCGAGGTGAGTTGACCTGAGCTAGGATAAGCTCCTGTACGCGACGTTGTCGCGTGGCCTTTGATGCATTTTCTGATGCTTCATTATCCAGATGACGAGGACCATTACGATCGCCGAAACCAGCGACGACGAGTTGATTCGGCACCTCTCCCTGTGCGCGTCCGACGACAGCTTCTCAGCATCGCTGACTCCCCTTTGCGCCGATGGGCCGAAGAGGTTCAATCCATTGCGCATATGGTGGCCGAGAATCACGACGACGAAAACCTTCGCAGAACATTCCTCGAGCTGGTAACACAGCTTTTGCTCGAGCAGCCCCTCAAGACTCCCTTCGTCGCCGCTGTCGTTCTTGTCATCAACACTCTGAAGCCCGAATTCGTCGATGAGATCCTCACAAGCATCGCGCAAATTACGACGGACAAAATCGCGACTGGCGAATGGCGTGACGTAAAGCTACTGCTCAAGTTTTTGGCCTGTCTGCAGTCTTTGCTTGAGGGAGATGGCCTCTTCCCGCTTTTGGAGGAGCTTTTCAGCCGAGCTGCGGACCTTCAGACAGCCAGTTCAGATGACGTGAGTTCGATAAATCTGGAATTTGATTCTAAATACTAACCGTAGGCAGACCATTGGTACAGAGATTGTTAAGATTCTTCTCCTTACTATTCCCTATATTATGGTGTCAGCCCCAGGACAATTCCAGCAAAAGGCGGCTGAATTGATGGAGAAGACCGATATTATTGCTTCAGAACCCCATGCACTTCAGGCTCTTGTCGACCCTTATCATCCCGAGGGCAAGGAAGAGAGTCCCGGAACATCACTAAGCGTGTGCATGTTGCTTCAGAAGCAGCTCCAGGGTGAAGCAGCCAAGAATTGGGAGCTTTCATGTTTACCTCGCCCTTGGGAGATGCCTTTAGAAGATATTGAGGCACAGGACAAGCTCTCAAGTGCGCCTAAGCATGCACTTCCCGCTATTGCTATCCCTGCGACTGTCATTGCAGGACCCAGACCCCTATTTCCCGAGATCTACTTCTCTGTATACTCCGAACAGGAGATGCCTTCAGTGCCTGCGGTCACCGACATTGCTGCATCGCTTATTCGAGACGGTCTACTCGATACCATCAACATCTTGGATTTCAACCGTAACGTGACGGCTCGTTACTTGATGGATCTGGACTGCTACTTTGCTGAAGGCACCTTTGTCAAACGGGCTACACCTTTTGACGAGCTGAAGAATTTCCCTACCGGAAAGAACACATGGAAGCCCGAGGATGTCGCGGTTGATACTGTGTTCTCGCAACTCTTCCAACTTCCCACGCCCGAGCGAAAGGTTGTGTACTACCACTCTGTTCTTACTGAAGCCTGCAAACTGGCACCAGCAGCCATCGCGCCTAGCTTGGGTAGGGCTATACGATATCTCTACCGCAACAGCCCGCGAATGGATCTTGAGCTGAGCTACCGATTCATGGATTGGTTCTCACACCATCTCAGCAATTTCGGGTTTACCTGGAAGTGGGCTGAATGGATAGATGATGCCCAGCTACCTGATTTTAACCCCAGCAAGTGGTTCCTGAAGGGAGCACTTGACAAGGAAGTGCGACTCAGCTTTGCCCAGAGAATCCAGAAGACTCTCCCTGAGCCTTACCTACCTATCGTCGGCCCTGAGAAGGAGAAGGATGTTCCTGATTTCAAGTTCAAGGACCCTGGTATGTATTTCATTCTATTTCTAAGCACTAGCGACTAACGATGGTTCTAGATACCCCTTTCTCCAAGGAAGGACAGGAAATTGCAGCTCTCTTGAGACGAAAAGCTCCAGATGAGGAGTTCCAACCCCTTATCGAGAGTATTCAGTCCCAAGCCTCGGATCATTCCTTGGACCCTCTGGTTGCTAGCACAGACGTGTTCGTGACCGCCATCTGCTGGGTCGGCTCCAAGTCGCTGAGCCATGTTCTTGCCTGCATTGACCGAACCAAGGGCAGACTACTTGAAGCTGGCGATGCTTCGGAGGTCGCGCGTGCTCAGATTATTTCTGCTGTTATGAGCTATTGGCACGCGCACCCTGGCATTGCCCTCTCTATCATCGAGAAGCTCCTCAACTACTCGATCCTGACTCCCTTTACTGTCGTAGACTGGGCTCTTGTTGCCAGCACACCGGCAAACGGCACCGACGGAGGCGCAAGCCTCGCTGAGCCTCACATCTTCGAGCTCATCAAGAACACGGTCGTCAAGGTTTCAACCCGCAGCCGGCCGGTCATTACGTCCCCCGACACCGATGAGGAGACACGCACCAAGGAGATGAAGACGACCCAGGATCTCTTCCGCGCTATGAACGACGCTCTTGTCAGCTGGGCCGGTGGAAGTAAGGACGAGCTAATGGAGGAGGGCGACGGATCAAGTGATCGCGAGGCCATGGTTCGCCGTTGGGGACAGCGCTGGCTGCGTGTCTTCAACAGAATGGGCGCCATTGAAGAGGCGTTTGCGCTTGAGGTTGCTAAGAATGTAGGCAAGGACAAGATGGCTACGGACGGAGCAGAAAACTAGAGGACCCAACTGCAAGGTTTCGGAGCCAGACCGTGGTGAGATGCGGCATGTATAGTAGAAAGGGGTATGGGCTAAAAATGAGCTTACCAGGAGTGTTATTTTGAGAGCTCAAGGTCACGGAATCCGAGGCGATATTAAATAATCAGGTTCATAATCTCCTAAGATGGGTGTTGTGCTTTGGTGCACGGGTTTGTTATTGAAATGGGCTATTTAGAAGACAAGAACCCAAGACAGATTGCTAGCATATTTTATGATAAAAGACGAAATGTCGCATCTCAGCCATCTATCGACAGTCAGTTTGTCGTTAAGCAAGTGTTATATATCAGTAGAAAGACTCTTGGTCTTGGAAGACAGGGCAATGGGATGACCGGATCGCCGCTTACAACAATATACGCTGCTATCGCACATGTCTTGCCCTTATTTTACCATACATATTGTTTGATTATTGCGTAGTAATTCGGCCACTGTTATCCCTGGTGCATAATTCGCGCCATCCAGTGGTGTGTGTACATGGGTGATATCATTCATACATAACTCGTGACGGGGCCGATCCATAGCTAGTGTACACTCTCTATCATGTATATTATGGTATCGTCGGCAAGTGATACCGCCTGGCCTGATTTGAATCATGCTCAAAATACCAAGTTGCCTACCAAAACCATTAGGCACATATTTCAACAAGGCCACGCCTTGGAATGCCTGGGTATCATTCCGTCCCCGACATAGAAAATAGGCCTGTTAGTGGGGTAGAGGATATCAGAGAGCTAAGACAGTGCTCTACAATTTCGTCAAACAAGAAGATTTCGTTTGATACGCTGGGGTAATGTGACGTTGTCAAGCACAAGCTGCTCGGTAGCCTGTGATTTTTCACCCAAACTCTTGAGCTTTTCCATAAGGTGTCTATCATCATAAAGTTAGCTTATCGATGTTATCTGACACAGGGTGAGGGCGTCTTCGAAACCCATCGACCATCGACCTGAAATTGGGTTTGGTAACAGGTCTCGAAGTTTTTCTGGGCGACGGTGTAGGCGTCTGGGGTTGATAAATGTGCAAGGCGACGGGACTGTTGGCCACAGTGGGAGTTGAAGCAGCAGTACCGATCGCTTCACGAACAGGTAGTGGAGTTCTTGGGGTGGCAGAGGCGTAAGGGGTGTGCAGTTCGACAAGAATAAGAAAAGGAGGAAAATATGCATACTTTAAGTTAACATCCCCGCGTGAAGCCTCTGTCATTGCGAGATTCACACGGTCCATTTGCTGCTCATGCTCGTTGAAATGACTCCTGATGCGGCTTCGGCAATCTCGAATGTCGCCACCGCGGACCACAAACCCGCAGTCTTCTTCTTCACAGACCCAAGTCTCATCTGGGCCACGTGGGATAGTTGTTGGAATATTGTCTGCCCTTAGGAAAATCTTGATAGGCTCCTTGGAGGTTCCGCCAGATGTTTCAATCCCAGACAAACTCTGGTGGTCATCCTTCTCCATGGCGTCGTCCTCGCCGGAAAAGTAATGTGACTTCTTGGGCTCTGTCTCTTCTTCCTCAGACTCACTGTCGACATCAGAGTGATGTCGCTTCTTCGAAGCGGTTGCTAAACGAAGGCTTGACTTGACACCAGATGGACGACCAGGCCTCCTGAGGCTCTTACCGGCTGGCGAGGAGTATGTAGGACTGGAGAAGTCGTCATCGAGGTTCATCGGGGTCACTTCAGTTTGCTGGATGAGTGTCGGTTGCGATGGTTTGGCGGATCGCTTCCGTGGTATAAGATGGAATGGGAACTTTGTGGGCTCCATGGCGACGGGGTCGAATGGTTTTTGGGAGACCTCTTCTAACCATGAGTAGAACCCGGGTTCAGAACCGTGGTATTTCTCTTTGTCGATGACCTGGAGAAGGGCACGAGCGTTGTAGTGAAGGACTTCCTTGACTGGAATTGCGTGAGATGCTGTTTGGCTACTTTTGTAACCGGGAAAGCTGTAGGCAAAATAGAGCCCATTGATGACAATAGATTCAGTCAAGCCATTTTTGCTTGACTTGCTGCTAATCTCCTCACGAACCCGCTCGAGAGCATTCAATACACTCTGAAAGGGAGTTTCGTTACCAGCGTTTGCTGAGCCAGGTGCATCACTCGCGAGAGGAGCGACAGATGGAGTACTTGCTGAGGACTGCACACTGGTAGGTCTCGGAACTACTGATACATCCCTCGAGGGCTGAGAAGAACTGGCTGAGTCAAGAACTTCATCGTCGAGCCTCTGAGTAGTAGACCGTGACCTAGATGCTCGTTGTGGAGGAGGGCTGTCCTCAAGCTGGGTGATTTCTGGAGTAGCGTTGCTACGGATAGTAGAAGGAGCCAAAGAACCGTTGCGGGTTCGTGAAGGTAGTATTTGCGATGCCTGGGAGTCACGAGCCTCGACGGAGGGGGACCGTAGAGGTTTGGCAGGTTTACTCAGACGATCTACCTCTTTGTTATAGATTTCCTAGAGGCTGGGTTAGTTTGATGTGCCTACAAAGAGGACGCTCCCTCACTCACAGGGTGTCTGTCGATCAGCCATTTGAAGAAAGGGGTATTAGGCCAATGAACCTCATCAAGGTCCTGGAGGCACTGTGAAATCAAGAAAGATGCATGTTCATCGCATCTGTTCTTGACTGCCGCAAGAGTCGAGCCGTCTCCGATATGGGTAGCGTACTTGAGCAGAGTTAGTTATGTCGCAAACCTCCCATAGTGGCCATCTATACAAACCTGATGGAACACATGGTACAGATCCTTCTGAATGTCCTTCTTGCTCTTCTTGGCTTTGCCCGGTCGCTTCCGTGAGTAGATGTCCAGGAGACGATAATAGAGTAGCACAGCCTCTCGCATCTTCTTGTAGATGGGGGTGTAGGCTGGTGAAGGGGTGATCTCGTAGAAAGCGCATGTGCCCTGAACCCAGATAATGGGTACGTTTTGTGCGTTTTCTCCGATAGAGTACATATCGCATTTCTTAACTTCCAAAGGCGTCGATGAACCCACTCGTGTAATAACTATGAGTTGCGGTTAGACATGATGAATGTATTTATATATGGTATTTAAAGCTTGGGGGACCAACGATGATGTTTCTGATCAGGATCGATCATCAGAGTGCCACGGATGGTGTAGGGGCCTCGACTCGCCACATCGAGAGCATTCTCAAGGGTGTGTCCGTCCTTGTTGAGGACTACAGCGTCTCTGAGCTCGAAGCACTTTTCTGGGTCTATAGGACCGGGCTCGTATCGTATGACGGATTTCTCTTGGCGCCACGAGACTCGATTATTGTCTACCGTATCGACACTAGACGTAGACGCCCGGCGAGGGCGCCCGACCATGTTTGTAAGTTTCAAGCTCGAAGAGAGCTCATCGACAAAGGGTAGCGTTCGTTGCTTGTTGATCAAAAGTTGGTTGGGATATTCAGCGGAGGCGCAATAGAGGATAAGCTGGCGAAGGTGGAAGAGTTGTTTGCGAGGGTGAAGAAGGCGAAGAAGGCGAAGAAGGCGAAGAAGGCGAAGAAGACGTTGGAAGAAGGTCTATTTTCTGGTATGCTTCGCTGCGGAGAAGAGAAGAACTTCGGGTGCTGCGAAAATAATATTGAGTTGGGTGTTTGCACGAGGTTGTGAATAGGTGCATGAATGACAGAGTGCCACCATCGAATGGTTCACCTGCAGACCAGTAAAGCCAGGCGCAAACGCGGTCGCGCTGGGGAAATGTGATTCATGGGCCGGGGAGGACATGGCGGGGCAGTGGCCACTGAAAGGGTCCTAAATCAACAGGGGCACCCGCAGTGCAAGGGTTCTGTGACCCACTGTAACGCGCTCCCTAAAGTGCCAGCGCTCCAATCAACTAATCCAGATAACGACAGAAACCTTGACAGATTTATCCGACCGCTTCAACTAATTCCTGGGAACTTCATGAGAAAACTCTCCATTCGTTGCCAGTTCATGATGAAGTCTGAGAAATATAGAGCAGATACTAATTTGGTAATGGGAAATAGATATAGAAGATTTGACTCGAACCTTGTGATCTTATAAATATCATAATCGTGTCATATTTCCTAAAGTATATCGTTTGTCCTGGCGAATACTGCCCGCTTTTTATTGTAAATTGATTGCCTCTAAAGTTAGTTTTAGCGGGGAAGGCTATTGATAAGACTTTTTTTCTTCTCGAGAATGAATCGAGCGGGAAGATCCTACTCCTGGTCGCATTCGTAGTGGCGGGTGCTGAATGGTTTCTTTTTAATAAGCTCCACCAACGTCCCAATCTTTACTCACTTTTCCCTTCCCTCTCGTCTTCCTTGCCATATTCTAATACTCGGGAGCGCTCGCATGCGATTTCCCTCAAAGGTATTCAGGATGGCCACGGACACTCTCCGGGAAGGCGTCTTTGGTACGTGAACTTGATCTGCTTGCTGACTTTGACTCGGCTGCGAACTTTGCTCCGCTCTATTCTCTTTCCCTGTGTTAACATGGTTGCTTCCCTTTAGCCATCAACAAGCCTTGCGGTCAGAGCTCGGCGCAAGTTATTCGCGAATGCCAGCAAGCTTTCAACCCCTCGCAGTTCTTCAAGCCATTGATCGATTCTGAGGTCGCAAAGCGCATGAATGAGTCCGGCCAGCAATTCGCCCGTCGCAAGCTGTTGAAGAAAGCTTCCCAGGTCAAGATTGGCCATGGCGGAACCCTTGACCCTCTCGCGACCGGAGTTCTCATCCTGGGCATAGGATCTGCTACCAAGGCTTTGCCTCAATTCCTCGAGTGCACAAAGACGTACGAGACCATTATTGTGTTTGGCGCCGCTACCGACACCTACGACCGAGTTGGTCGCATTCTCACCAAGCGACCTTATGAGCACATCACTCGCGCAATGGTCGAGAAGGAGCTCGCCGGGTTCCAAGGCCGGCAAATACAGATCCCACCTTTGTACTCGGCGCTCAAGATGAACGGAAAGCCTTTGTACGAGTATGCGCGCGAAGGCAAGCCTATCCCCCGGCAGATCGAAGGCAGAGAAGTCGAAGTCAAGGATATCGAGCTGGTGGAATGGTACGAGCCGGGCACGCACAACCATCGATGGCCTACCGAGGAAGCTGAAGCTGCGGAGCGAAATCTGGCGGAGCAGGTCTGGAGGATCAAGAAGCAGCAAGAGAGTACAAAGAAGTTGAGCCCTGAGGAGAAGCAACAGGACGACAAAGCGATAGCGGCGCACGAATCGTTCAAGCGCAGTTTTGAAGAACGACAGGATGCGCTTATTAAGGACGCGCCTTCAAAGAAATCGCGAAAGTCAAGGGAGCCTCCCATGATGTCAGGCGCTCTGGGCAAGTTACCAGCACCGACATACTCTAACAAGGGCTCGAATCTGGTTCCTGATACTCCCGATACAAACACACCGCCTCCCTGGAGCGATAAAGGCCCCGCCGCTGTCAAGGTGCGATTAACCGTCACGTCCGGTTTCTACATCAGAAGCTTCTGTCACGACCTAGGGGCCAAGCTGGACTCCGCTGCTCTCATGGCCGAGCTTGCGCGAACTCGCCAAAGTGATTTCGAGGTTGGTGGTAAAAACTGTCTCGAATATGACGATCTCGCCAAGGGTGAAGATGTTTGGGGTCCTCAAGTCGGTCGAATGCTCGAGAGTTGGAGCAAGGTCCCACAACCCCCGGCCAATCCTTCAGGCAAGCAAAGCAAGAAGAGGCCCAACAACAGGGGCCCCGGTTCTCCCAAGCATAAGCAAGACCAGCAACAAACTCATAACAAGGGAGAGAAGCGACGACGGTCAAACTCACCTGACGAGGCAGGCTCACCACCTCGAAAGGCGGTAGCCCTCGAGTCCAAAAACGGCCCCAAGCCAGTGAAAGAAGCTGTCAGAGAGTCTGTAGAGAAGCCAATGACGGAGTCTAATGCGGAACCCAAATCGGAAACTAGAGGCCGCTCTGATGATGAGAAATCATGGAACGGCATAGAGGACTGAGCTGTGACCAAGTAGATAGACGCAAGAGACAGGATTTGTTGAGTCGGTAGGCGATGAGAAGCAGGACCGTTTTGTATCCCGCAGAATGACTTCAAAATGAACGAGTGGTTCAAGATCAGCATATATATAGCATGGCCAGCTGATAGCCCTAGGGAGAGTTTGCAGCAGAGATATCTGCCAACAGCCCACGTGGTGGCTATACTAGAGATTCACGGAGCAGCATGCATATATCATTTAGGCGTTGTTGGTTCGAGAGCCCAAGAGAATATATGAACGTTATGTTATACCAACCAAGATCAGAAGCAAGGTTCATGTGATTAAATGTAATATATTCTTTTTTATCCTAAATTTCGTCTCAATATGCGATTGAACTCACTTGCTCATCTCAAGTATCGCTTTTAAATCGACTATATGCTGTTGATGTCTTACTGCTCACTCGCCCCCTCCACTGTTCCACCTAATTCTTCCGTCGCTCCACGAATATCTTCTACCCTGATACCACTGCGGTCACACATACTGCGGAATATACCACCCTGCTTCCACAGCTCCATGGGTGTGTCCAGCTCAGCGATACGTCCCGCATCCATGACGCAGATACGATCGTAGCCGATGATAGTGCGCAGTCGATGGGCAATACATAGAAGTGTCTTGCCGCGGAAACCAACAGCCATGGTGGCCTGGATCTTGTCGTCTGTCTCCATGTCAACTGATGAGGTGGCCTCGTCGCACACAATGATCTGGGCGCCTCGGACGAGAGCTCGTGCAAGGGCCATGAGCTGTCGCTGGCCGAGGGAGAAGTTGAGGCCGTCTTCTTCAACGGCTGTGTCAAGGTGGATGCCTGAAGGGTCGTTTGTGCGTCGAGCTTCTTCGGGCGTGGCTGCGTTTGTGGGCACGAGATCTGCTTGGCGCAGGGCGGACCAGAGTGCGAGGTCGGTGTGTTCGTTGAAAGGATCCAGGTTGCTGCGGATAGTTCCGCGGAAGAGGGTAGGGTCTTGTGGGATGATGGCTAGACGAGATCGAAGATCGTGCAGGCCAAGGGTGGAGATATCGAGTCCGTCGATACTGATCTTACCACCTGAGATCTCTACCAGGCGGAAGAGGGTGCTCATGATGGAACTCTTTCCAGCACCGGTACGGCCGACGATACCGATTCGCTCGCCTCCCTTGACGTGCATTGTCAAGCCTGAAAGGACCAGCGGCAGACCGGCTCGGTATCGCATTTCGACGTTGTCGAAGATAATCTCACCCTTCTCGGGCCATGTATTGCGCACCTCGACTGTATGCGAAGGAGCCTCCTCCTCAAGTTCAGTACCGTAGTAGTAGAGTCTTTCGACAGCGTTCATAGCATTCTCGACTTCAGCGAGCTGACGCACCGAGAATTGCATCATGCCGACGATTGAGAGGATGTAACTCAGAACAAGACCACCAGTTGAAGGATCAATAGAGAAACGTGATGTGACAACGAGAATGGCAGTGACAAAGACAAGGAGTACACCGATGAGATCGATTCTCATCGAGAGCCATCGCTGGTTGGCGAAAGTGATATAGTAAGCGCCGTTCATGTTGTCGATCGACTCACGCAGCTCATTGACGAAGCGATCCTGTAGCCCGTATGCGCGGATAGATGCCACGCCGGTGAGACCCTCACCAAACTTGGCAAAGACGTGGGATCTGAGAACGGACTCGAAACGCTTCACCTCTCGAGCTGAAGAGCGGTAATATATAGCCGCCGTGACGAATGCCAGGTAAAGGGGCACCAGGGCAATGACGAAGTAGTAGTAGAAAGCGATGATGAGGATGAAGACAGAACTGACCATGCCCATTGTGAGGAGGAACATACGGAGTGCGTCCGAGAGGGTATTGTCCATAACATCAACATCGCGCGAGAAACGGTTCGTGATCCGTCCGAGGGGCGTAGTATCGAAGAAAGACATGGGCGCTCGAAGAACACGAGTGACTGCGATTCGAAGCATGACCTTACTCGATTTCGTGCCGAGGACGGACAGGACGACGGAAAAGGCAAACATGAGAATGGCCTGTATAACACCTAGTGCTGCGTAGATGCCGATATACTCCCCCGTTTTAAGATTGAACTTGTTGGAAGTCCAGTACGACAGCCACAGACTCGTCACGATATTGGCGCCCTGAGATAAGATGAGGAGGAACAGGACCAGCGGAGCGTTCAGTATGGAGCCAGATGCCTTGACATAGGCAGCGTAGACGGACCATGAAACGTTGGAGCTGGCCTTTTCCTCCTGGGTCATGAGAGCAGCGCCCTTCTTCTTTTTCTTTTTCTTCTCATCCGCGGTAGGCTCCTCAGCATCATCAGGCTTCTTCTCATCCTCGCGCTTCTCCTCAGTGGCGGTGGTCTCCAGAAGAGATTGGAAACCCTTATGGTCCCTCATGAGGTTCTCGAAGGTGTCTACAGCCTGGATCTTGCCGTTCTCCATCCAGATGATGCGGTCACATCGGTTGAGCACCCACAGCTGATGGGTGGCTAGGATACGGCACTTGTCCTTGAGAAGTCCGAGGATAGCGTTATCAAAAATGTGACGACCAACATGAGCGTCTACAGCACTAAGAGGGTCGTCCATAAGGACAATATCGGCGTCGAAGTAGATGGCTCGGGCAATGTTTAGACGTTGCTTTTGACCTCCAGAGATGGTAATACCACGTTCACCGATTTCTGTCAAATCACCGTTAGGTAGCATATCGAGGTCAGCTTGAAGAGCACAGCTATCAAGTGGCATTAGTAACAGTAGCGGAGGATTTATCAATCCGATGGACTTACGCTTGAATGACTTCGTTATACCACTTCTTATTCATATCCTTACCAAAAACAATGTTGTTCTTGAGGGTGGTGTTCTGGATCCAAGCGTACTGAGGACAAAACGCTCTGGACGCTCCAAAGGTGACATGGCCCTCTGTCTTTCGCATATCTCCTGCAAGAGCAGATAGCAGAGAACTCTTGCCGCTGCCGACTGATCCGATGACGGCGACGAGTTCGTTCCTCTTCACGTCGAAGTTGAGATCCTGCAGTTTGAAAGGTTCACGCTCTTCAACAAGGGTGCTTGTGTCGTCGCCCGAAGATTCTGTCTGGGGAGCCGGGGTGGGGTTGTCCTTGTCCTTGATTTTCTTCGCTTTGTCGGCCTTCTCCTTGTCCGACTCCTCGTGGTGAGACTTCTCCCAAGTGAAAGAAGCGTCCTCCAGTCGGATTGCATCGGGGCCTGTAGAGTCAATTGTCATGTCCTCCACCATCTCCTCCTGAAGCAGAAACTCTTCGATTCGCTGAACGGAGCCCCACGCATCAATGACCTGACCCAGAACCATTGGTAGCAAGTTCAAAGGGATTCTGAGACCATTGAACAAAGCTAGAGAAGAGAAGACCTCCGCAGCTGTGAGTCCGTTGTGTGTCAGGGAATAGCAGATGAAGGAAAGCATAGAGGCGAAGATGGGCAGCGACATGCTGACGGCGTTGAGGGCGTTTCGAATGGCGAGCAAAATCTGGATGGCGTGGATCTCTTTGTTTCTGAAGTCTCCGAGTCGTTCGAGGAACGCCTTCTCCCAGCCAAAATACTTGACGAAGCGGACGGACTGCAGAATTTCCTGGGTGAGAGAAACACGTTGATCGGTGATTAGGTTGATGGCTCGTCGTCTATGGAACAGACTTCGGATCGCCTTTGTCAAGAATGGCATTCCTACAACCAACAAACCGTAACCGGCCAGGGCGCTGTATGTGATATTGACGAGGAGAAGTGCTAGAGTGAGCAGGCACAGAATGGGAGATGTCCATACCATATGGAAGAGGGCTGAGGCCTGGTCAACACGGTAAGTATCAACACTCTGCAGAGCAGTGATACGACCATTACCCCAGCCAGTGCCATCAGAAGCGTCGGGCTTTGCCTTCTTAGCCTTCTTGGGCTTTTTCTCGTTCTTAGCGTCGTCCTTCGCCCGAGGAGCATTGCTCTGCAAAGCACCCTCAGCCTTGGCGCGGCCAGAAATGACCAGCGACTTTTCGTAGATGAGTCCAATCAAGACTCCTCTAGTCTGTCCACCAACTGTCATTCCTCGGTAGATGTAGTGGTTTGTTCCCAAACTCTGGGTGATTTGCATCAAGGTGATACCAACGGCCAAACCGATACCCTTGCCAATATGAGGCGGAGGACCGCCAGTTTGGTTCGCTACGTAAGCATCGGCGGCGAATTGAATTAGATATCGAAGTGTAAAGGGACTGATAACCTGAATGATGCTGGTGTAGAGGGCACATGCACCTCCAGTCCAGAACTCCCCCTTGAAGGTTTCGTGCATGGCCCAGAATAGGGGGTTCTTTTCACCTCCTTCGACACGTCTTTGGAAAGACGATTTCATTTTTAGAGTCAGCGGCTCAACGGATCTATCCGGGTTGACCGTCCATATGTCATTCTCTTCTAAGGGTCTTCTGTAGCCAGCCTATCGATATCAAGTCAGCATCAAGCGTTGTAAGACGGGCCGCGCCGCAAGATAGAGATTGGTGGCTTGTCAATCTGATAAGATGTAATACGCCCCGAAAATAGACCTCGATATCAATGATAAACTTACATGCATCAACGGTCCCATCCATTGAAATGTCAATTTGCTGAGGAAGCCTGCATCGTGTTCTCGACTCTTCACTTGCTTCTCGGGGACTGGAGGTGGTGAGCCCCAGCGAAGAGGGTTCAGTTTCTTGTGCCATGGTTTCTTTTCAGGTCTGGGCCCTGATCTCACTGGCGCAATCGTTGAAGCTTCAGTTGCACCGGTTCTGACCTCCTCAAGATCAGCGAATTTTGATTCGTCTTTCTCGTTAATTTGGCGAGCTCGATAGTTATCCCCATTATCTTTTTCTCCCAGCTCGTTAATTCGGTCCTCGTCTGAATCGGCAGATCGCTCAAAATTGGTCGGGGGCAAAGCAGCAGCCTGGGCGTCTGAAGGCTGAAGCTCTTTATCCACGGGGTCTGGCATATTCGCGATCTGCAAGCCTCGAATACTTCGTCGAGCTTATAACAGCAGATAAAGACTGCGCGGTAACCCTGAGGCTGAAGACTTAAACACCGAGCCGAATGGTATCTCGCACCGGTTCACAGGTGATATCAGGCTTTTGTTACGAAGCAGACAAGTCACAATACCAATGACACCATGAAGCCCGGAATTGAAAGCGACGGAATTGAGCCGGAAACAATAGACTTTGGTCACAGCAGCGCGATACAACCTTCAAAAGGTTTGCCAAGAGTAAAACCGATCGATAAAACGGTCCCACAGGTCGATCTTGGCGCGATGTAGGAGAGGAAAAAGAGTAGAAGATGAAATGGGAAATTAAAATAAGATGGAAAGTGAATAAGAGCCAGTTTAAGGGGATCGGTAAACGGAATAGGATCTCGTCAAAATGGCAGTCGTAAAAAAGAGAACGAAACTCCGACTTAACGGGGGGTGTATGGGTGTGGCTGCATTAGCCAAGCGGACTCATCTACCCGTACGGATAGAGTAGGTACTAATGTAAAGTACGGATAGTGGAGTTTTTTTGTATCGTCGATTGAACAAGGCAAACAAAGGATCCAGCGGATTACAAAGCAGGGGCAGGATCAGAAAGTTCGCCCAAAGACCGCCCTTTCCTAGGTAGTAAAATGGAAATCTCAACAAAGCTCGGATTCACGGCAACGAAATAAGCATGGATGCCTGCCACGCGGAGAAAGTGCCAAGGGAGGGTCCCGGAGACTTCTTTTATGTGAGGAGGTGAGTCGTTACCAACGAGTTCAATGTCGATGACAGTTATGATGGGAATGGTAATTAACTAGGTACGGGTAGAGACAACGGACACGAGCGATGCTGTTGACTCTAACAAGCTATAGGAACTGGAGAGAACAGAAAGAGAAGATAATCAGCATCACAGCTCAAGCATGGGCCGAAAAATGGTTCGGTTCGTCGATAATAACATCATGAATGCTCTGTTCTCGGCTCGGCCTCTCGCTCTCTACTAACTTACTACGTAGTAGAACCCTCACCCTTGCCATGAACTCTTACAGTACGTACTGTATCGATATCCGCGTACAGCGAGTAGATAAGCTCCGATCATCAATAAAATCCCAATTGAGGATGGTTCCTTTGGCGAAAACAGGACTACCTCGCCCTCATTAGCTCTCGGGATGTGGGTGTGGAGATCCCGCACGCAGCCATCAAACAACCAAATACCACCCCTTGTGGCATGCTTCAACTCCAAGTCGAGCAGGTACAAAACAAAGTGCGTAATAGACTAGAGCGTGTCATCAAGCCTACCCCATGATTGTTGGCCTCATCGTATGCTGTGACTGTTCTGGGATACGATAAACGCCAAACGTCTTTATCCATCTGAAATCGAAACGGTATGATAAGCTTCGTATAAGTGAGGCAGCCGCATATTGATACATCATATCGAATGTTGAACTCGTAAACTTCCTTCAGTTCTGCTAGGATAGAATACTAGCCACCGCATGGCAGCTGTATCCTCGCATTGTTGAGTTTGACCGTGCTTAAAACCATGGCTTGGTTCTAGACCACGTCTTGGAGTGCCAACTCAAAAGTCGAGCTTTCAGGTGGTGATTCAACACAACCTCCTCGTCATGCACCGCAGCAATGGGGACAGTCTGGTGACATGGAATCCCGAGTTAGAGGCTGGCCAGATTTGAACTTGATGTCTTCCATGACGAAGACTTTCCTTTCCGTCCACTTTTCCCCGTGAGCTCTCGCCGCTTCCCCGCTCTCGTATCTACCAACATACTGCATTGTATCGTAAGCGAGGTACCATTACAGATCCGATCCAAGAGTCGTCGTCGAATGGTTATTCGAGTTGAGAAAATTCGGCTCCGATTCGGCGGGCTCCAAAGACGTGCAAAACGGAGTTAGTCGGCAGGAATTAAGCATTAATGAATATCCTGCCCGCTTACATAACCCAGCCAGCCCTCCAATGTCGGCCCCACACCCCAAGCCCGTCCCGATGGACCGGGAAGAATTCAGTGAATCTCGACCGAAACTGCAAGGCTGAGCTTCGTCATCCAAATTTTTTGAACTCCGATCTTCTGTGACGATCTGAAAGCTGACGACTTCCGGTGCCTGAATAAGCATCGCCCGGAGTCCGAAAAAGGCTAATTGAGAACACATCCTCCGCTGTGTGCTCACCTAAGCACCCAAATCTGAGTGCGAGAATGGCCATCGACGACGTCCCCTCTGTTGCCTTGCCGGGCAAGATCCTAGGCCCCGTCACCAAGTTTGCGCCCGGCGCCGGTACACACATCTACGAAGGCAATGTCGTCTCTTCTCTGCTGGGTCAGGTCACAGTGACACCTCCGGCCAAGGGTCCCGGTCCTCAGAAGCGTCTCAACAAGATCACCGCTCCGACGACAGAAGAGCTTGCTACCATCTCCGTATCCCGCCACGGCCGCAAGCGCGAGGTCCTCCCCGATGTCGACAACATTGTCCTTGCGCGTGTCCTGCGCCTGATGCCCAAGCAGGCCATCGTGGTGATCCAGCAAGTCGGCGATACGGTTTTGCAGACAGAGTGGCAGGGTGTGATTCGAGTGCAGGATGTGAGGGCTACAGAAAAGGACAAGGTCAAGATTTACGAATCGTTCAAGCCCGGTGATATCGTGCGAGCGCAAGTTGTAAGTTGACCTTGCACATGCACGTCGCACTGATACTGACAAACATACACCAGATCTCTCTTGGTGACCAGGCCAACTATTATCTATCCACATCATCTAACGAATTGGGTGTCATCTTGGCCACGAGCGAGGCAGGCAACGATATGGTTCCTGTCAGTTGGAAAGAATACAAGGACCCCGAGACAGGCATCAGCGAGCCTCGAAAAGTCGCAAAGCCTAGCTGAGGTTGCTCTTCGCTATATTGTTAGAGCGCTGCCGTTCTTTAATGCTCTGGAATGCAAAAAGGGCACGCGACCTAGCTTGTCTCAGAACAACATGGCTAGGCAGGTCTGTTCGCCATGAAGCAAGAACCCCCACATGAACGATATAACTTCTGTGGAAACGAATTAACCAAAAATGCGCTCGCGTGGCAGTCTCTTTGAAGCCACAGAGTTCCAGTCGTCTCGTGGCGCGAGACTCCCACCAGAGACGCTCAACGACACCATGATCCGTCTCGTCGGGCTGGACGCTCAAGTCCGATGAGACTAAATAGGGCTCGGGATAGTCTATAGAGAATCCACAATGATGAGAATCACACCCAGAGCCTCTTTATACCTGGAGTTTATCTGCGCTAGAACTGGGTTAGAAGCCTGACGCAAAGTTAATATTATAAAGTTCAAAGTATGTTTCACAAACACTGGATCTGAAGTGAAGTAACATGATTGTGTTGTGTGATGAATGTCCAAATTATTCCATCAGGAGAGATTTCTTATCCAACCCATTAACCCATTGATTATTGAGCCTTGACTCGACTGCTGAAACAGCTGAACCGGAATTATCCAGCTCCCCCGTCTCAAAAAACTACATAAATCAATGCGAATGGAACCAACGAAGCGAGTCCTGTAAGAATTGAATCATAAAAAACTTTCAAAGAAACATCTTCTGTTTCGCAGTCCAAGATACCCTGCCACTCAATGGACCCTGATCCGCCCCTCAAGGCACGCGCCACTAACAAGATTCCCTCCCCAATCCAATGGGACCTTCTACCTAGTTTCCAGCCTGCTCAGCCGCCGAAGCGCCCTCCCCGCCCCTGCCATCATCGCGTGTCCAGGGCGCCCAAGCCACTGCCCGCATTTGGTTCAGGCGACAAAAATAGAAGATGCTTGGACCGACCATCCCTGTATTGATCGAAACCTTTCTCTTCTCGAATCTTGCACGGCTTGGGGATATTGCATTCATCCCTTTGTTGCTATAATATTTTTGTGTTTTTCAATTTTCAATTTTCAATTTTTCAAGAATTACACTTTTTATCGTCTTTTTTCTTATAGTCCTTACTTAAGCCAGCCTTTACGTCCACGGACATCTCGGGTCGCTCACCTACATCATATCTTTCATGCGCCGGTCATGTCAACGACAATGGTTATGACAATGGCAGCGCCGACTCTATCCGCTGACTCTACGCCATGCTGTCCGGGCTGCGGCTACTCCTTACCTCTTGATCACAGCCAGGTTCAACTTCTTGAGGCCCAAGCCCGTATCGAAGACCTCGAGAACCAAGTCCGTCTGCTCAACGAAAAGGCCACAGCCGCCGTCGATCGCTGGGCGGACTACGAAGATGAACTCACCAATCTACGCGCCCAACTCCCTACTTCGCCGGTAGATAAACAACTTCCAGCGACGCCTACAAACCCTCGCATGTCTTTCCTCCAGAGCGGCACCAGCCGCCTCTCCTCATTCCTCTCCCCGCGCAAGTCCCACGAGCTTCCCCATATCGACACCAACCCCTCCCGACCCCCCAACCAGCGATCCATAAGCAGCCAGTCGCACCGCCCACTGCACCCTCCACCATCGCCTTCGTCAGAAGATCTCCTCGAGGCACTGAACCGTGAGCAGTCACTGCGCAAGGAAGCCGAAGGGAAGGTCGCCGCCACCAGCCAGGAGGTTGAGGAGCTTAGTGCAGCGCTCTTCGAGCAGGCCAACGAGATGGTCGCCGAGGAGAGACGAGCGCGGGCTAAGCTGGAACAGCGGGTAGATGAGTTGGAACAAAGAGATATGGAGAAACGCAGGCGGTTGGACAAACTCGAAGGAGCCATGACACGGATCGAGAGGGTGAGATTACTGCTGGCCGAGGCAGAGGAAGATGTCGAATCGAGCAAGCAGACTGTAAAAGAGATTGTGGAGTTGGAGAGACAACAAGAAGAGGAGGAACGAAAGGAGAGGGAGGCGAAAGCAAAGAAAGCCGAGAAAGCCGACATTGATTCGGTTTACAGCCTATCAGACGATGAGCCTCAAGAAAGGAAGTCCATCGACAAGCAAAACAAGCACGACCAGTCCGACGACGACCATACACAAAGGAAATAAACGTCACCATGGCATCTGAGCACATTACTAATTCTCTTTTCTACTCTTACTACACAAGGAGCGAGGCATACGGACATAGAAACAAGGGCCTTGGTAATGAGCAACGAAAGGCAAAGCATTATTTTGGGCCAGCGGCTATAAGACAAGGAGTTGGTCAAACTTGGGTATTAAGGGCAAGGCGTTGGATGACATGGGGCGTATGGTCAAAAGGGGGAGGAATTGTACGATTATGAACACATCGCAGGGCGAGCTTTTTCCCTTTACAAATGGCATATTTAAATATGGATTTATATAATCACGATCGTCGATCTCATTAGCAGTCTTGCACAGCCTTATGTGGACCTTCATCAGTGTGAAACAACGAGTTCTGTAACTGTGGTTTAGGTTGCGTAGATCAATCCTGTCTAACCTGCACACCCTGTGCCCTCTTTGGTTCCAACGTGAATTACAGGGCGGATGGAAACCTAGCTAGCACATGTAGGAGCATCTGTGACTTCCGAAGTATCTATAGCGAAGTGAATTGTTGTGAGTTGGTCAACAATCAACATCAGTCCATCAGATACATCTGGTCACGCGACTAAGTGAAAGGATTCCAAACCATCCAGTTGTTGAATAAAGATGAACATTTCATAAGAAAAAGAACTATGTACAAAGTATTGAAGCCAGAAGATGTCTCTGGAGTATGAACCAAAACCTAAACTCCTTGCGGTCATTCACGCTGATATGAACCTCAAGTGTTGCATCATGAACGTCGTCAGAGTTATATTAGCCACAATCGTGTCTCCAACCGTGTCCAACTCTGACACAGACTCACGGTAACCAAAACCCCCACTCGTGATTAGAGCCGAGCGCATTACTGAGGACCGTGTTATATTACACTGATATCCCGTTATGAAGTAGTATCAAATTATCCACAAACCATATCCCCATGAGAAAAGACCAGTCTCCTGACGCCGCTATTGAAGATGAACCCAAATGACCCCGTCTCGTGACACCCAGTCATTTTTGACCCGGAGAGTAAGGCAATGATTGTTCATATGTAATATTTCACATAGAAAGAGAAAAACAGCATGATAACAACTTATATCCGGTTATGTGCACCAGGAGATCCACTGCCGTACGACGAGCGCCTTGCAGCTGATGCAGGCATATGTGGCGGTGGCAGAGCTGAAGGGTCGTCGGTGAGAAGATCTTCAAGGAATGCGCTTGGGGCACGTTGACTTGGTGGTCGGTTGAGATTGAGAGTCGAGTTGCTGATGTCTCTTCGACCCTGGAATGACGGTGATTCAGGAGGGCTGGGATTCAGAGTGTGTCGCGAAGGAGTTCCGAAGTAGCCGCGAGAGTCAGGACGCAAGTTGGTCAAACTGATATTATTCTCATGTTGACCTCCGGGAGAACTAGTTCCGGCTGCATAGAAGCCTGAAGGCAGGAATGAAGAACCGCGGTTACCTGCCCCATTGCCTGATGCTGCAGCCGTTGGCGAGAAAAATAGATTAGAAGCGCTAGGAGTCGATGAGAGAACGGGTCCACGAGTAGTTCGTCGTACACCACGCCCAGCTGAGAGAGACATAGTTGAACCGGTATCGGTGTATTTGTAGAAGGGCGCAGGGGGCGCAGGGAAACCTGTCTTTGCGGTTTCGTCGTGTTGAGCCTTCGCTGCTCGCTCCACGGATCGATGGAGGAGGATACCAACAATGAGGCGCCAGAGTAGGATACCAAGACCAAGTGCGCCAAGAATGGCACCTACAGCAATGAAGACGGTTCCGTCAGGGGCGCTCGAATGGCGCATAAAAGGAGCATTGTTGGTAGGCGGCACGGTAGCAGCCGGATAAGTAGGAATGGGCTTATATCGTGTCAATGTAGGCATAGCCTCGTCCGTACCCGCTGCCGCTGAAGCAATAGTTGTGAGCGTAGACTGAATATTCTCGGTTTTGGTCGGGCCTTCTCCTGTCACAGTGGTGGCTTCGTCCTCCTCAGTGGATGAGGCTTTCTCATCCTTCTTAGTTGACTTGGGCTCCTCCTTCTCCTCCGTCTTTGACTGCTGATCATCCTTAGTTTCCTGGGTCGCCGAAGGTTTCGCATCAGTTTTTGATTCATCACTTGCAGGCTCAGCAGCGGCGTCGGTGGGTTTGCTGGCATCGCTATTCTTCGCGTCGGTTGCCGCAGGGGCAGCCGCGGGTACAGCAGAAGGGTCGTTGTCCTTGGCGTCGTCCTTGTTGTCCTGAGCCATAGCTACAGCACCATATAGTGAGAATGAGGCAAAGGCCGAGATCAGAAGATCTGATCTCGGTAAATAATTGGTGGGTCTCATGTTGGGAATCGTATTGTATGACTATATCTGAGGCGGCTATTCGAAGAAATGGTCGTTGATATCGAGACGTTGGTGTTGTTGAATATCACAGTCTCGAGTATGAGCCTCTGACCAGGCCGGATAATTGGGTAATAATGCTCCCTGAAAGAGAATCGAGAGCGACTGAGGCGATTGCGTATATCAAGGAGACTCTGGAATGTCAAGGGATGTTAAGTAGCGATTTAGCTCTGTGCTCTCGTTATGAAACAGCGCTTGGTGAGACAAGGCTATTTTGTTCTTGGGAATCGGAATTAAAGGGATGTCGTATGTATTTCGATAGTTGCGTATGTGTTCGAAGGGATGTATCGCGTCTATTGCCTTCACATGGGAGCGCGAAGAGTGATAAGAAGCGAGATGGATAAATTAGCAGATCGAGATAGCGCTGTTTCCGCCCTGGTCTCTCCCGTGAACTCGAACGAAGGAATACAACAAATATTGGGTTATGAAAGAGAAAAGAATGTAGTAACGGAATGGGCTAACGAGTGAGCGTGCGTAACCAAGCGAGTGGGTGATACGCACTACCAAAAACCGCGTTAGCAATTTGTATGATAGAGTAAAGATCGGGTTGAAGCGATGGGACGGGGAGGGATTGGGAGAAAGACGGGGTCGCACAACAGAGGCAGGAGCGGGCAGGGACTGGGGTTGACTGCACCTTCCTAATGCCTGCCTGTCACTGCGTGGGCCAGGCGTTTGTGCAGGAGCAAGCGCGAGTGAAAAGGAGAATGGTGCACCTGATGAACCAGTAGGGGAGCCGACGGTTAAGATGGAATAGGTCTAGACTCGCTAGTAATGGATGATCCAATTCGCTCGTATTCGATAGCGCGACGCAACAAATATCAGGGGAAAGGTTTAGAGGGTTGTTTTTTAATAATAGAAGGCTATTGCGGCTTGAATTCTTGTGCGTTGAGCGCCCATTGTCACTTTCCTTGGTGTGACTACATATGACCGACTACTGCGTTTATTTGTTGGCGAGCTTTCAATTCCAGCCTGTTTGTTGGCTGTTTTGAACAACGTTGATGTACAATGCTGTGTTGTGCTCTCAGCTCTGTAAATGGCGATCTGTTGGTGGTTGCTGTGGACGATCACCCACACAAGAACATGATGTAGGTGCAAGTCGATGCATGATAGGCAGTTATTGTCTCTTGTTGCCTGGGTACCTACCTGTCAAGTCAAATGTCAATATCGCTGTGCAGTTGCGAATTGCATCTCTGTATGTATGGCTGGCTGACAACGGTTGGTCATGTTTGATGCGGCTTCTGTGGCCACCCTCTCATATTACATTATCTTGCAGATGGATACGCACCGTCCGGGCCGTTGAGCAACGTTAAAAACGACATCATGCAAGGTAAAGCAAACTCGACAGTGATGATTCAATATTCGTAAATAGAGTTCAGTCACGATCAACATCCAACGGCGCCACAACACGATATCATGGTTCCTTGCAGGTGCCCTGGATCTTCAAAAGTCAAATACTCCTTGAAAAGACCCCTCTTTATGTCACAACCGTGGTCTAACATCATGGTGATACTTGTTGCTATCCGCGTATCAATTCTCCATCCTTTTCAGGGTCCTGTATGAGCGGAGGAAACCTCGCACCGACCAGCGGGGTAATTGACGTGACATGGCTCTCCAGTACGGGGATCTTTGATGTCTCCGCGTGTGGATTCTTGTGTTTTGCAGTTCATCGTAACCCAGCCACGCGTGGAAAGTTCCCCACTGCGTGCCCACTTTGACGAAGCTGCTTGAGTGGATTCATCACGTGACTTGACATCGGCACTACAGCAAGGCCGGTCCCGTTCACGCGCGAGCCTCGTCATTGTCAGCCTCCAGTTCAAGCTCCAAGCATCGTCAACTTCCTTATCGACTACCGAACCCGCAACAACCGCTCATCACGCGATATTCGCCCTGTATCTTTCGCAACCAACATTTAATCTTAATAATGGAGGAAGAACGTCTCTGGAAGTTCTCGCGGCCTGAGTGGCTTAACACCGTCTGGGCCCGCAACGCTGGTGTTTACAGCGCTGGAGCTATTGTATGTTATGTCCTCTGAATTGTCGCTGATCTGGCTATCCACTGCTGCGCTCTTCACGCACATTGTCAATGTGTCATGCGCGGCCTTTGCGCCAAAGATAATGTCAAATCCCAGCTAACCGGTCTACCGTAGTTCTCCGTCGCTTTCTACATCATGCTCGACTCCGCCGTCTGGTCCAAGTCTTCGCGCAACGGCTCCGACGTCCATGTCAAGTTCGTTGACTGGCTGCCCTTTATGTTCTCCAGCTTGGGCATGCTTATCATCAACTCGGTCGAGAAGCAGCGCCTGAGCGCCGATTCCTTCAGCTATAGTGGAAATGGGGTGGCATGGAAGGCTCGCGTTGTTCTATTCTTGGGCTTTGCAGCTCTAGCTGGTGGAATGGCTGGTGGTGTTACTGTTTTCGTTCTCAAGTTTATCGTCCCAAGTGTCTCAATGCCTGCTTTGGGTATGGGTATTGAGAACGTGGTCAGCAACGCCCTTGTGGGCTTCAGGTAAGACTCCTTGCTACAAAGTGATGATGCATTTTACTGACTCTGCACAGTTCTGTGGTCCTCTGGGTCAGCCAGAACATGGAGGACGAGTACTCATACAACCTGTCCCTGTAATCATTGCGGTCGATACGAGCAAAACGATCAATTGAGGTGACATTGGGGGCGTAATGATGGGCTGGGATGGTTCCCTAGAGTTAAGCACAGAGTGTACGATTAAGAGCAGGGCCTTACAGTACATTGATGGAAGATTCATGGCGATAAGGATGACTCACGTGTAGGAACAGTAGGCAACCAATTTTGGCTGAAGGATACCTAAACAAATCTCGATTCCCGTGAGAAGTGCCGAGTACATCTCTTTTTGAATCTAAGCTTGGCTTAGAGTTAGCGTTGCTGGTTGCTGGAGATGGAGTTGGTAGACTGTTATACTATTATCACTTCAAACTACAGTCAATAATTCGTACTTGGAGGTACCGAGTGACTTTGTCATACAGGCAATGTGAGTAGGGGCTACCATAAAATAGAGTCTCTGATCAATTGCCCTGGATGCACAATCAAAGAAGAGGCTCGTCGGGGTCCTTCATATAATACCCGGCGCTGTATACAATCTTGCACTTGCCTCGTTGGTCGAGATCACTAAGACGAAGACCCCGGCGCATCCCCACACAAAGTCAACAGAAGGCGATCTCGCATCTGACTCGATGCACAATCCATTGAACAAACATCCAATTCTAAATAGAAATCCTTTTCTTGCATCACAGCTCCTTACCACCCTTCACAATCCATAATGGCCGATCGCCCTCGGCCAACCACAAACGGAACCGGAGTCTCCCGCTCCCGCAACGGCGCCTCTTCTGCCGGCGTCCGTCGCAATTTGTTCCAGAACCAGAACCAGTTGACCCGGCGACCTACCGCCGGTTCGACATCTACGTCTGCCGAGACACTGCATTTGGATGCAGATGTGTTATCAGATACATCCGAGATTGTCGTTCGTGATAAGTACGGCGAAATTGAGCTTGGAGACCCTCCGACGCCGATGATGGAGGATGAGGATGAGTTGCCGCTGGATCACAGACAGGAGAGTGAGAGTATGAGATGCGCATCTACACCGCATGATGCACATGGCTTACATGATACCAGAAGAGAGACAAAGACTAGCTGAAGCAGTCAAGCATCATCAGATGAATCGTCATACATTACACGAACAGCCTGAAGGTGCGTCATATACACATCATAACAATATCCATTTTTACTAACATAACGTTAGAACTACTCGAAGCTGTTAGGGCAAGTCTACGAGCCAAAGTAGCAGCTCTCACGGAAGACAATTGGATGTTTGAGCCAGAAGAACAGCCCCGTGGTTAACCATTTGTTTTTTTGTTTGCCTTACAACGCCTGCTGTCTATGTGTTTACTTCAAGACAATACGGTATACTAACCACCCAACCCTATAACCCAACTTTTATCTTTAGTCCAGACCCTCTGCTGCAGGAGCATCTTGCCGTTGCGTAACTTGCTTACGCTTTGGCTTCTCTGGCTGGCCACCGCCGCCGCCAAAGAACCCGCTCATCATATCCATGAGAGGGTTGTTCTGTCGAGGCTTGGTGAGACCGAAGTACATTTCGCCGACCATCTCGAGCGCCTCGCTCCACGATCCTGCCTCGTTGATTTGCGTCGCATACTTGGATACCAGGGCGCGGTAGAGCTCGGGGGCGCCACGCTGGATAGCAAGCAGGAGGAAGCCGAGGAAGTTGAGGAGGGGTAGGCTTGGGAAGATGCGAATATCACCAGCAGAGCTCGACACGTCTTGGACACCGATGTTTGGGTTGTCGCTGGAAAGAGAGCTGGTGAAGAGGCGGTAGCAGGTGTTGGCGGCACGAACGTTTCCGACCAAGAGGTAGGGGAGCACAGCACGGCCAGCAAAGAGAGCTGCCAGATGAGGGTCGCCCTCCCTGTACCAAGTGTATTCCATCTTTGTAAGAACCTCGGGCGAATCCTTGGTGCCCAATATTAAATGTTTCTCGGCCTCGTATGTATCGTGCTCTTCGGCGTAGAGTGAACCGGCGACGTGGTGAAGCTCTGGATCTCCAGCTGGGTAATCGCCAAACTTGGCTGACCATCTATACCGATAATGTCAGACATACTCCCTGTGGTGTGCGTGTATGTTTTTAGGACATGATATCGCACTTACCCGATGATCTCGCCGACAAACTTCTTCCTCGTGGGTTCACCAGCTGGGAACAGTCGCAGACAGGTCAATAGTCTACCCTTGCTGGTAGCATCGGGCTTCAACTCAGCCTGCTTGTAGACATCAACCAACATGGCACAGAGATCCCCACCACTACCACCCTGTCCCGCGCGCAGCAACGCCTGGGAGACATTGGAGAGGATATCAATAGCGGCGGGCCAGTTGGAGGTCTTAATGTAGCGAGATGCGGCGACACGGGTCTGCTGCTGAGCCTCGTAGTAGTCGCCCTCTTCGATCTTGGCCTGCAGCCGGGCTACTATGCGGTCGACCTTGCTGGCCATGGTGAGATGTTTTGTTTGTAGAGGGAGTCGAAGTAATAGGTGATGCGATGCGACGGGGTGAAAGAGAGTGACGTAGAATATCTCAAGTACAGAGGCAAGATGTCGCAGCTTAGGTTAGTAGGCGGGTGAGGTGTTGGAGGGGTTGGCCAGAAACGAGTACGTACCTTACCTGGAAGCTTGGAGCTCCGCCAGATGGAAGACTCCACTTTCGTGACGGATAGAAAAATAGAAAAATCTTGATGATTACGATTTCCTTTCCCAACGTGGGAGCTACACAAACTGTTATGTTTCGGCCAATTCGAGCATATGGTCATACTTAGGTTTGTGCTGCATCACAACTCGTTGCGGGACTGAACTGTAGTGATATTCTTTTTGTCCTTCAACTTAGACCGTCACAAGTGAGTTCCGTGACGAGCTTGTGTCCTTTCAACACTGTTATCAAGCCATCATCTTCGCTGGACAAGACAGAACCAAGTTTAACACACCTCTAATTATCACGGATACTTGCAAACACTTACAAGTTAACTGCTCAAGACGAAAATCTAGGGTCAGCTGCAGTTGAAAGCACAGGTAAACCTAACATTGAAGCATTAGAGTTTAGAGCCAATGCAGTTAGGTTGATCTCAGAGCCCCCACAGGTCGATCTCCACGCAGGTCATCCAAGCGGATCCTAGCAGCTTCAACTAGTACAAGAAGCTCACGTTTCCCCGTGTCCTACATCGCAACAGAAATATCCCGTTACACAGAATAGACTGAATTCCTTCTTTCCTTCTTGACCATTCAGTTCATACATCCTGCCAACCAAGTATCCGCGTGATTAGTTTAGTGGTAAAATTCTCCTTTCCCATTGTAGGTATATGAGATAGGGAGAGTCCCGAGTTCGATCCTCGGATCACGCATTATCTTTTGATGTTTTGGGTATCTATCTGTATTTTTGATGTCATTAGAAGCTACTGTGATATTTTTAGTTACCTTACTGCGCATGTAAAGCCATATTGTTGTGGTTGGCTGCCTTACGTCCTCTTCTTTGTCTACTAAGATAGGCACATAGCAACTATCAAGAACCATATTACATAGGTATGAATAGCGGCAGATTATCTACTTGATTTATTACTTTCTAGTAATAAAAGAAAATACCAAGCTTCGTAGATCTATCACCAATGATTATCGGTAGATTCCATACTCTAACGCAAGATTGTTCGGCGACCACCACCCGAACCGATCCGGCGAACCCGCGGCGGACCAGCTCCATTATCCCCCGTCTCCCGTCGTCGGCCCCAGTTTCCACGCGTTGTTACTCTATACGACATGATATGCCGAAGCCGGCCTTTTTAGCAGGCCATCAATTCGGTGTCAGCTCCGACATTTCATAAGAGCTCAACTCCCCTTACATCTTTGTTTCTCTCATATTCTAGACTAACTCTCAAGATACCAACATTTTCTGCGTACCCTACACATATCATGGCTTCATCTGTTCTTCAGCGTGAGTCTTGCATCATCCCCTATCCAATGGCATCATACTAACATCGATAGGCCTTGTGCGCTTTATCCCAAGGTCTAGCCCTTCCAAGATCCTTATCGGTCAGCCAGCGGACAAAGACATCGATGTCGGTGCTGCTTTGCGCAAGGGTCAAGAGGTTGCTGTCAATGTCTGGTCGGGCTCATCGGTCCTGTCTCCTGGATCATCGACTGGCGCTACTGAGACCATCGACCGTGTCTTGTCCCCTCTCGCACAGAGCGAGATTGGTACCGTCCGATGTGTTGGCTTGAATGTGTGTATAACGTGCTACTCAGATTCACAGTATTAGCTGACTCTTCAACTCAGTACAGAAAGCACGCCGCCGAGTTGGGACTTGAGCCCCCACCAATCCCAGTTATCTTCATGTAAGTAAACCTGTCTGGATGCTTCGATGCTACACATAGAACTGAGGTGACGTGTAACAGGAAGCCCGCCACAGCTATCGTGGACCCCTGGCCAGCGCGCGGAATCGTGCCCAAGCTGAGCCAGGTTGACGAGTCGGGAGACTACGAGGCAGAATTAGCCGTCGTTATCGGCAAGACGGCCAAGAACGTCTCTGAATCTGAGGCTTTGGACTACGTTCTCGGATACACTGCCGCCAACGATGTTTCCAGCCGCACACAGCAGCTGAACCAGTCTCAATGGTCCTTCTCCAAGAGCTTTGACGGATCTTGTCCTATAGGTAAGGTTGTTCGAACACACTGAGAATCCAACTAATGATACCCTCCAAGGCCCTACACTTGCCCTCAAGTCTCTTATCCCAGACCCCTCCAAGCTGTTCATGCGAGGTCTTAAGAACGGTGAAGTGTACCAGGAGACCGGCACCGAGTAAGTGTATTAAACCAGACACACAAATTACCTTACTGACTGTGCTTAGCGATCTCATCTTCTCTGTCCCCAAGATCATCAGCTGGCTGTCTCAGGGTACTACACTCCCTGCTGGAACGGTCATCATCACCGGTACTCCCGCAGGTGTCGGAATGGGCCGAACTCCTAAGGATGCATTGAGACATGGCGATGAGTTTGCTGTTGAGATTCTGCCTCACATTGGAACACTCACTAATGTCTTTGAACATGAGAAGAATGGCTTCTTAACAAAGCTATAGAGTTGCAACTGCGGAGCCCTTTATATATTCGATTTAAGTATGCAATCTAGCGCATCCTCCATTTCTTCAAACGAACAAACCCACAAGCGCTGTTACTTTTCTGGGAAATATAACATGTCAATACAATTAAATTCTTGCACATTTAAGCATTTGTTTACTTTAGCCAAGGCCGGTCAGCGTAAGCACTAATGTACAATGTATCATTTCTTTGAGTAGGATTCGCTTGGCTTCATTTTAGGATCTCACTCAGCCTGAACTGCATTTAACTAGATTTGTTGTTGATGATGCCGAAACGTCTAGAGCTACATTGTCCTCAAGATATTTATTTGTAGCTCCTCTTCACCTGATAACCAACACTCAAATCCGAAACGATGTCAAACCCAGCTTCTATTCCGGAGAAGATGAGAGCGTTAAGACTAGTCGAGGTAAGACCCATATCAGGGAATGAATATCTAAGCACGTCTCATTTGAGTGCTACCATAGTACCACAAGAATTACAAATTGCTCGAGGATGTCCCAACCCCAGTTCCAAAGCCAGATGAAGTCCTCATCCGTGTGGCTGCTGCCGGTCTCTGCCATACCGACCTCATTGTTTATCACGGTTTCACCGAAGCTCAGCTGCCGTTCACTGGGTCTCATGAACCAGCGGGCACGATAGTCAGCCTTGGATCCGAAGTACCAGAAACATGGCATGTGGGAGACCGTGTGGGGGTTACAAACTTCATGGACCCTTGCGATAAGTGTAAAGGGTGTAAGTGGGCAACTCAGGCTATCGGATCGCTCGATCCTAGATTCTGTGACAACAGGACTATGTGTGGTATTTACCATCGTGATGGAGCGTTTGCTGAGTCCATGACTGCTTGGCATAAGGCTGTTGTTCACTTGCCTGATAGTGTGAGTTTTGAACAGGCAGCTCCTTTGATGTGCGCTGGGGTAAGTCCTCTCATAAATTGGTGTTTTATGAGGATACTGACGATGATCTCCCCAGGCAACGGTATGGCATGCTATTAATCAAGCAGATCTCCAAAAGGGACAGACCGTGGCCATAATCGGGATCGGGGGTCTCGGAGTCTTGGGCATACAATTCGCAAAGGCTCGAGGCTATCGAGTTGTAGCTGTCGACAACCACGACGTCGGGTTGAAGCTCGCATCAGAAGTCCCATCCCACCTGAGACCTGATCTTATCCTCAGCCTCCAAGACCCAGAAACCATCCAGAAGATCTCCAATTTCACAGACGAGATTGGTCTCAAAGCCGCTATTGTGTGCACCAGCGACAACGACGCAAATGATTGGGCCGCCCAGCGTCTACAGCCAAGGGGGGTATTAGTCGCCGCAGGCTTTCCTGAGCAGGGGCTCAAGTTTGATCCCATGAATCTTCTCTTTAAAGAGATCGTAGTCAAGGGGACTATCCATTGCAGTATGGAGGAAACCCGGGAGATGATGGAGTTTGTAGTTGAGCATGGAATCCGCAGCCACTTAAGCTTGCTTAGTATGGATGAGGCGGAAGATATTGTAGCTAGATCTGAGGCTCATGCCTTTGTCGGTCGTCCAGTTGTACAGATTGGGAAGTGATGAAGCTGAGTGGAAGATGAGTGGGTGACTGTGAAGCTGCGAGACGGTATAGTTGAACTGGCCAGGGGTATTTATGCTTATCGGCCGAAAGTCCAACACCGAGGGGGTTCTTTTGAATATCTTCCATGGAGTGTCTAGCAACTCAACATAATCACGATCCAAATTAAGATGGCAATCTTGCACACGGACTCAAGTCCCGCAGAGAATCATTAATTTTGTTTCATTTAAGAGCTCCCAAAAAACTCCAGGACGACCCTCTCTACCAAGAGTATCTACGTCAGGCCTATCATTCAACATTGGCCATATCTTGCACGGTACAATACATAATGTCTTTAAGAGACCAATATACCTATGATCCCGTTCCTTCCCGCCTGCCAAAGATGCTTGTCGAAAAGTGCCGTTCATTATGACCCAGATTTAAAGATTCCAAGCATTTCCTGACGATCGTCGTCCCCTCTCATACAACCACTTGCTGTTCAATCCAACACTTGTTCGCTTACCTCCGGCCGAACCAGGAGAAGCAGAATCAGAGAAGACGTTGCTCGAAGAGCTAGCAGCAAATGGGCTCGCTGATCCAAAAGAGGACCTCCGTCCATTGCCAAAGTTGTTGATACTCTTCTGGAACAGAGGGCTACCCAATGGGGAGCCAGTAGATCCCTGAAAAGGGCTGCCTCGTCCAGACAAAGGCGAGCTGCCGTAGCTTCCACGGCTTCCCACAGAACCACCAATGGATGGTGTGCGAGAGTATCGCGGCGGCGTGTTGAACTTGGTATCGGGGGTGGGCAAAGCTGAGGAGGGATCCAGACCCAGCAACTGACGCTGCGCAGCTGTGAGGGGGATATCGGCGAGATCGTCTTTCGGTCGGATCAATGGCAGACACGCAATGCCAATGTTGATAAAGGGTATGAGTTGAAGAATGAACCACGACCAGCTCAAGTATATCCTCAAAGAGGTAGGAACACTGAATGGGAAAATTAGTTACTGAAGAGTCGCAAAGATGGCGAACGACAACTCACACTTGAGAGCCAATGTTGAGCTTGGCTAGGAGCTGCGCAGACCAGAATCCTAGTAGCGCAACAACATTATAGGCGATCTGGCGGACGTTCTTCTCTGAAAAGGTCGTCGCATTACGACGTCTAGTGATTTCGTCGAGTCGAGGGTGACGCCAGGTGCCAGGGCTATCGGTCACTGGGGGGCCGCCAATGGTAGTCGTCCTAACAGGAGTAGACATTGCGAGTATCGGGAATGGAAGAGACGCGGGGAATCTGGTTGAGGACGTCCGGATTGGTTCTGTATGCGTTGCTGGTTGATGATGGCCTTTATCTCTTGAACTTTCTGCAAGATATTGGCCGAAGTCTTCTGAACAATCCGCTCAAGCACAAAAACAATAAATAATTCCTGGTTATGGTTATGGTTTCCCTGTTGGTTAGTATAATTGTCGTCCTGGCCGAAGCCGTGGTGAGCCTGGTTGCTCCCTTGGTGATGGTATTTGTTGATGTTGCGACCAGAGAAATGAGAGGAGCAGTCTCCCCAAGGAAAACACAAGGCCTAGGCTGCTCTGCTCCTGCTACTACAGCTTAGCTCTGGCGTTGCAGCGCGACCAGCACGGGCCCTGCATTATGCTAAGCAAATCCATCGCACTACGCCACACCTTCAAACTCTCTAGTTCTTAGTACTTTCTGCCTTTCAAGCCACGGGGGCTGTCAGCAAAGCTCCACAGAACCTCCCTGCTCGTGAATTAATGCTCTTGTACCTGTATTAGTTGCCCGCCGTGACGCGCCTCAGCAACTTCCTGGCTCGTGGGCGCATCCGCCCCAGGCAAACTAACGCAAGACAAGGCAAAAGGCTGAGAGCAGCTGGCAACTTCGCTTCTTACTCAACATCTCCGCTCCTTCCTATCCTAACAGCAAATCCAAACCCCCCATCTCCGTTCATTTTTTAAAACACCAACAAGTAATCATCACCATCGTCGTCGCCATCACCATCGCCATAGCCATCCATCGCATTCGTAAACTACTAATCTGCGCGCGCAATCTGCCATTCGGCCATCATCTCAATCCCCACCTGCCTCTACATCTCCCTAGGAAACACTCATTACATCAACGAATTGATCTTCGCAATGCGCCGTTGATCCGTCTCAACAATTAACTTTGAAACCCGACCTACCACGATACCTTGCGAATAACTTCATTTCTGACAATCCTACAACCATACAATGGCGACTCCTGTCTCGCCCGCCGCTACTTCCGAGGCTGATCCTCCAAGTTCTCCTGGCCAGCCCGAAGCCAAATCCTTTGTCTCTCGAGCCGTGACCGAGGAAGACGATACCCAGCTAGCCAATGCCACCCCCGACCCTCAAGAAAAGTCGTCTCGTGCGAAAAGTAAATCATCACAGAACAAAGATGCTACCAACCAACCAACAATTGGCAAGATACGCCATCTGAAGAAAGAAGATGGCGAGCCTCTATGGAGGGAAGACATCCAGTACGATTTCCTAAAAGCTGTGTTCGACAATGAGATGCCTGTCTTCACCAACTCCTACGAACCCAAACGCTTGCAGCGGCAATGTTTTGCCGATCTTTACATCGATACAATGTCCCGCAGCTCAAAGACCAGCAAGGTCCTTCGCGACAAGCTCCTTAGTGACAGAGAGGCCGCGAAAGGTATGGCAATGGTCTGTCTTCTCGTCAACATGGGACGCATGAACACTACTCTGAACTGTAAGATCTTCAACATGCTGAGTAATTAACACTACTAACTGTCGTAGTTTTCCCCGAGATGCGAGCCCAGCTCAGAACGTACCATGCTATTCCTTCGCTGCAAGCTCGTCAGGATCCTCATGCATACAAGCAGTTGCAAGATGCTCCCCGTCTTAAGTCTATTCTAAAAGGAGGTGCCGAAGACAGAGAAGAGCCCAATTCTCTCGACAAGATCAAGTCGCTGGATACTCCTCGCACAAACCCCGTCAATCTCATCTTTGTCATGTGCAATGCAGCCCAGAAAGTTGCCGAGCTTCATTTCCCGCGCCATCGTGAACTTCACGACCTCATCATGAAGACTGAATACACCAGCAAGTCCCGCGCAAACGCGTTTCTCTGGCTTATGTGGTTCTATCTTGAGTCCGACTTCACAGAAGAGGGATGTGAAGAGAACCCTTTCGGACCCGGCGTGGACTACGGGCTAGATGTCGCCAACCAAGGGGTTCCCGAACTCGAGGAGATGAGTGCGGAAGAGAAGGCAAAGGAGAACGTGGACACCGAGGAGGAGATTGAATTTGGCCGCACGAAGCAACAGATGCGAGCCAAGATTCTGGAGATGGATCAGGCTTTTCTTAACGAAAGAGACACCAAGAGAGGCAAGATGCGACCATCATTCGCCGATGATGGCCCCGCCATTCTTCCTCGCATCAGACCTTCGAAGCATGAGTCCGACATGGACAGCACCCGGTCAACACCACCGCCTAGGGCGCTTGGTGGTCGTGGTCTCAACTCGAGTCGCAGGGGTGCCCCGCTGAAATATCAGATCTTTGAGGGCTCATCACCGGCACATCATGTTAATGAAGGTGTTGTGGCTCGGAAGCCCCGGCCTCCCACGGCGCACCAACTAGCAGTTGAGAGAAATCGGAGTCAGAGAGTTGAGTACATCCTTGATCGTGGTCTTCGTCGGCAGCATCACAAGAGTCGAAAGGTCAGACGTCAGGATGGTGCCATCTTCAGGGCGTACCAACGACTCCATGTTCAAGAGGATCCTTTCGAGGACAGCGATGACGAAACTTGTACTCCCCGAAACCTGACGTATGGAGATAAGCCTCCGGGACCGTTCCGCGAGAAGGGTGTGGGCGGGCTTTGTCTTTTGACAACTGAGAAGGATGATTTTGGTGAAGAAGTTAGTGCCTATGCCGGCGCATTAAGAAGAGCAACAAGACGTTTGATGCGTTGGGGACCTCATGCGTTGGAGCTCGGTGTTATCTCCACCGTCAAGCGGCCCAGGCCGAAGAAACTCGAAGAGGACGATGTGGACTTGGACTTAGACGACGATATGGACGACAAGCACAACGGAGACCTAGACGGCGATGCTAATGGCGATATCACACTTGGGGATGCTACACTTGGGGATGTCACCGTGGGAGACATGACAGCAGGAGATATGACTATGGGTGACGTTACAATGGACGACGCCGAAGTTGAAGACCAAACGGTTTTACACGACGACGACGACGATGGGGATGATGCCGACCGGACAGAGGTCATGGGAGATTCGGATATGGAGTAGAAGGTCAAAGACAAGATAAAGAACAAGTTGACGTTGGTATGTATCTCTAGCGGAAAGGAAGGGATGGTTAGCGATTCACAGGAGCTATCGCGGCTGGATTTGGGATCATTGGAGTTGGTTTCTTGTGTCTATTCGTTTTGCGAAGCTTCAATGGGTATAATTTGCACGGCGCTGAAAGATACACGCACACTTTGAGGATGCGGTGAGTAACAATGGGGGAAAAGTATTACATTTTCTCATGAAAGTTTGTAACTACAACCAATAGAATAAAACAGTTTGACAAGGCTGAGGGCGAATACAAATATGAAAACGAAGGTGATGAAGTGGCAGATGGAGTTTCACATGGCGTCAAGGCCAATAGATGCGGTCGGAACGCGGAACGGTCGGGGCGTTTGATGGGCCCGTCCGGGGAGCGGAGCGGACAAGCTTAGAAGCTCTAGCCTCTATCTAACGTAGGTCAGGGACAGGTCAGGTCAGGGTCCGGCTTATTAAGTTTAATTTCCGACTCAACAGAAAGAAATTGTTGCCGTCTATTTATTCCATACTCTCCTTCTCCCACGCCGAGTTGTTTGTTCATTTATCGAACTGTAACTTTGACAGTCAAGATACTCACAATGGCGAACAAAAAGTCAAAGTCAAAGTCCTCCGCGACCGCCTCGTCGCAGGGCAGCGGCCTCGGCAAGCTCCTCGTCGTCCTCGGCCTTCTCACTGCGCTGCTGAGCTCCGTCGTCTACTTTGTCGAGCAGAACCTCGAGCAGTTCTACATCTTCGACCTCAAGCACCTCGACGACTTGTCCAAGCGAGCCATCGCCAAGCACGGTCAGGATACAAGGGCTGTGGTGAAACAGATTGTGGACGAGCTTAGCGAGAAGGTCCCTGAGCACATCAACCTCAAGGAGGAATGGGTCTTTAACAACGCTGGTGGTGCCATGGGTGGCATGTACATCATCCACGCCAGTGTTACCGAGTACCTTATCATCTTTGGTATGTCTCACTATCTGCAGATCCGATCTTTAACTAACGCTTTTGATCAACAGGCACTGCCATTGGTACCGAGGGCCACACTGGTCGCCACACTGCCGACGACTACTTCCACATCCTCTCCGGCACCCAGCTCGCCTACGTCCCCGGCGAGTACGAGCCCGAGGTGTACCCCGCCGGCAGTATCCACCACCTGCGCCGCGGCGACGTGAAGCAGTACAAGATGCCCGAGGGCTGCTTCGCCCTCGAGTACGCCCGCGGCTGGATCCCTCCCATGCTGTTCTTTGGCTTTGCGGACGGTCTCTCAAGCACGCTTGACTTCCCTACGCTCTGGGACACGACCCGAATTACGGGTCGGGAGATGATCAACAACTTGATCAAGGGCAAGCTGTAAACAGGGTGTCTTAGGATATGGGATGTTGTAGATTAGACCGGCTTCGGATGTATATCATACTTTGGGCTTTGGAAAAGTTCGGATATAGACTTGTTTGTAAAGACGGCAAGACTACATGTGTCTGTGTGGTTGTATATGGATTATTTTAGATCTCTGAGCAGATAATACCTGTTGAGTTTAGCCAGGTTCATATTTGGATCTTGACAATTGATGTGTTGAATCGTCGAGCGTGCGACTGTTTGTCATGTTGTGCTTGCTTTTTCATTCTTACCACGACTGTTGACAACCTCTCCTCCTTAACATCGGCAAAGTCTTGCTCTTGGGCGGAACCAAGAATTGAATCAGTTGAGATCTGGACTAACATGCTAGGGTAGTTAGCTAAGAACCATGACAGAATTTATAAGACAACTTCAATCCTTCAGCATAAGCGATTGGGGTCTCAGGTTGTTATAATAAAGAGTTTAAAGATCCAGTTCACATGTATCGTACTTGGTATTAATTGACATAACTTTGCTATAAGATATATACGTAAATATTGTTATCTCCTCTTATAAACCTTTTACAGCTTATATAGTTGTACAGTTTTTTTTAAAATTCTTCTTATTACTATAAACTTCATATCGCTTTAGTATTAAAATTACCTCACATTAGTGAACTTGACATATCCCGAATTATCTTATTATCGAAGCTCTAACACAGAACTGAACTATAGTTTCTAGCAAGCCATGCTCCCAGATTTATTGGTGTTAGCCTAACTCGTCTAGTAGGTATATCTCAGAGTCTGTGGTTAAGTCCTGCTGACTTCTCCTTATGCTTATATCACCATCGGACATATTGCAAGCATTGTCTATTTTCGAATCACCCATGCCAGTATTGGTCATTACATTCGGCCGACCCTGAGCGTCAGCAGTTGAAATAACGAATCTATTATTTTGTCTCGTCTATCCACGCCATATACAACTCCCTGCTTGCTGGCAACTAGAGCTGACTTGATGCTAACAGAAGGGCTCGGTTTAACGCTACGACTTGTAGATCTGAGAGACCATTAATATCTCTCTGGGCATGTTGAATCTTCAGCTTTCTCAGTATTTCCCTGGTCTTAATAGAAAACTTCTTGTTGTGCTTCAGATTAACCGTGATATGCTCATTTGGCATGAAGGGTGTCACATCAGATATTTACCTGCTTGGACGGCCTTCAAATGCGGCGACTGCCTATACAGGCCTAGCGCAGAGGAACATGGTGCCTGAGCATATCTGTGCGGTGATATATGTTAGAAAATCATATATCTATCTACCCTAAAGTTGTCATGCCGCTTCTATAGTACAGAAGACGCTTCAGCGCTTCTAATCTGTGACGTTGTCGTTCTATCCTCAGTATCAAATATCTCGGTTATAGATGGACTGACTCCCCGATGATATCCGCCTGGTAACTTCCCAAAACAGTTCGGTCCTGATACGAAAACACAGCCACCGTCTGTTAGATTAGTTGATATGATGATCCGTTACTTGGCAAATGATGGGGTGGTGTGGTTGTCCCTGCCGATTGAACTGGGGATGGTAATCATTGCTCCATTAAAACCTAAAAGAAGCTTAAATTAAGCTGCATCGAAGGATGTTTCTAGTGCGGGGTGATTAAGCGGGATCAGGAAGGTGGCTTGGGGTTGCCGTTTGGGAGGGAGGTGGTCTCGTGTATCAGGACCATGATGAGTTGTGATGGATAGAGGAATTTCCTCGGAATGGGAAGAGAAGATATGCTGTTTGGACCTTTTATTAGTGGGAGTTTGTGTTTATCGTATATTGGAATATCAATGGTCTTTGCCAGACATGATACTTCATCGCATAATCAGTAGGGATAACCCATTCACCATTCATAGATAGACTAGGATAATTGCTGATGTACATTCTGCGTCTCACTATTTTCGTATCTCGTTTGCCCTTACGGAGTAGTCCTTATCACAACCTCTTCTTTTACCCCAAATAATCCTCTACCTCAGCTCTAGGCAATCAAATACCCTTCCAAACCATACCCAACTTATCTTTGCCATGTTTATCACGCCCAGATTTTCAAAAGTTCTTTCTAATCCATGGATTCTACCCCCCTCCCTTAGGCCGCCAAGAGCCGGTACCAAGCCCAGCAAATAAACCACCAGCAACTAAGCTCCCACGGCATCTTGGCGCGCGTGTTATCACGGGACAATGGCGGGTTGGCAAATCAGCGACGAATTCCAAATGCTTCAGATGCGTATGAAGCTTGGCACCAACTGCCCCCGATGTAGCATTGTCGGGGGCATGTCCTAAATGGGGTTTCTCCAAGATAAGGACCATGTCTTTTGCCAAGACATAAACACTGATACCTCGACAATCTAAACGCTATGGAGAAGAGCTCCAAAGGTAAAAGTGCAGTACAAGTCTTGTTACTACATTGATATCCGTATAAACAAAGCTTATATGGCTCAAGTTTCATATACTACAAATATAATTGGCGCGTATAAAGTACTCCTCTACACTAATGACTTACACAGACGTAGACATAAATCCCCGAACATTGGCAAGCTAAAAGAACACTATCAAGGACCTTTTTCTCGTTGCCAAGTAAAAGGTGAGACTAACATATCGCAGAAGTCCAATTGTCACCTCACATGCAGCACCAGCCGACCAACCGACACTCTTCCCATTCGCCTCCTTGGTTACCGTTACACCTGTCGTGAGGATCAAGTTGCATGCGAGACCTTGGCAGCGTGAGAATAGGACCAACCCTTGTCGCGAGGCTCCTGGTATCAGACCCTTTACAGTAGGTAGCTTTTATGACCTTCTTCTTTCATGCCCATCCTGGAGCCGTAGATACGTCCTCCTGACGCCTTGTAGATGCATGATTCGCATCCTCGCGGTGGGATCTGATGTCTTGGCCCAGTATGGTGTACCTCGGGCCTCCCCATTGTGTCGATCGTAGGGACATTTCAGTGCTGTGCGAGGTCCAATGCAGTAGTTTTGTCCGATACTGTAATACGTAAAATATATAAAAGACCCTCCCCAGTGGTCAAATGTCTCTGTCCTGTTGAGTGTTCAGCTTGTCTAATTCTTTGCGATCCATCATAGATCAGCAAATATCCAACAATGGCGCCTGCAGGAGACAGTCTCGCCGAGCCCATCGCCGTGGCCGGCCTTCGCGCCGAGATCATGGACGAGAAACGTGCCTCTATGACCGCTGAGAGAAAGGGCTCTATTGCCACCGTTCCTCGCCCAGAGACTGCTGATGCTACTGCTGTCGCGCCCACTGGCGGCGTTACAGCAGATGGACAGTTCCCTAACGCTGAAGAGATGGGAACCTTGCGACGAGTCCCGAATAAGATCCCTCTCAAGCTCTTCAGTATCGCCTTCATCGAGTTGTGTGAACGCTTCAGTTACTATGGTTGCACAGTTGTTTGTAAGTTATAGCTGGGTCAGTTTTAGTGTTAGTGTTATTCTAACTTGTATAAGTCACCAATTTCATCCAACAGCCTCTCCCTGAGGGTTCAACCACTGGCGCGGACGACAACCAGCCTGGTGCCCTCGGCATGGGCCAGCGAGCCTCGACCGGAATTACCACATTCAACCAGTTCTGGCAATATTTTATGCCTCTTCTCGGTGCCTACCTTGCTGATCAGTACTGGGGTCGTTACAAAACCATTAGTTACGCTTTGGTTGTCGACATCATCGGCCATATCATTCTGATCATCTCGGCCATTCCCCCTGTCATCACCAACTCAGGAGGCGCTCTAGGCTCCATGATCATTGCTATTATTGTTATTGGCTTTGGTACTGGTGGTTTCAAGCCCAATGTTAACCCTCTTATCGTTGAGCAGCTTGGTGAGCAGTATATGCACGTCAAAACCCTCAAGTCCGGCGAGCGAGTCATTGTCGACCCTGCGGTCACCATTGAACGCGTTTATCTATGGTTTTATTTTTGTATTAATATCGGGGCTTTGGCCGGTCAAGTATCAATGGTGTTTGCAGAGAAATACGTTGGTTTCTGGCTGTCTTACACGCTTCCTACGATCATGCTTTGCCTCTGCCCGATTATCATGTTCCTCAACCGCAACAAGTACGAACGACGGGAGCCAGGAGGCTCAGTACTTGGACCCGCTTTAAAAACATGGTTTCTTGCTCAGAAAGGACGATGGAGTTTAAACCCTTTCGAAACTTGGCGCCGCATGCATTCTGGTGACTTCTGGGACAATGTGAAGCCATCGCGCTTCAGCGACGAGACCAGGCCGAAATGGATGACATTCGATGACGCATGGGTTGATGAACTTCGCCGTGGATTCAGTGCCTGTGCTGTCTTTTGCTGGTACCCTATCTTTTGGCTTTGTTACAACCAGAGTATGTATATCCTCACTTACACGGACATCCACACACTCACCCACACACACAAACACAAGCTTCCACACACAATTACACATACATTTATACGTAAAATGAACTTACTAACACTAATAACAGTTAACAACAACCTGATTTCACAGGCTGCCCTCATGCAACGTCACGGTGTCCCCAATGACATTCTCTCCAACCTCAACCCCTTCGCCCTGTTGATCTTCATCGCTGTCAACGACAGATTCATCTACCCTGCTATGCGAAAGGCCGGCATTCGTTTCACTCCCATCAAGAAGATCACAGCTGGTTTCTTCACCGGAGCCGCCGCCATGATCTGGGCTGCTGTTGTCCAGCACTACATCTACCAAGAGTCAGACTGCGGCATGTACGCATCTGGCGAGGATTGCCCAGAGGCTCCTATCAACGTCTGGGCTCAGACTGGTGCCTATGTTCTTATTGCTCTCTCTGAAGTCTTTGCCTCTATTACTTCTCTTGAGTACGCCTTCTCCAAGGCCCCCAAGAACATGCGATCCATGGTCCAGGCTGTTGCTCTTTTCATGACTTCTTTCTCAGCTGCTCTTGGACAGGCTCTTGTTGGACTCGCTGCTGATCCTCTTCTTGTGTGGAACTACGCCGTGGTTGCTATCCTCGCTGTCATTGCTGGTACCTGCTTCTGGTTCCAGTTCAAGGACTTGGATATCCACGAAGATGACCTCAACGCTCTTCCTGAGGGTCATGCTGGTGCTACCATTGACGAGGAGTCTCCCTACGGAAACAAGAGAATTGACGAATAAACTGGATGTAGTTCCAGATTTAGACTCATATATAGTTAGTTACAGATGTCACTCAGCGATATCTCAAGTATATGTTGTCTCCTTCGGTAGTCAAGGTCTATGTGACCAATCTATATACCCAGGCATAATAAACAGGCTATTTCACATAAATGTTTTTTGAAATTGAGTATTACCTCTCAACTAATGGCCAGATTTATTCCACAAGGGTATCACGTGGCTATTCATGTGACTGTTATGTTCAACGGGCCGCACTCCATTCTCCCTACGCCTACTCCGATCAACTGCCACTGCGCTATAGTTACTTTTCTGAAATTCTGCAGCGCTACTAAGTATCGAACTATGGCTAAGTTTGCTCACGTTGCACTAGTATCAACAGCATCGATTGCGATACTATCAAGGCATAGGTACTGATGGTCAAGCCGTTAGGACGATGAAACCCTTACATACTAGGTACGCAGATGCGATACTCTACTGTTACTCCCCGGTCCACGCCTATTATATTAAAATTCGTCGATCAAACCCGACAGTCCTTTTCCGATTACCCTATCGCCATGCAAAGGAAGTCGTACTTGGCATTGTCTAATTTAGCACAATGACTAGCTGTTCAACACCATGACCAGCTGTTCAACTCACAAAGCTGCTAAGCGCTCCTCACGTTTTCTCATCGCTTCGGACACCTCGTTCAAGTTTTCAGCCATCTTCTTTAATCCATCTGACATCAACTCAGGCTGGAGAAGTCGACCGTTCAGTTCGAGGTGCTCAGGGGGTGGTGATATCGCAGAGGTCACGCCGGACTCGCCCCAAATCCGGATTCGGCTCTGAGCCAAAGATACGATCAATCTGGTGTTGTACTTCTCCACGAGTTCGAGCTCCCAGTAGTCCCTATGGCGAATAGTCTGCTCCACTGCCTGAGCCATGGTGATGCCATCGTTGAGCTTGACATATTCGGCATCAGCATAGCCCCCTTGCTTATCTCGCCACTTGGTACTAAGTTCCCATGTGCTGGGATTGAAGTGAACACTCAGGTAAGCCGGGGCATCAGCCCAGCGGTTTTGGTTGGGCTGGATTGTTCCATCGTGCTTTCGTTTAGCGGCTTTGACCGGGAGGTTTTCCTTGAATTTGCCAACAGGGACAGCGATGTGCTGAGGGCTCTTGTTGATGGGTTTGGGCAATTCATTGGGGTCAAAACCAGAGTCCCAGCCCTGGAAAATCAGTTCAAAGAACTGCCGTCGGAGTCGGGCCGTAGCAGGAGCGCCTGGGTATCTCATATCGAGCCAGTGAGCTAAGAGGTCGCCAAGGAAGGTCTTCTCATCTGGAACCAGCTCAAACTCTTCCTCGATGACAGTTCCAGCGCTACGGCTATCTATTGAGGCGTTCTCCGCGAAGATTTCCACGTCTTCCCATGGTTCAGAGGCGTGTATGCCAGTGAGGTTAGGGGAATCGGGAGGCGAGTCCGGCATTGGGTCTGGCTGATTGCGGAAATCGATTGCCTGTATCTGAAGGAGTCAACCGATGAGCGGATCGAAGGAGCGCAGGATATGCTGTGCTTATATCAATGAGCTAAACGTACAGTTCAGTCGATGAAGTTATTTCTGAGAAGGATCTGATGGTATGGCAGGGTCAAATTGAAGTGCTTCGGTCAACAAGTTCGACTGCTCGACCATCAGAGGTATTGCGAGCTCGAAAGTGAAGATGAATGTGGAAAGCATGAAGCTTGGATTGCAGGAAGGAATCTCTTTCAAGCCGAATTATAATTCACAGCGCAAAGTGTTGCCATTCGAAATCTTCTGTTTGGCACTGCCAACTAGGTTAACCTGCTCGTTTCCAAATAAACCAGCAAACATGCTCCAACAGCTTCGACAAACAAGCAATTCGCTAACCTGCCTGATCACCTTTGTCCAAATTAGACACACAATTGTAAACAAAGAGATTCTTTAATCTCTTTTCAAGTCGTGTATATGCGATCGTTGGTGGATGGAGAGAAGGTTACTAGCCCAGCGTTTCTTTTGGATATTGTACACTGGCCTCTCACTGGCAGGAGAGAAGAGGAAGATATGTATTAGGATATGATTCCTCAACCCAAGTTGATATGACGTTTTGAAGCAATTACATCGCAAAGCAATCATAACTGCACTAAATTCATTCACGAGGAGACCGTACGACCTCAAAAGTGTTCAGATTAGAAGTATATATCTTTCCAGCTTCACCTTTTTCATAAGCGAAGAAGCGTAATTGGTTTAGTGGTAAAATTCTCCGTTGCCATTCGAGCAGCGTCGGGGAGCCCTGGGTTCGATTCCCAGATTACGCATTGATTAATCTATTTGTTCTTGATTCCAGGTTCAGGTTGGTTGGGAAACATTTCTTTTGCCACAGGCTTGTCCTTGAGAACCAGTGAGCGAGTGTTACTTTCGGTATGTCTACTTTATATATGTTAGGAGTGTGTGTTGCATTTTTCTTATTGCCTTTTACTAACTACCTAAAAATATTGATATATAACAAAGTTAAAGTGAAGTATCTCTCTTCATTAATCATTATATGTTTCAAACATTTCTTAAGTCTCCTCGAGCTTCATAGATAGAGCTATAAATAAGGAGTCTCTATAAATTGTAGTATGGTAGTGAAACTATAGTCACTCTTATTAATACTTTTAAACAAACATTTAACCAAATGACGAGCAGGTATAAAGTCCATGTGCTGCCTGGCTGCGTAGCCGCTGCTCAAACCTCCACCTTCCACCTTCCACCTTCAAACAACTCCAACTAGTCTCTTCCATCCACCTACACAATCAGCAGTCAACATATCGAGCTTTTATTTCATTTGTCAAACAACCTATCGATGCTCGCCCCTTTGTTCCAAATCGCTGAACAACTATCCTGTAGGAGGGGGAAACATGCTCCCACAAACCACATCTCCTGGCTTTTCTCTCGAACTCCGAATGCTGGGCCATCACTCGATAAAGACTAGTACAACAAAACAGAATCAATAGTGAACGCAGTGAGTCTCTCTATATCATATTTCTAAACCCATAACTAACGAGGTAACAGTGCAGATCGCCTATCTGAGCGGTCGTTTGAACTATCATGAGGATAGGATCGAACACCTAGTGGCTAGGAGTATATTTCGGGATCAGAGGTCGCGTCGAATATCACCTCCAGCAGTCTCAGAAACAATAGAGTAAGATACCTGCAGTGAAAAGATCGCGACATTATGAGAAGATCTGTCAACCTAACATCATCCCCGAATTCCGAGTTCTCGCCTTGTTCGAAGTCCATCCTGGCAACACAATCGCAACTACCATCGCAGAACAAGTGATGATGATATACCTGGGGACTATAGCATCTGCGAACCCTATGCAGAAAAGATTCGAGCAAGACATGCGAGCCGCAGTTCCTGGCCTCCCTGACTTGTTAGAGAAAGGACTGAATCGGGGACTACCCCTCGCCCAGGGACAACACTGGATGCCGAGGTCACAGGGACTTCACAAAGAATGGCTAACCGCGACTGGACAGACCAGTCACTGCTTAAACTGTGGGAGGCCTGGGAATGAATCGTGTGACGAGAAGGGTTGGGTCGGTTGGTTTGAAAACCGACGATGCCAGCCCTGTTACAATTGGCGATGGACCTATGGACACGAGAAGCCGACGGACCTGATCACCGACGAAGAGATGCACAACATCTGGGTCGGGAACGGCAACAAAGACGCATGTGGCAACCCAGCTTGCCAAGAACCACGAAACCCTGAAAAGGGAACTTCCAATTTCTGGGGCCCGGACATGAGATGTGGTGCCTGTTCTCGATATAAGAACACCCATGACAATGATCCAGAGAGCCCGCGTCTTGGTCTAACGGCGACCAAGCATCCAAGTTGGGTGGCTGAAGGGAACGATGATGTTTACGGAACATGTCACACCCCTCGACCGACCGATAGCCACCTGCTTGGATGGCAAGGCTGGATGACATTGTCGAAATGCGGAGCATGTTTGTACAAGCCCAGTGCGGAGGAGGATGCGGCCTGGGCCGAGATGTATGGGGACATATGTGCCATTTGCGGCGTGGGAAGGAGGTTCACCCGGCGACTTCGAAACCGGTGTGATTTCCGGCGGTGTAATACTTGTGTGATTTTTCTCCCGAAAAATCACAGAGACAAGGCGGGAGACGAGGTAGACAACGGGACACTTGCGTTGCAGAAGGAGTGGTTGGCGGAGGGTAACGCCGATGTATGTCAACTGTGCGGCAAGGAGAGGGAAGGGGGCGGGAAGTTCTACGGGTTAAGAGAGAACACCAAGTGCAGAACATGTTATGCCAGGGTGAACTACCATGCCGAACTACCAGACCAAGCATCTGGGTTGGGTGGCTGAGAGGAATGACGATGTTTATGGAACTTGTTACATGCCTCGGCCTTGGAAATGTATGAGACTGAACCAGGATGACATCCTAAGGCTTAGACTATTTTAGAAACTGAGAGGTTATATTGTATAGAATTATATTATATTATGCAAACTTAGAGTGTCTTATCATGAACTTAGACTACCCGATGATAAACTTGGTCAATATTTATATAATATTATTCTTCTCTACTCATACTTTAGGACTAAGCTTTAGGTTGCTTATATTGTCTGATATCCCTTACTCTCACAACCATCTTCTTAGATAGAGAGGTTGGGCAATGGCCCTGCATGCCGGGCGTTGTGAGTCTAACTCCTAATATGTCCATTCCATTAGCAACGACGACAGATAAACAAATGAAAAATCGGCAAGTGCCAAAGAGGTGCATCCAAGCAGAAGGGTAATCATATCCTGGTGCGACGAATCTCTCACCGTTACAACTATGAACTTCACTTAACGTCCCATCTACATTCACACAAGCTAGCGATACATCCAATTGTGCCTCCAATCACTGCAAATGTATTCTTGGCTAACGTGTAATCATTCGCAATGCTAGCCGCCCAAGCCCATTGATGGCGGTAGTGCCATTCCCGATGCCCGATGTCCCAGATCCCAAGTTCCAATGTCGTAGTCCCGAATTCCCGATTCCCATATCCCCATTCCCATGTCCGATTCCCAGGTCCAAGTCCCGAATTCCCGGTTCCCCACGTCCCACTTCCCACTATGCACGCCTACATTCTGTTGCGTGGTGCTCTAGGCTGTCTGCGCTCGACAGCCTGGACGATTCGAAGGAAACTCTGGCTCATCTCGTGCATTCCATCACTGATAAGGTCGCATTTGATGAGGCGACCATTGATCTCGAGTTCTGACGGAACATAAGGTAGCGCCGCCGTGCCGGCACGGCTGAACTCTCGAATTCGGCGCCTGGCCAGCGCAATCACCATATCCGTGTTGTATTGCTGTACGAGCTTGCGCTCCCTGGCGTCCCAGTTCAGGATCGCCTTTTCGATCGCCTTCTCCATCGTCAAACCCTCTGCCAGGCGGACGAACTTACTGTTCACGATCGAACCGTGCTGGTCCCTCCACAGGGTTTCAAAGTTGAAACCCTGGGCGTTGAGGTGGACGCTCAGGTACGCCGGCGCCCCGGCCCGGCGATCTTTGTTGAGCTGTTGCTCTTGTCCCAGCTTCCGCTTTCTCGGAGTCACTGGAAGGTCCTCGGTGAACACTCCAACTGGCACGGCGATCTGTGCGAGCTTTTTCTCAGCTCGCACCGGGAACGAGATAAAGTCATTCTCCGAATCCCAGTTCTCGAAGACCAGCTCGTAAAACGCATGTCGTAAAGACGCAGACACGGCCTGAGCATGACCCGGCGTGGAAGGCCGGGCCATGCACCAATGTTGCAGTAGATCGAACAGCTTGGACTTTTCGTTAATAGTTAAGTCCGATTCGTTTATGATGCTATCGAGGATGTTTCGTGATTGGCAAACAAAATTATCCGCGGCAATCTGCTCCGACATCATGGGGGCTTTGAGTGTATCATCTGGAACCTTGGTCCCAGACGCCGGCGGAGTTGGGTTCGACATATTCAACGCAACAGTTCGAAGGCGGTCTATGAGCACTCAGTAACATTTCCTTAAATGAGCTATAAGAGAACTAACCCTGAAGTCTTGGTTGTGGGTATTAACAATGAGGAGGATGGTTCGGAGACGTATAGATTTGAAATATCGGAATGCGAAGTTTCAGTTGTCGTGTTCGGTAAAGACGAGAGGCTACCGCGGCAAGATGGATGAATAATTTCAAGTTATGTGAGTGATCGTTTTCGATGAAGCTGAAGTTTTGTGTAGTAAGAAGTGGTCAGGTCAAGAGAGCGCAAGTTGGTTGAGCCTACGCAGATCTTGAAAAATGTGTTCTCTGTAGCAGTGATTGCTTGAAAAGAAGCCAGGCGACGGAGATTTGGAGTTTGGTGCCAAGACTTTTCCTGCGTTCTATTCAAAAAGCACTTGCAAACGCTCTCCTCAATTTTACAATAGAAACTGAGGTCCATTGTATTGGCAATGTGTAGTAAAGTGGGCCACACGATTAACAATGCATGAGCTGCCATCTTGAAACTTACAATGATGTGCACAGAGGGAGAATCTAGGAGCATACCAGGTCCCCTCAAGGATGCTCACCTTAAATTGACCCCTTCTCTAACCTCATGTCTTAGCCACTCGAGCTTCTGCCTGTCGTGGCAGTTGTTGATGGCCTCTTTGACATTGTCGAAGGTTAGGCCAAGGCTTACTTCGTGGCAGAGGCTTGTTACTTCATGAAGACTCATCGTTGGGGGTGGCAGCTGCGGGAGAGGTTAGCGATGTGGACCGAAGGGTAGGGGTTGATCAACTGACTTAACTTGACTCTTGGCTGCTCGATGGAATAACTAACCGACGGGCAGTCACAAGCATCGATTAACTAGCGTGCTTGTTGTGTTGAACTGGCCAGACCGGTTAAGGGATGAAAGAGGAACAGCCAGCAGTTATACGTACGGTTATATAAGCTATACGTGACTTGATTAGAGTCTAGCTACCGTATGCGATTTCTATTATCCTGATATATTAAGTTTAAATCTGCCAGAAAGAGTTTAATTATCTTATTAATAAAGCTGGCAGAACTCGAAAGCTGGGGTTTAATAAGGTTAAGGTCAAAGTAAAAAGTAATAAACCTCTCCAGGCAGGTTAAAATTTAATATATCAGGATAATAGAAGTGGTATATATTAACTGAACTCTAACCAAGTTACGTATAGCTTATATAACCGTACGCATAACTGCTGGTTGTTCCTCCTTCATCCCTTAACCATGGAAGGTTGAAGTTTGTGGAAGGAAGATGTGTTCTAGGTTACAGGTCATATATGTTATGTTTAAGCCAAGGTACCCTTCGGACCGGAGGTTCATTTAATCCAATTCACGCTCACGTAAACTTCGTTAGGATCCTACTGCGCCATAATTAACGTGATGCAACGCGTAATAATATCAATTAGAACTATTCTTGATTTATTTACCCACTAGTTTAATGTAAATAGTTTAGATTGTTCCTGCAGTGTGCCCTGTAGATTGACTTCACATGGCTTAATTCCAATCACAAGCCAAAAACACACCTACCCTGCAGGCCCTCCACCATCAACAACCACCAAAGTCGACCCCAACAAAACAAAGACAGCACGGCAAAAGAACACACGATGCATTAAAAGATGAAACATCCAAATGAGGCTAAAATGCGTAATCTGGGAATCGAACCCAGGGCTCCCCGAAATCATCTGAATGGCAACGGAGAATTTTACCACTAAACCAATTACGCTTTAATGCTTTGATGACCTTCGGCGACGGTACTTGAAACCATGTCGTATTGTCTGAGAACGGAGTCTGCTTTGCCTGGACTGGAGAATCAGGGGAAGTGAACGGAGAGTCGAATGAATATGTGTGGGTTAGAGGGTTATGTAAACGGGAGCAGTACAAGGTATAGAAGTTTCCGTTGAGGAAATAAAGTTAAAGTTGATGTTAATTGTAAGCCTAAATTAACCAACGAAGTGCCGTTTTGTCCTAATGTCAATCGTAGGTATCTTGGTAGTGAACTTCTGGAACTCTGAGAAAACTAGAACGTGTTATAGTTGCATTAGTCTCGGCATATGTAGATCTATCGGGAGATGACTGATGAGTTTGTAAACTACCTTGGTAGATCCTAAGACACGTTACTATAAATATGTAGCAGTCGTGGAAGTATGAGTATGGATATGGCACGAGTAGAAAACCCTGTAGAATCTACAAAATAATGTCTAGTGAGGCCAACTAGCAGACGCTCGGCTGTTTGACTTAACGGAGAAGCTCGATGGGCCAGTGAAGAGCTACTGGGACGATGAGTTCAAGAGAGAAGTAGTCAGAGGAACAACGACAGCCATTCTCAGTTGATGCGTGAGTATATGAATAGACACATTGCCGTGAGTTGATAGTGATTCACTGCACTCACTATCAGTAACAACTACATATTCTGCGTTGAAGTAAGCATAAATACTCCCAATTCTCCTCTCACGAATACTCAACCTCACTTCAATGTTTCCCTCTACACAAGCCTTTCTCAACCTTCTCTCCTCCCTCGTTTACTTCTTCCTCTACCAGTTACCCAATACACTCTCCATTTTATACTTATCCTCGCCTACCATGTCCAATCTCAGCATTCGCGAAACACCCGCCCAGCGGCATAGCTATCCTTGCATGACATGCTTCCGCTCAGCATTGGGGGCCTCTGCAGACATGCTCGCCAAAGCGAAACCTACCGATGATATCCAAAAATCCATCAAACCCACATGCTTCTTCAAGGATGCTGGAAAGACTAAGTGTAGTCTGTGTTTGGCGTACGAGATGAACTGCACTCTGTAGGTTGCTTTCCAACAACTGAATCGTCTGCTGATAGTGGACTCCTAGTGCTCCTGCGATGCTCGAGGGCGATTGGATTTGCTTGACGGAGATTCTCGAATGGGTTGATCATGTCCTCGCTACTCATATCCCAGCTGAGACTCGTCATGCTCTCGTCCATGCCCTTCACCGTCTATGCGTGACGTTCGATGCCGTGATTACTGCTCACTGCAAGGAGTTTGGCTTATCCCTCTCTCCGTACGGAAAGCCAGACAGCGTGAGTCTTGATGCATTCATACATGTTTCTCGACATGTCGCTGACGTTGATATGCAGAAAACTTTCATCGCCTACGAGTCCGCAGTAACAGCCCGCCGTGGTGTCAAAGCCCAACTCTTTCCTGCCCACAATCGCGGTTCGGTTCGTTGTCCTCTACTCGTGTATCGTTCGAATATCGCTGATCACCCCTATAGCTAGTCCAAAATTGGTCTCGGTGGAACCGCGCTCAGCTGCTTTACCTGACCTCTGGGGATGTGAGTCTTGCCTTGGGGCCAGTGGGCGTTGATTATAACCCTCTGCGGGATATCAGGGCGCGCTTTGGTACAGATATTCATAACCCGTCGGGTGAGCTTGACGAGGCGGGTTTCCAGGACTTTATTTAGGCTGGGGATCGGTTCTGTAATTTGTGCTGGTGGTTTCCGTTTGACTACATCGTTCGCTCCGTTGGTTTCTACATTGTTATCATTAGTAGTCAAGGAATGGATCGCCTTATCTGTTAATGGCTTTAGGGTCGACTTCAACAGAAGGGGAAATTGGAAGAACAAAAGGCCTCAGTCTGCAGAGACACAGGAGGCTCAGCGGGTGCTAGGGGAAGAGGAAGTGCCAGGATTGCTATACGAGAGTGAGCTACAAGCAAAGAAGAAAGTGACTGGGAGGACAATTAAAGCAGACACACGTGATGTATTTGCCATTGAAAGATAGCATAAGCCTTGGATGGTGACAATTCCACATATAGTGCCTGTCATGGTACGTACACACTTGAATACCAATAAGTAGCAAAGCCAAGAATAACCAAGCATGTACTCTATAGGCACCTCAGTCGAATTCACCAACATCTCGTCATCTTCAGCACCCAACGTAACCAATCAATGGCTACAAACTCCTTCTTAATCTAAGATACAAAACGCAGAGATAAGGAGGTTATCATAGATAACAAACCCTGACCACCCCTTCGTTAAAGTCACCCCTAACCAAGTCCAGACTGCCAGATAACGGAGATTTCTGCCCTTGTCACCCCAGATTTCTCCCCCACGCGGCGTCAAGCTCTACCAGGGAGGGAGAACTTGGCATATACCGAGATCTGGGGTATTCTTTGGTGATCAGACTAGGTTTAGGAGATATAAATTGTGGTCTGGACTACCTGATGACAAACTTGGCTATAAGAACTTGAATCAGATGGGTTAGGGAGATATTTCCCTGAAAGATGGAATATACAACCCCACGCATTACATGATATCCATGATCAACGACATGGAGGGCGGATCGGATATGCGGGGGTTGCGAATGGCTTTGCCATGATATACAGTTCAAGTGTTATGACACATCAGACCTTGGACTTGATGTACTTAACGTAAGGGGCAGGTAACATGGGGGTTTATTGTCCATGACGAGGTGATAGGTTATTAATCAATATGCATATATATTCATACGAGTATAAATACCAGCTCAAGTGTGCTCTTCATTTATAGTCCTACTCATTTGTCTAACTCGCTTGTCAGATATGATGACCTACACCCAAGACCACAACCATATATAACTCAACAGCAGGCACAAGCCAACAAACACATCCAACGTCTAATGAGTTATCAATCCTCAAGTTTAGTATCGATATATTTGCTGGAGAGAACCTCGTCCAGCAGTTCGCAACATCACCAGCAGAAACAAAAGCGGATGGTAATTCGTTATTGTTAAGTCATCCATTGACCAAGTCATGATACATTCGTGTAGGTCCCCTAGACCAATCAAACCACCCCGAGGGACGCCTCTCCAGAAAGATTTAAGACACAACTCCTGCCGAAATGCAATGCCACCAGGGTCCGCTCCGTGATCTACCTCAAGGTTGAGTTTCCAGATTCACCAAAAGACTTCCTTTTTTCCACTTCCTTCTTTTTTAGTTAAACCTCCTCACTTCCATTTCCCTTCCTTTTTCGTTGTCCTATTTTTTTCACCAACGATCCAGACACATTGGTCTGTGTATTATGCTAACCACTCTTCCTCGTCACGCTTGCGGCCTTTAATAACTAGCCCATCGTCATTATCGTCATCGCTGTCATCATCGTCGCCGTCGTGGATTCTTAATTGCTCAACAGAGGTTGCTGCGTTGTGCACCTCTTCGTCGTCGCTTGCATCGTCGTCGAGCATCCATGTGAGACCATTGGCTTCCTCTTCTATGGGGAACATCTCTCTTGCGTACTCTTCGATCCCTCGAGGGCCCTCCCATAGCTCCAGGGCTTCACTTGGGCAGCTTAGTTCAACCTTTGGGTCGCCAAAGTATGGTGGTTGCTTTCGAGGATCTTTTTGGTTTGGGTCGAACAGTTGCTCTAGACCGACGAGCTGCTCTCGATAGCCTTCGGGGATTCGGACCTTGGTCTCGATGGGACCACGCACATAGCGCACAGGGCGACCAACACCCTTGGAAAAGAGTCGACACACTTCCTTGGGAGACAAGTATTCATATGCAAGTGCTATGCGCTCCCCGCTCCACTTGGCAGGGCCATCCTTGAAGATTTGGAGAACCGCAGGACCGACATCGTGCTCGGCATCTAACCAGGGCAGCTTGGCGTCAGGGTGGAAAGGTGCTTGCCATCTGAAAGAGCCGTCCTTTTGCAGCTCCATACAGAAGAGTGGGTACTGAAGAGATGTGAAATTGTTGTTGTAGATGCCGGTGTACACGTATGTGGCTGGTATTCTGAGTTTGCGCACATACTGCTCAACTTCGTGCTTGGCGGCCCAGAGAGGCAATGAGGGCCATTCTGGGTTGTAAGCGGCGTGGTCGGGCATCGATGAGTAAACGTAGTGTTGAATTCCTGCGCGCTTGGCGGCATCGGCAAGGGCCTTTCCGATTTGGATTTCGTCGCCGTAAAAAGTGGTATTAATGAAGGCTAGCTGAGCACCTCGGAAGAGACTTGCGATCAGGTCGTAATTCACGCCGACACCGGCGATGGGTCCATGTTTGGTGACATCGCGGTTTTCTTCAGAGGGCTTGTGTCTTGTATACAGCTCACCAACAAAGACGGTCACATTAGGGTTCCCCGACACTTCGGCAGCGACAACGCCGTCGAGATTTCTCAACTGGGCGCGAACATGGTAACCAACGGCAGTGGCCACGCGAATGAAGGACGCAGCCTGTCGCCCGCTGGCGTTGATGACCGCGATCGTCTTGTCCGGGTTTGACATGAGCCTCTTATAAGGACGGAAAGTCAGGGAGTTATTTCTAGAGCTCGCAAGCGGAGAAGAATCGGAGTAAGAAGATCTTGAGTGCTTGTGTTGCTTGTAAAAAACAGCGGTCTGGGGTTGGGTTGAGGTCTGGTCGCCTGGTATTCGGATGGGGATGCTGGCGGTCATTGACCCGTTTAGTTGAGCGGGCATGCTATTGCGATGGTGGAGGGTGAAGGGAAAAGGGAAAAGGGAAAAGAAAAGATCACGTCGAGATCGAAACTCGATTCGAGGGCTGAAAGCCACCGGAGACGGAGCGGAGTGGTGGAAGACAGAAGGGCCTTTATTAGCCGGGACGGGGTAGAGTCCAAAGGCCGGTATTAAGTCGGGATGGTCCTCGGAATGCCGGCTTGGGAGGCAAACAAACACAGATGTATCCGTACAGCAGAGGGTTAACAAAGCTGTACGTAAAACTTGAGTCTTGGGTTGGTGGATCAAAGGGTAAGCCGATGCACCAGACAGCAGACAGACAGGGTGTATAGGTGGTCTGCTAAGCTCCTTCAAGTCCAAGAGGAGGAGGAAGAGAAGAAGGAAAAGATCGTGAGAAAAGTCACGAAATTTGAGAGAGGGGGAACCAAAATATAGTTAAAACCAGACACCGACACCACACAACAGAAGAAGGCGACTAGTAGTGAGAAAACCCCAGTAAAAGTAATAGACAAAGAAAAAAAAAGAGGTCACGATGCTCCGTCGCGGCGTTGCGCCAGGCTTTGCGCTTTCCAGTGTGCGGTCGCCCCAGTTCGTAGGTGGATTTAAATAGGTAAGGCGATGGTCAATGGTCAATGGTCAATGGTAATCCAACAGACAACCCTTGCTCAATATGCGATTTGTGGGTGAATGTGGATTTGGGGGATCTTTGATGACCTGGAATTTTGAAAAGGTTCTAGCGTGTAGTTCCAGTTCCAGTTGCAGTTGCAGTGAGTGCTTCAGGGTCTTTGTTCTCTGGCAGAAGGAGGTCGGAATCTGCAGTAAAGAGCTGAGGATTCGGGTATGTTGTCGAGTAGAATCAGGTTTGAGTAGTAGAGCTGAGCGGAGTAGAGGTAGAACAGAGAAGAAGAATACGGCAATGCAAGAGCAAGTAGCAATCGACTTGCAGCTGAGCTGTATCAATCAAGACAAGGGGGTTTGGTCCCGTTGCACCGGTCAAGGTCGATCTCCTGCAAGAGATTCAGCCAAAGTCGTCGCTCGCGAATAGAGACGTAGAGTCGAGGATATGAGGGTAAGTTGCAACTTGCGAGTAGCGAATCGAAGCAGAAAGCAGAATTCTATCCGCAATGTATGGACGGAATTGTATTATGTATTGTAAGGGGAAATGGTGATGGGTGGTGTCGGTTTATGGCGTGCGGTTGCGTTGCTTTGGGCTTGATAGCGGAGGGGGAGGGGGCGTATCCGACGCCTAAAAATACAGGGTGTGAAGATATAACATGACCTACCCAAGAACCTCACATGGACCTTCAACTTCACCAAATGTATCCACTGTAGCGCTACTCTACGCACACGGGCTATTACAGCACAGACGAGGGGTCCTTTTTTCCTTCCTTCCATTAGTCCTCGTGGATACTGTTTGCTACCTACTGTACGATCTGATCTGGACCAAAAGGGTTCGAGTCCGGGTTTTAAAGTAGAGCCCGTAAGATGCCAAGAGAAGAGCTGCAAGTAGCTCCAAAAGACAAAAGAACCAAGCAGTAAATAACTACACAATCCTTGAACAAATGAGGGGTCCGAGGTGACTTTGAATCAAACAACTTGTTGCAACTTTTCACTCTTGCTGCTTGGTGTTAATTAGTTCAAGCTTGGCCCAGGTTTTGTCTGTGTGTAGCCGTAACCCAGTAGTATAAGGCAGCGAATGAGAGAGCCGCTCGTCTTCGTTATCAACCGAATCTGTGGATTTTTTTCTTTTTCTTTCTGATTCAGTCGCAGGTCCTGATCTGACAGGGCCACCATTCATAACCATACTCCACATATACATTTCTAAAATTCTTAGACCTTGAACACCAGGGCTGAAGATTTTAATTACTTCATCTGCAGAAGCGCAGTAGAACACGATGGAAAGAATGGGGAAATGGGGAACAGATTGCGGGTGGAAACTGGGGATGCTCAAAAGCCCCAAGCCTCAAGCCTCACAGGATGGATAACGAGGGCATAGAGGGGCTAGAGGGGAAGGGGAGTTCAAAAACGCCAAAGATAACAAACAACCGGATTTCATCATCACAATGGGAAAGTTAAGTGTCCATGGGCACACATTGCACACCCAGGACCGGCACGGACTCCGGCGTGTGAAACCGACTCGACCGACTGATAAGAGAAAGACAAGAGAGAACAATTAAAGGAAACGCCATGTTTATTTCAACGTCACTACAGAAGTACCCTGCCTCGACGAGGTACCTTTGTCAATGGCCTAGCCAAGACACAAGTATCCTCCCATAATAGGGGTACATTAACAGTTGCCCTTTTTGTCCATCTAGCATTAGAATCCTCGGTCAGCGAGTCACCTGGCCTGTCCTGTGCTGTGCTGTCTCGTTTCGTCTCCCTAAACCAAATGGAACCACTCCGAGTCTTATCAGTACTTTTGATCATGTACCTTTCCGCATGAAACGGGTTGAGAAAAACTTGACCGTTCTTTTCAAGATTAGAAGATCGTCCATCTCGTGCTCAAGACAGAATAGAACAGAATGCGAAAAGATAAAGATAGGTCTGATGTTGTCTCTTCGATCCCAGCTGACGCCCCTGCAGCCAGGGCTACATTACCTTGTTCGAGGTTCGGTTCCTAGTGGGCCATGTACGGCAGTGTCAATGACGGATCATGAAAACACACTGACCGTCCAATAAGTACAAGTCACCTTACCCTCGTGATGTTGGGAATAGTGATTTCCGGGAATTCCAGAAACGTTACGTTAACTCACTACCCAATCTGAAAGCTAGAGCCAATACCAATCGCGCGCCGGAGCTGGGCCACCAAGAAGTGTAGAAAATTTAAACCGGTCGGTTCCTCCTGGGAAAAGCTTCTGGAGCCGTCAAGGTATTGGAGCTCTGACCAATCGGGGCAAAAATTGATTGCTCGTGGTATGGCATGAACCTCCTTGGAACCTGATTATCGCTATCAATCTCAACTTGGGCTGGGCTGACTCTCGAGAGCCTGGGATGGACGTATGTCATTAGAAGGCGACCAATCCTACTGCACCGATCTTGGGCATGTCATTTGCTTACCCCAAACTATCGTCGAAGGCCTCATTTCGTCAGTCGATTTGAGGAACAGGCTCATTTCATTTATCGGACTCCCACTTATTTAATCGTCAGAAACTTCGAAAAGACCCTCTCGAACTAAACCTGGCACAGATTCGAAAAGTCCGGGGATAGCCAATCAGGCCTAGACTGGACTGTGGCTCAAGCCTGTCTCTGAATCGGCGATCCAAGAAGCTGGGCTTATCGCCCAGAACTGGACTGGTTTGCCTTATTAACTGGCTGATGGAGACTCATATCTGTTGGAGTCGGTCAACTGACATGGAAGCTTATTTAGCGTCCATGTATCGGCTTCAGCCATGAGGTCAATTTCTAGGTTAATATTTTCCCTGCATAACAAGCGAGTAGGGGACTTGTCTCGTGAGCGGCCGATCTGGGTAACACCTTGGCAGGTCTTGCATATCCGTCGTCAACCTGAAAACCGTCACATCGACCTTGATGATGAGGGTGTCATTGTTGGCGTCGGTATTGGTATCAATGTCGTTTTTCGGTCTAAGCCCAATTCCAAGTCTGGCAATCGGACATGCAATACCACCCATGTCATGACGAGAAACAAGCACAAGGCTCAAGGCCAAGCGACGGGGATCCTCCAGGTTCCAGGTTCCAGCTTGCAGGAACAACGCTGCCATTCGCCAATAGGCGCCGGTCCTCGTTCTCATTACATAGCTTTTACTCGATTCCATCTACAATGATCTTGAAGATAGAGTAATTCACTAATTTTGTTTCTCCTCATGGCCCCCTGTTAGCTTCGTTATTTCCATCACAAGACCACGGCTGGTCCGTTGATATCGCCTCGTACCTTTTTTCTCTCTTTTTACTAAATCAACCCCTCATTGATATCTCTCTCGGTGTGTGTTGCACTGCGGCGGCGCAGAATAGAGAGAAGGCCATCACTCAATTGACTCTTCATTTCTTTGCGGCGCAGTTATTCCCCCACGATTGGTACGTATGGCGCGATACTAGGTACCTCCTCCACAACCATTCGGGTCGGAGGGAGGAGCCGATGATGTCTCATGTACCTACCTGATCTCATCTCACCTTCTCACCTCACTTTATTGCTAGTATGGTGCCTGTCTTATAACAAAGGTGCGGCAATAACTGCTTGGGCACTAGGAAGCTGCAGCTTAACCAAAGTCTTTCCTAGGGAAAGACAATAGATAGAGCAGGTGTCTATAAAATGGACTTGCATTCGCTGCAGGGCGAGGCTGAATTGCGTAACATCCCTATCGTACTTAACGCCGGTAGCTCGAACTTTGATAAGGCAGGCGCTTATCTATCAGTTGAAGCAGGCGGGCGTCCGTAAACGGCAGCTACTTTTCATTTTTATATACATCAACCTCTGACCTGCCAACTTGATTGTTTCAAACTCTCTGTCGCCATCTCAACCTCAACTATACGAATACTTTCCAACGGATGACCAAATCATACTACATGAATAAAGCCAATAATCTTGCCAAGATACGGACATCATCGAAGGCTGAGGCTCTGCTCGAGATCAACATCATTCAATTATTAACCTCTAAGCAGTCAACCAGTCATAAAGCAGCAGTCAAAGACATCCGGTGCTACGACAGTTCAAGGCCAAGAACGCGATCCATGACCCTTCGAAAGCGATCCTGTCCCCACGGGAGCGACCCGAATAGGAACCCACGCTCCCGCTGCTAGGTTAGCTCAGGTCCGGGTTCATGGTCTTGGCCTTGGTATCTGAGGTTGCAGACCCAGCTGGCCGGCGGCGAGATTTGCTTGGTTACGCGGATAGTCGACCCCGAAAAAGACAAAAGACAAAAGACCAGGGCCAGAAGCTGCCCACGATAGAAGTGGAGGTGTTTGAAGAAGTGCCGAAATAGCGTTCAAATTAGGTAAAAGTATCGAGGCGGCACCATGACTCTCCAGTCAAAATTTTTTACCCCGAATCCATTTCTCATCGACTTGACAACACGTCCAACCTCATTGCCTCTTTGCTCGTGCAACTGATAGCGGCGTCGCGGGATGACAATGGAGCCTTTGGTCACCAGACTTTGAAAATGAAATGAACAGAACCGATGCTATGCTATGCCTGCTCCAATCCCTCCACCCTGGCGGACGACCTCCCACTAACACGGGATTGCTGTCCTGCTTTGGACTGCTAGGCCTTGTGCGGACTTGCAATGGACGTTGCTGTTGAATCTTTTGACACATAATCATGGAGACATCATAACACATGATTCCTTAGGATATTTCTGCTACATACAGCACAATCTATCAACAAATCTATCATCGCAACCAGCATGGCGAAAGGTCAGGAGGATTCGCTCTCAGAGTTGCACGTTCTCAATTATCGATGTCATGTTTGTGCAACTTTGAAGTCAGCTTGATGTCAAACTTAGACTTATATGCAGGTTATGGATCTTTAGGTTATCCTTCAAGGTCTGGATCCAGGATTGGCTCTCCTTGTGGTCACCTGGTCTGCGCGACGTATGGGCCGTCCACATTGGAGACTCTAGAACCATGCCATTGTTCTAGAAGGTGCAAGTTGTGAATTGGCGGTCTGCCAGGAGCAATCGCAAAAGACTTGATCAGCAGGTGAAACCTACGATTTTCAACATTCCATTGCGCAGATATGAGAACAATACAACTGCAGGACTTTTTCAGCGGTACAGTATACTTCGGGTGTGGTTCCGGGGCTGAAAGGATTGGTGTTGCCCGAGTTTTATGCTGTGTGGCCAACATGACCGGACGGCATTCCGACGCCGCACCTGAAAAATAATCATCTCCGCGGAGAATAGCGCCACTGACATTTTCAAGCAATATCCGTACCCCGGATCGACGTCATAAACCCCTGCAAGCAGGATGATCGTTGGTTCAGGTCCGGTGGCTGCCTATCAATGATTATCAGGAAGTCCTTATCAGTAGGCATTCCAAACAACCAAAAGAAGCAGGTCATCCAATTCGCAATTCTACCCTCAGTGGTCGCAATAGAGATTAAGTTATGATCTCCCAGCCATTAAGTGCTCCAGTATGACTACGTGGCAATTCAGGATGCTCAGCTCAAGCATCATATGCTTGATATAACCCCTCACTCCAGCCTCGGCTTACAAACTGATAATGAGCTTCATCCCCAACGTCCTCGCAGTGCTTGCTCTGCGGGGATTGCTAGGCTAGTCACCCCGGATCTCACTTCCCCAGAAAGCGGACCTAGCTCGGGATATTGTATGCTTGTCCCCGTGAAATGTATAGATAGCCATAACAGCCACACCACCCTTCACAATGTGTAGGAAGCGGTAACGGACCCCGAGAACATCTTGTCACAAGCTCAGTAACCTTATCTCTGTGCTCCATATCTTCCCCAACATTTCAACGACACCCGGATGGACTTCCCTGGGCATGCCTGGTTTCAGATTAGGAGCATGGCCGACTTCATTAAAGCCCATATCTCTATCTGAAGGGACTTTTTGAAGGGTCGACCTTAGCTAGTCTCAGGATTACTGGGGTCCCAGATTCCTGATCCCATCATATCCAATTCTTCCAAAGGCGGTGGCCTCTCTGTCCATGTCTGGCCTGTGTCCTCATTACGTCCAGCATCGTGACTGTGGGCCAGTGATATATCAAGATACCGCTTATGAAGTTGTTAGCTCGTTACGTCCCCGGATCGCTTGACCACTTCTTCACTGCGGTGACTTACCCAGTCCATGTTGCTAGCTGCATTGTCCATCCAAGCTGGATCGAACTGAAGCCCCTCCGTCCCCATACCGGGGAAGCTCATGCTAGTTCCTGCATCTCCAGCCAGACCGAGATCCAGGGGTGTCTCCCCTGTAGATCCCGTTGACGTACCTGCTACCATGTGAGTCTATATGTTTGTTATCTTTCGCTTCTCAGAGGATAGTCTTACCTAATCCCAGACCTGATAGAAGTCCCGGATCGCCTCCGATTGACCCCAGAGTGCTAGGATCTACTGAAGGTACCCCATACGAAGAAGACTCGTTGTTAACACTGGGATCCTGTTGCTCAGGAACACTCGCCGGCTCTTCGACTGGATGCCCGAGCTTTGATAGCATGGTCGCCAGGGTATCTGCCGTCTTCCTGACTTCCGCCACGTCTTGTGACACATCCAGCCATATGAAGTGAGATCGTTTGATCATGCCGATGAGTTCATCCTTGGTCGGTGTCGGTGTCGTCTGAGACATCCAGTCATAGTCACTTCCAACCTCGAAGTAGTTCTCGTTCTTGACGACGAGATAAAGCACCATGGCAGCCATCAAGAAGTCGTGAACTGCTAGGGATGAGACAAACCAGCCGTTCTGACTCAGGATATGCCCAGGCTTACATGCTTCCCAGATGACATTCTGATAGTTGAGCAGCGACAAAGCACCTTCGAGACATTGTCTGCGTGAGTAGTCATGCTCACGTCGTGGGATCGCCTCTGCGAGATAGCGTCTGTGCAAAACGCAGCGGCATTTGTTATATAAAGCAGTTAAGCCGAAACGTTGAATAAGCAAAATAGGGGCTTCGCCAACACAGTCATCGAGTGGACGCACCATCATAAAAGATGGAACACCACACCAGGTTTCCTGTAGCAAGTCGTCAAGCTTGCTGACCTCGGCATATCTCGGTGGTGTCAGCGCATGAGCCTGTCGAGCAATTTGTCCAAAGACTCGCATGATTCGTGTCTTGTGGATAGGATATGTCATAGGAGTCCAGTCTCCAGCTGGTCGATCGGGAGGTAGTCCTGTTGAATACTCGTCGAAATCATCATCATACAAATTCCGTGGTATAGTAGTATCAGTTTCGATGCCTTGTAGCATACTGGGAAGACCCATGTGGAAAGATACCAGTAGTTCTACTTGAATGGCCATGTTCCACATCCTTCGACGCATCTCACCATCGAAAGGCGAGATATTAGCCAGCTTGCTCGGGTCTCTGTGGAGGCCCATCTTGAGCATCAAGCGAATGCATACACCTGACAGCACATAACAGTTCATCTGTGCCGCACGGTTGAAGAGGAATTGCGACTCGACATAGAGTAGAAACGCCGGGAGTGTTGCAGCGGAGGGTTGTGTGTATTTACCCCAGACAAGAGCCCATCCAGCGCAGGCCTTGTAGTGTCGGATCCTATCGTGGGCTGGTAAGAGAGAGTCGCCTTCGAGCTCACTTGAGTTGATGAAGTTGTTAAAGAAGATACCGAGACTGAGCATCATGAACAATTGAGCTATCCAGTGCAGTGAAGCTTCGTTAGGGTCTTGCCAGAATTTGGCATATTGTCTAGTGAAAGACGGTCGATGGACAATATCTAGTATATGTAAGCCACTGTGGGAGGGGGTACTGATAGGCCACACTTACGTTGTGAGGGACTCATTGAGGCAAAATAGCGTGAGATGAGTCTGTCTGCCACATTTCGATCCGGTAGACTGTTCAATAGCTCCTCTCGGTTCTTTGTTCCAGCTCTTGTGTTTAGGATAAGTTCTGTAGGATCAATCTCATCGGCTGGGGATTGATCATCTTCTGTGTCATCAGGATGCTCAAAGTAACTCTTCAAATCCTCAATCTAAGCCACTGTCAGTGTCACGTCCATTTCCATGTCCATGTCCCGTAACTCAGGGTTCAAAATGGATACTTACATCCTCCAGCATCGCCATACAATGTGTTGCGCCAACATAGGTTGTAGCCTTTTTACCATGCACCACATGGCCCTGCACCTCTGGGCCAGTAGTAGCACCATTCGTCACCCGCGAGCTGTCCTTTGTATCTGCCGCTGCCTCCAAGGGTGCACCTTCAGAGTCCATCATCTCGCGTACCATACCCTCAAGCCGTTTGAGACGCGCGGACATGCCTTTAGCAGGACGCTTCCTCTCGGGCTTGGGGGCGTAGGCGCATTGTGAGGCGCGGCCCTTCTTTGCACATTGGTTGCATGGTTTCTCTCTGTCACACTTGAGCTTTGAGTTGCGACAGGGTGCACATGAGAGAAGAACACGGGAGCGCTTCTGACGAGCTTCAGATGTCGATGAGTGCTCATTATCATTCGGGCTGGTATCCAGATCCATTGTAAGCGGGGTGAAGTGTCGAGTCTACAGGGCGGATATAAGCCTGCTATGTCCGACAGGGTAGGAGGATGGGAAGTGTATGATTTACTTCTTTTTTTGTTGAATTGAGGTTCGGTGGTTTGGATGTTAAGTAAGAATGGTTGAGTTGAATGCAGGTTGTTACTCATAAGTTATAACTGCCTACGGAATAGTTGGTTGTTAGAAAGCGCCCAATCACATGCTGCTGAAGGATTTCACATCTATTTAAGGTCATCCCACTAGAAATTCGTAGATGATGATTAAATTTTGCTATTAAATCTGTCAAGGAATTTGAGAATCTCTTGAATATGCCATTTTTGCACTACAAAGCAGAGTTTCTAACTCTCGGTTGCTTTGTTTGACGATTGGCGACTCTGATGTCTCCTCACTGCTTCTATAGGCCGACAACTTCACACAATCCATCTCATCAATAGGTATCGAATCTCATAGGGGTATGTATTGATTGAAAGCAGCCCATGTGATGCATCGTAACTCGTAAATGCAAAATTTTCCGTTCCCAAATAACAAAATAACTCCTTCATGAATCTGGTGCATTTGGTAGCCTCTCTATCACGTACTTGGCCCGCGCCACACTCATGATTGGGACACCAGGGATCTTGCGTAGCCGTTGCTTGAGCGCCTTATCGTTTGTGCCCACAATGTAGATTCTGTTCTTCTGCACTCGGTCCACCAGGCAGTCATCGGCATATGTGCCCTTGTGGTCGCACTCGAGTCTTGTCCATCGCTCATCTCTCGCAACCCTCAATGCCAATCGGTACTTGGGACCCAGCTTCTCGAGTTCGCTCATGACGCAAGATGTGATGATTGGGTTACATTTGGCGTAGAGACAGTCCATCATGGAGTCGAGGAGGGAAAGTTTTCGCTGGACGGAGTGACTGATAAAGTTGGTATCGACGAGGACGCTGTAGGGCGGGACGAGGGCTGTGTTGTGCTGGAAGAACATGTTGCTTGGCATCTGTGGCGCTTCGCGAATAAGTTCGCCGTTGATGGTCTTCTTTTCCTTCTCCTTCTGGGCCAGCTCTGCCTTGAGCTTGTTCTCCTTCAGTCGGGCATCGCGACGGCCAATAACTCGCTTGACCTGTTGCGCAAAGTGGTTAGCATTTGGAACTTTTGCGATTTTTTCACAGTTCATCAGTAGTAATGCGCACCTCTGCAAATTTGCGAGTCTTTTTCTGGACACCCATGGCTGATTGCTGTTTAGAGAGAAATTGAGGGTATCTTTGGTGTTTGACAGACTCGAAAAGTTATCGCACTAAGAAGATTCTGCCATGGAAAGTTGAAAAGCGGTGGAAAAGGTGGGGGCTCTGCTTCCCAGGTCGTAACGCACGGACCAGGGCCACTGGGTGCTCCTCGACGCGTCTCTTTTCTCTGAGGCGCGTTAAGTGATTGACATACATTCTCAGGCTTCAGCTCACATTCGGCGGTATCATCAACGATTCCACCACAACAAAACATACCCAAAATGCCGTCCCAAAAACCTGAAGAACGTGGCGAGTCGTCAAACTCAGCCTCAAAGGCAGCCCTCAAAGCTTCTACCAACGGTACCCCTAATTATGAACTCCCATGGTATGCTTGTCATAGTCCTGTTGAATCTGCTCAATCGCTCACTGACGATCTACAGGGTGGAAAAGTACCGACCGGTTTTCCTCGATGATGTTGTCGGCAACACAGAAACGATCGAGCGACTAAAGATCATCGCCAGAGAAGGAAATATGCCCCACGTTATTATCTCGGGTATGCCAGGTATTGGAAAAACCACCAGTGTTCTATGTTTGGCCCGACAACTTTTGGGTGATACGTACAAGGAGGCGGTCCTGGAGCTCAATGCCAGTGACGAGCGAGGTTCGTGCATCCCCGTTTTTTATCTTCTTAATTGACTGACATGAAAAGGTATTGATGTCGTTCGAAATCGAATCAAGGGCTTTGCCCAAAAGAAGGTTACTCTACCCGCTGGCCGACATAAACTCGTCATTCTCGATGAAGCCGACAGTATGACATCTGGTGCACAGCAAGCCCTCAGACGAACTATGGAAATCTACTCAAACACGACCCGATTCGCATTCGCATGCAACCAGTCCAACAAGATCATTGAACCCCTACAATCACGATGTGCCATCCTACGATACGCCAAGTTGACAGACTCTCAGGTCGTTAAACGACTGATGCAAATCATTGAGGCTGAAAAGGTCGAATACAGCGACGACGGCTTGGCAGCATTGGTTTTCAGCGCTGAAGGAGATATGCGACAAGCCATCAACAACCTTCAATCCACATTTGCCGGTTTTGGCTTCGTCTCGGGCGACAACGTCTTCAGGGTTGTCGACTCTCCTCACCCTATCAAGGTGCAGGCGATGCTGAAGGCTTGTTACGAAGGCAACGTTGATTCTGCACTGGATACACTCCGAGAACTCTGGGACCTGGGTTATTCAAGCCACGATATTATCAGCACCATGTTCAAGGTGACAAAAACAATCCCAACGCTGAGCGAACATTCAAAGTTGGAGTTTATCAAGGAGATCGGCTTCACTCATATGAAGGTGCTGGAAGGCGTGCAGACACTGCTCCAGCTCAGCGGATGTGTTGTTCGATTATGCAAGATCAACATGGATCCCAAGCGCTTTCGGGTATAGGGTTGGAAGGACGAGTCTCGGCATGGGTGCATAACTGGCGTCGGAGTTGGTATTTGTCTGAGCAAGTGAGGAAAACATGGGAAAGAAATGTGATTTACACAGACGACTCAATGGTCATCTCTAATGTGACATGTGCGCCGTTATACCCCAAGCACTTTCGGTAAGAGCTTTCAGTCAAATATCAAATGTACTTTGTTCCGTGCTGAAAGTGGTTACTTGCCATCGCCCTTAATGTATTCTTCCTCAAATCTCTGCCTTCTGGCCCTGTCACCCATTATCCTCCTCTCCATCCTTATTCGCTGCTCATATGCTCTGAGTCGTGAATCTGCCTCGATCATGCCTCCTGGCACCATACCACACATTTGCAGATACCTAAGATGATCAGTGCCAGAAGAGATGTAACGTGAGATTAACCCTACACTTTGAATTGAACCGTCATGGACCGATACAAGGGTGACCATATGTATCCCGCAGCACCCAGAACTGCAGCGCCTACTCCCCACTTGAAAGCACCTATAACACCTCCTCTGGCTGCTTCCCAGGCGGCATCGCTGGCCTCCTCACTCTTCATCGCATCGTGACTACGCATGATGACGAGTTGGACAGGCCTGTATAGTTGGGTGCTTCTGGGTTTCAGATATCGAGAGAAGCCGAGAAACGACGAGTTAAATATCCAATTGGAGAATGAAACAACGAAAAATTCGTCAAAACAACATCGGACGATAGTTCGTGAGCTTTCCAAGACCCCGAAGCCCGGACACCTCCGTTTCCATGACACACTTCTCCGAGTGTGGCGCGAGCTGCTCACCAGCCACAGCCACACCTTGCATCTATCCTCGGCGGAACGTCGGCCCCCACAGGCGCCCCGCTACAGCGGATTACTCATTTAATGGAATTTTTCTCAAGCTCCCACTTGTTCCCTTCCACACTCTTCCAAGGACGAACGAAGATGACACGCATGCAATAACCATGAGTACCTGGTTACCTGGTGTCGCATAGTCCCCGTGCTTCTTCTCTTCCTTTATAAAATATTCGCTGGACCTGTCACTCGATTTCTTTTTCTTCCTGGCGTTGAAAGAAAAGTGCGCTTGATTCAGCTGCTGTTTTTCTATCTGCTATTACAATAACTCTACCTGTCATTTGTCGCTTGAGCAAAGTTGCCCAACATGGCTGACAACGTTATGGCCGCCTACTGGGATCTCCCACCCGTGTCTCGGTAAGTCACTCTTCGCTGCCACTTGTATCTCAAGTACATGTCGTTAACAATCTTCAGGAACATCACTACTGCTGTCGTGTTGACTTCAATTGGCTGTATCGTTGGTCTATTACCAACGGGGCAACTGATTCATCACCCATCTTATCTTTGGATGTTCCCTCCTCAGATCTGGCGCCTTGTAACGTCGTTCTTCATCGAACTTCATCCACTCAACTTGCTCTTCAACGCGTTCTTCCTGTACCGCTACTGCACTCAGTTGGAGCTGGGAAACCCCCGTTTCCCTCGCAAGGTCGATCTCATCTACTATATCCTCTTCGTCTCTTCCGTAATTCTGGTAAGCTCTCGTCTACACACCCGTGCTCTGCAACTCTCCCACGTGTCCCTTTCAAACCCACCTCATCTATACTGCCCGGATAGTGCTTTGCATCTAAAGCTATCACGGTTCCTGAATATGAGGAAGATTACCCCTGCACTTCGGACTACCTATCATTCGCATTTTAGTGGTCTGGGGTGTGGGTATGGTGGGATGTCTATATGGATGGCTCGTGTGACTCCAAATTCACTCGAGTGGTTTTTTAGCGCCCTACATTTCTATATCATAGCAATAAAACATTTTATATCCCAATCACGTACCCGTATGTCTTGTGCCTGTACTGAGGTTAACGACGTCGCTAGATGATCGACTACCTTGCCGGCCTGACCAGCTTCATGTATATGAACGGCCTCATTCTCGCCATGGTGTACACCATAAGCCAGGACCAGCGTGGCCAGAAGACACAGTACCTCGTCCTCACCATCCCGGCTCAGGCTCTGCCAATCTGCATGATCGTCGTTGCTGCCCTCATGGCAGGTCCTTCCAAGGCCCTAGTCGAAGTCGAGGGTCTACTCGCTGCCCATCTGTTCGATTTCCTCACCAGGATCTGGCCCGAATTCGGCAACGGACCTCGCCTTTTGAAGATTCCTGCCTGGCTCGAGCGCCTCGCGCAGACCCCCAGAGTTCTTCCAAGAGCTTTCGGCACCGCTATTCGACCTGCTAACACTGCTTCCACTGGCAGTAGCACTGGCGTCAACAAAGGCCCGTTGCCAGACTCGTGGCGAACTCGTGGCCCGGGCAAGCGACTGGGTTAAAACAGGGTTTAAATATTTATTGTCAGTCACTTGCAATGTGTACAATAAGATAGAAGAATGATTATCGCTATAGACTCCTGCGCCCTGTCATGTGTATCGTGACGATCTAGAGGGCGTGATGCCCGGATATATTAACCAAGTAACTCCAGGCTTTAAAACTGTATATTCCTTTCCAAACAATCTTTATTTCATCCAATCATCCATAGACGCGGCTGTTGCCGCTCAACATGGGAGAGATGTTGGCCTCTCGCCTCTTCAAGTATTCATCATTGAAGCCCGCAGGGATTTCGTGTGACAATATCTGTTTGCCACCGAGCGGTTTGTCCTGAAATCTGGGATCTAGTACAGCAAGGGGCTTAGAAATCCTCAATTCACGCGAAGGGTCATTATCAACCGCGGAGATCGGCGTGGCCTCCAATAAGTTAAGTTGAGGCGGTGCCTTCTTCTTTGGAATTGAGAGCTTGGGGAGAGAGGGCATCGAAAAGCTTGGCATCTTGGACTTTTGTGTCCCTGGTGCCGGTACTGGTGCTGGTGCGTTGGCCGGAAGTAGTGGTTGTGGTGTGGGAGAGGCATTGCGGCTGCCAGCGAGAGAACTTATCGCGCTCTCCGAGGGAGTCTCTGCACTGCGTCGGGAGTCGATACTGGCGCCACCGGCGTTGAGATAAGTTTGGAGAGCATACGAATCTGGGACGTTTGTCCTCACGTTGCGCAGGCCTGAAGATGGGGATGGCCTACGATCAGGTAGGCGACTGACCACCCGAGGAATGTATGCGGGGTGTGTAGGAAGAGCACTGTTGGGAGCATTGCTCTTCGAGTGAGGTGCGTAGTGGTATGTTACAGGAGTTTCTTTGTCTCCTGTCCCATTCTCAAGGGTGTCGTAGTATTGTGCGTTGGATAAGGTCCGGGCATGTCCGAACCTTGCAGCATTGCTTATAGTCGACAGTGGACGTCCAGGATAGTCTGTGAAGTATGAGGACTTCTGGATGCCATACATGGAATGATCATTCATTGGTGCGTCAGGTGGTGGTGATTCAATCTTAATTGCTGCTGCGTGACGCCTTCGGCTTCGACGACAGTAAATGCAAAGAAGACAGAGAGCACCGGCAAACGCGAGACCACAGCCGACTGCAATACCGACAATGGTTCCGGTAGTCATAGAACCAACGGGCGCACCGTCATCGCCGGGCAGCGTTTCGTTGGTGTTGGGATCGGTGATGTTGATGAGCGAGGACGTGAAGATTGTGCCACTGAGGCCAATGATATCTCCCTCCTTGGGCTCTTGCATACAACCAGCTTTCATGGCAATCAGAACTAATGGTGTGTTAGCATGTTAAAAGACAGGCAGCTGAGAGGTGACCGACAATTTGCAAGGTACTTCTGGTTCGACGTTGAGCGCAAGCAGCCGATGCAGTCTTTATAATGGGTACTCTTCATGATAGAGTTTTCTGCTTCACAATAGTCGAATTGATTATCGGTGTTGGTCTTGAGTAGAGACGTCGACAGAGCCTTCTCAAGAGATCCGCATGAGCTTTCGATGTTGCAGGGGGAGTTGATAGTACCCGAGTCCGCTGCATCAGGGTAAGAGTAAAGACAAACATCGAAAGCATATCGGACATTGTCTACAAGATGGAAGCATCAGTAAGAGCACTGGTTTGAAAACCGTGTTAGTAGTTGACTTACACAGAAACCAGTACACGTCACTCTCTTTCTTCAACGCAGTGTCACTCTTCTGGAGACAGTTGAGGCAGTTCTTGAATCTTATACCGTTCCCTGTATCTGAATATTCATCATCCTCACACACAATATCCGACGGTCTTGTCACTGGACTCTCGGAACTGGATGATGTCGTATTCGAACCGCCTGAGCATAGAGCAGCACATTCGGAGTCGGGTGTGAAGTGAAGAGCGTGGACGGTGGAGGTAAGCAGGAGAAGAACGGAGGCCTTGAGGCCCAAGCGAAGGCCGGCCATCTTTCAAGTCGAGTAGTTGGATCTTGGCGAGGAAGAATTGAAACTCTCGGTTCTGGACTTGGGTCGGGAGGGCCTAACAAGAGCCGCTCAGCATGGTAGACTAGGCTGAGAAGCCTCGCAGCACTGGTATGAGTTGAATGTCAAACGTGGAAGATGGGGATGTATATGATGATCCAAGTAATCCGTAGATCAAACTACATCTGCTTTTAATTGAACTGCTGGACGAAGACCCAAGAAAACAAATGGAGGTTATGGCCACCACCTTTGAAACGGATATGTGGGTGCCATGACTGTTTTATTCCAGCTGGAATTACAGTATGCAGTCCTGCAAGTCAAGGTCGGCTGCAGATAGACTCCCATTGCCTTGGCTCTTGGGTCACCCATGTTTCTACGATGTGCGGTACCGTTTGTTAAGTGACCAGATGCAAAACAGGTGGTAAACACGAGTGGACCATATCTCGAACTACATGCAATGCATGGCTGTAGGTGTAGGACGAGTTCTCGCTAAGATTGGAGAGAGAGATGTGCATGTGTGTGTTGGCCGTAAATAGAACGGCCCATGTCGAAACATAACCGTCTAGCCAATGACTAGACCAGCATCAAGAACTTCCACAGTGGAATAGCTGAGCGAGTGATCCAATCACGAGTCCACGTAGGCATCCGCGGCGGTTAAAAGACAACGCTACCAAGGGTCCTGGAAAGCCACCCACAAATCAACTTGTCGAGAATGGCCCTGCAGACGCCGGCCGCCTTTCGCGACCTGCCTCTGTAAGCTTTTGAAAAAGCTTGGTCTGGTGGTTTCTAGAGCTTAATCCCGGTGGTTGTCAGCATGCCCAGTATCCGTAGCCAGGATTGAGACGACAGAACCCCGCAGCCTACCTATCTAGACATGAGATCGGCATAGATATAGATGTATGTGCAGATAGAGGGTCTAGATGCCTATCCGTGGGTCATAAACACCTCGACCATCTTCCTAGGAATATGCACCAACAACCCTCAATCAGCAACAGTTTTGATCTTCGTACGGAGATCCATCATTCTATCTACAACCCCACCTGTCCTCTCCATCCCACAGTCTCAGCTCGTTTATTTTAGCTCGAGCACGTCTAGAAAAGATCTACATAGAAACAAACGACGCGATAGACGCCCAGGCTGCCGCGAGCGCGCTTGGTTCCACCATTGGACGGGCCCTGGATGGCTTTCCTGGCGCCAGCAGATTAAAGGAGTCTAGGGGCATGGTGTGATAGTGATATGAGCTGCATATTGCTGCCAAACGGGTTTTCGGAGGGTGCGGCAAGGATGTTGATTCCTTTGTTGAAGCGCTGGTGGCTGGCTGTCCTTGCTGGCATCGTTCGATTCTTACGTTGAGGGAGGATTCTGGCGTTGCAAGACATTGGTAATCTGTGGATACTACGGAGTAAACCTTGGATCTCTTCCCCGGTGTCTGGAGATAACCCTGATGATAGGTATAGATAGATAGATACTTGGTTGACGGATAGGTCTATGTTGAGCTTACCCTATAGCTAGGCGACAGGTGCATGCTATTTGCAGTGGGTTATACCAAGCGTTTTCCCCTATTGATATTGATGTTTGGAAGAAGTACTCGTATAATATGTCGTTGTCACCGGGGATGTAGGAATACCAACATGTTGATAATTACGTGTACCCACAGAACGATATCCCCAGCTGCCGATCGTCATATCCACACCACATGCATGTATGTCACTGTAGAATGTAGAACCAACAAACAAATTCAATGTTTAAAGCAAGAACAACTGCATCACTCACGTAAACACAAAGTGGTCATTGGAGCAACATCTGAAACTTCATCGATATCACACGTGGTGCATTGCATCGGCAAATATTATCCTGCAGCATCTTGAACGCGTGCATCCTGGTATACTCCGATTGTCGCGTGTGGTTTTGTGGTCACCTTCCCTACCTAGAAAGAATGCTGTGAGGCTGATATAAATTCGATAAGTTTTCAACTCCCTGGATTTAGCAAAGATGCTATCTGTCTATGTAATTGGGTCCGAGTTTGTGTATCGGTTGCAATGATTGCAGTGTGACAGCAGCATTCATTCATCCATGCAAACAGTGGTGAGTTGTCAACCTACCCGATGGCACTTCTGGCCTCACATGTACGATCTAGGGTTAATTGAGGTACACGCACCAAGAGGAAAACCTCAAGATGAGCAGACGTTGTGCACCTTGTTCCCAACTGGGCGATAATATTCAATGGAATGTCACTTTTATTCTGCCCTCCTACCACACCCCAAAGCCCTGGGTTGGACTAATCAAGAATGGACGGATACAGTAACCGGTTGGGCTTGACATAAAAATCTCCGCTTGGATTTGGTCAGTGCTCTCCATTGTGACCCTTGTCTTGCAGCCGTGGATCTGGTTAACGAACCACCAGCCGCATCTTAGAACCAACAGTCGCCCAACATGCCGTGCCCTGACAGGTGAGCCTGGTGAGGTCGGACTGACCCCTGGACCTCTTTTTAGTGATTGGACCAAACCGTTTCAACGACTCCGCGCCCAGTGTAATGTGCGAGCCCAAAATGCTCAAGTGCAAAATTTGTCCAGAGGTTCAAAGTTATCACGCCCGTCACTCACATCAGTAGCGTCATCAAGTGGGCCAGTTAAACATACGGACCGCTCCGCGCTGGGCCGGATGAGGCATGGGGACTCTTGGGATTGTGCGGGCGAAGGAGTTTCATACCCTTGATGATGGGTTCAACTCAGCGGTTAATGCCCGCTGGTAGTTGGCCAGTGCCGTACGTGGTACGCCATAGGGCATGCTTTCATCTCACCGTTACCGCTGGTGTGTGTTGCCATTCAGCCATTGTCGCTTTTGATGGTCACCTAGTGGTGCGAAGGATCACCGTTTGTTACCAGCAGACTGGTGCATCACTGCATCCCAGCCTCTCCCATACTAGCCAAGAGCCAAGCTAGCGCCCCTCAATACCGTCCAGGGCCCATAATCTGCTGCATTGCTTCTGTCACACTTCGATTCTTCTCGCTTCCCCATAGTCGGTAACCCCCGTTTTTGGCTGTTGGTTGTTGGTTGTGTTGGTTTCGCATCTGCATTCCCTTTATACCCGGTTATACTTCGACCTCAGCTTCATCTTCGTGTTTCATTGCCATTTCGAGTGTTTATATTGCCGGCTTGTCGACATTTCCAAGGCTTTTAAGCCTCAGCGCAGCTGTACTTTGTTGGAAGTAGGAGTGAGAGTGAGAGTGAGAGTGAGAGTGAGAGTGAGAGTGAGAGTGAGAGTGAGAGTGAGAGTGAGAGTGGTGTTGGTGTTGTTGCGGGGTTGGGCCAAAAGTCCAACAGTCCACAAGTCCAAATCGTCAAGATGAGGATTGGATGTTTACAGTTTGCGCCCCAGGTGGGAGACGTCAACAATAACTTGAATCGAGCAGATTCAGTTCTGTCCAAAGCGAACCCAGACGATCTTGATATTCTTGTCCTGCCCGAGTTGGCCTTCTCTGGTAATGGTTAACTACCCGCCTGACACGACTCCTTACTGACCATTTTATCAGGGTACAACTTCAAGTCGTTGCAAGATATCGCTCCCTTTCTCGAATATTCCGGCTCTGGCATCACATCACTCTGGGCCAGGACTGTCGCTCTTAAATACAACTGTGTCGTTACAGTTGGCTATCCTGAAAAAGTCGACCTTTCTGCGCAATGGCCAGCGAATCCGGAATACTACAACTCCACCATCGTTGTCAACGCAGAAGGCGAAACAATAGCAAACTATCGCAAAGCTTTCCTATATTATACCGATGAATCATGGGCTCTAGAAGGAAACGAAGGTTTTTTTGAAGGATATATCCCCGGTCTCGGAAATACTTCAATGGGAATTTGTAAGTTGCCGTCAACGTTATCAGCTCCATCGGACTAACAATCTTGTAGGCATGGACCTCAAGTACGCACAACACTTGCAAACTATTCGGTAGATATGCTAACCATAAACAGCCCTTACAAGTATGAAGCGCCTTGGAACGCATTTGAATTCGCCTATCATGTCCTTGAATCGGGGTCCAACCTGGTCGTTGTGTCTATGGCATGGATGACCAGAGAAGAACCACGCAAGTTCACACGAATGCCCAACGAACCTGACATGGATACCTTGACGTATTGGGTCACCCGTCTTGAACCCCTCATCCGACAAGATACCAGGGAAGAGATCATTGTCGTCTTCTGCAATCGTTGCGGTAACGAAGATGATGTTCTGTATGCTGGCACTAGTGCTGTAGTTGGTATTCTGGACGGCGAGGTCAAGGTTTATGGTCTTTTGGGACGAGGAGAAAAGGAGCTTCTTGTCATCGACACAAATGAGAAGCCCTATGCCAAAATGGTATACCGAAACGACTCGAGCAACAACATCTTAACGGAAGTGCGTGGCAAACTCGAAAAACAAGGCCAACGAACCGAAGGCAACTCTGACGAGCCGAAAAGTGCTGTTTCTCCTAACGATGCAGGGCATTATGATGAACAGCAGTCCTCCTACGATCATGAGAATCGGGACACTCATACGCCGCAACCGAAAGTGGCTGCCCACCCATTCGATCGTGAACTTCCATTGCGATCGAGACTTTACCAGGAGCCGCAGAACGAAAGTCCTCACGTATCGGCAGCCACTGTCCCTCGAGAGCTTGACCTAGTAAAATCTCAAGCTATTCGCTCTCCTGGGCTAGATGCTCTTAGTGTTCCTACACCATCTGCTCCTAGCCCGACTCCGTTGGCTCTTCGGCCACGGCTCATTATTCCCGAATCACCTCAGTCTCTGGTACACCAAAGTCCATATGGATCTCCACCCACTGCTACGTCTTTGAGATCGGCTAGATCAATCCAGTCAATCGACTCAACAATATCTGGTGCGTCGGTCAGCACTGTTCGATCAAACCACCGCCCTCCGGAAGACAGTACCCCCTACCCCGACAGCGCAATGCCTACTGCGCACCCATCAAACTTTTCACAGCTCAGGAGTCAACTGTATGGCAGTGATTTGGCTGTGTCAAACGAGGACAACTACACAAGCCCGAGATCGGATGTGGATCAAATGTCCGAAACAGCGCGCTGGCTCTGGAGTCCTTCGGAGAATGTAGCAGCTACACCTGCTTCGGCAAGTTGGGTTGAAGAGACACCAGTTGGGAGGAAACAATCTGCATTCCCTTGGTCGAACATAAAGGCTGACCCGCGGCCCCAAAGTACCGACACCGTGAGACATGGTAGCAGGCTCGCTTCTTTCGTTCAAGATTCCAGAGGCTTTGATTCCCAGACACCATTAAGCAATACCTCATCAAACTTGACGAACGGTACAATCATATCGGATTCTTCGGTCACCTCACAGCGAGCTATCACGCCTTCGCACAGATTGAACATGTCCCCCAAGGCAACGTCTTCACGCAGGTCAGAGCGATCCAGTCGTTCCAAGACATATGAGCGAGCCCCATCGGCAAACATATATCATGGGAGCACTAGTGCGGAAGTTTCGCAACAGCCAGTAGCAAGGTCCCAACGATCAAACTCGCGAGTTTCACGAAAAGATGACTATCGTCAAGGATCCACCGTAGGAGAGTCGATTGATGAGCGGCTAAAGTCATCGGGGTCCCGAAATCGAAGTCGCCATACTTACCAGAAATCTTCGGATTCGGCCGTGGACGGTGTCATGATCCCAATCATTGCAAGCCCAAGCATTCTCCAGAGCAACGAACCAAAGCAGCATCGATCCGTGTCAAGGCCAGGCTATGACCAACGGAGCAACTCGATTGCCAGTTCAAGCAAAGGTCCCACCACCAACAGAATTGGACGTCATCATTCTGGGTCCGTGACTACTGACAGCGGTTCAATCACATCCGGTTCGCGAGCTGCTAGCCGTGGTCGTACACCAGGACCTAGAACTCTCCCACCAAGTCAACGTACTGGCGAATCATTTCAGTCTCCACTCCGGTCACCTTCTACAGACTCTACGAGAAATGCAATACTTCATAGTCGTATTGATCATCCAGAGTCACACAGTAGACAAAGCCTTTCTAGCCAAACGTCGACCAGACATGAATCACGACATCGATCTCGACATGAATCACGGCATCGATCTCGACATGAGTCGCGGCATCAATCACGGCACCGATCGCAAGATCACGGAGACAATTTCGAGAGGTTCGAAGCTGTCGTCTGCCCAACGTGCCCTGTACATGGAAGATCAAACTCAAATAGCGCCCAAAGGGTTCCTCTTCACTTAGCAGTAGATGCTTTACCTCAACGGGTACACTCTGCTGACCAGGCCGGGCTTGCAAACCACCCTCACTCAGAAAACGAGATCCTCCAGCCGATCCAAGGTCTCGATGGGCTGGAGCTGCTAAGGAGATACCAGGAAGACCAGGCGGATTGTGTTTTGACGCCTGCTTCAAACTTCAGCGAAGTGTTTGAGCAGAGCGGTCGCAGCTCGTCGGCCACAACCTGGAACACAAGCTCACCAGAAAGGTCACCAAGCACTCCCGCATACTTCAATCCAGCACAGACCCCTAGAGCGATGGTGTTTGCTACGGATGATTCTGATATCGAGGCACTGCCAAGCGGCGGCCTCGATGGTGATGCTATGCCTAACAAGACGTCTACTGCACCTGAACAGCCGCCCACTACCGTTGCTGCGTAGCATAGAATAAGTAAGATTCCTAGTTAGTTTTGAAAGAAACATGATGTGTTTTATTTGTATTTATTTGCTTGAGTTACGGCGAGCGCATTCGCTTTTGATTCCCTCTGTCATCGCATGGTGTTTATGGAGACCAGAGCTAGATGTAGGGATCATGTTTACGATGTATGATCTATTATATATAGCTATATTACCACTGGCACTGAATGTTTTATTTGTTCGTTGTTACAAATACTTGGTTAAGTCAGCTCACTTTCTCACTGAAGCCGACTGGCGGTAGCATTTGAAGTATTGATGAGGTAGTGATTTAAACAGGTAGATAGTCAGCGCATTGGGCCATCGGCTATACATGATTTTAAAGAATTGTTGTAAAATTTCATTGAAAAACACTGGTTTAACGACCTTGCTTGCCCTCATAGTCTAAGCTCTCAACCCCTAAGCAGCCGACCCCCTGTCCATCAGCTTATCTTCGATCCCTCTTATAAAGAGAGGAGGAAATTGGCGCCAATAGGAATCACAAGAAGCGAAAATAGTCCTGGAAACGCTCAGGTAGGCTTCCTTGAAAACAAGCCACACGTATTTTGCCGTAGGATCGTCTTGAAAAGGCCTTGGGTAGTACGGTTCGTTGTTCATATATGCGTCAACTGCCATGGCCACACCAGTTTCGTGTAACGGTATGCATCCCGCCTCGTCAAAATTATATGCCCATACAAAGACTTGATCGTATCCCACAGTGGTGGCATCACGCTTCTGGCTTTCTCGAGGACCACCCAAAACAAACTTGACACCATTTGCGGCTGTACCTGCGACCCAGTGTAGAGCCGCCAGAGTAGTTGCCATGTCTCTAACTACGGCGAAATAGAAAGGGCTGTCCAGCTTTAACTCAATCATGTGGTTGAGATGGAGTTCGAAGTTTTGTGGTGGTCCATTTTCCAAGTGTTGAGTCTTACCCTCAAGAGAGCCGAAGTATAGATGTACCAGACAATCGTGGGTTACCAGTTCATCTGTTACTGGCACCTCATTGAGTCTCTTGAAGAAGGCCATCCTTAAGGAAATTTGAAGACTGGCTGGGATTGGTGGTATTCTTTCGGTCAAGAAGGCATTGGTAGAGAACCAATAATCGTGGGATATATCGGCCCAAATCTTGCTGTCATCCCTTGGTATGTAAATGTTGAAACTTGGGAAGTTGACTCCAGTGATATTGAATAGGGTGAATGCGTCACATATGTGCTTCGACATAGAATAGTCATACCAGAGTTCGAGGGAGAAGAAATCCTTGGCCAACTTCATAGCCACGGTGCCGTTGTTCAATGCAAACGTCACATTCCTTTCATCCGAATCGAGCTCCTCGAGATAACCAGGAGGTTGTATTGTCTGTCCGACATGCTTTCTCACGTTTAAATGGGTGAATCGGTAGAGGGATTGGGATAATGTTCTCCCTATATCAACTCTTGAGTTGCTCCCGATGATGGCATAGGAGGTGGAGAGGTCGGGAATGCGGATATTTGCGGAAGTCATCTTGATCTGATAGTCGGAATTTTCAGGTTGAAGGGGTCACAGAGAAGTCTCAGGCATGGTTGAGTCTCTTTATCATTCTTTTTATCATCTCAACTTAGACTTTGAAGACAACATGTGTATACTGTGGCATCTATTCGGGCAGATTAAAGCCAAAGCATTCTTGAACTCTTGACGAGAGTTTGTTCACTATCTTGGGGCCACCTGAGGTTTAACTGAAGTCGTCATGTCTATAGATACATAAAATTCCTGTATAAGAAGCTGTGTATACACAAGACAAGAAAACTGCATGCACATGTTTGGTTTTGATGGTTGGAAAGAGATATATCTCAAACTTCTTGAATTACATGAGCATTATTGACTTCAACAATACGCAAATTTGGAAAGGACCCAGGCGATTTTATCGCTGGATTTGGTCTTACAGCAGCGAACTCTATTAGGAAGTTTGTTGATGATAGCTAGAGTGAATCGCCGGTCAAGTCGGTGTCAATTTGACAGAGGCTCCGGAGGTGGGGCCGCGAATACGGCCCGAACCCGTAGAGAGTGTATTGCTCTTGTTACAGAAGTTAACATCAAAGTCAAAGTCTTCAAGTATTTTTACTAAGTCCACAAATGAACACTATCTCTTATCAGATCAAAATTCGGGACAAACTATCATGTGATGACGGTAGCATGGAAGAAGCGGAATATGTACGCGTGCCGGTTGAGGTAATTGATAATCGTCTGCAAGCACTTTTGGCCATGTTGCCTCGACCTGCCTCGAAAGCTCGAACTGCCTCGACAAGCCAAGAACTGTCTGCGGCTGGGGATGGATATCACCAACAGCCCGCGGCGCAAGAGCCGGGAGAGGGCGCTAGACAGGGATCAGTTCGAATTTTGCAGGGCTGTGATCTATCCTATCGAAGCTGTAGCCGCCGAGGCTAATGTGAAAAGACTAGGGGACCTTGCAGCGTAGCTCAGATGGGGGCTGGCGGTAGCTGTGATAGCGACTGTGAGTGGCTGGTTCCCCTCATGAGCCGTCCTCTCAACACCATTCACACCTAAAGACTGGGGTTCAGGAAGACATCGCGCCCGTCGATGCCGACCAATCCTGGCGGGAATCAAGCTCACAACTTGGGGATGCAGAGGTGGAACTCGAGTCCCCAATCAGAGGCAATGGGATGCGCTTTATCACTATGGTATGGAGTATGCGCCTCTGCGACCATAGCGGTGCGGTTTGACGCATTTCATCACCACGCCATTTCAACTCATCACTCACATCTTTCACATTGTCTTGCCTCTTGACAGCAATTCTACAGATCCGTAGCCGCGCTGCAACAGCGGATTTCCCCATCATCACATCATTTTCCCGCGCCAGGCACAAGAAGCGCCGTATGTCATATGTCACACAGCTTACGGCGTCTCTGCATATTGAGCAGCGACCAGGTCTGATATAAGAGTGGCCGATCGTCACCCCGGCCCCCTCAAAGACCCTCAAAGACCCTCAAGGACCCCAAAGAACTCCTCAAAGGCGGCAAATTTCGTCCTACTGCGCGTGCGGAATAAAACTCAGCTTCGCCTGTTACCTTGACCTGGGCATGTAACACAGCGGACCCATCTCATCCCCATCCATCGGGCTCCGTACTCTTCACTCTGGTCTCTCATCGGTAGCCCAGACAGATACAGACCCGTGTTTGCGACAAACGGCCAGCAATAACTCGACCTTGAAACTCGCTCGCCGACCGGCTTCACCAACGATGCGTGGTTTAACATTAATTACCACTGGTCTGAGCCTACTTGGCCCGGCTGCTGCAATTCTTGTCGCAGACAATTCACCTTGTGGGACAGTGTGCGGCAATGTTCTCGATGCGACTACCATTGACGATGTTGTCTGCCACGAGGGCGATTATACTAGTGGTTCAGGCATCGTCTTTCAACAATGCCTCACGTGTGAGCAGAACAGCGACTACAGCACCAAGAATAATGAAACCGACCAACAATACTTCCTTTGTAAGTCAAGCCTTACGGTTTGTGTCCAAGCCTTAGTACTGACCTTCTCCAGACAACCTCCGTTACGCTACCTCATATTGTTTATTCGGAATCCCCGATAACAATAACACCATAAACACACCTTGCTTAACTTCGTAAGAGACATCATCCACAGTCGAGTAGACATTTACTAACAACCAAATAGAAAAGCCTGTGGGCCATTCCAGAACTCCATCATTTACAATAACCTGTCTTCGGAGGTCAAGGGTTACGACTACTGCGATACCTGGCCTGTGAACGACTCGGCCGATTTTGCTGGATGTACAGAGTGTCTCCAAGCAGGCGACAACCATTATCTTGCCAACTGTACGTTCACTAACAAACAACAACATTGGCTCAGTAACTAACACTATACAGTCATCACTGTCCTTCAAGCTGGATGCGAACAACAACCAAAGCCTGGTACCCTTGTCTCTACAGAAGGAACTATCTTCTCGAGAGACAATGTCAACGTCACAGAACCAACGCCCGTTGCTTCCGTGGACCCGGACTGGTTTGATAACGGACCTCTAACACTCGACGCCAAGGTTGGTATCGCTGCTGGAGGAGTCGTTCTGATCTTGATTATCCTCGGTTTCTGCATCATCTGGCGCGGCCGAAGACGCAGAAGGGCATTCCTTAGCATGCTGGAAACGAAACATGGGAACTCCTGGCCGACTCCGCTCACCATCCCCCACGAGACACGCGACACTCCTCTCAGCCAGAAGCCACTCCGAAGCTGGGACGAGTCACCAATCAGTGTTCGATCTGAACAACTGTACCCGCACCATGTGTCGCCCTTTGCTTCGCAATATAGCAGCCCTGTCAGCGCAACGGAACTCAAACTCGCCCACTGGCCAGTCATGGCGCCCAACCAACAGATGAGTGCAGCAATGAGCGGCCACCAGCCATTCCCACCCATGTTCCCCTCGATGTACCAACCAGACCCGGGTAGCTCTCAAATAGGAGTTGCCTTGGGCGGAGATGATTCCTCTGTCAACTCGGGCAACTCCAAGGGCAAAGGGCGACAAGGGGAAGAGTATGAGATGACGCCCGTGGAAAACCCACACACGCACGCCGGTATAGGCATTTACCAGCCCGAGATTCAGCACAATGGCGAACCTAGCCGGACTGCCTTCCCACAGCCAGGATATTTCCCAGAAGGACTCACGAATGTGAATCAGACTTATGGACATCCTAACCCATCGTATGGATATTATGATGATCACCAGCGAACAGGACGTAGTCCTTAGGATTGTGGTATATGAACTTGTACTTGGACTGCTCTTCTTTTTATTGTCTGTTAGCTTGGCGTTGAGGGTATGGGATACCATGATCAGTAATGTGTGATGACTTAAGCTGAACCAAATATGTACATAGCTATCCTGCAATTTATCCAGCACCGTAACTGCTGGCAGGACTATATAAGCACTAATATTGAGAGCCCTCACTGAATACTGTCCAATTTCTGGAAGTATACTATCAAAACATACGGTACTATCTGACTATGCTATTGACTGAGAAAATTTGAGAACATGTCTAGGAGGCACCTCAGCTCATGACTCTAACTTGGCCCATTGTAGGAGTAATTAGTTCTACCTACGCAAGGTCCTATCTTCGTGTAGTCATATGACTGGTAGAAGCTACTAACTTTTATCTTGGTGCAGCTAGGTAGAGACTTTGCTGTCTCAACTATCTCAATGAGTTGGAAAGACAACCGCCAATGATGAGGGCCGAGGATTGTCTGGGCTTCTTGGGCGTCTTTCAGCCGAAGTGCTCAACCAAGTAGTCTACGAACTGCACAACATCGACTTAAAACTCTACGCCAGAAAGTAATGGGAGGCTCTTGGATGCATTTGCTCCCAGTTACGAGGAACTTAATGTTAGCAGGCTTGCAATGCAGGCTTGATAGATACAGCTTGGCAGATCCAAAAGCTATGAGGAGGTTCTGCGACTATAAGAGACAAGAAGGCACCTCGACTTCTTCCTTTAGGGTAGCTGAGATAGTGTGGCGCTCGCTGTGGAGGTGTCTGTGGCTGATATGCGGTCAGTCAGTCGAGGTAGCCCGATTAGGCATGGTGTCCAATTGCCGCCACACACCGGTCGTAGCTTCCTTCCGGCCCCCACAATGAAATCCGCCCAGAGAAAAAAAAAATTTGGAAGCTTCCAACCACCACACCGGGCAAGACACTGAGGAAATTTACGATTCGAACCTTCCGTTTCTTCCCTCCTGTCGCATAGAAGCACCTTCCGCGCTTGGCCCGGCATATCACACAGATTTCTAGAAAAAGGAAATCACATCCCTCCCCTTCAGACAAGATGACCAAGGAAGTCGCGGTCGTCAAGAAGACGACAACAGAGGAGGACGAGTACACCATCAAGCCCCAGGCGACCACTCCCTCCCTCGACACCAGCCAGTGGCCTCTCCTCCTCCAGAACTACGACAAGCGTGAGTCTCCCGATGAATTGACGTCTTTGCGACGTGTTTTTTGATGCTTTTGGGGCACTTTTCGAGACCCAATTGCTCGCCTCGTTTCAAGGTTCAAATGGCTAACGAATGACCTTCAAAACTTGCAGTCCTCGTCCGAACTGGCCACTTCACTCCCATCCCCAATGGCTGCTCTCCTCTGAAGCGCGACCTCAAGCAGTACATCAGCTCTGGTGTCATTAACCTCGACAAGCCTTCCAACCCTTCCTCTCACGAGGTCGTCGCTTGGGTCAAGCGCATTCTTCGGTATGCAAAAAACTTCAAATCACTACCGCGTCAATGGGCGCGTCAAGACATTTACTAACAACACTCAACCTATAGATGTGAGAAGACTGGTCACAGTGGTACCCTCGACCCCAAGGTTACCGGTTGCTTGATTGTCTGCATTGACCGCGCCACTCGTCTTGTCAAGTCTCAGCAGGGTGCCGGAAAGGAGTATGTGGCTGTCATCCGCCTCCACGACAAGCTGCCCGGTGGTCAGGCTCAGTTCGCCCGCGCTCTCGAGACCCTCACCGGTGCGCTCTTCCAGCGTCCTCCTTTGATCTCTGCCGTCAAGCGTCAGCTCCGTATCCGAACCATTCATGAGAGCAAGCTCATCGAGTTCGACAACGACCGTCACCTCGGTGTCTTCTGGGTCAGCTGTGAGGCTGGTACCTACATCCGAACACTCTGTGTTCATTTGGGTCTCCTCCTCGGTGTCGGTGGCCACATGCAGGAGCTTCGACGTGTCCGCAGTGGTGCCATGGACGAGTCCAAGGGCCTTGTCACCCTCCACGACGTCCTTGACGCTCAGTGGCAGATGGACAACACCCGCGACGAGTCTTACCTCCGCAAGGTCATCTCTCCTCTTGAGACTCTCCTGACCTCTTACAAGCGTCTGGTCGTCAAGGACAGCGCCGTTAACGCTGTCTGCTACGGTGCCAAGCTCATGCTTCCCGGTCTCCTGCGATACGGTAAGTTCTAACAAGTAACCACTTCTGTTTTGCAGATCGCTAATTCCATCACAGAGTCCGCCATTGAGCACCACGAGGAGGTTGTCCTCATGACCACCAAGGGTGAGGCCATTGCTCTGGGTATTGCTCAGATGTCTACCGTCGAGATGTCCACCTGCGACCACGGCGTTGTTGCCAAGGTCAAGCGTTGCATCATGGAGCGTGACCTTTACCCCCGCCGATGGGGACTCGGCCCCGTTGCTCTTGAGAAGAAGAAGCTCAAGGCTGATGGCAAGCTCGACAAGTTCGGCCGCCCCAACGATGCCACTCCCGCCAAGTGGAGCTCCGAGTACAAGGACTTCGGCGCCCCTGCCCCCGACGCCTCTGTCGCCGCCGCTGCTGCCACTCCCGCCACTCCCGCCAAGGCTTCCTCCGCTGAGGATACCCCTATGGAGGAGGCTGCTGCCTCTTCGCCTGCTGCCGCCGATGACAGCAAGGACAAGAAGCGCAAGAAGCACGATGGCGAGACTGCCGAGGAGAAGGCTGAGCGAAAGCGACGCAAGGCCGAGAAGAAGGCGGCCAAGGCTGCTAAGAAGGCTTCAAAGGGCGGGGCTATGGACAGCGATAGCGACTAAGACATTGCAGGCTATGACGCTGGGTATGGGCCTGACCCAGAAGGCGGACCTTGATACCCGAGACGTAGGGTCTGTTGGAAAAAGAGCGGTCTACATGCTGTACCATATTCTCGCATATCGTGCCGTTTTTGCTGTTTGAAAAATTGTTTTGGGGATATAAAGGCGTTTGGTTCGAAATCCTGGTTCAAGGAGTAGATGCAAGGCACTCAATGCAAAGGACGATAAAAACTAAACCATGTCTCCAACGGGGAATTTCTTGAATAATGTGATTGCTCGAAGTGATACAGGTTTTTGTCTCACCATTGTAGTTCATGGCTATGACGGTCATGTGTGAGCCGTGATGAGTTGTAGTTTGGGGAACACCAACACATGGCGCATAATGTGACGGTCACGGTAATATCACGACTCGCTAAGGGTATGGTATAGTTGGATCTTGAGCTGAGGTTCCATTATCTGAAACGTCTAGAAGGTCTAGGCAATGCATGTGTTGTCATAAGCAAAAAACTATGAGCAGAGACTACTAAATGCATGATGACACATTTTCTGGGTACACGACAGAGAAGGAGGCTGAAATGTTCACGTTAGTTGAGGCGAGGTTCCACAAAATGAACATTTTGATAGCCTCTGATACGCAGAGTCCAGTAACAGTCCATCCAATGTCGTATTAGTCGCGGGTCTTAGAAAGGAACGGAAGAACGGGTCTTGGCCAGACGAAACATTGGATCTGGTGTGGAAAACATGGGACGAATCAGGGCTCAAGAAGCATATCTCGAGTAACAACTGTCCCTGTTTCACCATTTTAGGGGTGGACGACCACGACAGCAACTTGTTCGTCCAACAAAAAAGGAAAGAATTATCAAAGCGTCACAGCTCTATCATCCAACGCATGACACAGCATGAAGCATAGAGGGCCGGACCCTGGCGGTGGGCGTTTATTAAAACCCTTAATATATTGGTCCCTTGACTTTTTGCTTGTTCCCTACGCATATTAAGGGACGATCTTAAAATAAATAAGAATTTGTCCAAATCGTAGGGCGCGTAGTCGATTGGGGGCTTTGTCCTGCGTGAGAACGCATGGCAAAGATGGCCAGGTTATCAACAGGCCCCATGACTTGGCCCGCTGGGCTATCATGGAAGAGAGAGATGTGTATAAAGCCAAGGGGTTAGGGAGAGAAAACTGGGAGGTTAACTTTTGTGCTTGCTCGTTTGTAAAGCTTTTTGACGTCAAAGTTTTTGAAAATCCCTGTGGATATATCAAGGTTATCAATATCAGAAAGATACTTCAAGCTGCTCCCACTCTACGACCACACCACACCTTACAACTGCGTTTAAATCTAAGAGCCACAATTAACTCTTCTTTATCCATTCTGAGGACTTTTCTTTGTCTTGGGGTATTAAACATTGCCCAGTTTCCTCATATCCTTCAAGGATCCCTGAATCGACAACGTCAGAGCGTGTTGATCACCCGGATCGCCAGCCTTCAGCTATTACACACTCGGACCCAGTGATCGACCATACATGACATCGGGATTGTCAAATACCGAGATTGAGGCTCAAACACACTTTATATGCTACAGTTCCTACTTCCAAAGAATAACCAATTCGGAACAACATGCCTATAATGTCTACGACATCAAGCCCCTGGGGGCATATCATCACTCTTTTCCTCTCCCTTACCCTTTTGAATACCGTTTCAGCCCTACCTACAAATATTACCACTACTCATCATACTCCCATGATTAGACCTTACCTATTACCACCTGCGAAGCACCATCTAAGTCGGAGAACAGAGGACCAACCTGAAATCTTCCTCCCACGACTAGAAGTCAACTTCCCAGACCCATGCCTCCTTCAAGACCGAGACGGTCGCTGGGTGTCGTTTGCGACAAGCGGCGGTGGGTTCCATATTCAAATCGCCGTGGCAGATGATCCCTTCGGCGAGTGGACTCACCTTCAGCAAGATGCTCTCCCAGGCGATGGCTGGACCAGTGGAAGAAACTTCTGGGCCCCTGACGTGCGGAGACTAGGCGACGACTCATACATCATGTACTTCTCAGGAGAGAACCCTGACGGTGGACATTGTATCGGCGTTGCACGATCGCAGAACAGTACAGGTCCATACAAGATGGACCCGGAACCCTTCGCCTGTCCGCAAGCTGAGGGCGGAGCAATCGACCCATCGGGCTTCATCGACGAGTCGACAGATAGACGCTATGTCCTCTATAAAGTCGACGGCAACGCCCTCAACAACGGCTCGGGGACTCCCATCCGGCTGCAGCAGGTTTCGAGCGAGGACGGATCTACACCGATCGGCAAGGCAGTGGATATCCTGGACCGGATCGCCTCCGAGGACGGACCCCTAGTTGAGGCTCCGAACCTAGTGCGGACCCAGGATGGGAAATACCTGCTCTTCTTCAGCAGTCACATGTACACGGATGACGAGTACGACGTCAAATACGCCGTGGCCGACAACATCGAGGGTCCGTATGTCCGGGGTCAGGTCCCGTTCCTCAAGACGCCGGCTCTAGGCCTCAAGGGACCCGGCGGGGGCACGAGCGCGGAGGACGGAGGGTTTATGGTGTTCCATGCGTGGTGTGGAGAGGGGATAAGGTGCATGTACACCATTGGATATGGGTTGAACAGTGATCTTTAGGCGTAACGATAAATGGTAAAAAAGGGGCGTTTGAAGGCCACGCGGGATTGATTTTGTTAGACATGATTACCTCTTTAGAATTAGATTGCAATTCAGGTTTAGAATTAGGAATACAATTGAATAGCGTGCTTCTGCCTTTGTGTGTTGGTTCGTTGAGACTCATGGATCTCGGCTTGAGTATCGATCGATTCAAGGCTGATTTGATTCTAAGGCGTGATGGTGATGGTTCATCAATGGCTGATATTGATGTTGATGATGGTGGAACATGAATGGACGGTGATGGAGGCTACAGGGCACAATAAGCGCTGGAGGCCTGTGCAACCCCTGGAGTAGTAACCGCCCAACAACTTCCTCATCTCTGATTCGCTGCCTGAGGAAACTCTCTTCCCGCCCTACCAGGCACAAACGAATGAGGCTCCAGAGAATCTTCCGCGAAGAGACTCTTCCTCTTCAACACCATCCATCATCTTCTGCAACCGTTAAGCGCCCGTATCTGTTCCCACAGGCCACTTACTATTGGCGATCACCATTCGCTGCTTGAGTTTTGTTCGACTCTAGATGTGGAATAGTTCCAGACTATCATGAATCTACTGCAGCCCAGTGCACAATAACCGTTGCGGCACAGACTCATGGCGGCACTTCTCAACCGAGAATTGGGTGATTGGGGCTACATACAGCATGCAATGCAGCGCGGCAATCAGATCCCCTCTCCTTTTCGGGCTCTGTTCAATGTCTTGGCCTTCTACGGCTGAACCCTACAGGTCGTGCTAGAGCATTACAATGGCATGGCACGGTGTTGCATCTGCAGTTCTTGATCGAGTGATGAAGAAAAACGACCAATAACGCATGCACTATGTTTCTCTGTCACTTTTTGTGGTACTTCATATTCGGAAAGCCTGCCCTTTGCCGTCTTTTTCTCTCTTTGCTCCCGAGTTGCGTTTCATCTTGACCTTTACCATTCCCTCTACTTTCCCTTCCCTTCCATTGCTCGTTTGCTTCTTGCAAACATTATTCTTTGTTAATATATTACTCCTTATTTGTGCTCCCTCGTGATTTCGTTTCTATATAACTGTTGCTACCAGCATGTTGTAACAAGAGTGTCAGGCACACCAACACGGTCTTCAAACCAACTTGATTTATACCCTTCTATCATTCCTTTACCCTTCAATTTAAGGTGTTTCGTTTCACAGCTGGCCTGGTCGCATATCCACCTTGATAACCATCAAGACTTTACGTCGCTTATTGAAACTGCAAATCTTCATTCGAAACAGCAGGCCACAACGGCGGCCAACATCAACACCATGTCCCTATTCTCCATCATCATCTCACTCTTCCTTTTGGTCTCAGCCACTGCTCTACAGGTCACGCCCAACTCGCCCTGTTCTCAGTTTTGCTTTGACAGCTCTAATACCAATTCATCCGAAACCCGTGGTGACGAGATCGTCTGCAATGACGATGACTTCAAGAGAAAGGCTGAGGGTCAAAAGTTCCAGAGATGTCTAGCTTGCTTGCAGGACAGTTCTTTCAAGCAAGGTAACGAAAGTGACCAGGACTGGTTCTTGTGTAAGTGAACTTCTTGCCCATTCGATATCATCATCTGACTTGTCCGGCATCAGACAACATGCGTTACTCCTTCGATTATTGCATCTTTGGTTATCCCAATGCAACCGACATCTCATCGGGCCCATGCATCACATCTGAAGCCTGTGGCCCCATTGGAAACGCTTTGAAGAAGGGCATCACAGAGCCCGACGACAGAAAACAGTATGACTACTGTGACACCGACGACAAAGCCATGCTTGGTGACGCGGTTGCTAAGTGCCAGGCTTGTGTCAAGGCCGATAGCACCCATACCATCATATCTAATTGTGAGTCATTTCCATGCCTAGTTGTTTGTCTCTCTAACCTTTGGCCTAGTTCTTGTTGCTCTTGATGCTGGATGCCAGCAACGTCCCAAACCAGGAACCCCTATTGGCCTCAACGACACTGTCTTCAGCGAGAGAACCATCTCGATCCTAGACCCTTCTGCTTCTGTTGTTCCAGGAGACAGCCATGACCTCCCCAACACCTCGATTGCTACCATTGCTGTTGGTGCATTCGCTTTCCTTCTTATTTCTGCAGGTTGCATCTTCATGCAACGTCGTAAACACAACAAAAATTCCGCCCGCAACCGACGCTCCTCTCTTTCGTTCCGCTGTCAGACCCGCCTTACACCAATGACACCTGGCTTTCATAACCTCCCACCATACATGGACGAAGAGCGAAATCTGTCCAAATCTTCGTTCTGGAGCCATCGCAACGCAATGAGAGGTTCTCTCGACAGCCATAAACTTGGCATTGTCACTACCACTATTCCCCATCCCCCTCCTACGAGAGCTATTGTACACACCCCAAACCGCGAAGACTCATCACCCACAGAGAGCATATCAAGCTCCTCCAACGCTCCTTTGCTATCCAATTCAGCTGGACCGCAGTGCAGTACGCCAGGTATTGCGTCTCCGCTGTTCAGCCCTGGTTTCTCTATCACAACACCACGCTCGGCCACCTTTCCGCGTGAATGCCACGATAGCAACAACCCCTGGGTGCAGCAGCAGAACAACTCAAGCAAAGGCTTTTTAAAAAAGAAGAAGTCTAGAGACTCGCAAGCTCCGAGCGAGACACGAAATATTAAAATTGTGTTCGATCCACCGCCCAAGAGGGCTAGATGAGCCTTCAGCTCAACCTGGTCTACATTTCTTCTTAGTTTTCTGTTAGCGATGGTGTTTTGGCTTGGAAGAAGCTTGGCGCGTTTGGATATATATTGAGTATCAAGATACCCCCAATACGAAAAGATATCACAACAATCAAATCGAGAAAGATGATTTCATGTAGAGTGTGGCTTTAAACGCCATATATGTATATTTGCTTGACCATTTCACCATGCTATGCCATGTTCTTCCGAACCAATTCTAAACCATGCTACCCTCTCCGTTGAATTCTCACATCCGAAGTTGCTTGCTTGAAAACAAAAAACCACATGTTGAAACAAATGTGCACTTTGCAGGCTTCATCCAACCTTCAGAACATGTATATACTTGTGACGGTATTGCCGTCATCATTAACCGCAATTTTTGCTTTCTCCTTATCCATCTTGATCCCAGGGCGTCGAGCCTCTACTCATAACTTCGCTTTGCATTCTATCGTTTTGGTCTCGGAACCATGTCGCCCCTTCTTCCATCTCCTCCCTCATAGCGCGGAGTTCGTTAATCAGGGTTTGCGCATCGCTCACAACGCGCTTGTGCGTGCTGGATTTGGGCTGGCGCTCTTGAGTCGTCTCGTCGTCATCCTCCGCCGTCCGCTTTCTCTTATTCTTAGTAGTTGTGCTGTCTGACTCATTGGTGTCGGTGGTTCCATGTGAGCTAGACAGACGATGCCGTCCTTCAGGGCGAGCGAGATCGCTCACAGATGCTCGGCGGTTGAAGTCGCTGGTAGGCGGACCCATTGCACCAACCCCGGGTTGCCTTCTCCTTGCATAGTGCATCTCGTTGGCCATTGACTCAGGCACAGCTGTGCCATCAGGTAGCTGCACAATCCCCATAGCCTTGAGCCGCCAACGCTCTGATACTCTGCTGATACGGTTGCTGGGCTCAGGACTTGCGGTGTTTCTAGAAGCCATGGGAGGCAACGAGCGTCTAAAAGTAGCGGACTGGTCGCCAAATTGTTGTCGAAGTGCTCTAGTTTTAGATCCTCCTCTGGCGACAGTTGCGGTTGATTGCTTGCTAGAGAGAGTACTGCTGACAGACGGCGTTCTACGCACGATCCGAGAGATAGCTTCTTGCTCATTGGTAATTCCGGATAGAACGCCCGAGGCACGTAATGCCTCCTCTGCAGCTTGACGGCGTTTTGGCTTTTTATGCTTGAGGAAATCTTTCAACTCTTCTGATCGGTTCAAATCTGCGAGTTCAGCCTTCTCTCGTGCGGCCTTACGGGCGGCTTCCTTCTGTGCCCTGGCTTGCTCAGCACGCTGGGCTTCGTAGTAGGCTCTCATCTGCTCTCGGCCACTGCGACGAAGCTGGCTGAGACGTCGATCGCGGGCAGTCTCCTTCCAGCGGTAGAAGTACTTGACTGATAGGCTGTAGACACGGAATTTCTGTGCTTCAGCTAGCGCTTTGTCGTCTTCTTCTTTCTGCCTCCTTATTTCCTCATCATGGACGTACTTGCGATACACGCCTTGTAGGATATTATCCAGCATAAATGCTTGAAACTCTTCTATGAGTCCATCATCACCCGTTACAAACCATTTGGTAAAGTCCCCGAGAAGATCACGAGGTGGCGCTGGCGGTGCTGGAGGAGATATCGATTCCTGAGGTGGCTGAGTAGTTGCCAAAGCTGTAGAGGGCTGGGAAACGCCAGGGCTTGCTGATGTCAGGGATGTCGAAGCTCCAAGGGGAGGGAATGAGAATTGGGGCGTGGCCGAAATAGGTGGTTGCGAACCAAGAATGCTTGTTGCTGACTTGCTTTGCTCCCCAGACAACGTAGAAGACCCAAGCCCCGCAAAGGGCTGTGTCACCTGCGGTGTGGTGTTTGCAGATGATGTTTGTGGTGGTGTTAGAGAGTTGAAAGGACTTCCCGACAGTTGAGGAGTTGGAGGAAGTATATTAATGGCAGGCGGCTTCTGCTCTGCTGAGGCGAAGGGTCGAGTTTGACCTTGGAACTTGTCGGATGCCGTCTCATTACTCGAGGCTTTTTCGGCTGAAGGAATCGTAAACTTGGGCGGCTGGAACGAGGTCGACTGTGTTGCTGGCGTAGCATCCTTATTTGATGGGGCAAAAGGTTGACCGAAAGGATTTTTCACTACCGGTTCGCTCGAAGCAGTTGATGGCTTATCAGACGAGGTGAATGGGCTTTGTGATGGCGTTGTTCTAGATCTCGTTGGTTGCTGTGTGTTGGTAGCTGTACCTGAGGCATTGTTGAAGAATGATGGAGTAGCTGCCGAAGTCGACGGCGCAAATGGGTTGACAGCAGGCTGCTTGGCTGCCGAAGCCAAACCTGAAGCAAAAGGATTCGATTGAGGTGTTGGTTGTTGCAAAGCAGAGCCGTTGGTCGTGGTAGTTCCGTTGAATGTAGTCCCTAAGCGAATACAAACGTCAGAACCAGTGGTTTAGGCGTGTCTTGCCAGATTTCCAGTGGTTCGTCTCGAGCCAACGGTGTCGCCCTGAGTGAGTCTCAGGAGCTATGGCTTATCGAGTCTCCGGCTGAATGCGATTTCCTATTCGCCTGCAAAGTAAAGGCCTTTGCATATAATCGCATATGCAGAGAGCCATGGTATGCAGAATCTTTGGCGCAAATTAAAGAGTAGGGATAGGGTCTTACCTGACGTGCCGTTGACGGGCTTGTTGTTTCCCCAAGATCCACCAGATGTGCTAACAGATGAAAAGGCGCCGGGTGTTGTGGCCTTAGGTCCAGTGGGGATGAGAGGCTTATTGGTAGTGGTTTCCGTGTTCGAGACGAAAAGGCTTCCTTCGCCAGATCCATTTGTTGTGGGTTTGGAGAGATTCTTATCTTCGTGGATTGTTTCATGAATGAGATCGGGAAGCCTTCTTGATCCGCGCTTCTTTTCGACTAGGGTATGAGAGAATTGATGTTGAAGGCGATGATGGGGCAAGGAACCCCGACTATCCAGCTTTGCGTATTGGAGGTTGATGTTGGACGAGTCCTCTTCACATTGGCCAAACTCAATATCGTGAAGTTCTGCAAAGTCAATAGCTTGCTGGACAGTATCGAAGCGAAGAAACTTATTCAACACAGCGGCTGTGACGTCCTTGGAACCTTCTCGAGGTCGGGCGAGGCCCTTTTTGATAGCAGCCAAGATGGAACGACGAAGTCGGGGGAAATGGCATTCTGCAAAGCAGGCCATTGTATAAGAAACATTGGGGTCCTCCACTATTCTGAAATATGATTGGTATGCGGCTGATGCAGCCAAAGACGGCGCGTCCTTGAGAGGTCCGTGATAGTCGTGTGTATTTTGGAGTGCCTCAACGAGTGAGACTGCTGTACGGACCTCATCAGAGTCCCTCCAAAGATTTGCTTTCCATTGGCGCTGGAGAGTTTCAATAATATTTGAGTCGTAGGCATGGAAAATGAGGTAGTATGCTCGGAATTCGGCTTCATTTTCGCATCGAATGCCCTGGTCGTTACAGTCGTCGTAGGCATCACGGAGTGACAAGAGCGCCTTTCCAAGCTGTTCCAACTCCTGCTGTTCCACAAAATCCTCAGGTGCCTTGCCATCTTGGGTAAGAAGGTGGAGCGCTGTTACGTGAAACCTCGTAATGTTCTCCAAGACGTAGACCTGCGCTTTCATCTCATCGGGTGTAAGGGATGAGAAGAAAGTGAAATCTCGGCGAATCGCGCGTGTTCTATCCCAAAGAAATCCATGGTAGACCGGTAAGTTTCCGTCGTCGCGTAGAAGATCATCAACGAGATAGTCAAGTGTCCGTCTAAGGGCTGCCACCGATCGCACGTCCATAGGAAGTGGTGCTTCTTGACCAGCTGCAGAACGAGCGAGCTTCTTGACCATGCGATGAGTATTGGCGTATGTAGTTTTGGGGTTCTTCTCGGGCTGATTGACATCCGATTCGTTTATTCGTGTTATCTTTTCGTACTCGGGGCACATATCCTCGCAAATACCCTTGAAATCAATGGCATCCTGGAGTGTTTTGCGCTTTTCCGGGTCGTCAATCAAACCGGCCTTCGTTAGTGACGCGCGCGCTTTGCTGCGGTACGCCTCATATTTCTCGCGGAACTTGGTGAGCTCTGCCTTGTTTTTAGGATTTCCAGGTTGCGATGGCCATGGGGGAGGATTAATGCCATCTTTCCGTAATTGTTCATACACCCTCTTAGCATGAGGGTCGTCAGAATGGCGAGTTTCTGGGATATCTTTATCGTGGAATTCGACGCTCGATAACGAAGTTGGTCGCGGTTCGTCACGCGTTGTCGCGAACGGATTGGATCCATTGCTCCGTGCGCTCTGGCCGGCCGGTTTCTTAGACAAATTGGCAGAACTGAACGGATTTTTCTTCAAGTCGTTGGTCTTCTTGTCGTCGGCTTTCCGGTTCTTTTGCCTACCGCCTCCGTCACTCAAGTTGGCATCCTTGCCTTTGAAAGGGTTGTTAGGCTTTCGCTTGGAATCGCTATCGCTCTGGTCGCCAAATCCCGCGGATCTCTTGTTTCGTTTTGCGTTGGAGGAGTCGCCTGCACCACCAATGCCAAATGCGCTTCCTTTGTTGTCAGAGTTAGTCGCAAAAGGGTTGAACGCTGGAGACGGGCTCCGCGTCGGCTGACCAAAAGCCGATAACATCTGGTTTGATGATGCAACGAATGTCGCACTCATCTAGGGAATCGTTTGAACATGGGGATGAGTTAGAGCGCTCAGAAATGCGTGTCGTATCGTGACGTGAGAGTTAAGGCGGGTGTTGGTTGATTGTTCGATGGTAGAATTGAGCCCATCAAGCTAGTTCCTATTCTGGGGAGCTTTGCTCTGCATTGTTCCATGACCCACTCACCACGTGACGCGTCAATAGACAACTTGAAACATTTGGACACCAACAACTTAAGACGCTTCACATTAGCACCTCGAACCTCGAATTCTTAGTAAATTTGCTTTTGCTTTTCATTGATCTCATTTTACTCCCTTAACTCCCCTTCCTTTATCCCAAAATTCAATCCATCAGACCCGGTCTATCTATGACACTGAATCAATCAACCATTACCTTACCCGGCCACGAATTCGAGCAGGTCCCAGCCCCTGTCGAATCTCGTCTAGTTGCTCGAGGCCTGTTTGAGCCTTGGTTTTCTTGTTCGTTCTCTTTCCAGGCTTAGTGAAGTTTCCGAGGAAGTCATCCATGATGTTGTCAAAGTCACCACGAATGGGTCCCTGAACGGTAGACATGGTGGACACTGCAGAAACTGACTGCATATCATCGTCCATGTCTTCGTTATACCGCTCCTCGATCTTGTCAAACCTTGCATCCAGTAGAGTCATCTGCTCAGTTCGCACCATCGACGATGATGTCATGGAATAGCTCGAGTTGTCTGTGAGAGCTCCCTTTCTCTTCTTACGTCGACCACCATTAGTGGTAGTGGTAAACATGGACTGCATCTCAGACTGTGATGGCGCAACCGGTGCTCGACTGCCTTTCTGCTCTTTCTTGAACTGCTTGAAGTCCTCGAGCCAGTCTTGAGAAGGTCCCTCCTCGGGCTGGTCTGTAGGTGCTTGGACGAGCTGAGGGGCTTCACCGTCCTTAAACTCCTTGCTGGGCTTCGCTGTAGCGTCTGACTCCCAGCCATCGTCTTCGTCAAACTCCGCACCCTCGAACTCATAGTCATCCAACTCTCGGCCATCCTTTGCGAGCTCCTTGAAGATGTCATCGTCCTCGTCGTCAACAAATGCGTCATCTTCCAGGGCCTCCAAAACCTCTCGTAGACGGGGGTCCATATCAGGCTGGAATCCCTTGAGAGAGTCAGGAATATCCTGCTGGGCTTCATAGGTAACCCTTGTAAGGTTCTTAGAAGGAAGAAGTTCTGGGTCAAGGATATCATCTGTACTTTGCTCAATGTCCAGCTTCTTCAGCGCATCCTCAAGTGACTGCTTCTGCTTTCCCTTGCCCTTGTTCGCAGTCGCACTTGACTCTACAAACACAACCTCTCCACCACCAGTGTTAAGATCGCGCAAATGTTGCATGTAATCGTACTCGGTGTCGTCGTAGTAAACGCCATATCCGGCTGCCTCGCCTTCGTTCGCGCGAACACCATCGGCTTCGTAACCGAGCTCAGAAGCCAAGTCATCTAAATCCTTTGACTTATTTGATGACTTCTTGGTCTGGGTAGGGTTGAGCACCATGGAAGGCGCATTTTCGTCGTGGATGAGGGGGTCATTTTGCGGTCGGTGAACCAGCGTAAAGTGCTGGGCTGACTTTTTGTCGCTAAATAATTTGCATTAGTATCCTGTAACGAAACAAATATACTTTGAAAAGCAGCACTTACATCCACTTTCGAGGCATCTTGGCGGTTTGAAGCGACAAGAATCTAGTTGTGAGGTGTGAGGTGGGAGTGGGTGTTTGGGCTTCAATCACACTCATCCGGGTCACAGAAAATCTAGCGGGGTGACGAAAAAATCCTTATCAAGATATCCACAGTTATCCAATACCCTGTCGACTGACTCACACAGTCTTGAACCCTATGCCAGTCGCTGTAAAATACAGTGTGATTACCGTAATTGAATACGGCCAAAGACCCCCGAAAATTCCATTTGCCCCTCCATGAACAGTCATTATTCAGCGGGGCAGACACACTCAGTTGATCGCTTGACAACCCTCTCAGTTCAAGTCAACCCAATCTTTACACAACACCAACAATCTCTTGAGAATTATTGTGACTTGGAACAGAGATTCCCCGTATATCAAACACCAAAAGCGCACCAAAATATAACCCGGACAAAGCCGCCAAGATGGTTCTGGCAAAGTCAAAGAAGTCGGTCGGACTGGGCAACACCCTCATGAACGATCGCTTCGGCAAAGGCAAAGGAACCGATAGAAAGCGAACTTCTGCCATCACCAGAACAAACCACGCCACAGGCGAGCAATATCTCGTCAACGAGAAGAAGGATGCTTCTTGGGTCAAGATGCGCTCCGTCACGGAGCAGGGCGATCTTGACGAGTTTTTGGCCACCGCTGAGTTGGCTGGTACCGATTTTACTGCTGAGAAGACCAACAATGTCAAGATTATCCACACAGACCAAAAGAACCCCTACCTTTTGTCGGCGAACGAGGAGCGAGATGTTCTTGGAAAGCACAAGCAGCACAAGGGTCGTTTGACCGTGCCCCGAAGACCCCAGTGGGATTCCACAACGACTCCCGATGAGCTGGACACCCGAGAGCGAGAGAGCTTCTTGAACTGGAGGCGCGGCTTGGCCGAGTTGCAAGAGAACAACGATCTTCTTATGACACCGTTTGAGCGAAACTTGGAGGTCTGGAGACAGCTCTGGCGAGTTATTGAACGATCGGACCTTATTGTTCAGATTGTCGATGCCAGAAACCCCCTACTGTTCCGTTCTGAGGATCTCGAAGATTATGTCAAGGATGTTGATCCCAAGAAGGAGAACCTTCTTCTAATCAACAAGGCAGACATGATGACACCCAAGCAGCGTAAGGCTTGGGCAAAGCACTTAAAAGAGGCAGGCATCGCCTACCGTTTCTTCTCAGCCGAGCTGGCCAAGGCAGAGAACGAGCTGAGAGATCTTGTCGACTCGGACGAGTCGCCTGCTGGTCCTTCATCAGAGAAGGTCGAGGAGGGAGAGGGAAGCGCTCAACAAGAGCAGGAGGGTGCTCCTTTGAATGAGGAGCCAGCCCAGGAGACTCAGATTGATGGAGAGGCCAAGGCAGCTGAGGAGGCGGATGATATCGACACACAGATTCTCACAGTCGAGGAGTTGGAAGACATCTTCCTAAAACATGCCCCCGCAGACGCAGGTAAGATATGTCGAACAACCGTTACAGCCTCCCGCTAACACAAAAATAGGCGCAGATTATAAGTTGCAAGTCGGTCTGGTTGGTTACCCCAACGTCGGTAAATCGTCCACCATCAACGCCCTCATCGGCGCAAAGAAGGTCTCCGTCTCTTCGACACCTGGAAAGACCAAACATTTCCAGACAATCCACCTGAGCGAACGTGTCATCCTCTGTGATTGTCCCGGTCTTGTCTTCCCCAACTTTGCCACCACAAAGGCCGATCTGGTCTGCAACGGTATTCTTCCCATTGACCAGCTTCGCGAGTTCACAGGCCCTGTCGGTCTTGTCACTCAGCGAATTCCTCAGCCTTTCCTCGAGGCTATTTACGGTATTCACATCCGTACCCGAGTCGCTGAAGAGGGTGGTACTGGTATCCCTACTGCCCCTGAGCTTCTCCGCGCATATGCTCGTGCCCGTGGTTTCCAGACCCAGGGTCTCGGTCAACCTGATGAGTCTCGTGCCGCTCGTTACATCCTTAAGGATTACGTGAGCGGTAAGTTGCTGTTCGTTTCACCGCCTCCTGGAATTGACAACGCTGCCGACTTCAACCGTGGACTCTACGACGAGGACCATCTTCCTGAGAAGCGACGTGCTGCCCTAAGCGCCGCTATGGATCAGCTTTCTGTTGCCGACCCAGCCAGCAGCGAGCCTTTCCTGGCCATGGAGGACGATGCCGTTGACCTCGCCTCAACCGTTGACGTTCCCATGCCTGCCGGTCCCAAGTCAAAGAAGATCGACAAGGGCTTCTTCGGACCCAACAGCTCTCAAGGCCATGTCAGCAAGCCCTTCAACTACCAGTACACCCAGCAGGGCAAAGAAGATTCTCTAGCTGGTAGGCACCTGTCCGGCCGCAAGGCACGCGTAGCTGTCGCTCTCGAGAACGGAGTTAACCCCGATGAGGTTCAAATCGGATCAAGCAAGAAGCACTTCAAGGGTGGTCCTAGTGGTGGAGCACCTAAACGCCGTACTGCCCGCCGACAAGCACACGAGGATGACGACTAAACAGAAGCAATAAGCAAAAAAGAAATATAAAAAAATAGAGAATGAAAAAGAAAAAAGGGTATATGGACAGTGAGGAGGAACAAAAGGTGGGTTTCGGAAACGGGTGCATTTGGTCTGGTTAAAAGGATCTGGGTTATGGAAAGGCTACAGGCCAGGCTGATATGATTGATGCATATCTCCACCTTTACGGTTAGCTACGGAACCAATATGAACATTTCTTTTGTGTTAGCAATATGATTGAGCATTGTACCTCACTTTTGATTGTGCTTTTGGTGAATGTGGATGGCTATGAGCCGATGTGATAATATTCACATCACTAACATATGAAAACGACTATACTGGCATTTCATGACAAAAAGGAAATATGGGTATTGACTGTCTACACTGTCCGCAGTTCGCCCCTGATAAAGACCGTGGCCATTCAAAACAAATAAAAATCTCAGATGCTACGCTCATGCATGATGCGTAACAGCAGTTCCCCAACTCCACAAAGTAAAGTCTTTCCTCCGTAAAAGGCGTTGTAATGCGTTGTATGCTCAGGTTGATAGGTTGGTGGTTATGTGTGGGAGTAATGTAGTAGCAAGAGTTGAGCTGCTCATGCTGTTATATTAACTTCATCTGACGCTCCCTCGTGATTCGCGACCTCCTCTTGATTCACGGGCCCCCTTCGAATCCCGACGGTCTTCGGACTTGAGAAAGACTCGCTTCGTACCACCAACTTTGCCAAGTTCGCCGAACTGGCTGCTTGATGATGGAATTCGTCGCTCGCCACTAGCGAGTCTGACCTTCTCCTTGACACTTGCGACCCAGGCTTTATTCTCCTCGCTCATCTCGACCTTCTTGCTTGTGGGCCCGGCGAGTCCAAGGAAAGAACTGTCGTCGTCTTTCCAGCTGTAGGAGTTTGATCTGGACCGCTGGAACACTTCCGAAAATGAACCCTCATCACCAGGTGATGGCTCATTGCCGGGCGTTCGAAGATTGAACTGTGGTGCTTCGCTACCCATAGCACCAGCACTCCGTCGGCTCTTACGGACGGACAGAGGAGACATGGGAGACGTCTCTACTGCAGACTGAGACCGACCACCTGGGCTTGAGCCCACATTGGATTTTCTCGCACCAGGGGATTCTGGGAGAACTTCGACCTTGGCATTGGCTGCGGCAGATCGGCGTTTGTGATGGCTGGCGTAATCTTTGAGGTATTCGCCAAGATCTGCCCATCCACCACCTACGCGAACCATGACACGTTCACCCTGCTCACCAACGCAGCGGATAAAGAGCTTGATTGGAGCCTCGCCAGTTGATCGTGACAGATGGTAAATCTTAATCTCATGATTGCCACGGTGTCGCACCCTTGTGTTCTTTGCAGGGGATAGAGTGAAAGATGGCGTGCCGGCTCTAGAGGAAATACTCGAGGTGCTTCTCTTGAACGGCTCTACGGAAGGCCTCTTCCTGATACGTGGTAGTTGCAAGTCAGGGGGGTTCAAGTTGACTCTTGATGATTCAGTCGTCAGCTTGATCTTAGCTGGTATGGAGTCGATGATTTGACTGATCTGCTGCTGCATGTGCTGGTCAGCAGCACTGTTTCGTCGATCAACGACTGTGGAATACTCAGAGATGGAAAAGGAGTCGTCAAAGTCTTCAGTAAAAGAGTCCTCCATCTGCATGCTGGACATGTCGAGATCATCCATGTTCCGATATGATGGCAACAGGGGGGAAGGTGCTAATGATGATTGACGAGAATCGGCGGCTGGCATAGGTGGAGAGCTAGGCGGACTGGCCTGCATGTATTCTGCTTCATGGACCCGGGCCCTGGGGATATCAGGGGAAGCAGAAACCTCAGGGAGGTCACTCGATAGGCCATAGAAATAGCTTGATGAACGACGGGTGGCGGCGAGCCTGTCGCTCTGCTGCCTGGGTAGGGGTAGTGGACGAAGGGGCGGTAGTTCAGGAGAAACATCCCGATCGAAAGCGTGTGAGTAGCCGCGGTTAGGTGTCTTATTGGGCGTCTTGTTAGGCGTCTTAGGCGTCTGGGACATCATTGCTGAGAAATCGAAATCATGCTCGATGCTTGGTGTGGGGGCATAAGGAGTAGCTGGCACGAAATCTCTGGTACTATCGAAGGTTTCGTTGTCATCTTGAGTTTCGTCGACTTCTTCAATGGGAAGAAACGACAAGTTGCCAGGTTCACTCTCGGGCGACGAGTCTCTCTTGTACCACTCTGGCACAACAGTCTCAGTCTCAGATTCAGAGATTCCTGAGGACACCCTGGGTTTTGTGGGCTCAATGGTTGATGTGCTAGAGCTAACAGATGACACGATCTTGGGTGGTAGGAGGAGCGGGATGGGTGCCACACTGGTGTCGGATTCGGTAGAGGTGTCATCATCGTCGTTAAACTCGTTGCTGGTTGGGCTGTCACCAGTCGCAGGAATCCCTTTGATTTCCGAATCCTCTTTGACTGGCGAAGGAGACCGAGGAGGTTCTGGTGGTGGTGCAGCTGCGGCAGCCTTTTCGGTTTCTCTTATCTTCCTCTCACAGACAACAGCCCAGTCACCATAATTCGACTCCACAGCTTCCATACGATCCAGCCAGTCTGAGGGTAGGGTATCGGGCAGTCCCTCCAAGCAATCGAGTAGATAATCAAGTGATCGGCCCGGGCGTACGATCAATTGCTCGAGATGCTCCTTCATCACATCGAACGTCTTTCTCTCGAGTATCGAGGCTTTTGGGGGCGTTTTCGGATCTGTTTCAGGGGCATCTTTCGGGGGTAAGGAAATAGCCTTGAAGGCGGATTCAAGAGCAACTTCGGCATCTTCAATGGCAAGTAGAAGAGTTGGGACGCGGCTTAAGGCGCAGAGTCGTACGTTCCAAATGTGCAACAAGCGAGTTAGCTTGTTTAGAATAGGCAGAGCATGTAAGACGATCGCAGTGATCACGGCTGTATGATCCCGCATCCGTCCATAGCTAGAACGGGATAGCTGGCCGACTTCGGTAAATTCAGAGAGCGGTGTTCCTGGTCTAGACAAAGGAAGGATGTGGTTGTTGAGAACATTTGCCTTGATATCCTCGATATCAAGGCCAGCCAAATCACCTTGGATTTGAGCCAGTCTCCGTTCATATTTCGCAACATCTCGAGCGAGAAAGCTCCCCATCCACTGATCTTCTCCCTCCTCGGGTATGTTGAGCTGCATTGATCTTCTTTTAAGCTCTTTGTTACTGGGCATCAAGAATCCAGAAGGTCCTGGCTCAGATGGCCACGGCCAGGATTGTAGTTCAATAAACCATCCCCAAATAGTGTTGGACGCGATGGCTGTTCGCATGGTAAACTCTCGTTCGGCAGCAGAAGAATTGTCTAGGGATGCCCGTAGGGCACCCGTAGCGGTGTTGAGCGCATCGACGACAGTGCGCGGGCTTAGATTGGCAAGAATATCATCGGAAAGTCGGTTTCTCGGGGGCGGCGAAATGGCGGTGGAATGGCGCGCGTGCCTGACGACTTGGGCGGGTGTTTCGCTCATGGTTATTATCCAGCAGATAGACAGACTTGAGTCGGGTGGATGGATCGTAGAATCATGATCTGTCTAGGAGCCTGGGGACAGGTAAATAGGGCGAGGATGAGTGATGATTTTGATGCCCATATCGAACAAGATGTGTCAGGAATTACGTCGTCAGATTGGGCCGCCGTCAAATCGTAAATCGAAAGTCTTTGCGATGTTTTCTTTGATGACCCGGTGTAACGTTGAGCTCCTTTGTTCAATGCAGGAAATATGTCATGCAGCGTGGAAGATAGCTGAAAGTTAGAAACGTCAAGGAATACTGGCACAAGGTAACAGCGGTTGCGCAAATCGGAAGGTGAAAGCCAGTTCCAGAGGTGAAAAAGAGAAAGAAAAAGTGATGTCAGGGCGGGCCGGTAGGGTAAAGGAGCGGCAAAGAGAGCCTCTACAGGGCCTCTCTAGGAGTTGAAAGAAGCGAAGCAATCGCCAAATTTGAGGTGGCGGTCAAAGGATGTCGAAAGGAAGTAAAGTAGAGGTGAAGTCTGAAGTTGGAGCTCCAGGTCTAGGTGCAGCTGCAGGTCCAGTGGAGGGAGGTTGCTTGAGTGGACGGCAGAGGGCGGGCCACGTCGCGGTCGGCGGTCGCGCTGCGTGGAGTCGTGGATCCTCCAGGTCAGGTCAGGCCTGTAATAAATGAGGTTTTACAGCAAAAAAATCGTGTTTAGCGCCGTGGTTAAATTACACCAGCGACTGGCTCGTCACCCGCGATTCGTATAACGCAGAAAAAAGAAAAGAGAGAAACAGGTCCAATAGTGGTCGGTTTGTATCGAATGCCCCGTGCGCAAACTAGTAGAAAAGGACAGACAGTTTGGGGCAAGTATTCGTCAATTTGACGTCGTCGATGATGGTTTGGCCCGTTTGACCCGTTTGACGTAGTGGCCGGATCTGGTCAAGACTTGGGCTATTTGGAGAAGATGGATGGACAATCGGGCGGGTAAAGGTGCAGAATCGAATGAATGGAAGAATGCACAGCCGATGGATAAGAGGTATAAAAAAAGGAGTGTGCTGAAGACGAAAAGCTGGCGTTGAGCTTTGGGAGCTGACGACCAATCTACTCAAAGGGATACGGACGGATACACAACCGATCAAAGGGGTGGAGATAAAAGTGTTGCTTCAAGGAAGATGCATAGGCAGGGAGAGAAAGAAGGACAATTGACGTAACAGGTATAAGAAGCAGATGCCAAGGATGCAAAGAATAACAACCATAGTCGCAGGATAGATGTCAAAGGAGAAAAAGAAAGAGGGCGCCAAAGATATGATTTGGTACGGAGTACAGAGTACAGACGGGTTGTAAGGAGGAAGAAATGAGCTCTCACCAGATGAGTGGCTCAATGGAAGCTACCCTAGCACTCCTAGCTACCCTAGCACTCCTAGCTACCCAGCTACCTCGCCTTAGCTACAACGGAGTAACAGATGATGAGATATTCTAATCAAACAAGAACCCCTCCGCTTCGCCTCATCTGGTCTCGTTTACGCCCCCCCATAATCTCAAATTCCTCCACTCTCAGACTTCTGAAAGCCAAGCCCTGACTAACGAGAATGGAACATCAACGGGAGGCGACAGTCTATTTTGATAGTTGATACGTACGACGGGACTCGGATATTGATATTAGCTTGATTGCCCTGTACGACACGACCAGGATCGTTGAATTAGATCGATATAAACCTTGTCCGCTTTCAACATCTTCAACGAAGTCTTTATGCTTGCTTCTATGTCTGTCTGGTCTACGCAATAGCTTAACACCTATATGTTGGTTAATTGTTCCAAGACAAAGAAAGGGGTTATGTGAACACTAAGAAACAATTCAATAAATATACCCATTCCGCAAGCAGCCACTTCTTCATCCGGCGCATTCTGTCTCTCTCTTGCCAATTTCTCATGATCATCAGACCCCCTGTCAATCATCACCCTAGCAGCCGCCGTCATGATAATTAATTAAAGTCAACAAACACACTAGACCACAGTCAATGATCACGCAAAAGTCATCCAACTGAACAGCTGTATTTCCACGTGCTCTTCCTCACTACTACCTGCTATCATTCCCCCATTGCATCCTATTTGCTGCAGTCCAAGCATGCCTCTCACTAACAACATCCCCCTACTTCGTTGCTGAACCCCGGACATACTCCACTGCAAGGATGGACCCTCTAGTAAGACAAGATAGAGAGTCACATGTTTGCGCTTCTACGCTGCTCAAACACAGCACAGGGCAACGAGTTTCGACGTATGCCTAGATCTTACCACAGGGATGAAACTGAGACATCGTAATAGATAGCCGGACGACTACGTTGGTAAGCAACCAGGACGTGGGGGTTGTGAAATAGATAGAATGAACTGAAGATGGATCTGACTTAGCTTAGAGATCGTCAATCTCGTGATAGCTTCCTTGCAAATCATTTCATGTCTGTCATGGCTTCTTTCAGATAAATGAATACGCAAGTCCCAGGTTGTAAATACATAGGTATCTTGATATCCATCACCAGTAACAGTATCGGCTTATTGTACGAATACCTCAAACCATTCCGTGCTATCATGTTGTCTCAACCATATACTCCAGCACATCCCCTCAGTCTCACATCACATGGAAAAACTCCCAACGGTTAAAAATATTCACTTTTGTGATCCATTGATCTACTTAAATATCCTAAGCAGGCGACAAGAAAGACCGCCAGAAAAAAACGACCTTTAAGCCCTTGCAGGCGCCTCTTCCCCATCTGTACGTAATATTCCAACGCCAAAAAGATCAATTGTGTTCTCATCAACAATCATGCCAAGCGTTACTTTTTCTTGATGCCATAGGGAACATCAACCAGGTCCAAAATAATCCGTTCGTCCCATGTGGAAAAAAAATGTAAAGATTGCGCCACACGGAGTCAAAGTCCGCGCGCTCAAACGCCCCTGTCTCTAATGCAGACATGCACACCAGGTAACACACAGAAAGTAAACAAATGCAAGGCTCCATTCCAAAAAGCAAATGGTTCATTCGAGGTTATTTAGCAGTGGGGTGATAGTGGTATTCACGCTCTAAGCTGACGCATGAATTTCGCGGTTTTCATTCTGACGGGATGCATCAGCTTCGGCATTGATGGCCCAAGTTAGTGCTTGCTCAGCAGACATAGTAGGTTCGTCGACACCCAGGACGCCAGCAATCAAGTTATCGTCCTGATTGTTAACACCCTCGGGAGGGAATTGGAGCCACTGGTCGACGTCAAAGTCGGTTCCGGCCACAGCGTTCCAGTCGAACTCGTCGTGGCCCTGCATGAAATCGAGGTCCATGTTGTCGACCTCAAGCTGAATCTCATCAGAACCAGCACTGACGCTTGGTGTCAAACTAGTAGCGGGAGAATCCATCTCCGTTTGGGGCGGTGAGTGTGTGGGCATCTCCAAAACCGCAGCGTTGACAGTGTTTGGTGGCATCATGGTAGGTGCTGCCACTGGTCGAGGCTCCTTGGGCCTCTCGTTGAACAGAGACTCTGAGGCTGTCATATATGGTGCATTCTCTGGCGGTGGGGTCTGCGCGCTGAACTCGATAGGTACTCGCTTCATCATGGCCAAAGTCGAAGGAGCAACGCTGGAGTTGATATCAATGGCGGCCTTGCGCAGAGCAGCGTCGAGGAAACCAGTTGCGTAGTCGGCAGCAGCATAAACCTCTCGGAGTTTTTCCATGACCCGCATACATTGGCGGAATCCCCTTGTAGCACGTTCCCGAGCCTGGGGTGTAGGGTTCTTCATCTCAAGGAGGTGGATGATCATGGCAGGCAGAATGACCGTGACACCGGTTGTTGGCAGGAATCGCTCCAGACGGTATTGGTGAAGCTCTGTAGCCATCCGAGTAATGTGCATCGCAGCATCGCGGACTCGAAGTCGAGACATGTCCTGGACTTGTCGCGATGTTGTCGGGGCCTGGAGAGGTGATGAAGGCAAGAATTGGGGTCGGTGTAGTGCCGATATTGTGGTGTAGTAAACCATATGTAGAAGTGTTCGCTGCACAGCTACTGTGGATCGTCCATCCTTGACGTCCAAGGGTGTCAGTGTGCGATATTGGCAGCAGGCTGGTAGCGACTCAGCCCATGCCATAAGTTCGTGGTCCACCTCAGTAACACTCTCGACGTTGTCTAATTGCTTATTAGGGAAGAGCATCATGGTGCTGTTAGTGGTGTTTTCAGGCTTCATCTTATCGCGGATGAGAACTGAATATTGTGCCTTGAGCATACGGCTGATACATACGCAGAGCTGTGCCTTGGCAATGCACATAATGGCTAGCTCTCGCTGCATATCTAGGTTGCGGACCAATGTGCAACTGGTGGGGATGATGGTGTTGCTCTCGGGCAGAACTTCGATCTCGAAGTCGCTCTCCTCAAGCATAGGCACGTCAAAATCCTCATCCTTGATACGTGTGGGACGTCGCATGCCGAGGGCGATTAGACGGTCTCGCATGAAGCATGACCACCAGATTCGCTTCCAGAGCTTTTGCTTGGCTGGGGCCATGCTCGTGGATCCAGGGTTACGGTGAAGACCGATGGTGTGTGCCAGTGAGATGGCCACACCCATCCAGTGCCATGTGTCTTTCTGATCATCTGGTGTCTCGTACCAGTATGTCATCAAAAGAAGGGCTTGTACAAGGACAAGGCGGTCTGACTCGTAATCAAAATCGTAGAGTAACTAGTAAGATGTTAGTCTAAGCCATTTCACGTGCTTGGAGTTGTTACTCACTCTTGTCTTTTGGAAGAAGGATTTGCGGGCTGCTTTTCGGGTTGTGTAACCACCCTCACGGAGATATTTCATATCAACAAAGGCTGACGCTGCAAACATGACGGCCTGGTAAAGAAACAGACTGGTCTGGCCATTCTGACCATCGCGACTGCTAATAACGCCGAGAAAGCTGTTCAGGTCCATAAGCGGCATGTATGGGTGGACATATTCAACGTAAGCCTGGAGGAGCGCATTCTGTAGTGGGAGTGTGGGCACAGAGAGTGCACCCTTGATCTTGAGGTACTCGACATCTTCAGGAGCGATCTTATTCGGTAGAGGTCGCAGGAATGCAGGGAACTGGAGCGGTGTGGTGTCCTTTTCCTCCAAAGAACCGAGTAATTGAGTGGTGCGGAGGGTGTCGAAGAAGTTGCTGTCGGGGATGATACTGGACCATGAGGAGCGATGAGCGTTAGATTCCACAGACTGCACTTTGTTCAATGACGTCGAGTCTCGGCGGTAGCCAGAGCGTTGATCTAAGTCTCGTGGTCAGCCAAAGTTCGGTTGCATTTGAAATTTCCATGTGATCAAGCACAAGCCAAAAGCACAAGCAAAGCACAAGCACACGCACAAGCATGCAGTGTAAGCCTGTAGTGGGGTACATGAAGAAAGCGGGACCAGGGGGCGGCTCAAAAACGCGGAGAACGGACATGTTCCCCCAAAAAAGAAGCTGCAACCAGCCAATCGAGAGGGGCCTTTTGCGTCTGGCCAGCAACGCACAGAAAATAGAAAGTGCAGGTGGTCAAAAAACTTACAGATCATGTGCGGGACGTGGCTGTCGAGTGCGGAACTGTTCAGGAACGAACTAGGGGCGTCGATGCTGCTCGTTGAAATCGCCGAGCCACTGCTGGGTCGTCGAAAGTCTGCAGTGCTCATGCCTCCACTGGGGATCTTGCTTGGGCCTGTGCCTGTGCCTGTGGGATTGGGATTGCTGGCTGTTGCTGTTTTGCAGCGCAATTGAGCTTCTGTGGAGACGGATTGGCCTGCGGTGCTGGCCGTGTAAAGATTCTTCCTGCAAGTGTCTTATTAGCAACGCAAATTCAACGTAACCATCCCCATTTGACTGTTCTTGCATGACGCAAGACAAGACGCAAGACGCATGGCCATTGAGCTCCAGTTAAACCGGCGACCGGCAAAAGGGGCCGGGATGGAGTCATTAGATATGCGGCTGGGGAGCGCGGAGCCTACTCACTTTCGCCTGCGGCTTTCTTGCACAACACACTGCCCATTGTTAGTTACTGCTTGAAGTTCATTGCATGTATCGACTCTAGCGGTCAATGGCTCGGGGACGTGGGTTCATACCTCGACGTTATCCCAGCGACAGTTTCCACAAGGAGCTCCCTCGACCACATCGCATCGGACCTTTCGTGCTCGACATGACACGCAAGCACGGGCAGCGCGTCGCTTTGTGATCTTTTCAGGTTGCTCCGAGTCGCCGGAGGGAGAGGAGCGCTTCTTGCTGTTCTTTTCAGTGGCATTTCTTGCCGATGATGTTGGTGATGGCGGCGCGTCTGCGCCTTGTGATGATTCTGCTTGCATTGCCATGGCTGTGGTTGTGTCTGGTTTCGAGAAAAGGGAATTGTGCGGCTGTCAAACTGCAGACCGACAATCTGGCTACGTCGTCTGTCAAAGCGTTTTTGAGATATAGAGTCGTGGTATGAATGGCCAATGCTTCTGTTTGAATATGATCGGATATGGCGGGATTAGAGGTGATGAATATCGAAATTATGAATCATTGAAGAATTCGGGTTGATCAAATGCGAGCGGTAGAGTGGAGAGTTGAGATTGATTTCAAAGATTTGAGTAGTTCTTGGAACTGGTTAAAACGAGTATGAGTCTATCGCCGTGACAAGTCCTGTCGTCACCGTCTGTTGTGTTTGGCTGAGAGTAGAGTGGAGAGTTTAGATGAGACAGGCCGAGGCTCAAATATCGAACTTGAGTGAGATGAGATGAGATGCAAATGCTTCAATCCCTCGTGAGTATGATCCGAGATGAACAAGAGACAAAGTCAAAGTCAAAAGACACGCCAACAACCTTGAGTCTTTTGGAAGCAGAAGTTTAAAGGCCAAGGGGATGGAAATCCGGGGACGGTCAGGTGGGGGGTGTGGATGGTTATTATATTCTCATAGCTAACGTTAGAGCACATCCCATGTTAAACTTAGTCACGGAGCGGGACAAAATGCATTGCATCGATGGGGGAAAGCAACCGCAACGCAAGAGCAACAACAGCAAGAAAATGGCCAAAAGTGGAGGGGGAGGGCGTGGCACTTTGTAACGAGGCATTTGAGGGTCTCTTTGGGGTGAGTTGAGGGTGTCGATGGCCTTTTGGCTGAGCGGAGAGAGGGTGTGTCTAGTAATACGTCCGCAGTCCGCAAGGTGAGCCTGGACGATGGATAATTTAAGCGGGGACCTACTATTGCCCAAGCAGGCCAAGCTGTTCTCTTTTTGCTTCAGCGAGTCTGGAGGTGGGCACCGTGACATTGGGGTGCGTGCGTGTGGGGATTCTATCGGTGATGATGTTGCAGTATGACCAAGCTGTGCAGTCAGTTGCAATGGTTGTTTGTGAATGCGAGTGCAACTGAGCGATAAGCCAAGTATGGGATATTTAAACATGTGAAATCTGAAGGGATCGATATATTCTATCGCAATCAGTTGATGTGAGCTCTCAACTTTTGTTTCCATGTTTGAGCAAATCATGGTTGGCCTTTCTGTTCCGATGTAGACTATTGTATTTATTTATAAATTATAATAGCTGATGTTTTGTTGGTCTCAAGGAGCCTCGCTAACAATATTGAAATTGCACTCATGCTTTACAATATCAACTCCTCTCAGACCATCGTCAGTCTACACCTAGAAGCCTCATTAACCATATATCTACATAGTACCTCAGGATAAATGAATATCAGAACACAATTTTGTGTGCAACTCTTTGTCTTCCATCCCTTTTCCTCTCAATCGGCCACCAGGGCTTCGAGACCGCAGCCTCTTGGCGTTGGCGTTGGCGTTGGCGGGACTAGATGCAAGTCTCTTTCTTGAGCCATGACACCGTGGTCCGGGGCTTAGCGTTTAAATCATGCCAGGTCTGGGCGGACACGACCGGGGAAACCTGGGATCGCAGAAGTGAACCCCGATACTGTTGTCCTCAGCGAGATCCAGAAACGCCGTCGCTGGATATAGAACAAATGAGGTGGTTTCCTTGTTGCGAATATCTGGGGTAACAAGATTCATCAGCCAGCGTCGCTAACGCCTTCCCCCTCTCAGAAGATGCCGCCTCCACGCGAGAATGGAGAATTGGGTGCTGCCACACCGGCATTCGTGAAGAGGGCTGATAACTTTAATAAATAATTGGATGGCAGCTAATACCAATGGCGGAGAGATCGCCAGTATCAACACAAGTTGCCATGTTTTTGGGCACCCCTAGATCCAGTAATAAGTTGAGATCCTGTGTCCCAGGGAACGGGATAAGGTGACGCTGACGCCATTTTGCTTGGTATTGGTGATGTTATACGTAGGTAGGGCAGTCACATGTTGCTGATGGTGATACTATATGGACATGCCAAGGGACAAAGGCAAGTGATGGAGTTGACACATGGCCCAAGCCACCGTCAGATTTCGCATTTCGCCGTTGGAAATATTTGACTGTAATTATGTCGTGTACTATGGTAAGACACAAAACTTCTCCAAATATTACTCCGACTTGGAGTGAGACAGTATGTACCCTGTGTACCCACATTGCTGTCCCTCATCTTCCATGATGTGCCTATATATACACTCTGTACAGAGTACTGCAGATATATTAATAAAAACGAGAGCATCTCCTCGCATTCAGTCTCGTGAGTACTACGTACAGGGAAGGTATATGTATTCCATACCTAGTACCAGCCCTAAGCGCGATACACAGATTCATTACACACATGTATACCGCTGTTTGTCTGCGTCTGAGGGAGGTGCTTGCTTTAATCTCCCTGATCGAGACCCATCAGGACCTGACCTGCCGTCCCCAGCATCCGGTCCCAGTTGCCCGATTCGTCGAATCCCGATCCCAGCCTGCGTTCCTTCTCCCCCACAGTTTGTCCCAGTTGCAGATGTGGGGAAGCCAATCATCGACCGTCGTTGTCCCCTCGTCTAACTCGTCTTAATCGAGTCAGCCGGGCCCCCAGAAAAAGAGACACAGACAAACCCAGGGCTGGGGCGTGTGGATTTTGGAACTGGAAAAGGTTGGGTTGGGTTTATTGGCGTAGTCGCAGACATCACGAGGCGCGCCGCAAACGCAGAATTGCGGCCTATGGAAAAAATTGAAGACGAAGGAAGGCTCATGGAACTTCCGTGACAGCCACATGATGGGAGCAATTCTCTTTTCTTCTCAACTTTCTTTTCCTTTTTCGTCATTGACTTTACAAAATACACGTGAGGGTATATTAACTCTTTCTAATACATCATTGACTCCAAATGTCGTTGGCAGTACTGAGTACGTAGATAAAATAAAAAAAGGCTGCTCTTCTCCCCGTGCGGAGGAGGGTGTACCCCAGAGTTACCAGGGTTCTTGTAGTTTGCAAGCTCAATTACTGGTCCTTGCCAAGTTCCTTTTTTGGGGCTCCCCCCGCTACTAGCTGGAATCATGGATTATCCCCCTCACAAGTGTCCAATGCCCATCATGAAGTTTACCAAAGCTTTTGTTCTAGCCCCACACTCTAGGAGATTGCAATTGATAATCTTGTTGCTATTGAATCTATGTACAGTTCATCTCGATTTACTCCGTAAAAATGAAGCAAAATAATGTTTTAAAAAACACGTTCACTCTTGTCAAAGCATAGAGCATTATGTGCTTGCTTGCTTGTCCCTTTAGTCCGGTGCATTCTCTGGAACAAGGATAAATCTGGGCGTACTTTGAACCAATCACTTCACGTCTACTCCAACTACGTCAGACTTCTCAACCAATCAAGGGGGTTAGTCGGCTATGTTCGGCTACTCAACTGTCCAAGCCAAAGATGATCCTTGATGGAGTGTCTTATGTTGACGAATCACGATGCTGTGAAATCTCTGTCGAAACTCGATTTCCACTTACACACACTGGCATACTTAGCAAGAGTAGAGTTGTTCTGGGGTGTGAGCGCCAACGGAAGACAAACACCGCTCCTGAACACAAGATGCGTTCCAAAGGTGCATACGGATTCTCAACGGGTCACTCCGGGCTGATCAAAACGTTCCGTCCTAAATCGTTTTCTTATTTTATGTTTGGTACATATTTGGTGCGGAATGGATTCGGAATGATGCGAGCGTGTCTTAAACTCAATTTATTCCTACCAATTCCACGGAAAGCAACCGCTAGTCGTTCTCAAGCAGCTCTCGAATATTCACACCCACGAAAAAAGCAAAGAAAAATACAACCAACCCAAGACCCTGGAAGGTCTTTGATCGAAGCTGCAAGTTCACATTACATGTGCCCGTTCGCATGACCATGCAAGCAGGTACATCTTACATCGTACATCTTACAACAACAGCAACGAACGAGACGCACAAGATAAAGTTCATTTTTAACATTACCCTCATCGTCCTTCACTAATCCGTGTTTATCAAGGTCAGGTGGGAAGGGAAGGGTGCAGCATCTAAAAAAGCTCAGTGGGGACGGAATATCATTTTCTGTGTGACCGCCTCGGAATTTTGGATCGAGTAAAACAAGGTGAAGGACAGACCCAATTTGGGGAAACGAGCTAGTAAAGGTGAGACGTCAGGTCAGGGATTCTTCATCGCGATGCAAATCAATCACCGAGAGAAAGGTCAATGTCAGTGTCAGTGTCAGTGTCAGCAGCAAAAGCAGAAGCAGCCTCAGCGGAGATCAGCCCGCAGTGGGGACCCTTCCGGCTCCGGTGCGTCCGGTCTCAAGATCACCTCCCCCATCGGCCATATCCCGAGCCCACCGGAATTGAAGGGGGGCGGTAAAACACATCCGGGTCGAGTTTGGCCCAATCGCGAACCCTGGGGGAGTCTGTCAATTAGCTCGTCCCTTCTCCATGGGGTGTAAGTGGGCCACGAGCCTCGTGCCGGTCGAAGCCATCCTTTGAAGTAGTCTGCAGTCTGCAGATGCAGATGCAGATGCAGGCAGAGAGACAGGGCTGTGTTCAACAGTTACCGGTCCTGATTATTGCCCTTCTGGACCGGCTTGAATAATCGTAATCAATACTGGTTCTTTTGAACCAATTCCCGCTTTGTTACAGCAATTTGCAGCAACCAGGCCAGAGGTACTCCGTACATAAGTGGTGTGGCCGATCTCCCGCCCTTGTTTATGAACCCGAGCCATGGCCACTTTCTAATGATATCACTCCGACTTCAAAGGCTCGGCACTTTCGGACAATTCTTTCTACACTCCCCAACAACATTCAAAAGCTGACATGTCAAGAACCACCACCTCACTGTCATGTCGGGCCTTCCAACCATCCCCACTACGGAACATTTCAAGGATGTATCTATGCATCTGATCCAGACCAGGAACCGGCTTTGATTGTAGAAACTGAGCCCTGGTGTAGGACATGCCCCATTGTGCCATCATTGATACGTAAACTGCCCTCGATTCAGGAGTTGAAAATGTCCGAGCAAATCTTCCGTGTCACAATGTCGATCGCCGATTTAAAGGCAGCATTATCTCGAGGTCCAGCCTCTCGGTCCATGTCTGTTTTCTGATGTGGTCCTGAGAGCATACCAAGACTCAAGAGACGGGCAACTACGTCAACCATGTACACAGTACTATCTAAACCAACTCACAGCCTCATTATGAATAAAATAAAATAAAGGCTTCGATACATTACTTGTAGAAACCAACATCCACTTCAGTATTCCCGTGTCCTCCGGCATCAACTACCGAAAACTGGGTCTCCGGCTCCGAGGTGGACTCCTTCACCTCCAGCGATCCTCACTCACACCCTACCTGCCACAAACCTCCAAATGCCGTTGAAGAAAAGGAACCTCGACAAGAAAATCGAAGCACCTAGTCAAATCCAAAACAAGAAAAGAAGAAGAAGAAATAAAAAACCTTGCTCGTTCAGAATCATCCCTCCACTCACACAGTACACTCACCCAATGGTCACAAATCAACATTCTCTGTTGACCTACGGATAGAAAAAATGTCTCAATTTTTTAAATGTCCTTTCCTTGTAAAACAGCGCCGTGACACTGCATTTTGCATTTTTCATTCTGCATATGTAATGTAGACATGGATGCTCCCCCCTTGCTCGGCTTTGGCTTTTTGAGTAAACGCCAAACCCCGATCTTCCGTGAGCTCTGGGGCTCTGGGCTCGGCTACCGACGTCCTGAAGCGGCTATCAACCGAAACCTCGCTCCCATCTTACGACCTTCTAAGCCTGTGCCAGAAAAACAAAAGAACCACCTGCCCCCAACAATTTTTCTGCACAGTTTTTACCATCGTGATCCCTCGTTGGCCCTGGTCCCCAAGTGGTGCCCTTGGTTGTTTCTCTGGCTGTGCCTCAACTCGTCTTTCTATACTTCAATGCCTCAATATGGATACCAGACAGCATCGCTTCATTGGATGATCCCCCTCCGCACATTGATGTCCGAGAACGTGAGAGGAGAAGGGGCCAACGATCTCTTTCAACCTTTTGTTCAAACTCCTTTCCCTGGAGACGGCAGAACTCAGACTTCGAGACATTTTGAGTGCAGTTCTTACAGCTCTTGTCGCCCTTCACTTTCACAACGATCGTTAGAACAACATCAGGAAGCCAAGTTGGCGCCCTGAGACCATCAGGCAACACATCATATTTCTCACCTACTGTCCGACAGCTAGCTTGTTGTTTGATGTGATGAGGCCCTTGAATAGGCAGATCCATCATACACACACGATAGCTTACAACCTCATATTTGCACAGCATTGACGATACCTCTGGAGGACGCTATGATACATCAACAATATTCACCCGGCTGCCTATGGTAGGACAGCCGAAGACTACCAGTCTCAAGACCAATGTGTTCTCATCGCGTCAAGATCAAGCATTTCACGCCTCCATGGGATATCCTTTTGTCCATGGCCCATCACTAGACAGTTCATCAGATTTGTCGACAGCTCTCACGACTCAGATGATTCGTTCCTTACAGCAGAAACAGAAGATGAGTCTTGGTGATGGAATTCAGTAGACACTTGCTGGTCCTACAGAACTTCCAGCCAGTACTCAAAAAGACTTGAACCAAGACCTGGTGGGTTTACGACAGTCACTGGCAACACATCATGCACATCATGAAGTCATGATATTCAAGGAGACAAGGTTTTAGAGTCAAGAACTGTTTCCTGTTCTATTTGCTGGTATATGCAATCTTCTTCCATCTCTTCTTTTAGTTCCCCTCTATACCCGTCCGATCTGGTTCTTGCCAGATGAATCCAAAAATTAAATAGCCGTTAACGCGTCAAGCAGATTATGAAAAACAAAAAAGCCTATTACTGAGGCTCGCTCAACAAAATCCCGATGGCCACAGGCCATGGTATGTGGCATGACATAACATGGCAACAAGAGTTCCCTCAGCTGATTTGCGACATGGAAGTCCTTTCAAATCAGCTGAGGGGCAGTAAACTCAAGTCACCCAAGTACCGCAATCATTTGCAAGCGCAATCCCAACGACGAGCACTTCATGGTCGAGAATAGCACTTTGTCCTTCGCCAAACCCTCAAAAACAATCATTGATGTTAATCATACACAAGTGTGCACATGATTACAACTTAGCATCGGCAAAGCAAAGGGGGTTGTAGATGTGCTGCTTGATGTAGCTGGTGAGGGCAACATCACCCCATTCCTCCCACTCAGCCCATTGAGCGTCAGAGACCTCAGAGACTCCAGCACGTCGAGCAGCCTTCATGACCTCGCGGGCAACGATGACACTAGCATCACGGACACGCTCAATGCGGGGGTAGATGAGACCCTTGTGGACCTCATCAGCATTTAGAGAGCCAGCCAGAGCGGCGGCAGAGGTGTAGACCATCTCATCAGTGATGCGAGAAGCCTTGGCAAGAATGGCACCAAGACCCAGACCAGGGAAGATGTAAACATTGTTACCCTGGTTGGGGTGGTAGACGGTGTGGTGAGTCTCATCACCGAACTTGGCCTTGACTGGGTTGAAAGGAGAGCCAGAGGCAAAGAGGACAGTGCCCTCAGTCCACTCAATAGCCTGCTCGAAAGTGCACTCGGCCTTGGTGAGAGGGTTGCTAAGAGGGAAAAGGATGGGGCGGCGTTCAAGACCACCCTCCTGGACAGAGCTCTTGAGAGCACGGACAACGGGCTCAGTAAAGACGCCAAAGGTGGCGGTGAGACCAACAAGAGCGCTGGGCTTGACGTACTCAATGACCTCCTCAAGAGTACGGAACTGATGACCGTTGTTATCAATTCGGGCAAAGTACTTCTTGTGCTCAGCCAGACGATCACCACGGTCCTTGGTGACTAGACCCTTGGTGTCAACAAGCCAGAACTTCTCACGGGCGGCGGCCTCGCTCAAGCCACGACGAGTGTAGTACTCAACGAGCTGCTTAGCGACACCGACACCAGCAGAGCCAGCACCCATGAAGACAAGACGCTGGTCCTCCAGAGGAACACCGGACTGCTCAACAGCACCAATGTATCCACCCAAGACGACAGCACCAGTTCCCTGGATATCATCGTTCTGTTGATAACATGTTAGCGAGGTACGGTAATAACTTTCTCCGGTTCACTTACGAAGCATCGATACTGGTTTCGGTAACGCTCAAGGTAACCGAAAGCCTTCTCACTGTCGAAATCCTCGAATTGAACAACCATGTTGGGGAACACCTCACGAGCGGCCTCCATGAACTCGTCCATGAAAGACTGCTGGTCAGCGTATGAGGGGCGCTTTTGTCGCAGACCAAGGTAGAAAGGATCGTTCAGGTTCTCCTCGTTGTTGGTACCACAGTCAAGGACGATGGGGAGAGTCTTGGAGGGGTGGATACCGGCAGCGCCAGTGTAAAGGGCGAGCTTTCCGATCTGGGCAACTAATTAGCAAACGTTCTAAAGGCGAGCTTGCGATGAACTTACAGAGATACCGACACCGTTGATACCGAGATCACCGAGACCCAGAATACGAGAACCGTCAGTGATGACGCAAATCTCGGGATCCTGGCAAGGCCAGTTCTGAAGCATGGCGCGAATTGACTTTCGCTGCTTGATGGAGATGTACAGAGCCTCAGGGCGGGTGTAGATGCTTGAGTACTGCAGGCAGACGTCGCCGATTGTGGGGGTATAGACGAGAGGCATGAGCTCTCGGACGTTGTCAATCAGGAGACGGTAGAAAAGGTCGGTATTTTGGTCCTTGATTGTGGACAGGTAAAGGTACTTGTCGATGGGTGTCTGGCGGGTCTGAATCATCTTCATGGCTCGGGCGCATTGAGTCTCGAAGCTCTCCATGGTGTGGGGGAGGAGACCTGTAAGGTTCTTGGAGGCACGCTCTTCGGGAGTAAAGGCAAGACCTGGAGAGACAGTGTCAGCAAGATGCAACAGGACGCGCATAGCAGGGAATGAAATCATGAGTCGCAACAGACACCTCCATGATACCATGATGGTGACAACAAGTGTTGTTACAATTCAGAAGGTGGAATAAGGCGACTTACCCTTGTTCCAGAGAGGTTCTCGGACAACCTGGTAGCCAGCGGCATTGGACTCGTTGAGGTATTCAGGTGTTCGGTCCTGCTTGACTTCGGCGTAATGGTCTTGGACGTAGCCACGATGTTGATCAAGGGCGGCCATCTTGATCTCTTTTTCGATCTTGGAAAGGTCGAAGGAAGACATTATATTAGAGTCTGTAAGTCTTCGGCTGGACGTGGGGTGGTTAGATATATATACGGACGAGAGGGCATGGAGGGAGCCCGATGTGGAGAGGGGAGGGACATACGATGATGTTGTTGATGAGCGAGAGCGAGGTGTGGCAATTTCTGAGCTGGCGGTACTATGAAGAGACGAAGACGCCATGGACATGGACAACAAACTATGGGGTGATGAAGACGGAACGAAGGATGAATGGAAGAGCCTGGGGATGGGGAGACGAGGACGGCGATTATTAGTAGTCGCCGTGAGAGCAGCGGATGGGGGAGTAACAGCAACAGCAGACGCAGACGCAGACACGGAGCGCAAGGGGCCACTAGCGAAGAAAAGTCGGTTTAAGACCTTTTGGGCGGAACTGGGTCCCGAAGGCGAGGCCAGTGTCATGGTCGAGAGCGTTTGGGCCATGTTTGGTAATTGGTACCGTACAGAGCGTACCTCACAAGAGAAACTCGAGAGATACCGGAGTATGGGGGAGGAGAGTGCAGGGGTAAGCTCGGGGACGGGGGTGGGTGTTGTTGGGTGGTGTAGGGCAGACGAGACAGGACGGACAGGGTAATGTTAATTGAATGAAATCAAGGGATTTTTGATGCAAATGCTGTTGCGACCGACTCTTGGCTGATGCTCTGTGCTGCGCTGAGATGTATGAGAATGAGACCGTGAAGCCGTAGACACTAGGTACCGTATGATACTGCTACGTCTCGTAATGACCTGAATGAACACCTGTAACATACGCCAGTACGTAGTGAAGTTTGTTGCGAAACCTAGAGGAATTCAAGGTTGAGGAACGAACGAGAAGAGCGAAGACGGAGCAAGACGGGCGGCGTACGGCAACGGCAACGGCAACGGACGGACAAAAAGCGGTTTCACTTTTTCCTCTTCTCCAGAAATATACGCCCTTGTCACCTTGAGAGTGGACTTGTTAGCATGTAATCCGGTACCTCTTTTAGGGCGCCAACGAAAAGTCTACGGCGCGACCGAGTCAAAAAAGAGTAGCAGATCCTTGCAGGTCCTCGTTCGATGAGGAGGGGACGGGGTAACGTTTGGAATTAGAATTGGGAATGGGATTGGGATTGGAATACGGGAAATAGTGATGAGAGCAAGACTGGGTATGGGCATGGATGGAAGTTTGACATGTATGCTGCTCGTCTCTTTTCCCTTCTGTTTCAGAGCAGCTTTCGTCCCATTGAAGATACTCCTAGGGACTCAATTGTGTTGATTGAATCTGGGCTTGATCATTGAGGCCAACAGAATGTCTGTCAACTGCAATTCAAGCACCTACAGTACAACACAGAATCGATGGGGACCCGCACGAGAGGGGGGTAAGTTTTCTTTCTTGGGCATTGGGGCTGAAAGGTGAGTAGAGGGTGGGGCTAGTGGAATCCAACTACTCCGTAGCTTGGGGCAGGGATCCCGCGTGGAACGGAGGATTGGGGTTATTCATGTATCGGGGAGGGAAGGAACAGACGACTAGCGGGTGACTTGCCCGACAATGTACCTGTTCCTTCCCGCCAAGGCTGTGACAGAACGTAAACATACGTACCTTTTCACCAGGGGAAAGACCCTTGCTGCGGAAGCTACAGGTTGAGCTTCTGCCTTCTTTCCTCTTGAGGCAGGACCTCTAGACCTCTCTCGCTTCGCCAAATGCTGGGGAGAGCTTGGCAGCTGTTTCGGTGTTAGAAGAGACTTCCGGATATGTCTTATTCCAGACTTCATCTTCTTTCTCACCTCGTTTTATGAGTCACTGATACTCCAATTGTGCTGTTTCGTAAAACTGCGACTTCTTTCTTTCTTGCCGTTTCGGTGTGGAGCAGAGAATGAATGTACGTGCGAGTGGAAGGTAAGATGTTTTGTCGTGTCCTAGAATGTGATCAGCGATATGACCACTTTCACCAAGCATTCCATTCTACAGGCGCATTGTTCGGCCGAACAGAAAAGAAAATCATGCTCGAGCACGCCCAGGTTGGATAGAAGAATGCAGCGACTCGGCGTAAAAGCAATAACTCATAAATCATAGGTCCCCTTACCTTGAGGCTCAGTAAGGATACCAGTGTAAATGGGCGCAGAAACCACTTGACGATGAGCTCGAATGGGGTGATGGTGGGGGTCCCGTCACGTTATCGAGTATCAAAGACACTGAGTGGGATTTTCTTGTCTAGTGACGAATTGCTGCCCGATATTGCTGATAGAGCTGCTGGGAAATTGCTGTTCTGTCGGGAGAGGCGAGGTTGGTCGTATTACTTCACTTGCAACCATCCAGACCTTTAATGGTTCCTATGCAGTATCTGGATAGCCCTAAACCGAGTCACTCTATCTATTGATAGACACCTATTATCGGACGCATGTTTATTCAATCGGCACTATATTATCTCTTTTGCTCTTTCAAGCTGGGGTCCATGCCGATGACTGCCGTGCTCGGTCATACAAGACTAACAAAACAACTTACAATAAACCTCACGGTGACGGAAATCGGAGGTTCAGTAAAAGACAACGGCGCCGACTACGGGGGCTAATGACCAAGGTGGACCCCACCGCATGGCCCTTGTCTTGTTCGGTCAAGCCCTGGGCTAGAACACGCAAAGAAAAATGTCAGACATGATTGACGAGATGAGATTCAACGGGGGAAGGGAGGGATATGCTATGTAACGAAAAACATGAGACCTATGGAGTAGAGATACAAGGCTTCGCTTTCTGCCTTCTCAAAAGGGTTGATGCCGAGTGGACAGGTAACTTGGATGTGGATAAATGGATGATGATGATAATTAATAATTAAAGTGATCTGAGCAGGTGTATATTGAGTATCAAGTCCAAGGATCAAAAGACCCGGAATTAAAAAGAGGTCAAAGCCCCATCGACCTTCGGCGCCGAGTCCCATGCTGTAATGCACCTGAATATTTGCATTGATTCCTTTTTCTTGACCTGCAGCGTCTCTCCTCTCGTCGCGACCCGGAACAAAGATCTCGGTTCGCAATCATTAAAACTCGGCCGGTGAAGGCTCCACCAGGCACCCGATAATATCCACTCTTGGAGGCCCCTCTCAGGAGCTCCTCCGGTTGACGGGGCACGGGGGGAGACGCTACGGTTTATTAGTGAAGTTGCAATCGGGTGTTTGTGTGGTGTAAATGGGGTATTTCTGGTTTTTTGTGTTGATTTTTACATGTCCTTCATCCGCACCTTAGGGTGGAGGTTGATGGTATACCTACGCGTCTGTTGTTAAACTTTGATACATAGTCATGGCCAAGTGTATAGGCTGGTGATAATCTGAACTCAATCTTTTCATCTCTGTTCTACGCCGTGAATGTCTACGTTGACGCTATTGCCAACTACCTCTTACAAGCCCCAACTATGTTAAACTACTGACACCTGGTAACCTTTTCGCGATGGAAACGGCTTGTCAATCAACAGGGGGAGTCAAGAATTGCATCAGCGCTTACGCTAATCAAAGTGGACGCTTATTATACCACGTTAAGCCAGGTGATGTTTTTTCCCTCCCTTGGGCACTAACCAATATTGCGGAGACTCATGGGGGGCTGCAACACCGTTTACAACTTACACCGAGAGAGCATTTATCCTCACGATAATTGTAAGCATAGACGAACATCATGAGATTCCCATTGTGGTTTGGTTATAATGCTCCCATCTTCAAACAGCGCAGATAAGAGAGAAATCATACCACCCCGTTCAACGGCCCGACCCTTTACGGCCGAGAAAAAAGGGGGCACGCAATGTACATAGTGAAGAAGCTTTGTTGTATATCAGGAACCATGTTAAAAATTGCCAGTGGGTGACGAAGCCCCGGCAATCGGGGTGATGTTCTCCCTTGCTACTAGGTCCAGGGTTCTGCGGAATTTCGATAATCGTCGAATTAGCTGTTCACAGGCATGTCTCGAGTTTCCGTGTCATCACACGATACCAAAAGGCATTGGGGCCCTCACAATCGGTAGTTTACCTGTAGCTGTCGCTGTTACAAGAAGAGAAGTGATCTGGTTGGAGAGAAGAAGCTCCACACTGTCCACAGCAGACTAGAGCTGCATGCGTTGCCGTTTGACTTGCTTTTGCTGAGATTGGGATCGATTTTCCCATCATCTTGCGTTTCCTCCCCCATGTTCGGGGGTTTGGTATTGGTCAGGGAGATATGGAGTACGGTGAGCTGCATTATCGTCTTTTTTCTTTCTTCCTTTTCGTCTTACGCTTGTGGTCGTACGTAAGATACGGTCAGGGAACAAGTTTCCTGTGCCTGCAGCCGCCATGCGTTGAGGGACACGGCCACAAGGTACCTATCTTTGGACGCTCACCGAAAGTTGCCTGGGGTATGATATTGTACACTGAAATGTGTGAAATGAGCATCAGACGGTGTGTGCGTGTGCGCTTGGGTGCAGACCGTTTTCCTCAACGTTCGTGTGTAAGACAAAATGAAGTGCTATTACGTATCAGATGCATGCTTCGTAACCCTTTCAACTTTGGTGAGGATTAAGTGAGCATCAGTCACTTTACACTTAGCTATTGTGTTTCAAATAGGCAATCGCTCATGCGCATCTCGTAACCTGTCACTTGGTTTGAGTTTGTGAATTCGAACTCCGTTACTTGACTTCCTCCTGATACTCACCTCGAACCAAATCACATCAGCCAAAACTCCTTGGGCTGAGATGCTCTCTGTTTCATTTGCCGTTCCCCGGGAAGCATGCACGCCTTAGGTCTTGGGCTCCGCCTCCCTAGGTCAGACGAAAACTAAAGCAGACAAGGGGAAAAGTCTTTCCCGACTTTTCAACAACTTAACTCAAGATTCTATCACAAAACAAAAAAAAAACAAAAAAAAAACAAAAAAAAGCCCTTTCCCTTCCGACTTTGCCCGGGTGGAGGCCCTCACTAGCGCCCATCAGTCCCGCGGATCAGGCAGGAGTGCTGGATTGGAGACCCCCCGGCCTCAAGCCGGCTTCCCGAAAGGTGATCCACTGCGCTCCCCCAGGCTGCAGGAGAGCCTCCCGGGAAGGTACACAGAGCTAATTGTATGCATTTATCAGAGGTTTGTTCGGGCGGGTGCAGGTGCCAAGGCCTGCAAAAGGTGGATAGTGGAGATCTACGGGTGGATCCAGCGGGGAAGGTGAGAGGCAGGTTGGCAGGGGCATGCTCGGGTACGCCTAACCTCTAGAGGTTCAAGGTCTCGCGCGTCTCACCACGGAATCTCCAGGAAGGTGTGACCCCACCGACTTCCCTCACCCTAACCCGACCTTTTTTTTTTTCTGGTCCTTGCTATTCCTTCTTCACCTGGGTTCTGGGTTCCACTCCTGGTCCCTGGCTAATTGAGTTGAATCAAGGGGTTTTATCCCTTTTGGTTGAAAGCATTGGTAATCACGAAGTTAACGGTGTTGACATTTGATGTGTCCTTGAGGAGAGTTCTAAGTTGTTGAGTTGCTTATGCTCGTGTGCTCATTCACTACTCTCCACGTAATTCGAGTCATTCACATTAGGACAAGTGGAAGTCGTTTAACAGAAACTCTACCTTAAATGCTCAGCCCGCCTATTGGATGTCATGCCGTCACCCCGCATTCATTCTTCCTTCCTTCCATCCATCTTTTCGGGATCTTGTTGACCTTGTCTCGATTGGGCTTCTGCCAAAACGTCAACAAAAATTTATGCGACTGAGCTGAAACTCGATGACTCCTCAGCACAGCGATCATACATTACGCATATTGTCGTCCTCACTCACACTGAATACTATCACGAGCTCAAGCCACGGGAGACATGCAGGTAGAGGTAGAGTTCGGACAAGTTTCGGGCTCGGTATATTCTTGATGTTACCCTGTAGTCTTGCGCACCTCACTGGCCATCTGTGATATTGCGGGCAATCCTCCGCAACGCCGAAACTCATATTGAGTTTCTTCAGTATGCTGCACATGATAGGGTATGTGCCGGTGTCGCGGGGTTTGCACCGGTGTGTCACATTGCCAGATGAACAACTACGTGGCTACGATCTGCCAGTTGAATACGGTCAAGAACAAATAAATGGCTAGTTTAACCGAAGCCAGATCATAACCACACACTGCAACAGGTGTGGTCTATTGGTACGGATACTATTGGCTCTCATCTCAACATTGATAATTAGATATGAGCCACTGATACCCGAGATATCAACGAGCTCAGAAAGTGGTTGGGCCATGCACTCATAGCCTCTCAGGTCTGCTCGGCTTAGGAAACCGATATCGTTCTGTTGGGAATGCCAATAGCCCCTGTCGATACGTGTAGATCATCAGAGACATGATGTAGTGTCACAAGAGCCGCATTTGAGTATAGTTCCATATATTCTCAATTCATTCATCGGCTTGCCTCGGTCTACTTGAGTCTTCCCATCACTTGAAGACTTACAAGCATACGTCGTGATAGTCCGTCTCCCCATCCTGATATGTACTACCTACTTAATATTTAAGTATGGACAAGATAAGCTTGCATCTAGTGTCTATAATCGACCTGGGTCTAAGTGCATCACACTCAATATTTCCCATATTAAACCTCTGGCTAGACCAGGGTAGCTTCCTGCTACACACCTCCAGCTTCTCTTCAACACCACGCAACTCCTACAGCTTCACCACATCCCGCTTCTCCGGCTTTCCCTACACTCCCCGAGCTCCCTCCGGAGTTGACCACGGAGCTACCCCGCCTCACATGTCTTTTAAACTTCTGGAGAATATTCATAGGTAACCATTACGATAATGAGTAAACTTAACCCATCACCGCCAACCACAATCACCACAATCAACAACAGCGGCTTCGCTTAGCACACAAGCCGACCAACTACACACCCCTTCTAGCAAAGTCCTTGTTTCATTGCGAACCCTAGAGAAGATCCCGAGGCGTGTCCTCGCTGAAGAAATTAGCCTGTGACTGCCCCGTGTCCACTCACGGACAGGTACCGAGCGTGCGGCTCCGTGCTAGTCACATCTACGGATACTCCATACCTAGACCTAGAATACACATGCAACACCTCGACCACTGGCACTGACACTGGCACTGGCACTCACACAGCATAGTGTCCATTTCACATCTGGGGAAAAGTCTCCATTGCCGTTCGTCCTAGCTTTCTGTCCCCCATGCACTCCGTTCCCCCAGATTATAGCAGTCCCGTCAAACCTTGTCCCTTGACGCACGCCACCATTTGCACCATGTTTACTTGCAATTACACGAGCCTCCACGTTTACACCTGTGTACATAAATAGCAAGGCTCTAGAAAGCTCATGCAAAGAGTCATAAACCACCGATATCGGGATACCAGCCTTGTTCGTACGTCAAGTTTAAGATTCAGTCATACCTCACACGTGGTCGACATATCCTCGGCATATATGATAGTGATCTGATAGCAACTCATTTCCTCGTGACTGCATCTATGTGCTACCATACTTTTGAATACCTTACATAGTAAATTATAAGTCCTGACTATGATACTTTTGCAGTTGTTAAATGCTCCATGATTGTGCCCATTTCAATAAGCCAAAGCTTCCTTGCTTGCTTTACTCCCCAAACACCAAATGCCATATCTACCTTCAGAGCTGCGAAAGCAATCAATGCAATTACGCCCTTCCCATATCTCCAGCAGAATCCATGTGCCGTTCTCCAAATTCATAACATTTCTCCCCTGGTCTGTCCACTCATTTGGTGTTCTCCTTACCCGCCTCGGTCACCTTCCGGGACGCCGTCTCGATCTTGTCCATAGCGCTGTCATCCTGGTGGCTCCACCATTGCCGCAGACCCTTGGCATATTCGATCTCTTCTGGGGTAATTTCGACAGGTGGACCCTTGACTTGGCTCAGAATTTCTTTGTCATTAGACTTGGAAACGGCCCATGACGAGGAATCCTCTGACCGGACGCCGAAGCCACGGCCCTTCATTGACACCACCTTGACCCGCCGGAGGAGTATGACATCCCCGGCGTCAACTTCCGGCAGGGAAGCGAGGTGGGGCCGGAAAATATGGGCCACACGGACTTGAGTTGGTGCAGTTGACGGGTCGGTCAAGCTCAAGGTGAGCATGAAATCCCGAGGGCCATGTTTGGGCCTGTGTGGGTGTGCTGGCGTCTGCGTGACAACAGCAAGAATATCTGTCATCTTATCAATAGAATTCCTACTGACCAACTTGAGCGAGAGGAAGTCAGGAAGGCTCGTTCGCAGGCCCTTGACCAGTTGTTGTTTAAGGGTCTTGACATCCTCCTCCTCGGGCACAGTCCCAGCAGATCCAGCAATTGATGGGGATTTGAGTGAAGTGAAGGATACGTCGGGGGAATCCTCCTGTATCTGCAGGCTTCTCGAAACAGAGCGAGTCTCGCGCCTAGGCGTCTCTCGCTTGGGATCTGGTGTCTTGTGGCTTCTTAAATGCCTAGCTGATGGACTTGATCCTTTCGCAAGCAATATGCTGGGGTCGCCATGATCAGTTTTCGAGCGTGTTATTCGTTGAGATCCCGGCGAGCTGTTATCTGCATCGAGCCCACCCTCGTCATCTGGAGCCTTTCTCTTGCGCTCGTTCTTCGCCTTTGTTTGCACTGAGCCGCCAGCCAATTGAATGCTAGGATCGTCGTGATTCGTCTTACTGCGTGTTTTGCTGCTTGAGCCGTCTGGACTGCTCTGCTTGCTTCGACGTTCTGCAGTCTTTGAGGTGGGTGTGTTTATGATCAGCGCAAGGCTAGGGTCCTCTGCGCCATTCCCATCAGATGTTTTGGCCAACTTCTTACGTCTAGATCGCAAGGACTTGGCAACAATAATATCAGATGCTGGCTCATCATTTCCAGGAGATGCTGCAAGCGGTTCATCGGTCTGTTCAGCCTGCACTGGTGATTTGGTCTGTGACGTTACAGGGGAAGACATGAAAGGGTCTCTTAAAGGGTGTGCATCTTGCCGGATAGGTGAGTGCTGTAGTATCTCAGCCATGATCTGATCCTCCGGGTCTACATCTTCATCGTCGACTTCGTTGTTCTGAGTGACAGTGTTCAACGTTTCAACCATTTCAACCTCTACCATCTGCTGCGTCTCGCCAGGAGTTGGAAGGTGTTCGCCGTGTTGCTCGTTCGAAACGTTGATGCTGTCTTCTTCCAATATTTGTGTTTCAAGAGCTTGAGTTGGCGGAGGTGAGATCTGACCATGCTCTGTAGGCTCTTTGCCCACGTTTGCCTCTTCAGCTTTACCACGATGTGTTTCAGATAAGGCATCCGCTGACTGAGGAGCCGGTTGAGTTGTCACCTTGCACGAGGCGGCGTCCTGCATGATAGCGTCATGCGATTCAGAGATCTCTGGACTCTGAGAGCCCCGAGTTTCGAGGATTGCATGATCATCCGAGCCAATCTCCTCAGATGCAAGATCTTCTTGCGCCGTCACCATGTGGACACTTGCTGAGGCATCCTGTACAACTTCTGTGATTGTGCCAGATGCCTCCTCGCTAATAGTGATACTGGCCTCGACAACTTCCACCACTGTTGTCTCGATTGAGTCAATAGTGTCTTCCTTGGCTTCTCCAGCGGGTGCATCGACGTCCATAGCTTCAACTGGCTCCTCAGCCACAACAGGAACAGTCTCGTCAGGCGCGTCTGGTTCTTTAGGCTCCTCGGGAACAACGTTCTCGCTCTCATCGCATTCTTCCACTGGCGCAGGTGCGTGGTCCATGTCGATATCACCCGATTCTGTCTTGGCCGGACTTGGTTCTCTTTTGGTTTCTGGTTCATGCTGTTCCTCTTCTTCAGTAGGAGGTTCTTTTTGGGTGGATAAGTTCACAGTAGATTGCTCTTCGGTAGTCTGGTCGGCACGGGGTGAGTTGTCATCCTCCTTGTTTGCTTCCGACACTGCAGGTGCTTCGGCAGCTTCAACATCGTCTGTGATCGACTCCTTGACAGGTGGTGAAGGAGCCGAGATATTTTCCAATTCAGCAGGCTGTTCCTCATTGGCATCTTTTGTTTTTTCCTCCAAATTAGCCTCCTTCGTCACCTGCTCAGACGGCTCCTTGGCCTCAGTTTCCAGTAAAGGCTGGTCGTTTTCTTTGGTCATCTCCCCATCTGCCTTGAAATCTTCGATCTCTCGTTTTGTCTCAGGCTGCAATAGAGAGTTTGTTTCGTCTTCATGCTCCGGTTCGCTTGCTGGTTCAGGTTCAGGTTCAGGTTCAGGTTCAGGTTCATGCTCTTGGTCTTTCACAGACTCTGAGTCTGCCTCGGATTCTGATTGAGGCTCTGGCTCTGGTGCCTGTTCGGGCTCTTCGTCATCTTCAGAATCCGAGAGCAAGCTAATGAAGACAGGGTCCTGTTGAACAGGGGGAGCAGACGGACGGTTTTCTGCCTCCTCATCATACTCTTCCTCTTCTTCATCGTCGTAGCCATCTTCCTCATCTGAATAATATTCGCCTTCTGCATCACCTTCTGAACCTTCATATTCTTCTCCCTCGTCTCCAGACCGCCGCTCATACACCTCCTCTGCGTACTCCTCAGCGTCCTCGAGGTATCCCTCCTGGTTCTCTACATCTTCATCAACGTCCACATCATCTTCTTCAGGGTTCATGATCTGCGCTTCTGGATCATCATTATTCACCTCTAGCTCCTCTTCGGACGTCTCAACATCGTCGTCGTCATCGTGCGTACGGGAGTATTTTCTGAGGTCATAATCGTCGCCAGGTTCGTCGCCGCCATCGCGGTAATACTCAGGTTCCTCGAGTGCTGGCTCTGGAGACCCATCCGCAGTTGTGTTTACCTCTGTGTTGTCTCTTGATGGAGATGGCTGTCGACTTTCGCTTGGCTCCTGTGAGCCTTGTTCTCTGAATGGCGATGAGCTCATGATTACGACCGGGTGCTCCACATCGCTACTAGCATTTGCGGATTGTGGTTCGGGTGATTCCTCAGTAGCCCATACATTTTGAGGCGGTTGCATAGTGGTGTTGAAAGTCGAAGAGAGGTGCGCTTCTGTATCGAAGGGATCATGAGGAGCCATGTCGGACTGCGATCCGAGAGCAGCAATGCTTGTGAGGTTATCCACCATGTTAGAAGGGATTGGGTCGGTATCCAACAGCCCAGGAGGATAGTCCTCTGCTCCCGTAGCAGGAGTGAGTGACCCTGGCATAGTGTTCTGGACATGCTCCTCGGGCAAGAACCCTTGCGCCTGGGGGAAGAGCACGGTCTGGGGCGTGTAAGTAAACGCCAAGTCGGTTCCCATGTGGTTCGGCGAGTGACCCAGTAGATCTTGATGTGACCCTAGCGGCATACCATGTGGTGTTGTTGAGTCTCCTTCAAATTGCAGGGACGGATCCATCATGGAACTATCTGCCCCGAACGGCCTTGTTCGAGCAAACGGTGTGGGAGTCAACTGTGCAAACCCAAAGGCTGGTCTCGATTCAGCCATGACCTGCACACTGGCCATGGGAGTGAAATCGACATCTGCTGTTTGAACGCCTTGGTCAACCATTGCCCGTCGCTGCGGTGTATCCATAGGAACACCTTCGGTATCGCCATTCGGCTGCGAAACCCCGTTTGCTTGGGGCTCTTCTTCGTCGACCTCGGACATCTGTTCGGGTTCGGGGCTGGGGGATTGACTAGTGTATCGCCAGGCGTTGCTAGGTAGGCTGAACCGTGTGCGCTTCTTTGACTTGCTCTTCTTGCTAACATCGTCGTCGAACGTGTCCATGCCTCCTTCGAACAATGACCCGTATGAAACACGGGCTCGTTTGAGAAAGGCGGGCGAAGCGTATTCGTTGGGATCTAAAGTTGAGGCCATGTTTCGTTTCGAAGGCAATGTGACTTCCGGAGATTGTGGTGTTGGAGTGGCTGGTCCTTCGGCGACAGGTGTGAGGACATCGACGGAGTTGATGTTATTTGCCTGGTCGTTGGTAGTAGTCTCGGGTTCCTCAGTGGGAACATCGATGTCGATTATTGTCTCTTGCCCTGTTTCTGGTCTACTTATACCAAGTATTAAGCGATTTGTGAATTCGAGCTGCCACTCTAGAGTGCTTCCTGCGACCTGCGTATGCGTCTCGTTCTTCTCCCACCTGACTCCTTGCAAACTCACGCGGATTTCATCGCCTGCTCCCAGCGACGCATCCGCAATTGCCCTGGCGGCTGCGCCATGGAAGCGTACACGTACTTGGCCATTTTCGCGTCGGAGTCGGAAGTCTCGCTCGGCCAAGAGGAATGCGACGGATTTATGGAGGATGCTGAATGGCCATGTGATAGTGACAGTGCCGCATACACGTCGCTTTTCCGGTTCTGAAATATCGGGATTGAGCTGGGCTATGGAAATGGAATCGCCCTGGTCCAGCAGCGAAGTCGTTGGTTGGGAGTCGGTCATAGTGGCTTTGTCGCAAATATCAGTCGCGTCGGCGGGGATGCGCGAAGTTGGAAGCTGGAAGCTGGAAGCTGGAAGCCCAGAAGAATTAGGCTGTTTTACTTGTACATGCGCTACCCTTTGGTTTTTTAATCCTGCGCTCATCAAGATTATTGCATCGCGTAGCTGCAGTGGTTGCGATACCGGTGACCGCGTTGAAGTTGTTTGAGTGTTTGGAATAGGTTAAACGTTGAAATCAATAATATCCATGCAAGCTTCCAAGCAAGGAGGAAAGCTAGCTGTGGTGTAGTGGGGATCTATCCTAAACTAGAAGGCGGTAAGAGTGGCAGTGTTTTTCGGCCTTATCAGTTTATCACTGTCATTGACTGATGTACTTTGTACCATGAAAACCATTCAGGACCAAAGCGACCATTCCCCGAGCCGCTTATAGGCTGGGGGCTCTCAGTTGGAACTCCCCGAAGCTACTGTAGACTAACAGAAGGAGTAAAAAGAGTCGGGACAAGGTCGAAATAGTTCCACTCCCCACTCATGGTTTGGACCTGTCTCACCGAGGACAGGAGATTATTCGACTCACATATATAGAAAAAGAAATTGATTTTTTTAATATCTTTACCCATCGCCATTGCTCATAGAACCGCGCCGGTAAAAGTCAGTTGGTCATACGTGAGACGGCAAGTTGCAGCACGTTGTACGTTATGGGCTCTCTGACTCAACCGTCGTCCTTCGACGTTAACAAAGTCGCAATCATTGGCGCGGGCCCTACTGGAGTCGCTGCTGCGAAATACCTCATAGCGCAGGGAATTCAAGATATCACCATCTTTGAGCAGCAGGATCATGTTGGCGGCATTTGGCGTTACTACGGGCTTGCCCTTGGAACTTGTCCTATCCCTCAGGAAGATCCCTTCTACCCCCCAGATAACCCCATTCGATGGAATTCGACCTCGGCGCCAATATTCACATCACCCATGTACGAAAATTTGCATGCCAATATTCCCAAGGAGGTCATGAACTTTTCCCACCAGCCCTTCCCTGAGGACTCCAAGCTGTTCCCCGAACGACCTATGATCGAGGACTATCTCGTTAAGTATGCTGAGGACATCAAACCCCTAATTCGGTTCTGTCAGCGTGTCGAGAGAGTGTCCTTGAAGCCTGAAGATGGTCGGGACAAGTGGGAGGTAGAAGCACACTCGACAATTAACGGCGCCAACATGACCACGGATGTCTTTGACGCCGTTGTCGTTGCAAACGGCCACTACTCAACGCCTTATATACCCGACATGCAGAGCTTAAAAGAGTTCAACGAGGCTTACCCCGGTGTGATCACGCACTCGAAACAGTACCGCACTCCCCACCCGTTCAAAGACCACAAAGTGGTCGTGATTGGTAACGGTCCGTCCGGTCTCGACATTGCTCTGCAGATCAACCAAGAGTGCACAAGGCCTGCTCTCTTGTCCGTACGCCATCCTACACCCCCTGATAGACTAGCACATTCTGGGTGTGAAGAGAGAGCTGAAGTTGACGAGTTCTTGGTTGAGGAGAAGGGCATTCGCTTCAAGGATGGCCGAGTCGAAACTGACATTGATGACATTGTCTTTTGTACTGGATTTCTCTACGGGTTTCCCTTCCTACAAGATCTCGGCCACAAGATTGTTACTACAGGCCGAGGTGTGCATGGGCTGTACCAGCATATTTTCAACATCCAACATCCTACGCTGGTCTTCCCCGGCCTCAACATGAAGGCAGCTCCCTGGCCATTAGGCGAAAGCCAAGCCGCGCTCATCGCAGCTGTATGGTCAAACAACCTTGAGCTTCCAACTCGAGAGGTCATGGAAGCCTGGAGCCAGGCACTAGAGAAGCAAGAGGGAGACGTGTTGCATGCGTTTGGCCCAAATGAAGACGGCCACTACATCAACAAGCTACATGATTGGGTTCTGACGGCCAAGCGGCCGGGCAAGGAGCCACCTTACTGGAATGACGAGCTCATGTGGCAGCGCAGCGTCTTCCTTGAAGCCAAGTCGAGGTTTGAGAAGCTCGGCTGCAAGGCCCAAACGTTTGAGGAAATTGGTATGCACTATGAACCTGGAGCTCAGCACGATACGAGAAAGGAACAGTATGAACTATGAGATAGGCGAAAAAAAAGAGAACGAAGGAAGTTGACTGGTGATTTCACCATTTGCCAAGGCTAAGACGTTATATCATGTTTCAATATCTTGACTACCCTGGACTCTACATGAGTGTGATAGCAGATGGACTAAAGGGTAGGAAGGTATAAAATGAGGGTTTTCTGTAACATACAACGAACAAAGAACTGGGACAGTAACTGGCCGTTGGTTCCATTCATCGAGTCACGAACATAGGGAAATATGGGGATGTTGGGACTGATGCAAGTTTAGTGATGTTGCGATGGTGGATTACAATGGCGGGAGCTGGGGTTGGATTTGTAATGCACCAGGAGCCGATTCCGCCATCGGGGGTTACGATTTGACATCCTTGGATATGGGGTATTGTTAGTTGATTTATCTTATCGCTGGACATACAGCCAGAGGTATCGGAGGAGCGTCAAGGGTACTTGAAGAGGGGAAGAGGCCATTCATTCTTATCTCTCCCACGATTAGTATTTGAAACTGTTTCTCCTCTCTCAAGATCTCGGACTTGAGGTTGGAACTGCCATCAATATCTATTAAACGAACCTGTCAAGATCTTAGCAATGTCGCCTTCAACAATTGATGATACTGCCGCCGTCTATGAAGCGGCAGCTTCTCCCAAGGCGTTGCCTCCGCCAAAAGACCTGTCGCATCTTTTCTCTGTGGTCACCAAGAACCGCAATCCAAGCGCTGTAAAGGCCTTCTACAAGTTTATGCGGATTCCGGGAATCAGCAATTTTGCCGGAGGTGAGTTCGGCATCTGGCCGGTGCTCCCGGCTCCGGGACATCGGGCGCTTTGACGTCCAGCTCCGTCTTACACCTCCGTCTTGTTTATCTGTACTAATGCAAGCACTACAGGAATGCCCAATGTCAAATACTTTCCATTTGATACTTTGGAAGCTCAGATATCCAACCCGGATCGATGGGAGCCCTCGCCCAATTATCCTGATCAGGTCGAGCCATTGACACAGACTTTGTCAAGCAGTATTGGTATTACCGAGGGTGGTGACGATCAAACCAGTAGCAAGGCAGATCCGAACGCTCCTAAAACGCCAGACTACAAAGCAACATCATCCCGCATAACGATCCCTAAGATTCTGAATGAGCCAGACCCTGTTAAGAAAGTCGACCTGGCTACTGCCCTACAATATGGACTCGTTACTGGCTACCCACCGCTGCAGTCCTTCATCAAGCAATTTACGACCCAAGTGCTCTACCCAAATGTTCCCTACAAGGGCGGGCTAGACGTGATCCTCAACAATGGTGGAACGGATGGCTTTTCAAAGGTTCTCCAGCTACTAGTTGATCCTTGGTACGAGGGAGTGCATCCTGTCGCTCAGCGACCAGGCTTGCTATGCGAAACCTTTGTCTTTGGAAACATCCTCACGCAAGCTCGGCCACTTGGAGTCAATATCGTATCCGTAGAGATCGATGACGAGGGCATGGTAGGTGAGGGACCTGGTGGTCTGCGAGAAATCCTTGAGAACTGGGACACTCAGAAGGGTCGACGACCACATCTCCTATACACAGTAACGTGAGTGGCTTCAAGAACAATCGAGAGTCTATAAACTAACTTTTGGGTTTTAGCATGGGCGATAACCCCACAAGTGGTGTAGTGGGAGTGAAGAGAAGAAAAGAGATCTATGCTCTTGCGAGTGAGTACGACATCGTTATTGTCGAGGACGATCCCTATTGGTATCTCCAATACCCCTCTGCCGCAGTACATGAGGCTACAGCCCGTGGTTATGATACTCCCCAAAGACAACATACGCATAAGCCAGTCACGGCATCTGGCTATGACTTCATCGATTCACTGGTCTCCTCATATCTCAACATCGACGTCGATGGCCGAGTCATTCGTCTCGACACTTTCTCCAAGACAATTGCCCCTGGTTGCCGATTGGGCTATGTAACCGCACAGCCCGAAGTAATTGAGCGGCTCACTAGGTAAGACAATTCTCGTCGTCCATGGTCTTTTCTTCATTGTAACTAATTCTTGATTTGTAGAATCGCCGAGACAAGCACTGGTCAACCTTCTGGCTTTGTCCAAGCACTCATTGCCCAAGCCATCCTAGGCCCTCACTCATCTGCCCTAGAAACCTTCGCCTCACTTCCTGCCTTGGAGAAGCCCTCATTTACTGGCTGGAAGCTTGACGGTTGGGTACGGTGGCTCGAGGGTCTCCGCGGTGAGTATGAGCGCCGCATGAACCGAATGTGCACTATACTCGAAGAGAAGGCCTTCATGCTCAGACAATCACCGTCTGAAAGCCCAGACCTCGATTGGAGCATGATTAATAAGACGCGAGTATTCGATTTTGACTGGCCTCGTGGAGGCATGTTTGTCTGGCTGCGTATTCACTTTGAGAAACACCCTCTCTACCAGGCCCGCGGTGGTAAACTTACACCCGTCATCGATGGCCCTGTCTTGGCGAGTGCGTTTCTCAGTCATAGCACTCATGCACCTCATCTGGTGCTGGGTAGCCCTGGTTACATCTTTAGTGCCACACCCGAGATTAGGGAGAAGCAAGGTTGGCAGTACATCCGATTGTGTTTCGCAGCCGAGAGCGACGAGAACATTGATGCTGGCTCGTTGAGGTTCGCGAACTCGGTGCATGCGTTCTTCAAGATTAAAGAGAGTGGGCAGATTGAGAAGTTGATTGAAGAACTGGCGTTATAGATAGAAATATATTTATGAATTACACGCAATAACTTTCTGGGTAACATTATTGGATATAAGCCATTGTCACTCTTTGGCCCACATAAGGGACATCTATTGATGATGCTTGCGCGAGTTTTGTTGGGTAAAAGGTAGAACCAGACTCGATGCAAAGATAGAATGTGCAAACGATCTTCTAGTCATTCAATACAACATATGTGGACAGGACAGTGTAGGGTTTCCTATAAGCATATCAAAGTCAAGGCAATGCTTTATAACAAAATTGAGTTAGTTATACAGTCTATGTACATGAATCAACGTTGCAACAGTCACATCATTAGGCAAAGTATAACATCGTAAAGTTCACATTCACCTTCACAACGACCAGTCATCAAGATTAGGAACCAAAACCGAGTCACGCTGTAATTCATATCAAATCTCTGATTCATTTTTAAAGAGAGCTCAACCGTCAAAGAAGCCATTACGCCTCGATATCAAATCCATGCATGACCCGTCATCTAGTTCCGTCCTGACCCGCTGCACACCCAGCAAGTAAAGTATTTTTTTATTCCTGCTTCTTCTGAGCCTCCTGAGCGAACACAGTCGCGTAGGGGTTCAGGCGGAGCATGACCTGCTTGTTCTTAAGAGGGTTCTTCTTCTGGACAGCAGATCGGCGAGTGACAGCCTCACCCTTGGGGGCGTTGAGGGAGCTCTGGATTTCAGAGCTGTTGATCAGACGGGTGAGATCGGCCTGAGAGACAACGTTGGAGGGGAGGAGGAAGTCACGCTTGTGGGCAGAGGCCTCAGTGGTGGAGCCGTAGATCTGGTCGAGGGCCTTGAAGGCAGCGGAGGTCCAGACGATGAAGCGACCGAGGTGACCACCAGGGGCGAGCTGGAGGAGGTTGAGAGCGGTGACGGGGGAGGTCTCGACACCGGTGATGTTGCGGAAAGCGGTAACGAGCTCCTTGCCATCGACCTCGGGGTCGTAGATGACAAGAGGGCCACGTCGCTGGCGGTGACGGCGGCCACGGAGCTTACCCTTACCGGCACGGAGCTTCTTGGAGCCCTTGACCTTCTCAATATCCTCACCGGCACCAACGGCCTTCAGGAGACCAAGAGCAGCGGAGGTCTTGGCAATGGCGGCAGCCTCGAAGATGGCTGAGTCGACAACGAGGGGAACCTCAGGGACGGAGTTGACCTGGTGGCCACGGGCCTGGAGCAGGGGAACGGCAGCGGAGGCAGCCAGAGCAGAGACGACGGCGTATCGCCTAGTTTTCTGGTCAGCATTGAAGACTTGAAACTCGTTGATCATATTCAACTTACTTCTGGCCCTGGTTGACCTTGATGTGCCACTTGCGCCAGATCTTGGTAGGGGCGAACATGCGACCGGATCGGCACATGTTACCGAAAGCAGCCTGACCAGCACGGTGAGTACCACCACCAGAGACACGAGGAATACGGGCGACGGCACGACCTGTTGGAGATGTGGTTAGCCCAATTGTTCTGCTTGCCTCCGTGGTGTTTCCCAAGAAAAAGCTCTTCCATCCTCTCCGACATTCAACTGCCACAGTTGCTTCCCCACCCACAGAAAATTTCCCCTCCCAAAACCACAAATCTAAAAAACAGAGAGAAAAGGGCATCGTGTACTAACCAGTTCCCCAAGACTCGGCAGAGGTCTGGTGACCAGCCTTCTCGCTCACAGCATAAGGCTGTCGCTTGTTCTTAGCGATACCGGTGTGAACCTGCTGGACAATGTCCGGTCGGATCGGGCTGGTGAAGACGGCGGGAATGGCGTGGGTAGCTCCAGTGGGAGCACCATCTTTGCCGATGATAGAGACGGTAGGTCGCGAAGCCATTGTGAAGGTTGGGACTTGGACCTGCTGATGAAGCTGTGAGTTAGTAAAGAGAAGACCGAGAGGATCGCAGCGGTTGGTGTTGAGCGTCTTACCTCGGGCGTCGTGCGGCGTCTAAATTGGTGATGGAGTGGGAGGTTGCACGGCTCGCGAAATTTCACCTTGGAATATTTTGCGCTTGACAATTTGGTGGGCGGAGAGACCCTAAGTCTGCCCCACTTGGTAGCGAATTGGGTCTGTACAGTGTAGACAGTGTTGCTTGCACTCACCAGCGCTTATCTTATCTACATCGTCATGGCTCACATGGGTGTTAGTTACAGGCTGGTACTAGGTACCTAGTATGCATCATGAAAGGTTCAAGTCAAGGTATCTACTATAACATGCTATAATAAATCTTATATAATCCTCATATCATTCTTATCATGGCTCGTCCAAGTCGCTTCGTCATAGCATAAGTACATGTCTTTGTCATGCCCTGTCTAAGTACTCCGAGATGCAGACAATCCTACCCAATCATATCCAATTCGTAACCCATTATTCCCATCTCTTCCATTCCTGGATGTATTTATCCACCTGCTCTTCTACCCAGTCCTCATCCTCGTGCTTTGATCTTTCCAACTTGGCAAGCTTCTCATGGATCATGGCCTCGACATCCATGCGCTCGATCACTTTAGCCTCCAAGTACTTTGGATCATTCCATCTTACGGCCTTTCGGAAAATCTCTCTCATTCGATTAGAGTAGAGCTGGCATGTTGCCAGTGGTAGCTTTTGCGGCTTCATGTAGAAGTTGCGAGCGATAACGTTGTCGTCTTTGATCAACGGCTTGACAACTTCGTCGAAACATTCGCCACAAACTGAGAACTGGCGAAGGTACTGCATGATGTGCCAGTACCCATTGGCGATGGGTTTATCCTCTTGACACTCGCTCACTGCAGCCATCTTCTCAACCTCCTGTGCCAGAGTCAGAAGGTCTGGCTCTTCTTGCTCAAGACGAGCTTGATCAGATGCCGTTTCCATAGCGTCGAAGTACATGACGAATCTCTTGCGTTTCGGCTTAAATCGCATGGCGCAAAGCCCCCTAGTAGGCTCTGAACGGGAGTCTAGGGGTATAAAGATACCCGTCATGTTGGGGAACAATGCCTGGATGATTTTGACACATTGTGGACATATGGTAAAATCATAGACAGGCTGCCGTGTTTGTGGGTTCCAGAGTGTTAGCCAGTTGCGAGTGGTCACCCTATCACCAGGACACGGAATGCTTCTAGTGGTGGAGATGGCGTTGGCAACTTCGTGGAAGAGCCGTAAATCTCGTAGGTCATTCTTCAAGGTGAGAAGCCACGCAATGCGATACCATGGTCCAACACCAAAATCGCATGCAATCGGTTGGGCCGTAGGGCGAAGCATAGGTTGGAACGGCTTCCGATACTCAGTTTTGGAAAAGACAGCCCCATAGCAGTCAGGGCAAATGTTGAAGTCCGTTCGGGGCAACGTGAGCCAGTCTACCAAACCTGCCACAGGATGCTTGCGACGGCATTCGGGAAATGTGGTAACACCCGTCGCTTCTTGATGCTCTGAGTGACGCCGAACAGATCCCATTGGTTTCTCAAGGCGAACACCATCTCGGGTAGGATCAAAAGTCGGCGGCTTCCAGGAGTGCACCGGGGGGATGGGGCGGACATCTTGCGGAATAGCTGATGTAGGCCTGGCCTCGATTGGTGTTTCAGGGCCAATGGCGATAGGTATCGGCATCTCTGGCATGGAGATGACTGGATCTGGTTCATAACGAGATCGTGGCCTACCAATTCTCTCTACATTACCCCGAACATCGAAAGGATCAACCAGGGTGTCATCGTCCACAGGGTAAGGAAGTTGAGATTTTGGCCTTTCTGGGAGGACATGCTCATCTCTGGTGATTGGAAATGTCGATGCAGGTCGGATGCTGGGAGGGAAGTCGTCTGGGGCATTTGAACCCATGGGAATAGGGACTGGAATTGGTATCGTGGGTCCTCGAGGTCTTAGCCTGGGGCCGCTTGGAGCATCGGTTTTCTCCAATTTAGATTGAGAATCCCGTTCATCCTGTAAGATGACAGATTTCTTGCGCCCCGGGTTGAGTTCTCGTGGACCCTTGGGGTGGTCATCACCGGAGCGGCTGTCATCTCCTCGATCATCACGACCTTCACGACGATCATCACGACGGTCTTCTCGTCGAACTGTTGGTTCTCGTACAGGTTCCCGCACAGGCTCTCGCATGGGAAACGTTGAAGATCGTCCGTAATCCTCGCGCTCCGGTCTTCCATATGTAGGTGATCTCTCCTTCTTACCGCTTCTTGATGCGTACTCGCTCCTATAAGGCGTCTCCCCAACCCCTTCTTTCGATAGCGGACGGGTAGGTTTCTCATCAACCCGTTCTTTTGAAAGGGGACGAGCCGAAGTCTCGCCAACCCGCTCCTTCGACAGCGGGCGTGTCGGCTTCTCAGGCTCGACAGTTGTGCGTTTTGAATTAGAGGCGGTCGAAGAGTTTCGAGTATGGCCACTCTCATATCGCCTCTCGGTTGGCATGTTCGAGACGTGACTGGGTCTAACAGGAGACTTGCGACCGGCACCCTGAGACTGTCCATAGTATGCTTGATCACGACCACTGGCACTACTCTTGATGACTTCAGGGGCCAGCTGGGGGTCAATAGGAATCTTAGGGGGGCGAGCAGGAGGTAAATCGTATCGGCTGTTAGCCGGGGCCGAGGGACGAGACCGGTATTTCTCAGGCAGCTGATCGTCTCTAAGCTCAGTCTCAAGTCGAGGCAGGTCCTGTCTACTGCGTCGTTTCTCCAGAGGCGGTCTGCTGCGCTCCCTGGCAGTTGGTATATCGGTTTTGAGGTTAGTGTCGTATTTCCTGCTGGGTCTTGTTTCTGTGTAGGCGTCACTCAATGGCTTATCCTGTCGTTCAACCCTTTCAGTTCTGTCGGATTTATCAAAGCGCTCGACTCGTGGAGGCTTGGGCTCAGTTCTTCGTTCTGGCTCATTCCTCCGCTCTGGCTCATTCCTCCGCTCTGGCTCATTCCTCCGCTCTGGTTCATTCCTCCGCTCTGGTTCATACCTGCGCTCTGGTTCATACCTGCGCTCTGGCTCATGCCTTCTACTCGGCTCGTTTCGTCGATCGGCTTCCGCTCTCTTCTCAGGCTCTCTTCTCCTGTCTGCTCCACCACTTCTTTCTGTCTCACCACCCTCGGAACCGCTCGATGAACCCGTCAAAATGACAAACCGCCTCTCTGGATTATACTCGTGAACTTCCATAATCATGGGGTTCTGCTCAACATCACCACGTGACGGAGGCTCCCCCTCCTGGTTCTGAGAGAGGCACGCTCCATGCTCCCGCTTCAGCGAAATCTCTTCATCCTCAACAGACGGCGGTGGTGGTCGGACTTTAGGCACTCGTGCTGGGGCGGCAGAGCGTGGTCGCGGTATTAATGGCTGGTAGGGCAGCTGATATGGTGGTTGCTGTGAAGGTGGGGGTTGAGAGGAAGGACGATCTTCAATTTGCGACGAGGGTTGACTACCGAATCAGTGTAAGCAGTTAAAGTTCTAGGAGAGCTATGGTGAACTCACGGCTTTGGGCTCTTGGCCCGGGACGTTGTAAAGTACCCCGTCTGGAGGAGGTTCTGAATGTCAAACGATTCACCCATGATGCGTCTAAATGCCTGAGCTGCAAGAAATCATGATACGCTATCGAGAAAATCGAAACTGCAGATGCGCCCACGGAGAATAAAAGAAAAAGGCGGGAGCAATCAGGTGAAGACCACGATGTTGAGGTCCTTTGCTGATGTTTGTTTTCTATAGTGTTTGTCTGTCGCACAGGCCTGCTGGAGACGGGAAGCCAAGGTTGGGCTGTTGCAAGTGCGGGCGCGGGTGTGGTCTAACAGTTCGTAGACCTGAAGTCTCTAGACTATGCCGTAACGTTAACGCTCTAAGGAAAAAACGTTCCAGATGAACTCTAAAAACGTTGTGAATAAAGATATAAAAAGAGGACACGATCTGCGTTGGGCTCAGATTCGAGACGGCGACGTCAGAAGAGAGCGAGAAGGTCGGAGACGCCTTGGGGCGCAGTTTGGGTCCTGATCGAAACATCCAGACAGATGACATAGGGACCACAGAAAGGTACCTGCTAAATAGCCTGCAGCCCCGTGCAATTACAGGTACCTCTTAGTGGGCACCACCCCTCTTCCTGTCAGCTTTCTTCATGCCCTCCAAGATGGAGCCCCGCCAGGTTGCCCCTCCTACGTCGTTACGATTTGCACCGGCTAGGCCAAGCCGAGAACAGCCACGTTAGAAAATCACCGATTTGTTTAAAGTGCAACGTATCACCACAATGTGGAAATTGCATCTCGGTAGACCGATGGAGAGTTCGATGCAGTAGTAAACGGTTGCACAGAGTGGTACAACCGCAAGATCTGTCATATTACGACGACAGATAGACATTACACACAAACCGGCTCTGCACAATTGTATCGGCGCATTCGTCTAAGTGATTCTATCGAGGTAATCATATCATGACACACACAGTATCCTTGCCAATAGACTTATATATGACTTGAATATACCATATTCGGTCGTATACGATGGACCAACTAATAGTTTTCCTTGATTTCCTTGGTTTCTTCCAAGAATCTGGAATTATCTCACGTGCTCATACACAATCCGATCTTCCCACTTGTCAAGGGTGTTTGTGGATATCAACAACCAGTAGTCGATCATGAATCCCCCATTACTGTAGATCACAAATCCTCGATATTTCGTAAGCTACAATCCCACAATCCGGCAACTCATATTAACGCTGTGGAGTTTTCTTCCTACGCGTTTCAGCTATTGCATTGACTGGCTAGCATATCCAGCATTAATGCGCGGTAGACGTCCCGGAGTAGGTAACACTGCCGGTGGATGAGTGTTCTACCTAATGTTAGTTTGGGTGGACGATCTAGTCCTTGAGTCACTGCACATTTTTTCCGTCCTCGCAAGGGTGAAGAGGAAAGAGGAATGACAGATGATGCTTAGTCCTTTGAGCACGCAAGCTGATGAAGAACGAGTGTTGTATAAGGGAGGATGAATATGATCTTTTAGTATGGCCGCAATTGACTGGCATTCATACAACTCAGATATATACATCAACTCCAAGTCTCACCATGAAACAAATGCTAATGAGTGCCTGTAGAAAACTCTTCCAGACTTTTCGCATCTTTTGCGTAGAAAAAGGTCGTCCGTGACAGGACCAAATGACTAAAACTCTTGATCAAGACCCAGAAAATCCTATCATGATTTAGAAGATGAGATAGTCGAAGGTGTCAAGTCCTTTTGATTACTATAGTCAGTTTAGGTGACGTGGTTGCTAAGCCATCATACAATCATCCATCAGTTCTCCATGCTCCAGATAGAAACCCTCCATCAACTCCCTCAAAAATGCCAAGTAAAGAAACTGTTAGTCCTCGAGGAGGTCTGCAATGTCCTTGTCATCCTCCTCCTCTTCTCTCCGTCGCTCCTCAGCCTCAAGCATGTCCTTCAACATGGTCCTCTGCCTCACTCTGGCTTTCTGACCCCAATCAGCACCAGTACCGTCGCCCGCCGCATCAATATCGGGCTCCTCCTCAGCCAATCCACGAAGCTCGTTGGGAGAAATCTGCGCCTTGCGCTTTTCTTGCTCATCCGCATCCTCCATCTTTTGGACAGCTCCCTTGGTGATGAACTTTAGAGCAAGGGGGCGAAGGAGCATGTAACCACCAACAATGACGGTGAGACGAATCCATGCTTTTGTGTCCATACTGTCGAAGGCAGTTGAAATGTTGTTGGAGGCATTGGCTCCGTACTGGAGGAATTGGGCCGTAAATTTGCCAAAGCCATTGAGTTCAACCTGCTCACCCTGAGCCTGTTGTTGCTGACCAACGGGATCCATTTTGAATGTGTTGATTGGGTGTGTGAGAGAGAGTAGAGAGAGTATTATGGTGAGGTTGAAGTCCGTAAGTAACCCCTTTTCAGCTTCAAGTGATGGTTGTGCTTTTGATCTTAGTCTTTAAGCAAGGTGGCTTGGATTATCGTTTTGAGATGGAGATGCACAATGGTTGAGATTTTGGACGATTTTGAGTGAGAATTACTCAGTTATAAGTAAATTAATGACCACGGAGGAGAGATGACAGGCTCGTGAGTTGATGCGTTGAAGTTTGAAGTTGAGATTTTATATGGCGCGCGACTCGGGAGGTTTGTTTTTAGTAGGCTTGCTCCGATGGAGCCGGCGCTCACTGGCCAGAATCTGGAACCAATCCGTACCCGCTGGGCAAATTGAGCTTAGTTATGGGCTACCTTAGTTATAAGTGTCTAGGTTACCATGGATGATAAATATTGCGATCCAAGACGCATAATCGGTTTATAATGAGTTAATCAAAGTCAGTCCAGTAGTTCTAGAACGACTATTCGACCACATGTATTTCCTGTTATATGTAATAGGTAGGCATCCGTATTGAGAAGAGTTATATTCGTATAAGACGTTTTCCCATAACCTAGACCAAACAGAGTGGTCATGCATGTCCCAAAGCCAGAAACCGAACTGAAAGTCCAATGCCTCTAGAACTCATCCCCAGTGACATATTAATCGGCTCTTTTCCCCCCAGAACAACTATTCTCACAAATGGGCCTCATCTTGATCGCGATGCCACGTGACTAATCTGCTCTATCTATTCCCTGAGTGGCCCTATTCCGGTTGGTAGGCTCATAGGCTCCACCAAAAGGACAGGCCAGAACCGCTGGAGCGAGACAAGAAGACAGAGCTCGAGAAATTTTCGAGGCCTCATCATAGCCGATTTCCACCTCCATCTCCATTCCCCTCATCGTCCGATAGCACCACCGTGTGTTTTGTTCTTCTCCCCCCTCCTCCCCTCCTTCTTCTCCGCTCCATTTAATTGTACTTTATAATATCCATAGGGAGCCGTCACGATGTCGACCGCTTTCCGATCCGTTGCGCCTTTCTTGCGCACCGCCCGACAAGGTCTCCGGGCTAACCCCGTCAACCCCCTCCAGTCCGCCTTCACCAAGAAGAATGCCTCCGGTGTCCTCAACCTCTACCGCACATACGCTGTCTTTGAGCGATCAAAGCCCCATGTGAACATTGGAACAATTGGTCACGTCGATCACGGCAAGGTACGACATCGTCACCCCTCTTCTTTTTCACCTCAAATCTCGGTCTCGGGCTGACTCTTATGACCATAGACCACTCTCTCTGCCGCCATCACCAAGCGACAGGCCGACAAGGGTCTTGCCAACTTCCTTGAGTATGGCGCCATTGACAAGGCTCCCGAGGAGCGAAAGCGTGGTATCACCATCTCTACCGCTCACATCGAGTACTCCACCGAAAACCGCCACTATTCCCACGTCGACTGCCCTGGTCACGCCGATTACATCAAGAACATGATTACTGGTGCCGCCAACATGGACGGTGCCATCATCGTTGTTGCTGCTTCCGACGGTCAGATGCCCCAGACCCGCGAGCACTTGCTGCTCGCCCGTCAGGTCGGTGTCCAGCGAATTGTCGTCTTCGTCAACAAGGTCGATGCCATTGACGACCCTGAGATGCTTGAGCTCGTCGAGATGGAGATGCGTGAGCTCCTCAACACCTACGGCTTCGAGGGTGACGACACCCCCGTCATCATGGGCTCTGCTCTCATGTCTCTCCAGAACCAGCGCCCCGAGATTGGCTCCCAGAAGGTCGATGAGCTTCTTGCCGCCGTGGACGAGTGGATCCCTACCCCCGAGCGTGACCTTGACAAGCCCTTCCTCATGTCTGTGGAGGATGTCTTCTCCATTGCTGGTCGTGGTACCGTCGTCTCTGGCCGTGTCGAGCGTGGTGTCCTGAAGCGTGACCAGGAGATCGAGCTTGTCGGTAAGGGTCAGGAGGTCATCAAGACCAAGGTCACCGATATTGAGACCTTCAAGAAGTCTTGCGAGCAGTCCCAGGCTGGTGACAACTCCGGTCTCCTCATCCGAGGTGTCCGCCGTGAGGATGTCCGCCGTGGTATGGTCGTCTGCGCCCCTGGCACAGTCAAGTCCCACACACAATTCCTTGCTTCTCTCTACGTCCTCAGCAAGGAGGAGGGTGGCCGACACACCGGTTTCCAGGAGCACTACCGACCCCAGCTCTACCTCCGAACCGCTGATGAGTCTATCGACCTGACCTTCCCCGAGGGTACCGAAGACGCCACCAGCAAGATGATCATGCCCGGTGACAACACCGAGATGGTCGTCACCATGGGCCACCCCAACGCTATTGAGGTCGGTCAGCGATTCAACATCCGTGAGGGTGGCCGAACTGTCGCTACCGGTCTCTGCACCCGCATCATCAAGTAAGCGGTGTTTTAGATGGGATAGGGAAAAGTTTAAAGGGGTAGTGTATGAATTATTACGTTTATGTACAATCAGGCAATGTCTTTCGCTTTGAGTCCGATTTGGCTCTTGTATATTTAGGTGGCCTTGGGGCTCGAAGATCTCCGCTCTGCTTCCTCCCTTTGTCTTGACCACTGTAATTTAGACAAAATATAGGAGAGGCAGTTATCAAGACTTGTAAAACTGACACATAAGCTCCAACTCTGATTCGTGATTTATGGTTCGTGATACATTGGTTCAGTAGGGTTGCATATCGCGCTTGTTGGCATAGCAGATTGTGATGCACATGTCAACATTAAATCAAGACGAACGTAATCAACTGAGCAAGGGAACCAGCGGGTTAACATGGAGTTTTTTGATTGTCATAATTTCACGTTGATCCGATGCACTCCATGGCCACAAGTTGGTTGTGCGGGATAGCGCGAGGATAAGACAGGACAGTAGACATATCGAGGTCCAATGCAGTGGTATTCGTCTATCCTCGGAGGATGTTCGTCAGACGCACGATCTTCCTGAGGGACCCAAGCAAGCCATAAAACTCCTGTTCCAAGCGGCCGCCCTCCGATGCTTTTATAACGCGAGGCCTTTGACGTTCTGCTGAGAGTCCTCCCCCGACCACACAATATTGTGCTCTCCAGCAGTTTTCCCCCATCCCTTAGCCGAGAAAACCGGGTGTCATGATCGTTTAGCGGTACTGTAGTCGCAATCCAGTCAGCCCTCTTGGTTCCCATGGCATCGTGAATGGTCGGTCCATGCGCGAGGGGCCCGCGGTGTTTCTCGTTCGATTTAAAACTCACCTTGTTGAAGCCGATGTCCTTGGCCTTCTCACGGAAGCACTGACGGCACAGGTTGAGGTCGTACTTGCGGATGAGACCGGCCTTGTGCTTGCACACGCGGCTAGTTAGAGGTTAGCACATATTGCACAATTAAATATTCTATCGATTCTTCTCGCAGCTCCGTCGGGCGTAAGGGGGGTATTTTGGATTTCGCATCAGACGGGCGGGAGAGGAATATGGATTTCGTACCAGGCGCGAGAGCCCTTGCCGTAGTTTCGGGGGCGGGAGTTCCAGACGCTTTCGTGAGACATGTTGGCGGTGATGGGTGAAGGCCGAAAGCTCGAAGGGTTGCGGGATGATTTGAATTCACGAGTTGGATTCGTCTCTGGAAATTTGTGTGCGCAGGTCCGACCTACTAGGTCCCGCAGCCCCAGTTTGGGCAGGAGCGAGGGCTGGTGCTCGGTTGTCGGGGAAGGGTTAGTCCGGGAGCAAGGGGGACCCACTAGGTCTGTGTTGGGGACTGAGTTGTAGCTTGTCCAACAAGGTGAATATACATCCACTTAAGGGCAATTCTACGTAAATTGAAGGAGCAAGTGAGTTATTATAAACACATTGCTATTTATTGTTTCCGGTTTTATTATTTATGAATCACTGAATTGTGTGCACTGTCGTGGTATCTGTGAGAATGGCAGAGCAGCACTAGCACATAATATCTGGTCTCGAATGCTGAGGAACATTGGATAGCAACTTGAGATGATAATGCTGAAAGCTCTGTCTGCATGGTTTGCTTAATGAAATAGGCCTGTCATGATTCTCAGGACGAAATCAACCAGGAGTCCTCGGTTCAGTACTTCATAAACTAGGTAAGTCGTGACTGTGGTACTAACGCCATGTTATTATCAAGTTTCCAAAACGGTTGGTGTGAACGAGAAGAGAGCATCTTAATACCTCCCATTCAATCAATTGACGATCGGAGTCTACAATCAACAAAACCTGGTTCCTGTACGGATACCAATCACTTTATTGATAAGTGCTTGTACAATGGCGCCATCATTGTCCACATCTCGAGCCATTGTGCTTCTTATCAATCAGTCCACTGATAAGCCACCATGATGCTTTGTAAACCGAGTTCCTTAGGCCAATTCGTTATAAAATAGGACAATACGTCCTGGTAGTTTTAACAGGCGGGCAGAAGAGATACATAACACTACCTAGAAAGTGATTCACTGCAAGTATCACAGTGACAATAGGCAACTATGTTAACACACGTAATTGGCTGACCAATTCAGCTCTGGAACCTTTCAAGGTGGCGGTGGAAGCTCGCCTTAGCTGTCCCGCTTTCTCCTACAGGGATGTCCACCTACACCGGACATTCCTACTCCCATGCAAACTGGCATCTAACACAACCATCCAGAAACATAGCACGCTCACGTCTCTCGATCAGTTAGACTGTGCTTTGGTTTGGATTCGTTGTCCCTTTTCTCTTTCATCCAAAAACATCAATCGAACCAGATTCATTCAATATGGTTCTCCTCAAGAGCTTCGTGCTCGGTGCCCTTGCTGCCACCGTCGCAGCTAAATCTGCCGTCATCGAACTCCTCCCCTCCAACTTTGACGACATCGTCCTCAAGTCCGGCAAGCCCACTCTCGTCGAGTTCTTCGCCCCCTGGTGCGGTCATTGCAAGACCCTCGCTCCCATCTGGGAGGACCTCGCAAACACTTACGAGCACGCCAAGGACAAGGTCCAGATCGCAAAGGTCGACGCCGACGCCCAGCGTGACCTCGGAAAGCGATTCGGTATCCAGGGTTTCCCTACCCTCAAGTACTTCGATGGAAAGAGCAACAAGCCCCAAGACTATAAGTCTGGCCGTGATCTTGAGAGTCTGACCAAGTTTCTCGTTGAGAAGACTGGTGTCAAGCCCAAGAAGAAGCTCGAGCTCCCCAGCGAGGTTACCTACCTCAACGATGCTACCTTCCCTAAGGCCATTGGTGGCGACAAGCACGTTTTGGTTGCCTTCACTGCTCCCTGGTGTGGACGTGAGTTTCCCCACACTTGAAGATGCCTTTGTACTCTGCTAACTGTTGCCCGTGCCAGACTGCAAGACCCTCGCTCCTACCTGGGAGGACCTCGCCAACACTTTCGTCAATGACAAGAACGTCCTGATCGCCAAGGTCGACGCCGAGGCACCCAACAGTAAGGCTATTGCTGAGGAGCAGGGTGTCAAGTCCTACCCTACCCTCAAGTGGTTCCCCGCCGGTAGCAAGGAGGCTGTCGCCTACGAGGGTGGTCGCAGCGAGCAGGCTCTTGTTGACTGGATCAACGAGAAGGCCGGCACCCACCGTGTCGTCGGTGGTGGTCTCAACGCCATTGCTGGCACTGTCGAGTCTCTGGACACCCTCGTGGCCAAGATCACCGGTGGTGCTGTCATCGCCGACGTTGCCGCGGAGATCAAGAAGGAGGCGGAGGGCCTTACCGACGCTGCTCAGAAGACCTATGCTGAGTACTATGTCCGTGTCTTCGACAAGCTGAGCTCGAACGACGACTGGGTCTCTAAGGAGCTTGTTCGCCTGGACGGTATCCTTGCCAAGGGTGGACTGGCCCCTTCCAAGCGTGACCAGATCCAGCAGAAGACCAACGTCCTTCGCAAGTTTGTGCAGAAGAAGGCCGGGGAGAAGGTCGAGGAGATTAAGGAGAAGGTTGAGGAGGTCAAGGATGAGCTGTAAATCATTGAGCATGTGAAAAAATGACAGCGGATCGAATACGAGATCAAAACCTATATCTGGTTGATTCTTTAGCTATTGATTTGACAAACAATATAATGAAATGCCGTAACGAAACATGGTTCTTCTTCTATTTATGCATGATGAACCGAAGCTGCGAGAGACAAGATAACCCAAACGCCCTGTGTTCCTTGCTTTGACGTAATTCATGATGGCTTGGCTGCGCCTCCATCCTGGGACTTATTCTCTTGGAGAGCTGCTTCAAGGTTGTCTAACCTTCGAGACATTTCATCCACTTGACATCAGGTCAGTACAGGGTAGCCGTGATGATGAAGAACGAGCAAGCTTACTCTTTGCAAAGATCTCTGAGGAGACGCCCGCAAACTTGTTAGACAGTGAGTTCAAGAGCTCTTCGACGGCCGCTGTCACGTCGGCGCGAGCATCATCCGAAGGCTATAGCAAAGGAGAATAGAGTCAGCGGTGCTATCCACACCCGGGGCCATAAACGGACATTCTGCAGCCTAATGCATGCGTCCTTGGTGTAACAATATCGCATGCGCTGTGTCTGCAGAGCGTCGCCTTCCTGAGCTGGGAGTCAAGTATACATACATTTTCTGCCTTGTTGTTCGTAGTGGAGTCTGGTTTGGGATCGTTGCTAGCCATGATGATCTTTGGGTGACGGATGGAAGGCACAAGCAGGTCTAGAATGAAGATGTTTGTAGTGCAAAACCCTAACGGGAAGAGTTATAAAAAGCGGTATCAAGAGCTTGTTTGACTTGTCGGTGTGTATGAGCGGCTTAGTTAGTTCTCAGTTGTTTGCTGAATGAGTGTAGATATGTTGATAGAATCCACCTTATTCATACTGTGTCGGAAAAGGTACGGGTAGTAAGTAAGGTAGTGACTCTCCAGCAGCCACCTCCTGTCATGATACGTGTGTACCCCTGCCCTGAATATGGGCACTCATAGACTAACTCAGACAACATCTCAAAGCTCAAAGATACCACCGATTTCATTATATTGGCAACACACATTCGTTAACTTCTGCTTATTACTGCCCATCGTCATTCATCACGTCGCCTTGGGTCGACGACTATAGCAAATCTAGCATGTTATAGCGGTAGTCGCTTACTATCGTGGGTCATCATGGCTCAAGCCCAAAATCCAATTGCCCTGATTATGCTTATTGTCGTCATAATCTGGGTTATCTTCCCCGACGGCGACTACTCAAGCCAGTCTCTCACTCTCTCCGACATCGCCGCAGAGAGACTCGATAATTTCCAGGATGCCCTCGACGTATTGAACGCTTCGCACTGGGGCGACTTCTCACCAGCTCCGAAGGAGGGATCCAAGGCGAAGTCTTCTTTTCTCAACTTGACAGGTTTTCGTGCGGAAGACGGACTCTCATGGGGTGACCTGAAAAAGTTCCGTGAGAGAAGCCTGGCGTTCAGTCGACATGCGGTTGTAGAGCATGACTTATGGGACGCGGGACAAGGTGAACCTATATGGATGAATGCGTCAGGAACTGTTCACGGGGACTGGGTAAGAAAGAAAGGCACCGTCTACAGAGGCTATGACAGTTACAATCTGAGCAAGATTGCTCCCGGCATGGACTGGACTGGTGATAATGCTCCTTGGGCGCGCAATATTACCGGGCGCAGTGGGCGTATGACGTTACGTCTCGAAGGGAACAAAACAATCCACGAGTATGAGCAACTTCCAGCTCAAAGTGGCGTACCCGTCGCCGGAGGTGTCATTCGTAGTGTGAAAGGCACTATAAACATCGAAGACACATATGGCTCAGGTCATGATTGGGAAATGAGGCTATGGGGTGTTCATTGGCCTCGGCAGGGCGTCATTCTCATGACCACAACCAGCGAGAAGTTTGAAGGCCTCTTCGGCCTGCCGCATCTGACGCCCACTCAAGATTTCTTCCAGTCTAGCCAGAGGCTGCTGAATGAGTCAATCGCTCGCACTATCGCAAGGAAGAGGGATAATATTTACGCAGACCAGACAGTCCCATGGACTTCAGATCTGGATAGCCCTCTCTACACCACCAACCCATCGCCGCACTGCGAGTACATCATATATGCGCAGGTTTACCCACCCAGCCGGAGCCACTTCAATCTCGGCCAGAAGCAATCATCCAGGGACGCCTTAGAGTCGGTCATTGGCGCCATCGAATCAGAGTTGCAGTCGCCTGTAGGCGCTCCTATTCCCAAGGTCCCCAAACTTCAAATGTCGGCCGTCATCTACTCTCCAGACTGCGGATTCTTTATTGAGACAAAGGGCCCGCCAGATTTTGGTCCAAGTGAAGCTCAACATCTGACAGGCATGAAGATGGAGGTTCAAGTGTACCGGGTCAAAGCATGGATTCTAATCTATGCAGTAGTCATCTTTGCTCAGGTCACCCTGCTGAAGAACCAGATGCGTGAGTCCTACACTCCTTCAACATTGGGCCGAGTGAGCTTTTGGACAATCATTATGATGCTCATGGTCGACGGCATTACTTTTATTACTGCGGCTACCTGGGTGTCTTCTGCCGGTGCTACCTTTTTGCCCACCCTGGCCCTTCAGTTCGCCGCCTTTCTATCCATGACGATTGGTGGAAGCTTTCTGGCTAGGGTCCATGAAGTTCAGATCCCTGAAGCTCGGCCTCGTCGAGAACGGGAGCAAAATGGAAGCAGTCCAGGTGATAGCTCTAGTACTGCGACGCCGAATACGACCGGCTCTGCTCCACTCTTGCCCGGCCCCGTAACGGCGCACCAACCGGCCGGACCGCCGACCCAGTTGCAGCCCGTCATTGTCCCGTCCGATCAAGATATTGACGCTGAGATTGCCGCTTCAGCAACTGCAGTCCCTGGTGCGGCAACAGCACAACGTGCTGAGGAGGTCCCCCAATCCTTCCAGAGCATCATGGGACGCCTCATCCTCTTCTCTCTCTGCATCATATTTCTTATTGTATCCTCCTCCACATGGTATCCCAACCTACGATCCCTCTTTCTGAACTTGTGCATCTTCGTTTATCTCTCCCTGTGGGTTCCCCAAATCCACCGCAACACCCGTCGGAACTGTCGTCGGGCCCTTGGCTGGCGCTTTGTTATCGGCCAGTCCATTCTGCGTCTCCTACCTGTAGCCTACTTCTGGGTCAAAGAAGACAACTTCCTCTATGCCCGCACCGACCGTCACGCTTTCATGGTCTTTTGTGCTTGGCTTTGGATTCAGCTTGTTATTCTTGCTGCACAAGACATCATCGGCCCCCGTTTCGGCATCCCTGCTGGTTGGGCCCCTGACGCCTGGGACTACCATCCTGTTCTTCGTGAAGACAGTCTCGAAGCTGGCGGTCTTCCAATTGGTCTCGTTGCCGACGACACGCCTGGTATCGACCGTGCTCGTTCCTCAGGTGACGATGGCAATAAGAAGCAAGGCTCCACGAGGAGTATCGACTGCGCCATCTGCCGTGAGGTTCTTGAGGTACCGGTACTTACAGCCGAGGATGAGGACACAGGGGTTTCAGGCGTCTTTGCTCGTCGCTTGTATATGGTCACACCTTGTCGACACATATTCCATAGCGCCTGTTTGGAAGGTTGGATGAAGTTCCGACTTCAGTGTCCCATATGTCGAGAGGAGCTACCACCACTATAAGCACTTTTGTATGTCCAAATTTGTATTTGTACTAGCGGTAGGATCTTTTAGCACTGGCATAGCGTTGATATTTGTTTTGGAACGATGCAGCATTCAATGGACATGTACCATTTGAGATCTTCTGCACGGGCAATTCTTGCTCTACGTATGACAATAGACCATTGATATAACAGTAAAGCACAGTACCTTCACATTCCTTCAACTCCTGTTCCAAACACCTACATCCACAAAAATAGACACATGTACTCCTACCAGGAAATTCAGTTATATAATACACGTGTTGAAACGCCTTTCCTAATATGTTCACCAATTGAGCCTCGTCTGGCGAAACTTAGGGTCGGGAATACCAGGAGGGAGTCCACGACTACCGACATGAAGCTCTGCCACACGAGTCCGTAGGTCGAAGTCGACGAACCGAATCGTAAAACGTTTTTCTTCGGGTATCACTCGGGGGATGGGCCTCGTGGTGCCATCCGCAGGGTACGCCTCGATCCCTATAGTGAGCGCCTCCGACTCCTCGAGATTCATGACCCAAGCACTGATGTTCGCTACCATCTCACTATCCCACATGCCCTCCCGGCGGGCACTGCTTCGGAGCAGTTGGATGGCTCGGCGGCGAGTATTTGGGTCCCGACATTTGGTTGCTACGACGAAGAGCGGGGCAACGATCCCCAAATCAGCAGCAAATCGGGGCTTGATATGAGGAGCCGAGAATCCCATGGCTGGGAAGAAGTCCTGTTGGTGCCAACCTTCGCGTTGTCGGTGCTGGCAATGCTCAGGGTTCGGGCAGTCGCGTGCGGCAGCTCGTCTCTCCTCGTCGCTGACTATTTCGACACCCAAGTCCACTATAGTCTGAAACTGAGGAAGGAAGTCATCAAAGTCTGACTCCTTTTCGCTAAACATCATGAGGAACAGGATCCTCGCATTAGTAGCGAGCATTTTCAGAGCAACAATGCCTGCCCTCTCCTGACGGCTCACGGTGTGGTTGTGGCGTGTTAAAAACAGATTGTCGAAGGCTTTGCCCCATACATCAAAGTAATTCTTGTGCTCGGCAGCATACTCGAGCCATGATTGAGGAAGTGTTCCCTTGGGGTCCGCTCGCATGGCGAACAGTTCCTCAATATACCGCATTGTTCTGACACTCAATGTATCAAAAGACACCCGAGCTTCTATAACAGAGGTAAAAGTATCGGGTATAAAGAAAGGTTCTTCTTGCAAAGGGGTATTTGTACCAGCCGGGCCAGAAGGCCGCGTCTGTGATTGTGAACTCAGTCGTATGCTGAACGGTTGCGGGAAATGAAAGGCCATGTCATAAGACTTTGCTTGGATTGCCAGTCGAATAAAAATGGTAATCAGCTCCTCTTCGAGTGGATCTTCGGAAGCTGGAAGGAGTCGTTGTTTGTGTTGGGTGCGAAATATATCGAGTAAACCAAGTCCAGTCTGAATCTGATGTAGAGCCTGCCTATGATCACCAATAAAGGAGTCGAAGCAACCCAGTAGCACATTGGCCATAATAGAGATCCTGTGTGATCTCTGATCCTGCGTGTTCAACTTGACCAATGCATTGCATGCATCGCTATAACGCTTGATCGCAACTTGCCAATGACTCCTGACAACTTCGACACGCGCATCAGCACCCATTTCGGACCCGCGATTCGAGTTCAGTGCAGCTGTCTGCTCAAGTGTCTGGTACAAAGCGCCCAGTGCAATTACAGCACACCTTATGGCATCTTCAGAATGGCATTCCTGTAGGACATGGTGGGTCCAAAACACGTTGTTGAAGAAGCCGGATAGCTCGTCAGCCGTGTGGGAGCGGAAGATGTCAAAGTAAAAGGCTTCGTTCGGCTGGATCTGCAAGGCCGTAGATGGTTGGTAGGTAGTGGGTGACGGAGAGATGGTCCCAGGAGAGGCGGTTCTCAGAGCTGTTCTCTGGTGGACTCGGCGGGGCAGCAGATGGTAGTCGCCGTGGAGAGGCGCAATAGGCACACTTGAAGATGCTTGACCATCATATGCTGGCATCGGTTTCGGGGCGATCCGAATCTCCTCGAAAGGGCGGGAACTGCGACTAGGTGGTGGATAGCCAGTGCACGTCTTGTTGCTTCGAACACATTGCGTACAAGCTGGACGGGCCTCGTCGCATTTGATCCGCCTTTGCCTATAGTTCCACCAAGGTAAGATTTTGGATATCATCGTGTCGAAGCAGTGTTAAGGTTATGCAAGGGGAGGTGAAGGAACGAGGATTGGAGAGACGAACTTGCAGTTGGTGCATCCTGTCTTGACTTTTGGTTTACTTGTCCGGACACGCTTTGCCTTGACTTTTGAGGCAGCTGCCAGAGCTGTTGAGTCGGACGAAGCTGGGGCGGAAGCTGTAGGGTTCTCAGCAGAAGAGGCTGTGGCAGAGATAGACGGGCTTCTGGTAACAACAGAGCCTTCCGCAGCACCAGCACCTACACCTGTAACAGGAGTGGCCGGTGTACTTGTTGAGGCAGCAGAGACGTTACTGCTACTGTAAGTGCTCTCCGCATAAGGGATATCGATGATGTTGAAGTTGCTGGCAGCGGCCGTAGGATGGAAAGAAGAAGGTGGGTGAGTGGTTGTTAGGTCTGTTATTGGAAAGACTGGGGTCATCGAAGCCGATGTTGGTAGCTGGGCCTGCGTGTATGCTTGTGCTTGTGCTTGTGCTTGTGCTTGTGCCTGCACTTGCACGTTTGGTGTTGTTACCGTTCCCGTTGCTCCTGCTCCAGCTCCAGCTCCAGCTGCTGCTTGGCTTCTCAAGACGGAGGAAGGCACAGTAGCGGCCCGGTTCATATTTGTGGAAGGTACATTCGAGTGTACTTGCTCATGTGCTGCTCTCCCCCCCGCTCTCTCAGGATGAGACGATGAGGTCTCTTGTTTTAACCAACTTTGAGCCATGGAACCCTCAAAGTAAAAGGAACCTCACTAGTGAACAACCTTGGATACTGCAGGTGGGAAACAAGTACCGGTAGCTACCTAGGTATAGTAGGGTTATTAATTCACTCTTGTAAGATCACCTTTTTATCGTCTTCTTGTCTTCTTTTCTCTTCCCCCCGCGATAGCTCCACGACTACTATAGTGCTGCACCGTTTCAACGCTCGTTCTTCTAGCCAGTCTGCTTCTCGGCCGAGAAAAACGGAGGGTGGAGGGGGATATTATATGTGAAGGGTAAGGGCCAAATGCCGTAAAGGCAATTTTAGTGATAGCCAGAAATCAGAGTTTCTGCAAGAAAATGGTGGCAGTGGAACTAAGAAGCAGCCGGGGGGGGGGTAAGGTGATAAAAGAGATGGGAAAAGGGGACTAGGAGCAAGCAGGCAAGCAAGTACGTAGTAGAAAAGAAGGAACTAACAAGGTAAAAAATGTAAGGCGAGTAAGTCGTCACAAAATATGAGCACAGGGCTAGGTCGATACGCATATGGAAACGCATAAATGCAGCCGACTGTGGCGGATATAATGGGCGAGGTAGTGTCAGTGTCAGCCCCGGTTCTCGGGCGCAACGAGGCCTTTCTATAGCTCATCGCTGTATGGAGCAATTTCTATCGTGATCCCAGGGGCAGATCAAGCATCCATCGACCAGGAAATACTGTCAGGCCCGGCATGGATAGGGCTTATTCCCCGACATCACTGCCACTCCTAATCCCAAGAGGAGGCTGAAGCTATCGTTTCGTTCCCCTTGTGCCAAGGATATGATGAAAAGCAGGAGAAACAGTCTAACTTAGTAGAGCGGCGGATTTCGACAACAGATACAGAGCCCAAGTCAGCCGGAGCATAGTAGCAACCAACTGACCAACCAACTAACCCTCCTCGAATTCCAAGGGTCCCCCTCTTGGGGGGACAAGAGTAAGGCAAAGCAAAGCAAAGCAAAGCAAAGCAAGGGACAAGTACGTACGGAGTCCAGATGCGCAGACGGGCAGTAGATCGCCGGTAACATTCTGGGCATTTGCTCCTGGGCAATATCCATATTGCCCTGCTATATCTACGGCAACAGGTGCCAAACCTGGTGTAGCACGCTCTGTGTAACCATCACTAAGATCAAGGTGGCATCAGACAGGCGGAACAGCCGCTACATCATGTCTTTGGTGTAAACTAGGCCAACTGGGAGACGGGGAGGGAACGGCTATGGTTTTCCAGGGTTGAGAGAGGCCCGGCAGAACGTGTCAGGGTGTGGCCAGGGTGCTCAAAAGGTACAGACAGTAATACTGGAGAGTACCGATGCAGCAGGTAGGTGTGCATGGCATAACGTTATGTGGTGCTCTGGGGGAGGTTTGCTGTTCCCAGATGGGGTCAATGCCGTGATAGTGAGTGGATTGGATGGTGAAGATCCATGAGGCATGAGATGAGGTGGATGGAACTTTGTGGTTGTCACTAGTGCAAGATACTACCTAGGTACGTGCAGACTGCAGATTGCAGATAGTACTCCGTACATTTAGAGGTACTCGGCCTAGTCTACTACCTAGTTCAGTACACACCTTTTGTTGAGGGCATAGTCTTGAATGTCGAGTCTACTAACCTTACAACTGCCCGTTCTCATAAGTGACCTACCAAGAGAATGAAAGAAAGGTCCTGGGCTGGGCTGGGCTGGGCTGTTGGACGTTGGGGGACTGGACATCCATTCTTCAGGCCCGTCCCACCTATCACGAAGACCCTCGGGCGCTCCCCTCCACATCCTGCCATCACGCCGGCCTAGTGCATTTGTTCATCCTTTCAATCGTACCCGTGCAATTGATCCAATCAACCCATCCTGTTTGGTGTTTTTTGTTGCTGTGGGGGCTCTATGGGGAGGGGTGAACTTGCTTCTGGCTTCTGCCTCTAGAATCAAGGGACGATACTTGTTTGCCCAATGGGACTTTGGCAGTTGGACAGGGGGATATGGGGCGCTTGTGCGTTCCTGTTGTTGGTCGCACAAGGGAACCAGAACCCGACTAAGACGCCCTGGACACCCAAAGAAGGATTGACGCTCAGCGCGGGCTCTGCAGCTGCAGGGCTGTTAGGGGCGCACTTAGCGCGGTGGCGGTGGGAACAAGGGACCCGCAGGCATCTGACGTTTTGTTTCTTTAGTCTTTACCAGGTCGACGTCTGTCTGTCTGTCTTCCCTGACCAGAGCGGGTTGTTGAAAGATCAGCAGCGTCTGAATACATAGTAGATATCCTTAGAAAAAGCAGCCAATCCGTCCTAGAGTAGATAAGTACTACTAAGCCAAGGTTATCCGTATTCAGCCATGGACGTTTATTGCGCTGGGCATAAGGCTATACTACCTAAGTATACCTTAGTACTTAGTTTATAGCCTTAAGTGTCATGGATAAGATATGCATCTCAGTGACTCCCTTTCCCTTGCTTCGGAATTCGGACATGAAATCCCATCTCATCTAATCTAGGAAAAAGCTTATTAATTACGGCTTACCTCTTTCTTGCAAGTTCCCTCGGGCTTCCAGGACATGCCTTGTATATAATTCAAGGTTTAATCCGGACATTGGTGGGGTACACTGTAATTATCGCCGCCCGCCAGTCAAGTCATCTCAAATAAGGGCATAAAAAAGCAAAAAACCACAGCACAGCACAGCACAGCACGACGCTGTAACTGTCACTGCACAACCCTCTACACAGTATTGCTACTCTGCTTCTGCTCTAATCTAAGGCCTCTAGGCTCTAGCATTGGGGTTAAATCATCGGCAATTCTAAATATTGGATGCTACTGGTGGAGTTTCCGCCTGTTAGGCTTGGCTCTTAGTCACTGAGCATTGACATTTATCGGACTCTGCTGTTGGTCTGTCTCCATCTACAGTACTAGAGTACGTCCACAGACACTATATGGTTATGAATTCGTAAGGAAATTGCTGATACTACACTACAGCTTTCACAGCTAGTGCCTGTTGAAAACTGAACTGAGAGCTCATTCGTCTCGTACCTCTCGTCTATGGCTCATGGCTCATGGCATATCCGTACCTACTCGCTTATTATCACTCGCCGCTGGACTTTGAGAAGCACGATGCAACACACAGCTGACTCGTCTAATCTCGAGAATCTAGATCTCGATAGCCTAGTACTAGGCCTATTACTTGGGGTCCCGTGCTAGACGGGAACCTTGATGGTTGTCCCGTCTTGGGAAGAGGAAGAGGCAGGCTTCGCCGTTTAGTGTGGCGCAGGTGCCTGTTAGACTGTCTCATCATATTAGGTAGTGAATCCCTTGCCTTAGTTTTGCGTTTTGCCCTGCTCAGTCTGCCTAGTCTGTCTAGCCTTGCCGCCCCCTATCCTGGGTAGTCGAGCGGCTCGTAAATCTTGATACAATAGCCAATAGCTTTTCCGCTGGAATTTCAAGCCTTTGTGCCAGCATCCTCTAAATTAGACGGGCATTCCAAATCCGGACTCTGGTTTCTGCTTCCAGGTCCCAGGTCCCAGGTCCCAGGTCCCAAGCCCGAAGTCCAAAGTTCAAAGTCAAGTCCCAGGTCCAAGGTCCACGATCCCAGTCAGAGATGGGATTGCGGACGGCAACTTCCGCTGACACTGTCATCCTGGTTGTTCATGGGTATGGCTCATGTTCGAAATCTACAAAGTCGTATTAGAGACATGAACCCGGCTCTCCAGGAAGAAGCTTCCCGGTGGGACGGTACAATTTGAGACACTTGTTTCAATCTTAGTCTCAATTTTGCTGATTACTACCTCTGCTAAGGTAGCACGCGCATGGATTGGTACTCGGTACTTCTAAATTGTTGAGGCGGGGTAATCTGAGTAGTAGTTGGAGTCTTGTCTCAGCTGATATTGAAGTTGAAGACGATATTAGTTGAAGGCTCAAAAGGAGAACTGTCGTGGAGCAAAGTCTCGCAGTATCACCCGGGGAGTAAACTGGGGAAGCTGTCAAGATCTCTGTTCTTTTCTTGTTTTTACGTTTTCTGTCATCTTTCAGCCTTATAGGATTCAACATGACACAACACTTTGGGACAAGATGCTTCTGCGGCACGGGGGCACGGTCCGCTTACTTAGAGGCTAGAGGCTAGGGATACAGCAAAGCTAGTCAGACGAGGCTATGATATCGGTGTCGGCGTTGGATTGGATTGGATGCAGAACGATGTTGATCCGGTTCTTACATGCCTACCTCCACTGCCAAGTGCCAGCCTGCATGCTAACATTATCTCCTTTCTATATCCATACGGTACCCTTGTTCAGATTTATGATCATGTATGTGCTCCGTATCCTCACGCTAATTTAGAAAACCCCTGCAGTTCGGATCGACTCTCCACACCGGGCACGTCGACCGCACTTTAGCCCGTGAAGATCACCTTTCAGTGCTTTCCGGTGCCGGCTCTCGACCTTCTTGACTTGTTTAGACTATATTCTTTTTTGTCTTTGCCTTTCCTTCTCTCTTCTGTCTGTTTTGAGACTTGGCTTCTCCGAGTATGGACGACTTTTTCTCCTATTTGAGTCAGATCTCCTAGCTCTCCGTCCGTGAGCAAGTTGATCCTGTACCCGGCTCGGACTGCCAAGAATAAAAGTCAAAGACAGCCAATCAAGAAGTCTAGGGATACGTATATGTTCGGTGTTCATCAAGCATCCCAGGGAAAACTTGTTTCATGATCAATTGTGTATACTGTTGATCCATAGTTGAAGTTAAACTTGACTCAGTAGATAACTAATCATTCCGAACTGACGAATTTGTTTCTGACCTACCCAGACAGATCTTGCTTCGAGATGTTTCAATTCTCAAGGATTATCCGTGTAAAGAGAGGAGAGACAGCAAAGCCGCTACTGCAGTATTCCGTAGTCCGTACTCCATACTCTATACAGTGCTGCCAATGCCAGCATCAACTGCGACACTCAAAGTGCCAAGAGTCTGTTCTCTCCAGGACAGTAATACTACGTGGCAACCCACACCCACATCCCGAGGCCCCTCCTCGGCTCCGACGCTAATACAAACGGCCGATAACAAGGGCTGGGGCTGGGGCTCCAATTTCTGCCGTCCACCTTCAACCCAAATTCAGGCGGGCTGTCAAGGTACAGGGGCTACGGGCTACGGGCTACGGGCTACGGGCTACGGGCTACGGGCTACGGGCTACAAGCTACAAGCTACAGGCGATAGACTAAGCTACGGGCTTTTCTATCAAGCCGTCGCCGAAGCACAGCGACACATGGTGGATGTCTTAGGCCTGATGGCTTGCCAGTCTTGGTAAAGAAGAGGTAAAAAGATCCACAGTATTTGGGCTTCTGGAAGTGCTCGTGTCAGGTAATGGCATGCTAAGACTTTGCTCCTAGTCATGTTTTGAACCCGGTGCGGCAACAACTACGTAAAAAGCCCGCTGTCAGTTGGTTGAGAACTGCTTTTCTCAAGACTTCTGACTCGTGCTTTGGAGAGGTCTTTTTTCTTCTTTTCTCCTCTTTCTCTTTCAGGTGGATCTTTGGATGAACTGCAGTGTCCAGTGGCCATGGTCGAAATAGAGTGCCTACAGCAAGCAACTCGTAGCTCGTAAATCATACCAGTAACTCAGTGCCCTCCATAGAGGCTGCAGGTACGGAGACACTGCGAATACCACCTAATGTTAATAGTACTGAGTAATTATTAATGCAAGAATGGCACAGGGATGCAGGAAACCCAAGCCTCAAGCTCAAGCTAGAGGTGACGGGACCTGGATCTAGGCTAGGTACTGCTACCTTGCCTTGCCAGAACCTGGGCTAGGTACAGATACTGGGCTGTCAATATTGCAGTAAATTGTACAGTGTGTGTGAATGTGTGAGTGTGTGTTTATTTTAGCATCCAGCTGTTAGTCGTTTTAGACTACCTACCTAGGTACTGCTAACTCACTTGGGTAGGTAGATAAACAGCCCGTGGAGGTGTTCCGAGAAATAATCCGCACACCAGAGTGAGACAAATTAATAGGCAGGGTATTTGCAGTGCAAAGATTGATATGTATTTCCGTCATGTAAATTCCATAAACAGATACAAGCTGTCATCCAATTCACCCATTGGTCACTTGCCACACCCACCAACTAAGCTTGGTCCAATCTGAGCCGTGGAATCGGTGGATTGACGGACAATCGCAAATGTAACCCCATCCGGCAGTAGAGTCCGTGGCACAGGCACAGTTTGCGGTACGATATACATAGTACATAACAGACTACCGGGATGACCAAGCGTATACATACCTAGGTAGTAAATCCCCGATCAAAGTGCTACACCCGCCACGTGTAAAGCCCAACGGCCTTAATTCTGGCACGATACCTAACTCGATCTAGTAATTTCTACGAAATCTCGTGGGGGAGCCGTCCCGATACTGGATCTAAATCCAAACCATACCAGGGGGGGCCTGACCTGGAGACTCAATTATGTCGAATGCGAGGTATCGTTGATTCTTCGTAATGACGGCCGAATAATCAATTGGCCGGCAGTATGATACCGCCGACCCGTATTTCTGACTTGATAAGGGCAGGTTTGCGACTAAATTGCCAGCCTGCCTGCCTGTCTGCCCACCCGCCAGCTAACTCCGTCGATCACCAGAACGGCTGAGATAGTTCCCGTCAAAGCAGGTGCGTCGAGGTTGATCACTAGAGTTTAATGAGAGTGGGTGCGTTGTAATGCAACGGTACTATCGCAAAGTCTAAAGACAAAGTGAATAGGATCTATGATCTTCTACAGTATCTCTGAGCTTGCGCCACAACTAAAAATGGTATGTCCGAGAGAGTATGCATCAGTTAAGCATGTGCTAGGACGTTCTCATGATGACTACGCAGTACCAAGCAGAATTCAAATCTATACTATAGGAATATCCCATTACCCTCGTACGACGTTGAGTGAGTTGCTGGGTCTTCATATGATACACTACGTGGTAAATAGTAGTTAAGAGCTCAATGAGAATAGCGTATTGGCGAATCATGCTATAGTAGATACCTAGCGTTAGATAGCTAGTTGGACAGTTATTGGTAGTATGGGCAGTTCCCAATGCTGCGGCATCTGTTGCAGCACAAGTTGTGCTCCAGTCTAGCTTGATCAAACACCAATATGATCTGCCCATAACGATAAAGCAATATATACAGGGCGAGCTAAGCACTTGGAGAATCCTTTTGCTAAAGTATATAAATGCATCATACACTAAGCACATGCTACACCTCACTCATTATCGACCACGATGTGTCGACCCGTTTTGGCTACATTGTTAGCCATGTTGGCTTCATCACATGTACGCATCGAGAAGGGAGCTCAGGTCTAACTCTAGTGTTGATCCCCAACACACTCCCGAGCCTATTCCTAAACAGTTCTGTCACCTTTAGTACCTGAGCTAAGCTCGCTCCTAAGCTCGGTCGCTTGGTGACTCCACGACTGACACGGGCCCGAGGTTTCTCAGCCGTGTCTACCATTGACCTATTCCTCGTCATTTCGAATATCATATGCTTTGCACAGTGGATGTTTGCCTTGTGAGATTCTCGTACGGCAATTCATGGGTCCGTGTCCAAGTTCGTGTCCGGCAGATAGGGGTGGGTATCGATAGTTTCAAGCCCGACGCTGTGGACAACACATCCTCATGCCCCCCCTGGTTTTCCTGCACTTCACAGATGTCTAGATCTTTGGACACTCAATTCATCTCGGGGGCCGTTGTTGAGCCTCGGAAGCTAGACTTGTCTCAGGTGCTTTTGGCTTTTAGCTGGGGTAATGGTGCCGACAATACGTACGTGCATCGCCGATACAGGCCACATAGCAATACTAGTTGAATATCATTCCGCGATTCTCGACTACAAAAGAAATTCAGATAGCGGATGATATCCGCGTGGTAAACATGTATATCATGAGTCGATACCCCTGTTCACTGCATATCATTGTGATCCTCAACGGTGTTTCTTAGACTTGGTCTGTCTGCGGTTTCTAGAGTCGCGGGAATTGTCAACAGACACAGACAACGGACTTGCAACTCCGCAGGCTATGCCAAGACAGTATCGCATCATGCAATCTTCTCTCAACTCGGTAAAGAGCTCTTCCTGCAGGATTAGAGTGGCTTGGTGGGTTGGTCATTTTCATTGGATGTTATACGACTCCCGGATCGAGGTCAGTGCTTCGACTTTGTTAGCAGAGTTGATCCTCATGACCATAACCATCGTGTATATTTGTTATTATTCGAAATGATGAACAATACGGCTTTAAACCGCGTATAGAGAACAACTGAAAACAAACCTCTATATAAGATTGAGGGTATCCCTGTGTTAAGTTCATTGTTGGTGTGCTTAATCAGGCAGTACGTACTGAGTCAACATGGTTATCCACCATCGACAGAGACAGCCTCTAACAGATAAAAATCATTCTACAAAGGAGAACAAAAATCCAAAGTGAACTCGTGATCCAGATAAGTTTATATATGCTGTTAAATGACAAGCAGGGTCGAGTTCAACTGAGTTGCTGTTCGATACAAAATTGGCCTACCCTGCATCACGCGAGGTGTGAGACGGTAGGTACTTGAGGCCCCGGCAAAATTTGTGAACGAGCCAAGTACCTCGAAGCTACACTCGACGACCAACCAGAGTAAGAGAAAAGTTAATGGCGGATCAACGCATCTTTGACTTTACCAACGAAAGCGAAATTCCATCACGACGAATATTTCTCGACGACATTACCACTGGCCGAATACCAATCGGCCGAAAACCAATCGAACCCATCGAAACGAAACAGAGTCACAATGTCGCAAGATCAAGCTCAAGCGCAACCTCCGTTGCCACCCCGCAATGCCTTCATCCACAACTCTGCACTCGCTGGTGCCGTCATTCTGCCCCTCGCGATGCTTCTCCCACCACGAAAGCTAGATCTCCGGTTCTTCGTTCTCGCTAGCGCATTCTCCCTTGCCACAAATCAGCTCGCCTACGAGTACACAGGCTCATCAATCTACGCGCGCTTCGGCAACCGCATGGGCTCCATGCTGGGGACCGAGCTCCCCGAAGGCGCCCAGCGCACCCAGCAGCTACTTCGAGAACATCGCGAGCGCGAGGCAGCACTCAAGGCCAGGCTGGGACAGCAGGCAAAGCAAACTGAAGAAGAAAAGTCCGGTGTGGCCAAGGCGCTCAATGAGGTGTGGATGGGAGGCGAGGGGAAGGATTGGCGCGAGCAGCGTGCCAAAGAGCATCAGCAGAAGATCGAAGAGGGCAAGGGCCTGGGTGATATAATTATCGAGCAGGTTGCGGATGTTTGGAGTGGTAACTGGGGAAGAGGCGCCAAGAAGCAGGACGATGAGGATCCCACGGAGAAGAAATAACGATGACGACGACACAATATTGAAGGGTTCCAGATATCCTGATTCCCGTTGTTGATGAGATGCGGCATGTATAAGAACGACTGTACTACTATTGTTGAAAAAGCATGGAGGATCGCCACAGGATAAGGCGGCTGAAACGAACAACGAGAAGGCATTGAAGAACATACCCAGGAACGGCATGTATCATGTACAAAATACAATTGTATAATCACGACCAAAAATTCATTTACTTCACTGTCAGCGAGCTAGAACCGTTGAGATGTGGTGCTAGCTGAGGTGATGGATACGCAATAAATTAGCAACCATGTGTTGCCAGGCTTCAGGACGATGTTCCAATGGCAATTGGCAAAGCGATAGAGCGGAACTCTTGACTTGTCAGCTTTAATACTGGGATACATCATAATGACTTGGGTGTGTGCTAATGCCCCGCATGTCTGGGGTTGATGCGGTCGTGGGCTGCACCATCATGATATAGGACCAAGATGAGGAAGTTGGGCACGTATCTTATTGAAGGCTTCTTTTAGACTAGACATCCTTAAGAGTCAGCTTAGGCGATGTGAGAGTTACCGATATGCGAGCAACTGCTTAGCATGTGTGGCTCATATGTGTAGCTACCTCCGGCGTGCAGACTCAGGATGATCTCGCTTTCCGCAAAATGGAACATGCAAGTGATCACGCAAACCCTCGTCTGAGATAGGTCACATCATTCGTACCGAAAGAGCTGGAATAAAATTGTTAAACCTGGGGCAGAGCGATAAACGAGTCCCACTTCATGGGATACGGGAAAGACTCGTCAGCGTTACTAGAGGCTGCGGCTGGCTGGAAGTTCACTTTAGAACCGAGGTTGTCAGCGTCAGCCACGAAGACGCATAATTGGATAAGTGATAATGTGGGCTGATATGGTGGAAATAGCTCAATGTTGTAGTACTAGTAGAAGACTTCGATTAGTATGATATCTGCATCAGTTTTTTGTCTACAGCCTGGCGTGGCATGTGTAACACGACTGCACGAGAGTGTTGCGTTGAAAGGCAAGTAGAATACGGAGTAAGATATGCACCAAACAATAGTTTGTTAAGGCTTGAATGAATCAAGGTCAAACACCCTTCGAAAATACACATTGAGTATCAATTTGGCCTGGTAATTGTTTGTGATTCCATCTATAACTGCCTCACTGCGTAGTGTTGAGAATATTCCACAACTGCCACAAAACGAACATCGGGCATCTAAGCTAATGTTCTAAATTAAGAAGCTGTGGCGCTTAAACAGAAAAAAACGAGTGAGGCTCAACTGCTCTAAAGTGCACCCAAAAGCCTCCAAGTCGCAGTGATCGACCTTTTGATTGCAGGGATCCCTCACTCACAGCTGTCAGCACAGCCCCGGTTTGTACGTCACTCGGCTGAGCCTGTGAGCTGTTTCGTCATGGTACTCAGCATGAGAATATTTGTTGCTTGTTGAATGGACGGAGAAGGGATGTAGGTATGCTATAGAAATAAAACAGGGCTGTTACCTAAGACTAAAAGATCGCCGCCTCACAACAATATGTCCTAACAAAAGAAGGTTTGGTCCTGCAGTGAGAAATTTCCCCTCGTTTTTTTTAAACGCTCTCCCTTCTTCATTCTTTAACGTCTCTCGTTTTGCGTTTCTGAGGACTACCAGCAAACAGTTCCCGAGACCCGCTATTTGACACGCGTAGTCACAACTACCCAATCAGGGCCGAGATACCACGCAATCCAGACCGTCGTAGACCAGCCTTTACGTCCCTGGGCGACCCTTGAAACAGCCAAACCCAACCTAGACAAGCTGAAGTTCAGGACATCGTATTCTGACCAACCTCCCAAGCACGATACTTTTTTTCCTGGTTCAACATCTCTATCTTGGGATCGACAAAACATTCCCATTCACATTCACATTTACATTCCACATAAGCATTGTTCCCTTGCCTTTGGAAGCATCCCGGCTTTGCGGTCTTTCTATCAACAAAGGATACAAACGAATCTTCATCTGTGACGCTGTCTCTCCGTTCTGAAACAGCTTGTCGCAGTTGTATCCCCTTTCTTTGCCGCTTGGCGGCTTACCTCTCCCACCGGCTACGTAACCTCGTTTTCGTTCTCGTCGCTTGACCATTCTTCCTTCGTCAATCATGGCCTCTCACGACTATTACCATGGCGGTGGCCAGCAGGCTCCTTACGGCGCCGCACCTAACGCATCGCCCTATTACCAAACTCATGATGCTCCTTCACCGCAGTCGACACCAGCGCCCCCGTACGAGTCCAACTCATACAACTCCAACTACCCTCCTGACAGTTCGATTTATCCTGCCGACTCTACCACACATATAATTCCCACCAAGCAGACACCATACTCGCCCAACGATGTGCAATATAATCCATCAAACACGTATGCTAGTCCCTCTGGACAGAGCTCAGGCCACAACCAACCTGGCCAAACTGGTCAGTCTCCTTTCGACACCGTCTTTGACGATCATGTGTACCCGGCAAATTCGCACACGGGACCGACTCCCGGCTCCAGTACGGCTGACATTGGCCAACAAGGCTTCTACCAAGACACAAGTTATGATGGTGGAGCCGCAGCTGCACGACCTTCTGGTCAGGAAGATATTCCCCTTCAGGATCGTACAGCAAAGAACGATGATCCTGAGATGAATGATCATATCTATGATGCTCCTGGGCGATCAAAGAAGAAGAGCAAAAAGGGAAAGGTCCGTCTGGGCGAGCTCGGCATGATAGGCGCAGACAAGAAGAGAATACCATGGGTTGTCTACACCTTCACAGTCGTTCAAATCGCTGTTTTTATTGCTGAAATAGCACAAATGGGTAAGCAAGAATATGATTGAAGCAATAGAGAAGTTGCCAACTGATTTGAACTAGGCGTATTGACAGGAACTCCCATCGCGATCAAACCTCAGTTCAACATCTTCATCGGTCCATCGCCAGGTCTGCTTATCAACATGGGCGCTCGATATGCCCCTTGCATGCGCAATGTGAAGGGCATTCAGAGCGTGGATAAGAGCAAGTCGGGCACCGTTCTACCCGGTCTCCTTTGCCCGAATGCTACCACGGACGACAGTTTCTGCCCTCTCCATGTTGTCTGCGGGTTTGGTGGTGATGTACCAGACCCCAAATTCAATGGCGATATCAACCAGAGCCCCGAGCCTAACCAGTGGTACCGATTTATCACATCGATATTCATGCATGCCGGACTTATTCACATTGTTTTCAACCTTCTCCTGCAGCTTACTATTGCGAAAGAAATGGAGACGGCCATTGGATCAATCCGATTTCTACTTGTCTACATGAGTGCTGGAATCTTTGGCAACATCATGGGTGGAAACTACGCGCCGCCAGGACAGCCATCAGTGGGTGCCTCTGGTGCTCTCTTTGGTATTATCGCTCTGGTCCTGCTTGACCTCCTCTACTCTTGGAAGGACAGACGCAATCCAGTCAAGGACCTTCTTTTTATCATTCTTGATATGGTGATTGCGTTTGTTTTGGGTCTTCTGCCTGGCTTGGATAACTTTGTCCATATTGGAGGTTTCTTGATGGGGCTCTCTCTTGGTGTCTGTATTCTCCATTCTCCCAACTCACTGCGACGACGGATGGGCCAGGAGCTCTCATACACAGCTGTTTCTCCTCAGACTGGAGAATCGCCGCCTCACTTTTTGAAGAACCCCGTGGGTTTCTTCAAGGGGCGCAAGCCACTATGGTGGGCATGGTGGTTGGTTCGAGCTGGCTTCCTCGTTATGATCATCGTTGTCTTCATTGTTCTTCTCAACAACTTTTACAAGTACCATGAAACTTGTGAATGGTGCAAGTACTTGAACTGCATTGTAAGTTATTTAATCATACCCTCAGCGATGACACGTCAGCTAATACTGAATAGGATGTTAATGATTGGTGTGACTGGGGGTCTTTTGAGCATCTCAAAGCACCTAAGGCTCAGGCGACAAGTAGTTGATTAAGCTTGGGTTAGTGGAGGCATGGCAGGCCTCCAATATCGTTGAATAGTGCATGGCTTGAGATAGCAACATGTACATTAATACGCAAATCATACATTGCACAGCATCGGCGTCGTTGGACAAACTGATTTGCTTCATTGATTAGAGGCACTTTCAGGACATTGGAGTTTGCAATAGTTTTGTTAGTGGTTATTTACGGAGCAATGACTTGTGTAGCACAACCATGTGCTCAAACATGATTTCAGTGTTTTGACGACTTCTGAAAGGGTGATGTGGCGAATGCCATTAAGCAGCCAGACTTTGACGGGGAAATATCACGCATTTCCCCTTCCAACAGTGCCTCGACATGGATACGAGACATGGGTTGGGGATTCCATTACATGAGCGTGCAGCTCTTGGCTCTGATCAGATATAACCAATATAACAAAGTCATACGATACCCCGCAGACTGTTGACTGCGTGAGCGAGGGATGCCATACCTGGATAATTGATCACTCGGCGATGTTATAAATGACGCTCCTCCCTTTTTATTTTTGCTCTCGTGTGCTTGCAACAATAATGGCTTCACAGTCCACGCGCGTGATAATATGATCTCTTTACGATTTCTTTCTCTATAAGATGGAGGTCTGGGCACTGTTCAACAGCGACTCACAAGTAAGTCTGCGATTGCTTTACTTTGCATCTCAAGTTTTTATGATGAATCTTCTTCAATGCATGGCTTAGCTGAATGTCCCATTGGGGCTATGGATGTGTATAGAATGGATGTCTGAATACTTTATTCTTCATTGCATTTTGTAATTCGATACCATCTCGCTATACTGTAGCTGACTTGACGATAGGTGTGAGCCGAGACCAAAGGCTGGATATTATACAATTCATGGTATCACGCTCAGAGTTAGCTTAAGTAGTGATATGATAGAAACATGTAAGAATTTGACACTACATAGGCGATTTACTGGTATATATGTATGATTTAAAGTTCCTATATCTTGTCATTGTGACTTACAAGTAAGGTCTTGTTAGGTATTATAGTTTTATGCCTCAGGCCGAAACTGTGACGCCAACTCACGTGACAGCGATAGATGGCGCCAGTTGGATCAGTCACGTCACGCTTTGTCGGTCGCGCTACGCGGTAGCTATCAATTAAAGTCGTGTCGTCAATCTCAAATCCACCCCAAATCTCCCCTGTTAGAGTCTCCCCTCCAACCGTTTAGTGTCAACAATCATAATCAACCCAAGAACTCGTCAATCCTTCTTCGTCTCTCTTGTTGTGGATGAATACGTGACTGTTGAAAAAGATACCTTGTTTCTTACGTTCCTTTGCTTCTTCTTCCTTCCCATATAGAATTTGCCATCCTCAGTCAACATGGCAAGCGCAGTTCTTTCTCAGAAGAGAGTGCTCGGCGAAAGCCACACTCGTCAGAACATCACAACCTCTCCCTCCTCGACGAAAAAGCGCAAGGTCGATGCCATTCCTTCATCGCCGGCCGCCGCCCGGGTTCCTGGCTCTCAGAACGACCGCCGATCTAAGATGGCATCCAGCCAGCCCAAGAGTGCTTTCGAATCAGAAGTCCTCGAAAAGCTCAGTCAGGACTTGTCTGACCGGAAACGAAACAACACCGAAAAGGATCAAGCATGGGACCGACCTCCCGTTGTCGACTTCGTACCCGAACGTGATAGTCTCTGCTTCCAGTCCATCGAGGCCGAGGAGGGCACATTAAATGGCGGAAGGGCTACTGTCAAACTGTTTGGTGTGAACGAGGCGGGAAACTCGGTCATGATGCATGTCACTGACTTCAAGCATTATCTCTATGTTCCTGCTCCTGTCAACTTCCAACCACAGGACTGTGCAGCTTTCAAGGCATATTTAGAGACACAAGTTGCCCAACATCAGCCAACGATCCACTCAGTTGCTTTTGCCATGAGGGAAAACATTTACGGGTTTCAGGGCAACCAGTCTAAGCCATATCTGAAGGTCACTGTGACCGATCCTAAGTTCATAAACAAGGTCCGAACAACAATCCAGAGTGGTAACGCCAATTGGAAAGGCATGTGGAGGAATGATGGTGAAGTCCAGACTTTCGACAACATTCAATATCTGCTCCGATTTATGGTCGACTGCAAGGTAAGAAAAAACCCTGCTTCTTAATGAGAAGCTCTAACACTCAAACAGGTCCGAGGAATGTCCTGGGTAGAAGCTCCAGCCAAGGCATACAAGCTTATCCCCGATCACGTTCGCCAATCAAACTGTCAGATTGAAGCTGAAGTGAGCTACCTCGATCTTATAGCACACGAGCCGGTTGGAGAATGGTCCAAGATGGCGCCCCTGCGTATTTTGTCTTTTGATATCGAGTGTGCTGGTCGCAAGGGTATCTTTCCAGAGGCAAACCATGACCCCGTTATTCAAATCGCCAACATTGTCACTCAATACGGAGAGAAGAAGCCATTTGTTCGAAACGTGTTCTGTTTACAGGAGACGAGTTCCATCGTGGCAACTCAAATTCTCGCGTATGAGAAGGAGGAGAAGATGCTGAGCGACTGGCAGAAATTCCTCATTAGAGCTGATCCTGATATTATCACTGGCTACAATATTTCGAATTTTGATTTCCCATACCTGCTAGACCGCGCAAAGCATCTCAAGGTAGCTGGGTTTGAATACTGGACTCGAATCCCCAGCATGCAATCCAGAGCCAAGGAGACAAACTTTTCAAGCAAGCAGATGGGCAACCGAGATACTAAAGCCACCAACACCAACGGTCGTCTGCAATTGGATCTCCTTCAGCTAATCCAACGCGATCACCAGCTTAGAAGTTACACCCTGAACTCTGTGTGTGCCAACTTCCTGGGCGAGCAGAAAGAAGACGTACATCACACCATGATCACAGAGCTCTTCAACGGTACGCCCGAGTCTCGAAGGCGTCTTGCGCTGTACTGCTTGAAAGATGCCTACCTTCCGCAGAGGTTGATGGACAAGCTATCGTGTCTGGAAAACTACACCGAAATGGCAAGAGTCACAGGTGTACCTTTTAACTTTTTGCTGTCTCGAGGTCAGCAAATCAAGTTCGTCAGTCAGCTGTTCCGAAAGGCTTTGGAGCAGAAGCTTGTAATCCCCAATCTCAAATCCGAGGCCTCTGATGAGCAGTACGAAGGAGCTACCGTCATTGAGCCAACTCGAGGCTACTACGACGTTCCAATTGCTACTCTGGATTTCGCGTCTTTGTATCCCAGTATCATGCAAGCCCACAATCTCTGTTATACCACCTTGGTGAGCAAGAAGGCAATCGAAGCCTTCAACCTCCAGAAAGACGAGGACTACATAATTACACCAAATGGAGATACTTTTGTGACCACCAAGCAAAGAAAGGGTCTGCTGGCACAGATTCTCGAGGAACTGCTGACGGCCCGTAAACAGGCCAAGCGCGAGTTGGCGGTTGAGACGGATCCGTTCAAGAAGGCCGTGTTGAATGGTCGTCAGCTGGCTCTGAAGATCAGCGCAAACAGTGTGTACGGTTTGACGGGTGCAACGACAGGCAAACTTCCTTGTCTCGAAATTGCTAGCAGTACCACGAGTTTCGGCCGAAAGATGATTGAGAAGACCAAGGAAGAGGTTGAAAGCCGTTACAATATCGCGAACGGATATTCACACGACGCCCAGGTCATCTATGGTGATACCGATTCGGTCATGATCAAGTTTGGCACCAAGGATCTGAAAGAAGCTATGAGACTTGGTGAAGAAGCGTCGAAGTTTGTATCAGACAAGTTTGTCAAGCCGATCAAGCTTGAGTTCGAAAAGGTGTACTTCCCATACCTACTGATCAACAAGAAGCGATACGCTGGTCTGTACTGGACCAAACCAGAGAAGTACGACAAGATGGACACCAAGGGTATCGAGACGGTGCGACGTGACAACTGTCTTTTGGTACAGACAGTAATTGAGAAAGTCCTACGGATGATCCTGATCGACCAAGATGTTCCAGGTGCACAAGAGTAAGTCCTCCCTCCGATAACGCTCCGATGCATTAGGTTACCAGGGCTTATCTGGTGGCGCAAGGAGAAAGCGGGATGCTAACGGTAGATTAATCTAGGTACGTCAAAGAGACGATTGCGGATCTGCTGCAAAATAAGGTCGACATGTCGAAATTGGTCATCACAAAAGCCCTTACAAAGGACGATTATGCCGCAAAGCAAGCCCACGTCGAGCTGGCGCAGCGGATGAAGAAGCGAGATGCAGGCTCGGCGCCGGGACTCGGTGACCGAGTGGCCTACGTCATGGTCCGAGGCCCGGCCGGCGCCAAGAACTTCGAGAAGTCGGAGGACCCCATCTACGTACTGGAGCACAATGTGCCGATAGATACGCGCTACTACCTGGACAACCAACTAGCGAAGCCACTCGGCCGTATCTTCGAACCCATTCTCGGAGAGACCAAGGCGCGCTCTTTGCTTACAGGAGACCACACGCGAACCATCTCAGTAGCGGCTCCTACCGTTGGAGGTCTCATGAAGTTTGCCAAGAAGACACAGACATGCATGGGTTGCAAGAAGCCTCTGACAGGAAAAGAGGAGTCTGAGGGAGCCGTGTGCGCTAACTGCTCGCCTCGAGTTGGAGAACTTTACAAGAAGACGCTTGATCGCGTGTCAGATCTCGAGGTGCGCTTCGGGCGACTATGGACCCAGTGCCAGCGCTGCCAGGGCAGTATGCACTGCGAGGTTATCTGCAGTAGCAAAGATTGTCCTATCTTTTATATGCGCATGAAGGCCAAGAAGGATCTTGAGGATGCTGGCCGCGAGCTCACTCGCTTCGACGCCGACCAGGCGGCTATATGGTAAGGAATTGGAAGAGTTGCTAGGTGTTTCTCGACCTTGCTCAATTGTCGTTTTATTGTTGTCGTTTTCTTATACCATTTAATGACCTTGTATGGAGCAGCCAAGGCAAGAGGACCTGGGATACATGATGGAGGAGATGCTGGAAAAGAACTTGGTCGGTCACAAGAATATTTTATGTATACAATGTAGACACAGGCACAAGGCTTGGTGCTGTTGATTTCTATGTGCGCAAGGCGTTCTGGGGTTTGGACTTGGTTGCGGCAGATTTTACCACATTTATCCAAGACAGAATAGAGCATATGATATTGGACACTGCACTTTTTATCTGTGTTCTCTTCATCAAGAAAAGATGACCAAGTGATATTACGAAGCAGTGGTTAACCGTGGGGACTGGACATTCAAGCAATGGTGCGCATATTCATGATGTGCATGGGTGGAAGAAGTCTGTGTTTCTGCCTGGAACGATGAGATGAAAACCAACAATGACCAACAATAACTACCTAATGTCGAACGAACGAGTAGATATCGGAACAAAGGAAAATAACGGAATAGATCGGAACCAAAGACGGGCCAGGGGTGGTGGCATGAGGGGTGCCCATGGGGGGGTAAAGAGTCATGATGAAGGTTGGGGGGGAATTCACGGGAAAATGTGTTCATAATGGTGATGGCCAGAGCCAAAACGGCGGTCTCGGTGCTAGACTCGGAGTATGGCCGATGGCACAGAGTATATACGGTGGCTCGGTGGTGAAAGCCGGAGGCCAGAGAGACATAAACGGTGGTGTTCGGAGGGGACCCGAAATGCCTGGGCTGAGCTGAGACGAGATGAAAGCGGGTGGACATGTATGTCCGGACATGCGAGATCCGTTGACGGCGAATTGGAGGTTCTATTTGTGAGAAGCGAGGGTGAAGCAGGGACGGTTGGACTGGCTAATCGGTCCGTTGAGAAAAGGCCCAAAGTTCTAACATGAGGTAATGAGAGAATAACACCAAGATGAGAGTCGAGACAAGCGACAAGACAGAGACAGGCTCCCCCAGATTCTACTGTATGATCCTGGTAGTATCCAGTATCCAGCACCCAATATCCCCTCGGAAAGGCTTTCGGGACTCTGGGGCTGTGGGCGATTAAGAGTGCCATTGGTCAGAGCTGGATTTGATGTCAATTTATTCTTCAAACGAGTTGACTTTGACAAGGCGTCCAATGAGGATGGCTTGATAGTATCTGGCCTGTGTAGCAGCAGAATGGGGCACGCACTTCAGGGTCCTGGGGAGTGTCGATACAGTACGGAGTATCCGTATGTCGATGCGAGTCAATGGGGTTTGTTTTAGTTGACCAGGGTATTATTGCCGGTAAATAGACTGAATGGTGAGTGAAGTGCGTGTTTGTTAGGTCAGAAGAGGCCGTGGATTGGACGAGGGTAAATGCGCAAGATGCAGTGGTATTCCCGCATCTTGAGCCCGTCTCTTGGCTCGGCGTCTAATTCGACAGAAGCAACGATTGATTTCCTTTCCTGGTCATGGCAAGTACATGTTTGGGTTGAGAATTGGTAATGGATTGTTTGATTTGACGCGCTTTATCGGGTTAATATTCCGGAAACCTGGCTCATGCGTTCGTTGCAGACTGCGCTGCACACACACGCGACACTGCACTACACGGCATGATGGTTTACTTTTACTTTAATGTTTAGATTTAGGTTGGCGGAGTGGTGTAGTGCATGTGAATTGAGGCACTTTTCTCGGAGCGACATTAAAGACTTGATGGAACTACTCTTAATAATTAATCCACGGCCTACCCTAGGTACTTGTTAGGTCTCAGACGCAGGATAGTTAATGCCTCGTGTGGGGTTAGCAGCTGGCTGAGACAGCGATGTGATATTATCACGAATGTTATGGCTGATCAGGCCAGCTCAAATTAACGCTGGGAAATAAGAAAAGTTGAGTGAATTATCGATGATGATGATTTTCAGAACCAGATAAGATGTACAACGCCAGCGCCATGTTGGTCTACCCCCACCAAAAGACAGTGGCAAGCGTGGAGGTGAGTTAGAGTGCTTCGGTGATGTACGGGGTTGCAGAGCGAATGGAGAGGATCTGATAATGGACTTGGAATAATGAGTGTTGGCTAATAAGAACCGTATCGTTGACATCCATAGCATCCATAGCATGAGTGAGTGGTATTATGGTACGACGGCAGACAGGACCTACATTGCCGAAGCTACTACGTAGTACGGGAGCGAACATCGGAGCTGGCCCTGGCCTAACTTGGTAGGATATTCCAGTGGCAGGCTGCTAAGGTACCCGTCCTAAGATAATTATGCGCGCGACATACTCCGTACTCCATGCTGTAGACTAGATGGATGAGAGAATGTCCGGGATGGCGAGGGGGCTTTAAGAAGACCCTTGGGTGTAGTGTTAGTGGCAGTGATACTGATAACAGCTGGTATCAGTGTATATATATCTGAGATTCATTTTCTTCATATATAAAGACGAAAGCGAATGTGAACAAAACAATGGTCGACGTTCTTGGCCATGAACAATTCTAACATTCAAACATTCCAACCCTCGCATGTGAAAGACATAAAATATTGGGGGCCCCCAGATCTAGGGGGTGTAAGCCTATTCCGCGCCATGTGGGGTGTGGTACTAGCTCCTGGGGTTTATCGGGAACGAGAAAAAGAAAGCTCATAGATTAGACTAATTGGGGTGTGTCGTGTCACTCGATTAGATGGGATAATACCATTTCTTTTATCTCTGAACACGGCCACTAATAACTAAGGTAACTTACTAGGTAGGTAGGTATGTACTGTACTGTAGGTAGTGTAGTGATTGACTGCCATCGGCATCGACATCGGCATCAGTATCGGATGCAGATGTCTATCATGACGGAAAGAGCCACCCCGTCTCTGTTCCTGCTCCTGCTCTTGCCATTGCTATATATCCCTCCATAACCATATAAACCTGAATTCCCGACTCCTTCCAAGCAACTTTCCTCTCTCATCTATCTCATCTTAACTCTACCTGCACACATCTCCACGAGTATATCGAATCGAATTCTTCATAACCTGCCTTAGTAGACATCGACCATCGACATCTTCGATATACATCCCCAATGCAGCTGAACACCATGTCTCACCTCCCTCAAGAGCCCGAGTTCGAGCAGGCTTACAGTGGTAAGCACTTTTAACCTCTAGTACAAACAACAACAACAACATCGATTCTAATTAGCCTTCTATCTATAGAGCTCGCCTCTGCCCTCGAGAATAGCTCCATCTACAACGAGCACCCCGAGTACCGCACTGCCCTCGCTGTCGCCGCCATCCCCGAGCGTATCATTCAGTTCCGTGTTGTTTGGAGCGACGACAAGGGTGACCTCCAGGTCAACCGCGGTTTCCGTGTCCAGTTCAACTCTGCTCTTGGTCCCTACAAGGGCGGTCTTCGATTCCACCCCAGTGTCAACCTGTCTATCCTCAAGTTCCTTGGTTTCGAGCAAATCTTCAAGAATGCCCTGACTGGCCGTAAGTAACCTCCATCGCCGCGCTTAATGGGACCCGGCCTTCAATGTTCCTGCATATTGTGGGGACCAGGACTGGTCCATAGGGCCTATATTAGAAAACAGCCTCGCTAACAAAGTTTATAGTTAACATGGGTGGTGGCAAGGGAGGTGCCGACTTTGACCCCAAGGGCAAGTCCGACGCCGAGATCCGACGATTTTGCCAGTCTTTCATGACTGAGCTTTCCAAGCACATTGGTGGCGAGACTGATGTTCCCGCTGGTGATATTGGTGTTGGTGGCCGTGAGATCGGTTACCTCTTCGGTGCCTACCGCAAGCTCCGCAACCGCTGGGAGGGTGTCCTTACTGGAAAGGGTCTCTCATGGGGTGGTAGCTTGATCCGACCCGAGGCCACTGGTTACGGTCTCGTCTACTATGTCGAGTACATGCTTAAGCATGCTAACCGTGGTACCTTCGAGGGCAAGCGCGTTGCCCTCTCCGGCTCAGGAAACGTTGCCCAGTACGCAGCTCTCAAGATCATTGAGCTTGGTGGCTCCGTTATCTCTTTGTCCGACTCCAAGGGTGCCCTTGTTGCCAAGGAGGGTTCTTCTTTCACCCCTGAGCAGATTCACAACATCGCTGGTCTCAAGCTCAAGCACCAGTCTCTGACTGCTTTCGAACACCAGGACAAGTTCACCTGGGTCGAGGGTGCCCGACCTTGGGTCCACGTTGGCAAGGTTGACATTGCTCTTCCCAGTGCCACCCAGAACGAAGTCAGCAAGGAGGAGGCTAAGGCCCTCGTTGATGCTGGTGCTTTTATCATTGCTGAGGGTTCCAACATGGGCTGCACTGCCGAGGCCATCGAGGTTTTCGAGGCCCACCGCAAGGAGAAGGGCGCCGAGGCTGTCTGGTACGCTCCCGGAAAGGCCTCCAACTGTGGTGGTGTCGCTGTGTCTGGCCTCGAGATGGCTCAGAATAGCCAGCGCATCCAGTGGTCTGAGAAGGAGGTTGATGATCGCCTCAAGGGCATCATGAAGGATGCTTTCGACGCTGGTCTTCAGACTGCCCAGAAGTACGTCGAGGCCAAGGAGGGCGAGCTTCCCAGCTTGGTTGCCGGTAGCAACATCGCTGGTTTCATCAAGGTCGCTGAGGCCATGCATGCCCAGGGTGACTGGTTCTAAAAAGATGTATAAGGGAACCGGGACGAGTGGGAGTTGAGACGATTCTGGGATTGACCAGAAAGACCATCATACCCGAGCTGGGCTCACACTAAGGTTACTCGTCCTTCTCATCACAAGTCTCTCCCGGCTCCTGCTTATGTCGCACGGAACGGAGTTTTTGTTCTGGGGTACGATCTGGGTATGCATACTGTACGGCGTTGGTGGGGTTTCCAAGAAGGGAACCGTTTTGTTTGTGCTTCTAGATAGACATGTTTCGGGATGTTATGGGCAATTTGCAGTTTTATTTCATAGCCCGATAGTACGAAGAATGAAAAATTACACTTTTGATTCATACATATGACTCGTTGTGACATATCTTTGCGACCGTCTTTGCAGTTTGTTACATTCGTATTCAGACAAGCTTATTCTAGGGAGTGATGACGGGCAACCTTTTCTTATGCTCTTTCATGTTTTTCTCTTATGATTATAGCACTAACAGTCGACTTGCCAGCCTCGGGTAGAAGAAATTCGTGAGCAGCAGCTGAGACAACACAGCATATTGAGTTGTAGTTATACAGAAGCTGTTTAAAGTAAGAGAGGGCAATGCCGAAACAGCTTTGCCACCAGCTCCAATTGCAACTCATGCTTCCGGTCGCTCAAAGGAGAAGCGTTGCTGCATCCCGCGCCTGGTAATGGCATATGTTGGCTCATCATCTCACACAAGAGACTCTGCTTCAACAACGACCTTTATGGTGTAAGCTGAGCTGACCAAAGTATCCACTTTACCACGCGCCGTTTGACCAGTACGGAAGGCGAGAAGGCTCAGTGTCCATAAAGTCTTGACATATTAATTTTCATACTAGGAATACCCCTGAGGTGCCTTTTTTGGTATGCACTAGGCCTAAATAGGACAGACATAGAATCTTATCTCTGATAAGATTGATTATAGAGGTAAAGTCACTGTAAGTTATAGTGCCTATAGTACCTAAGCCTCTATAACTAACCGCTGTAATTGACCACTGTAATTAACTGCTGGAATTACCTTCTAGATTTATTTTGTAGGCTTGATTATAGAGGGCTTTAGGGGTATTATAGTGGCTAAAGCGCTATAAAATAACTACTAGCATAGGCAGCTAAAAAAATACCCCTATAGAGGGTGTAGTTCTATTAAGGCAAGACTTTATGGACACTGAACCTTCTCGCCTTCCGTAACCAGGGGGTTTTAAGTTAAACCGCTGGTGCATATGTAACTTGAGGGCCATAGCGCCGCAGGTTAAAGTCATGGTCATGGGATGGGGTTCCTTCCGTGTGGAACCTCGGCTGATAATGGTTTCGCGGGGAAGTTGTTACCGGGATTCGTAGTTACCTACCTACGTAATATGAAATGGACGTCCACTTTAAGTACTAAGATACTAGAACTAATACTAATCTTATTTCTTCACTTAACTTAGAGCAAGTGTTTATCTTGAACATTCACTGGTTTACTAATATCGCCTTTGTTCATCATTCATCATGCCTCGCCCTCCTCCTTTAGCCGGTATCAGGGTATTGGAGTTTGCCGGCCTTGCTCCCGGTAAGTGTAGCTAACTTGAACAAATAAACCGAAAGCTTGACTCATTCATTCTTCAAGGACCATATGCCGGCATGCTCCTCGCCGACGCAGGTGCTTCGGTCCTCCGCATTGACCGGGCCCGGCGCGGCGCATCGGCTCCCACAGAAGATATGCTTGCGCGGCACAAATCATCCATCGCGGTGGATTTAAAATCAGAAAGCGGTGCCGCACTTATAAAGCGCCTCGCCTCTCATGCAGACGTTCTCATCGACCCCTTTCGCCCAGGTGTTCTTGAGAAACTCGCACTGGGACCAGATGTACTATGCGGTCTCAACAAGAGACTCATCTATAGCAGAATGACCGGCTTCCGTCGTGATGGAAAGTATGCGCTTATGGCGGGCCATGATATAAATTACCTTGCTGTGTCTGGAACGCTGGGGATGTTGGGTAGAGAGGGAGAGAAGCCACACCCGCCTCTGAACATCTTGGCTGACTTTGCTGGCGGAGGAGCGGTGCTGTTCCAGGGTATCTTGATGGCTATTATCTCGAGACAGTCATCTGGGCTCGGCCAGGTTGTCGAAGCAAACATGGTAGATGGGAGCTCATATCTTACCACTTTTCCTAGGATGAGCCTTAAAACACCAATGGGGAATAAAGGCCGGGGAAATAATCTCCTCGATGGAGGTGCTCCCTTCTATGATACATACAAGACATCAGACGGAAAGTATATGGCCGTTGGGGCTCTTGAGCCGCACTTCTTCGCCACACTGCTCAAGGGCCTCGAGCTCGTGGACCAAGGATGGGCGGAGAACCAACTCGACAGGACTCGCTGGCCTGAGCTCCAAAAGGCAATGGCAGATACGTTCCAGAGCAAGACTCGCGCAGAGTGGGAAGCGATATTTGACGGCACAGATGCGTGCTGCACTCCTGTGCTAGAGTACAGCGAACTCGAGACTGATCCTCGACGGGAAGGCGATCAGCGACCGGCGGTGACATTGCGGGAGACACCGTGTCTAGCTGTGAAAGAAGGCGCAGGACATATCGACCCGGCCCAATTCGGACAGGGTCCAGGTGTGCCTGGAGATGGGTACGAAGCGAATCTATTAAGACCGGGCAAAGGGGGAGAAGAGATGCTAAGGCAGTGGATGAACTGGGAGAATGGAAGGGAGTATGCTCTGCACCAAGGGGGTTTTGTGCTAAAAAAGGAATCCAAGCTGTGATTTGCCTCGAAGTAAATGATGTAGATAGTTCAAACTATCAGCCGTCTATATCCAAAATAGCGTGATATGTAGTCATATGATGAATCAAGACATTGCAAAAAAAAAAAAGGCACTTGAACAAGGGGCTTAAACAGGGAATGATTATATATTCTTCCTACAACAAGCCCGCGTCCACACAATCTACTGAGTGCTAACAGATACTCAGTACAAAGTGCAACCCTGAGGTATGAAGCCGGGAAAGACCTAGCTATTGGGCCACCGCAAATCCTTCATGTACTCCCGCTTCCATAATAACGCACAAGGCGGTACCGCGCCTTCCAGCCCTCTTGTTTTGTGCATATGTCAAGTCATGCGTCCCCCAATGCAAGTCATTAAGCAGTCTACTCTAAGTCTCCTTCTGAAAAGTAGTGGTATCGAAAAAAATAGTGATGCTCGGGACGTCGTGACAAGGGGGTCGAGATACGACTGCTGTGCGGTGATCCCCTTAAGTGTTTGGTTTATGGGAAGAAGACGGAGCTGCAGATGGGCCCAGCCTGGCCCTGACGCCGAATTGAGAAGTGATGATAAAAGGCCTCGCTCATGAACAACATCACTGCACTTGACTGACAATCTCACTAGCCTTGGAGAGAGACTCAACCATCTGCTGGCACTCCTTTCTCCGTCGGATGGTGAAGTCACTCTCCTTCAGAAGATCATCTATGCTGTCGGTTCGGTACATGTTCTCCAAAAGCTCTCGTTGCATCTCGTCCTTGGTGAATCTATAACTGTGGTTAGACAGCACAGAAAAAGCTATGCCGGATAAGTACTTACTGTACGAGGTTGAGCATGACAGCCTTAGGAACCATGTCGATCATGGTTCGCTTAACGATGTTGTAGTAAGACTGGATAAGCAGCTCTGAAAAATGGTCAGTAACGAGTCAACCGATCGAATAGTTGTTTCATGTTCACGTACTGATAACCTCAACCTCAATGTTCTCACGCTCTGACAGAGTGCCAGAAGCCTTCAGTGTTGGGGGAGGGGCCTCCATAGCGGCGGCCTTCTTCTTGTTCTTGGCTGCGAAGAAGCTGCCAAAGAAGCCCGAGTTGTTGCCGTTCTCAGGGTCGGGAACAGTGGGGCTCGCAGCTCGAGGGGTTCCTGCGAGTGGCTTGCCAGACTTGGGATCAACCTGGACGGGCTTGCTGGGGTTGTATCGCTCATTCACCATAGCCATGGCCTTGAAATGGAGTTAGTTGCTGTCTGGTAAAGTTGACTGCTGGCTTGACTTACTCTGTGACCGTTCAGGAAATCGGGATGACCAGTGTTGACATAGCATGACTCCATAGACACCAAATCTCTAACAAGCTTGTTGGTAGGGTCCATAGCCTTCTTGAAGAAAGCAATCACGACACCGTGCATCTTCTCCTTCAGGGAAGGGTATCGGCGGTAAAGCTGCTTGGCAAGAAGCTGCGACAGAATTCGCACCAATTCGTCGTAGACGAGAGAAACACACTTCAAGCTAGGATCTTCCAGGCGCTTGATCTGCTGCTTGACGATCAGCTCAAAGGCGGTAGTGCCGACAAAGAGAGCTGGAGAAGAACCAGAAGAGTTGTAGAGAATTGTTCGGATGTCGACATCCTTGACGACGTCAAAGGGGTCAATCGCCTTGACACCGTTGGAGTAAAGCTCGTGGAAGACAAAGCTGATACGGGCACCTCCGGAAAGCTCAGTGCTTGACAGTTCGGTGTTGTTACCATCCAGAACGGTGCGCCACTCATTGGTGAACTCGGTGATGATGTTGAGGACAATGTTGGCGCTGTTGCCGAGCATAGAGGGACCAAGACTTTCGAGCTCGGATGTGTACTTTTGAAGAGAGCTGCTGATACGGGCCTTGATATCGGGCAGGGTTTGCTTGATGTGCATCATTAGAATGAGGTTGAGCTTGCGAGCGAGGTAAGGAGTTCCGCAGTAAGAGCTCTTGTTACGATAAGCCTTGTGGTTTTCGAAGAAGTTCTTCTCAGCCTCCAAAGCCTGGTTGATAGCTTTTCGGTTGTCGATATCTCGCTGACCTCTGTTCACGACTGGGACATAGCCTAGTCTGAGGGGAATGACACGGTTTGACAGAATATCGATAACGTCGGTTCCCTCGTCCATCAGATCAACTTTTGTCAGGACACCAATGGTCCTTTGACCCTCGGGGTCAACCTCTCGTGCCAGCTTCAGACCATCCGAGTTGGCCAAATCTTGGTTGGCGGCGGTAACCGCAAGAATGATAGCGTTGGACTTTCCAATGTGCTTGAGAACCATCTCCCGAATCTGACGCTCGATATCGCGGGGTTGATCTCCGACGGGAACCTTGGTGAGACCAGGCAAATCGACCAGGGTCAGGGTGAGAACGTTGGGCGAGATAATGCGGAGGTTGATAGGAGCAGGAGAGATGCCGGCATTCTTTCCAACCTTAGCTTCTGTTTCCCGAGAGATTTCGTCTCGAATTTTGGAGAAGTCGTAGAACTTTTGTCCGGGGGCGTGAAGGAACTCTCCCCACTCGTCGGCGTTGGCCTGCTTGTCGTTGCTGGTATCAATCTCCTCGGAGGAGCCATTGCTCTGCGCAGGACGGTTGATGAGTTGAAGAACAAGGGGACGTCGGGTAACGATACCGGAGCCTCGGGGTAAGCTGGGACGGGCGGTCAGTGTTCATGTCCTTAAACACGCAAGATAGGCGGTATGCGATCAACTCACAAGTCTCGGCCGACAATATTCTCCAAGACTGAACTCTTTCCGCTTGACTGACTTCCTACGACGGCGATTTGAGGCAGATCGATAGGGTTGTTGACTCCAACGGTTGCGAAAACATCCTGAAGCTTGTTGACGAGTCTATCGATATAAGTTAGGAGATGGTACATCGGAGGATTACCGCAGAGCAGGGACTAACGTGATCAGGGCGGGATCAGAGATGCCACCCTGTGAAGCAAGGGTGCCGCTCATCTTTGGAGGTTCCTTTCCAACTTATGTATTGCTTAAGATATGCGGTTGGGTCGAGCCGGTTCGAAAGTGACAGGTAGGAGGGGAGCTAAGTTTCGGGAGAGCGGTCGGCGTAGAAGACGGCAGGATACGTTGTAGGCCTAAGTATAAGCGTTACAACAGCCCTGATATATGTCCAAAGTTTCCGCTAAGATAGAGAGTGCGGGTAGAAAAGCGGTCGGGACTGAGAGGTCGTGGTTTATGGGAAATACGTGGTGATGGCAGAATAAAGGAGGGACTCGCAAGACGACACCGAGTTCACGAGCCTAATGGCACTAAGAGTCGCACGCCGCATTACGTCCTTATGGGGTGCCACAAAGTGGCGCAGGGATGCCCAATCGTTTTGCTTTATGCAATTGGCCTAATCTTTCTCATGTCAAGTGCACACGTGACAATTCGGACTATGGTTGTGGCTGAATCATAGGTTGTCAAGATAATTCTGTAGCCTGGAGAAATCGTCAGCCTGTGATGTGTTTTTCATGGTTTAATCGGTTGCCTTGTTTTAGATGGAGAATGAGAGAGTTGTTGGCGATGAAGTTGTTGAGATGTGGCTGTTTAGGCAGCTGTTTAATACTGGAAGCCTCGATTCCCAATATTAGATATTGTATTGAACCTGAATATTGATTGATATTAATTGACAAGCATAAAAGGACGGCATATACGGAGGAGATGGCCTGGCCTGGACTAGGTAGACACTCGTCATACACAGCCATTCTGTTCGACCAAACGTAAATGTGGTAAACAAGCTCTGACCGTCTGATTATTTACATGAATACGAAACCACTTCAGACACTTATACAGATGAATGGGATCTGCTGGGGTCAACTCTGAACCCTTCCGAGTGACATAAGCGGGCAAAGATAAGGAAATAAGATAACCCTGTTAGTCGAAGCATACGCACGATGATCTTAAAATGGCGCCGATGAGGGGAAGTCTCGTGTGCATGAAGGATGAGTCCCTTCTGTAGGAGTAGTGGGTCGGAGATAGTCACAAGGGATCTTGACAAGAAGCTAAGATGCATATTGGGTAGAGGATAATGGCGGTGGAGGCTGCTTGAGTAGCTTGAGTAGTAATGAGAGAGGATCTTATATCTGAAAGGTTCAGTAATGAATATTCGTTCAAGTTCACAAAGTAAGAAGCCATCTAGATATCACAGCACATGCAATTCAAAGTATCTGAGGTTTTGGTGGTGACGATAGGACGGGAACAGGATCCGAACGTCATCAGTTAAGGCTGTAGTTGTAGTGGTGTGGGGGTGACACTGCATCCTGACTCCTGAGCCGAGGCGCTAAAGGACAAAAGACAGGGAAGAACTCACTTCCATACCTACCTATCCACGATCTTGCACTCATGAGTAGTTATGCAAGAGAATGTTCGGTTAGGATTTAATAATATTATTGAAGGTTCTTTGTAGGAGAAAAGCGTTTGATTGAGTAAACGGTTAAACCCTGACCTAACTTGTTGGTAGGTTTCAACTGTTGGAACCCTGAACAACTGTCTCATTACCTATAGTAGGTTAGTAGGTACATACAGAAGGACTGCATTTACTCCAGTGATGATGCTCTGATGCTCAGGTTAACTAACCACTAGAAACCATTTGTAAGTCCAGGGGCAAGGGGCGCTTTGCAGGTGAGATTGCGTGCGTTGTACACCATCCATACGCTCACTTGTATGGTGGTTAGCCATTAACTGTGGGTGACCTCACGACAGCCCCAGAGAGCTACCTACCTCTTACCTACAGTACATCTGCACGGACAGCAGACAGACAACCTGGAACTTCACCTCGACACACCCGAACACGACACGACACAACCACTAACATCAAACCTGTCTTCCTCAACAGCGATTCATTCTTCACTGCTCAAGACTTACTTGCTCTCACGAAATAACAAAAGCGGTTCTTTCTTGGCGCCTTCTTCCTTTCAGAAACGCATTGTCTCGTCACATGCACTTACCTCAGCCATTGACTCTCCAGAGAGCACCTTACCTACTTCCGCAACTATCAAGCGCCGCCAACCTCCACCTCCCGCTTCCAACCACTACCTACCTACCCACTATCTTATCCACTATCCACTATCTACCACCATCCACCATTCATTACATACATTGCATCGCATTACACTACACTTCAACACTCGCAGCCTTTCAGCATTTGAGCTTCCTTGCTCAAAAGCCTTTCTCAACCATTCGTTTCATCTGGCCAACAGCCAGCTTCTTGTTATAACCTAAATTCCACCGCCGCGGGATCCCGCGGAGAGGACGTCCTGGACTCCTCCGGCGAGCCATCGCACCCCAACCTCCACGGCAACTCGTCCAGTGATCTAGACACGCCACGACCCGTTGAGACTGCATCTAGTACTAACACACCAGCTTATATTTTCATCGCTTCCTTGCCTGATAGCTCGACCGCCCCCTCAAACCATCAACAAGACCAGAATCGAGCACGGTCTGGCATCGCGAATATAGGTTCTTCGACTGCCAACCTTGAACGACTTCCGGGTCATACACCGGCTCGGATCCTCGGACGACGTCAACGCTCGCCGGCTCCTGATAATCCTTTCGAGATCCATACCAACAATTCTGGAGCCCCCGAGGACGACCTCATCACCGAGCCACAAGCCAAACGACGAAGAGGAAACGACACGATGGGTGGGAGTGACACACTTGATCCCCATAATGGCGCTCCTCTAGGGTTTTATAACGGATCGAGTGAAGCGTCTACGGGGGTTACTAATGGTCACAAGAGTACCTTGAACGGATCAGCAACTCGAGATAAGAATAATACGGCCGCTAAAGGCAGCGAACGTCCCTTGAAATACTTTGGCCATGATCGAGAAGAGGTGACCCGGCTATTAATACAAGCCTTATCAGACATGGGCTATCGAACTGCCGCGGACAACGTGAGCCAAGAGAGTGGTTATGAGTTGGAGAGTCCTACTGTGGCCAGCTTTAGATCAGCTGTACACAGTGGCTTATGGTCCAAAGCAGAAGAGTTACTCACGGGTGCTTCTCATGAAGCTGATGGCCAAGGAAACGGGCTCGTGCTGGCACCGGGTACAGACCGGAATGCCATGAAGTTCTGGCTTAGACAGCAGAAGTTCCTAGAGCTCTTAGAACAGAGAGACACTAGTCGGGCTCTTATCGTGTTGAGGAGCGAGCTGACACCGCTCTCGCATGACACTGGGAAACTCCATTTCCTGTCAAGTCTCCTTATGTGTCGCTCTGTCGAGGACCTCATGACCAAGGCGGAGTGGGATGGTGCTCGCGGCCAGTCTCGGAAGCAATTACTCTCGGAGCTATCGAGTAAGTACTCTTACCACATCGGTTGGGCCCGTGCTAACAAAGCAAGAATGTATATCGCCTTCAGTAATGCTCCCGGAAAACCGTCTAGCGGTTCTTCTTGAACAGGTCAAGCAGAGTCAGATTGACACTTGCCTGTATCACACTGAAGCTTTATCGCCATCACTTTACTCGGATCACTTCTGTGACCGACGAAACTTTCCCACAGAGGTGGCACTGGACCTTACAAACATGAGTGGGGAGATCTGGCAAGTACAATTCTCCCACGATGGTTCAAAGGTCGCGGCTTGCGGTAGTGGCCACCAAGTCATGATTTGGGATACACACACGTTTGGTGTGTTGGAGGTCCTAGAAGATCACGACGATGGTGTGGGGAATATTTCGTTCAGTCCTGATGACTCCATGATTCTATGCTGCGCAAGAGACGGATCCGCAAGACTCTGGAATGTCAATGTGAGTTTTCACCTTCAACATCATTTACGTGGGAACGCTAATAGTGGACCACAGGGTGGGACTATAATCAAGAGATTCAAGAAGTTCGCCGAGCCTGTAAGCGGCTGCGTTTGGGCTCAAGATAGTCGATCATTGGTTCTTGGAACGCTAGATCCCAACTATAGCCTGCGCACTATAAGCCTGGATACTTTTGAAGAGTACGATTGGGGCAAGAAACACCGTGTCGAGGATCTTTGTGGATCGCTTGATGGACGTTGGCTCGTGGCCCTCGATAACCAACTCACCATTCACGTGTACAATGCATTGACACAGGAGCTGGAGTTTGACATGGAGCTGAAAGCGCGACCAACGTCGGTTAGCATCAGCCAAGACTGTCGACATCTTCTTGTCAACAAATGCGATGGTGAAGCTCAACTCATTGACCTCTTGACACGCAACTCAATCCAAAAGTTCTTTGGACACACAGGTGGTGAATATTTAATTCGTGGTTCGTTTGGCGGAGCCAATGAAAGTTTTGTTGTCAGTGGCAGTGAGGATGGGAACATCTTGATATGGCATAAGAACACTGGTGCAGCGGTCGAACGCCTGTATGGACACCACCCCCGTTGCAATGCTGTTGCGTGGAATCCAGTCGACTCATATATGCTGGCGTCTTGCGGAGACGATGGGCGACTCAAGATGTGGGTGCTCTTTGACGTGCCATAGGCAACTAACAGCACAGTTGAAGAAATAGCTAACAAAATCACAGTTGGTCCAACAAGACAGCCGGTCTCGAACTGAGAGCTCGCCATCAACAACATGTAACCCACTGGGGGAGAGATAGAGACGTGTAGGTGTTGAATTTGCAATTGCAATTGCATATGCAAAGGCAAGGTGATGTCAAGTTGTCTTCAGCCAGGACGGGCGTACTTTGTTTCCGGGGCCATAGATGGGTAGATGCAAGCGAGTGCCTGGAAAACGATGCAACAGGGGATTTATGACGCCAGCGTTATTGATATTATCATGGCTCAAGAAAGGCTGGGTAGTCTGGGTTATTGTTTCGGGCGTTGGGATTGCATGTTGGTTTACGAAGCGAAATACCGTACGTGGTATGTCTTGATTCACAGCTCCTCTCTGGTAATGTAGATAGCTTAACAAGTGTAGAAATCTCATCACTAATAAGTGCTTTACATCAACCTTGATTTGTTGTCTGTCAATCCTTAGCTCTTTCAAGGCGAGTATACATGGCTTAGATATGATTAGGCTTGCTGCTCCGTATTACGCTCATTGCCACGACCCTCAATCTACTCCAGTACAACATGTGCATACGGGGTGCTCTAGGAAATATGCTAAGGGGAAAAAAGTGAGATTCTTGAAATAAGACTGTGGCATAATTAGAAGTACTCTCGGCAATGCCACTGTCTCGCATGATAGACTCATAGAGTCGGGGTACAGCCAGACTATATTGCTCCATCAAACTTAAACAACAAGTTGTATTATGTGTTCTACTCCTACCGACGCAAGGGAGGTTAGATAGACCGGTTCAAGCTACTGAATACAAGATGGATCCAGTGCCGTGAAGCAGCTGAGCCAGGCCGGGTGGAGTTGTGGTGGAGAGGGCGGGCTGAGGTACCTGGTTTATTAGTGGAAACCCCTCCTATATATTCTTAACAGATCCAGTTGCTCGGAGCGAGTGAAGGAAGAGGAAGCTAGGCCCCAGTTGGAAGAACCCTCAGTACCTGCATGATTTGCTTGACCTTGGAGCAACTGGGACCAGGGCAGACGGGTGATGGGCGTGTTAAGCACGGGATGGCACGCCATTTGTGCATTATAGAGATCGATGCCAGGCTCATGGTAGGCACTACTGCACCTGTATCACGCTTCAACAGCCTCAGAAACTGGGAAATCTCTGCTGTGGAGTGGCATGGAACGATTGGGTAACCATGTTCAACGGTCAACCGGTCGGTCGGTCAGAGCCACGAGGCTGTGTTAAGCGGTCAGGAAGGGGGGATCTGGAAAGTGTTGGGACGACCGGTAGCTTGGGGGTTGCTAGGACGATGTTAAGCGGTGATACAATGGTGATCGAGGGTGAAGCCCGTGGAGGTTTCAGTTGTCTCCCCCTTTGTGTGGTCGAGAAACTGTCGAGTCGGTCTGCGTATACTTCAAGACCCAATAATGAGACATACCATCTCCGTACAATATCTTCTTTGACGACAAAGACCACAACGATAACTATACTAGGTCGTCGATAGCGAGTGGAATGAACAAGTAGGCTGGTGACATGGCTTGCGTGTTGTCCAAGACCGCGTTTATTCGGGAATCCATCGGCTTCAGAGCATCACCAGCCGCAAGTCGTCTGAAATGCCGGAAAGATCAAAGTCTGCTGCTATGATCGTCCGTAACTTGGAAGTCCAAGAGCGTAACATCTGTGTGGGGGTTTCCCTGGCATGGTCAAGGCTTGTGTCCGTCTCCTTGGGCTTGACTTCCTTTGGGACCCTTGTCAACCACTTAATTAGCCACTTGAGCGACCCCTGCCATCGAGCCATGCAAACACTAAGACCACAGGACCATTATCATCCCTGACGCTAAAGAGAAAGGCCAGAAGGACGTGCGCAACCGCAGCGGGCAAGGAGCAAACAAAGGGCCGAGGCAGCTGTGGTTTTGCTGTTACCGAAAAGAAGGGGAAGAAGACGCTTCGAAATTGGGGATACAGTTCATGTTCGTCAATGAGGCTGAGTCGGGAAAATTATGTATGGTTCTTGGGGAGAAAGAATAGGGGAATTACCGTCAGTCTGTTTCGAGCCAGGGGCCTTGTCCTTATCCTGGCCATGGAAACGTCTCGGTAGTTAACGGTTTTCTCAAACTGCACTGCACTGTATTCCTTCCCCTGTTAGTGGGCGGAATGATGACCACTTCAGGAACGGGACGTAAAGAAGCCGTATTGATGTCAAATATCAAGATGTCACATCAAACGCCTGACATAGCAGCTAAGGTTTTGTAAGACCAGGAACGGCCGCCCACGGCTTAGCTACTCTATCAGTGAATGTTTGTTTGCTTGTTTGCAAACGACAGCTCATGTGAGCGGTCAGACCCTGTTTGAAGTAGACACAAGGTTAAGTCCGTGCTTATCGGAGCTTTAAGTGCATCCTATACGGATACACATGTATCTTGCATATGGCGGCTCATCTCGCTCCAGAGGCAGTTTTGTTCGAACTCCACAACATCGTGATCAAGGATGATTCTAGAGGCAGTCAGTGGAGATGAACCAAGTCATAGCCGATGCCGAGGTACAAAGAGTCTGTTGCACCTTAGCTTGACTTGCCTAACGTTAGCATTAGGTGATGGCTAGATCTGAGGTTAAGACGGGATGGGCCGGCGCGCCGCGTGTAAAAACTCATGACACAGTATATCCGATAAAAGGTCCCCAATATTGGGACATGACATCCATTGACATGCTACCTGACAAGGTCGCGAGGTTACAACACCAAAGGCTTAGTTCTCAGTCAGTGCTGACCACCACAAATACTCGAGTCTTTGAGAAATGCTGAGGATGTCATTGTGTTTGATTCAGATTGAAGTTGTAATCTAACTTTTATGATATCGCGGAAAACGTCAGCCGTCCAGTCCAGTCCAGTCCAGTCCAGTCCAGCAGCTGTCGAGTGTGACATTTGACATCCCCCCGGTTATTTCTTTTTCCCTCACCTGGGATAAAACGTGTCGAGCAGCGAACCGTCTCAGGTCTTTGCTTTTTAGATTCCTGGGGGATCCATGCTTGGTATGACATGTCGCACATCGCCTGTAGATTATTGCCGCGCCACGACAAACGTCAAAGCACAAGCACAAGCATGGGCGTGGGCACACGGGCCTGGCGCTATGAGGTTTTCCCCTTATTCTTTTCTTTTTTCTCCCTCATCCTTAGCGGGAGGGGCCATCATGATGTCGATGGTACGGATAATTCTTCTTGAGTTAAAAGCACGCACAGATCGTACAGGGTTGTGAGTGTCGCTGGGACCGATCGGCGTCGGGAGTCCCTTAAAGATGCGAATAAACGGAGTACGGATACGCGCGAGTGGTCACACGTTTTGGGAGTGGCATAATGATGGGCCCACTGTAATTAATGAACCACAGCTGTATGTTGTTGTTACTGAAAGGAAAGAAATCCATTTTAGTGGTGACAGTGGTAGAAGAGCAGCCCATCAGATCAACTGTGGCTTATAAAAAGGAGAGAATCTAATGCAGCCATTGCACACGCAATCTTGGCAGGAAGGAGTGACCCTGAGTCGTGCACCCTCCAACCCTGCACCTACAGGCTGCAGCCTTCGACCTGCAAGAAGGGACGACAGCCGTACTAGGTATCCATCGCTGAGAAGTGGAAGTAGAAGTGGAAGCCTTCTCTCTCATAGGTACCTACAATCAACCCCCTGAATTATTGTAACTGGGTGACTTCCTCCACAGGGACGTATCTCACTAACCAATTATGCCTTATGTCATCATCGCCGCCTGTTACTAGAGATGAGGAAAAGCAATTATATACAAGCGCCACTTAAAGATACCTCTTTCTAACTATAGGTTATAGTAGAGAGTAAGTATCTTATGTATTGATTGTCTTAATGCCCTTTTCTTATTCGTTATTATCGTCTCCGCAAGTCCGCAGGTTACAATAATTCAGGGACTGAATTGTATATAGCAAGTTGGAGCACACTGAAGAGGGGCATATCAGTGCCCGGGGAACCTTACCAGTTGTTCACTGTCATTACTTTACAACGTTGGGAGGTCTGTATGAATAAATTTACAAGAATCGCTCACTGCATCAACATATACTGATTGTTGTTGTAAAGAAAAAGCCTGGTAATTGGTTAATAGACGTTCAGTGGACTATCGTACCATCTTTCAGCGATCCACCCCGTCTACCCGAGTCAGTTTTTCGTCTGCGATGACTGCTTCACTTACAAACCAACCACCAACCACCAACTATCTACGCAGTAGTCTCTCAAATGTTATCCATATATGGAAGCTTACATATTACTGCAAGCACGGTTTATCCCTCCACCCTCTCTCTATGCAGTCCTGCAAGATCTATGTAATACAACCCACTCAGATCTGCTTCTCCTTATTTGTGCCTTAGACGCTGTAACATCTCAATAATGCCCGGGCGGTTACGCTCAGTCCTCCCACCAAGAAAACCAGCTTTGGTGTACCTGAGCTAAACCAAAAGCTTGTGGCCAGGACGGAGTACAGACCACTGCTAGTATTATCTCAGTACGGAGTAACCAATACCTACCTATATTATTGGGGTCAACGGAAGAGCACTGTATCGATGTTAGCAGCGTTGCTTTCGTCTCTATCCCAGACATACGCACATACTAAGTTAGGTAATCTCGCATGACTCCTGGTCGTAAATAGCCGATTACGCGATACCTTCCTTCCTCTGTAGTCTGTACCTGCCTTAGCACCAGCCCACCCGCATCACCCCTCGCTCTTGCACTCCTCTCACAGGTGGGGTCTCGCTCTAGTGAGCCTAGTAAGGTCAACCTCGTGCTAACCATGGATGTCTCATCCTGCGAAGGACAAGCTAAGACCATCTCATCATGGTGCCCCCTCCCTCCCGCATCCGTCCCATCTCCCATCTCTCCTGGCCGTGGGTGATGGACCATCTCTAACAGGGGCCGGTCCAGGTCGGTTAAACAAGTCCAATCCAATGGAAGAAAGGAAGAACAGACGGAAAGGAGCCAAACAGGAACCAAGCCAACACGGCTAACCAATCAGTCTATCTATCAATTAAGATCATCGGATGCCAAACAAATCAAACTGGACTCGCAGCTTTTCATCCTCCATCATCAAGACAACCCTTTCGCTCGTTTACGTTTCCATCCTTATTCCATCCGTTCCTCCTCAGACAGGACAAAGTTGACAAGATACCTGACTACGCAATAACTCACTTGTAGGCAGTGTCCTCCTCCTTATCTCGGCACTGTACTGATACTGATGCCTGTAGGTTGTACCCGAGCAATCTGCCCTGCTGTCCGTCTCCGTCTCCGTCTCCTTCTCCGACCAGCTGCCGAATCTTCCATTTTCCGGCCGAGTCCCCTTTAGGTTGCTTTACACTTCTGGTTGCCACCAACATCATTGGATCTTTCGACTCTTCTAGTTTTCTTCTTTCCATTCCACGTCAACGGTTTTTTTTCGGCTTCGTCTCTTGGTGTACTCATGTTGGTGTTCGGTTGGCCATCTTTCGATATCGTGTTTCTTGGACCCTGTTTACTGTCCGGTCCCCTGATTAGCTCCTGCTCATGATCCAGTACTCATGATGCGACTGTGATCCTATCCGCTTGCTTGCTTTCACCCTTCTCGTTTAATTCGACTCGAGACTCGACTGTGGTTTTGCGTTTCGCCTATTCTTTTTCGCGCCCAGACCATCATAATGGACAACTTGGAAGGAATGCTTATGGTGCCTCCCGAACGAGGCCCAATTCTTGGTAAAGCTGTTTGGAAGGTGGGTTTCCTCGATCGCTCAGTCCACTTGCTTCATTCTCGTGCTTTCTACTGACACTAGCATAAACAGTTGCGATATGTTGTCGTCGGAAGACGTGCCACCAGAATTGGCCCTAGTCAATCGCAGTCAATATCTAACGGTCGTAATAACAGCCTCGGGGGCAGCAGATCTTTCCCCAAACTGCCTATAGAGGAAGCCTGTATATTCATTTACAAACATAAGGTATGCAACTTTGAGCTTTGTTGTGCCCACTACTCCCCTTTCATACTCGTGCTATTCGGTATTGACCTTTGTAATTACAGGACGACACCGAGCCTAGCCAGCAATGGCTATTGAGCACTATTACGGACTGCCAGGTACAACAAATCACACATCGCAAACAGGGTCCTGTTCTTCCTACTCTTGTGGTATCTATTGCCGATAAAGAGAAGAAGAGACGTTCAAGTCGGGCTGCCGGTTTTATCTCTTCGAGCAAAGATGCAAACGCAACGACTCTATGGTTTCGCACACCCTCAGACGATCATCATTTAAGTTTACACGAATGGGCGCGCAACATTCTTTCCAGGAAGTCTCCTATGAGCCCAGCAGAAAGCCCAATGTCGCCCCAATTCTCCAATCCGTTTTCGTCCATGTCTCGCGATGCCTCCGATTACTTCTCCCGCCCCAGTAGTGGCCACCGATCCGGCCGCTCTGATCCACGAAGTCTTCAGCATAAGAGTTCTGTGACTACTCAATCGACAGCCACCACCACCACCACTACTAGAGAGCGACCCCTCACATTCAGTTCCGAATCACCCAGTTTAAGATCGAAGCGAAGCGACATTTCTTCTCCCTCAAGTAATAATTATCCGATTCAGCAAATGAACTTCCCGATTCCCGGCCAGCACTACACCACAGTCCTTCCAAGTGATCTGCCATCTCCTGTCAACACCACGAGTGATTATCGAGGGGAATTCATCGAAGGCTGGACCTCTGCCCAGGGAAGAGCATCTACGATGAGCTCACCAATTCGAGGTCGTGGCAGTATCAGCTCTCAGCCTCCACATCCCTCCATCGCTGGAATAGAATCGAGCTCTCCCCCTGGGCCTCGCGAGACCATTCTAGACAGAGCGTTCCAGATGCGCTGCATTCCTGGATCGGAGAAAGAGGTTCCTGGTGAAGAGAAGCTGAGCTCTTTAGCTCGGTTTGATGCATTGATGCGAGAAGCTGATGGCAAGATAAAGCTGAAGGAAGAAGCTGAGCGAGCTCAACAGTTGGCGATGCGTAGTGCTTTCGAGGCGTCTGAGAGTTCCAGCGAAGATGACGATAGTGATTCTGATGATTCCGATGAGGGTGCATATGGCCGTATTCCCGATCGACGAGGGCCAGCCTTAATACCCCCAACAACACAACGGGCTCTGCAGTTTATTGCTGATCGTGGTGACCCAGCACCATTGTCACCCTCCAGTCGTTCTTCAGTATCCAGGACCCCAATACCACAACAGACTCCGCCCATCCGACCACATACTGCGCACGCAAAGATCCGGCCAAGTCCTTCACCAAGGACAAATAGTACCCCCCAGTTGATTGCCAGCATGGCTAAGCTGGAAATGACAGCACCCAACAGTAAGGTGTCTGATGATTCCTCTGTGCGGTTGAGTGCAGACAAGCGTCTGTCCACCTCGAGCACTGCTACGAAAAGGTTGAGTTTTACCGAGTTTACCAAAAGATTATCGAGCACCAGCAGCTTACTGTTCGTCCAGACGAACGCTAGTGGGGGGAGTTCCCGGTGAAGCAGCGAGGTCACCTTCCAGCCCTCGTCCCTTTCACGTAGGACGTTGAGTCCACAAGAACCCGCACCGTCCCTTCGAGACCGAGACCCAGATCGAAACCGAAGTCGAGAGTTGGATGACCACATCTTGAGGCGTGGATGACGTGGTAGCGTGAGCGTCACTAGTAGGGAGAGGGTTTATTACAAGCTTGCCGACTAGAAACCTTTTAGGTCTCGCATGTTTGGACGATCACTTGGCAGTCGACCATTAACACAATCAAAGGCTTTGTGACGCTTGTGGGGTGCATGGCTCGACACTTTACTGCAACGCGACTGCATGAGACGAGGAGATGGCCGGGTTTTGTGCAATTTAGATGCTTTGCACGATTCTGACACCAAATGATAGCATCGTCATGACACTTATGATGGAGATAGTGGGACCATTGGTTACATGGCCCTAGGCGTTTTCTGTTGACGGCCGACATTTTGTCTCCGCAGGCATGGATCGGTGTTTTTGGCCTTTGGGCGATCATTCTGGCATTCATATACTCCTCTCGTGGCCATTGCTACGGGATTTGGGTGCGATGAGACAGCATACTACAAATATTGCTCATCATATATGTATCTGCCTTGCTTCATACAACGGTACACCGAGACATTAGACAAGCATCCAATATATCTATAAATATGTCTTTTACCATTAACACTAGGGTCGTGACATATATTGTTTTGAGAACAAAATCACCGGATTGCTTATTAGGGCCAATCTGGCTCAACTGTGTTCTTTTCCTTATACGGGTTCTTCCGCGATATTTTATTATTGCTCGCGAGGCGTTCTGCTCTCGTGCTTTTATCTCTCATGTAGTCAATCAGCTGTATTCGCAAACCCTTTTGGGCCTTGGTATCCTTTTGTAAATCCCATCCAGGTCCCCTTTCACACCGTAGCACCTCGACACTCCGTGGCCCCTTTTCATCATATACATGCCTCTCATTACGACAGCGGAGCTTCCGCATCTTATCGGATGTACTGGGCAATGGCTTGTTGCTCCTCGGGGCTTAGTCGCTCACCGATGAAGCGTTCAACAGCGCCACCATGTCGCTGGTTCGCGCTGACCATGTACTCCTTTACCCACTTGGTAACATCGAGAATCTCTGGGAAATCGTCCCTGGCCGCGACCTTGCAAGTGTTGAGCGCAGTAAATGACATGCCGAAGCCAATGTCATCAACATCTGCTTCAGCAACAACATCATCACCAGCACCAGCACCAACAGTAGGAGGATTGACCAGGAGCGAGAGAAGTTTGCGGCAACTGTTGGCCCAGCCCTTCTGGAACTGTTGAGCGAATGATTGCGAGTCGCACAATGTCTTTGTCAGGGAAACAACTGCGACCTTTCGGTCTACAGGACGAGCGAGCTTCTCTGTCTCAGCGAGGACGAAGCTAGGGTAAACCTGGGTAAAGACACCTGCATCAACCAAGTTGGACTGCTTAATGAAGTAGTCGGCTCCATAGCCCGCCTCGAAACGAGCAGACACAAGGTGATAGAAGCGGACGAAGCGGAACTTAAACGACTCAGCAGGGGATCCTTGAAGCTTCGTGTAGATAAGTCTGAGGATTGTGACAAAGTACTGATCTAGAACGGCTCTATGATGGTGGGTTAGTCGCTATTTTTTACGAGAGGTAGAATCATGCTTACGGCTCAAATGTTTTGACAATGGAATCGAGGATGTCAAAGGCAAGCACGTCCGATTTCTTGGTGCTCAGAAGCTTTTGGAAGATGCCCAATACAGGCTCAAGCTGGTTCTCCGCCTGGATCGCCTGAGAGGCCCGGGGAATAACAGCCGACAGAAGACGGGTGCAAGCTGGGACGTTACCTCGAGTCTCCCAAAGAGTAGGGTTCAATAGGGGACCCAGTAGCGCCTTGTAGTTGTCTGAAATTGTTTCAGATGGGCTAGACTCAAGCAACTGTGCGAGAACTTGGAAGACATATTGCATGAATTCTGGTGGCGTGTCAGTATGAGTCGTAAGCAGCTTAAAAGTGACGATTCGACTTACCCGTGACATCCTCGACCAGGATCTGGTGAAATGGACCCCACAGCTTCTCGTTGAAGAGGGCCGCATTGCTAGGAGCAGAGTAGCGGACAAGAGCACCAATTGCCTCGAAATGGTAGTAGTAGAACCGAGGGTTGCTGGGGTTCTGCTTCATGACATTGGTAATGAGGACAAGATGGGTCAAGACATTGTCTAGCAGAGGAATAGCACCATCCTTGATGACAATCAAAATTCTCATGACACAGCGCATCAAGAATTCGTTCTCCTGAAGCTTAGCCGGGCTGGACTCTTTCTCAATGAGCTTGAATAGGTGACCGAGAAGATCCTTAGCAAAAGGCTCAATGTCAGCACGGGGAAACATGGCGTTACCGGCATCATCTGTAAGGAACAGGACGCGCTCCACAGCGATAGCAGCATATGAGTAGACGACGTAGTTGTCCGAGTTCAGATTCTGGATAAGGGGGCCCAGTGCCACCTTCCATTGCTCCTTGGACAGCTGGCTCCGAAAAGTGTAGAGATACTTGATGGCATCAACCTTTGAGATAGGCTCAACACCCTGCGAGTTGATGAGATCCTGGGCAATGTGTTGCTCGAAGAACTCAACGACGTTAACAAGAGGGTTAACAGTCTTGACACCTTGGGTAGCAGTGACAGCACCCTTGGCAGCAATAGAGATGAAAAGGTAGATAGCGGTATCCTTAGCCTTCCAATCGCTGCTACCCTGGGACAGGTAGTGGCTAATGTACTTGGAAACCACTGTAGTAACAGGAGCCTCAAAGCGTTCCTGAAGCTTGCGGAGAAAGTCGGTAGCAGATCGTCGTCGTGAATCTGTGTCAGAGCCCTCGAGGTCTCTTCGAATGAATTCGATCGGCTCATCTTCGAACAACTCAAGATCCGACTCGCGGAGCGCCACGTTTGGCAGAATGACCTTCTCCACAATCTGAGTCAAAACATCTTCGCTGTTGAAGATGCCAGAGTGTTGTGCAGAGGAGGCGATGGCAGTCAGGAAATGCAAGGCCTTGCTGACAATAAGGTCGTATTTGGTTTCGGGGCCAGTTGAGGACAAAAGGTTCCACGCCTTCTCGATGAAGGGCTGGCAATATTTGGAGAAATCCTCGTCGTACTTGACGGTAAAAAGCTCAAGAACCTCGCAGATATCAGCCTTAACCGTATCGACTATGCTCGTCTCGGTCTCGTCGTCGGTCTCCAGCAGCGGGTTGGAGTATGAAAGATACTTGTGAAGGAGTTCGGAAATACTGCCTAGGTTCTCGTCGAATATAGGAGGGAGATCGTGGCAAGACATATCGTGCAAGATCTTGATTTGAAGATCCAGAGCCTCGAACCAACCATGCAACACATCTTTCTTGTCATTGTTCTCGGCAATCTTTTTATCGGTTGTCTAATGCGCGGCAATCATCAGTATGGTGGAAGAACAGACTCTTATCCTTAATACTTACCACAAGAAGCTGAACAAAGGCCTGTCCAAATGTTTCAATCACATGATTGATCTCCATATAGAGCTCGTCCGTTCGGAACAAGGGTCGCCATCTGACAAAGATGGAGTGTGCAACTTCGAGAACACCAACGTTGACCTTGGGGTCGGTAGCTGAAAATCGGCTGACGAGTTCCTACGTTAAATAATGTCAGCACATGGATGGTAAACTGTGGCAGAACGGGTGGAAACACACCTGTGTAAGGGTATCCCAGCGTCGCCAGAAATCAGAATCTGCAATAACGCTAATAGCGTCACCGAGCTGAGCCTGGATATTGGCTGGTGACGAAATCATAAGGCCAATAAGGCGCTCCTTGATAACTTGAACCTCATTTTGAGGCAGCTTGTAGTTGCCTTCCTCGTCCTGTATAAAATCGGTGATTTAGCATTTTGAGGGATGGTCGATCGATGGACAGGACGTACCACATAGTTTGTTCGGATAAAGTTCTTGAAGGCCAAGGCAGCGGCGAGTCGGGTCTTTGACGGTAGAGTGTCGGAGCTGACAATGTTGAGAAGACTGAGAGAGTACTGAGGCTTGGTAGCCTCTTGCTTGAGGGCGTTCTCAGCTGTTGGTGATGATTGTTTATTAGCTTCCAAAACCGCGGGGCAACGATGAGGTGGGACAGGCAACGGGTAAAGTAAGTACCTTTACGATGCTCTGTAGGATCAAGAGTTGCATCGAGAAGCTGAGCGATCTGACCAATGTCGGCCGCCATGATGAGAATTTGTTGAGGAGAAGAGTTCGTACAGTGACAAAGGTAGAAGACGAAAACAGGAAAGGAAGAAGCGGTGGTGATGGAGCAGGACAAAGGTATGGAGGTTACAACTAGAGGCTGCAGTTTTTGGTTGATAAACAAATCAAAGCTTGAGCGGCTCTATTTTTTTCTGGGCCTCCACTGGCGGGATGCTGTGGCTGCCTGGATCCAATAGATGGCCTCAAAACCATGAGCAACAGGCTAACCCAAGGCAAAATAGAGCTGCATTTGATGAGCTCCAGAGCTATAGGCCCCTAGGTAAGCTCAGAGACGGTACAACGCCCAGGGCAGTTAATATTAGTCGGTTGGTTGCCCAGCAAGATGACCCGTACTTAGAAAATCAACGCTGACAGTGAAGTTGAGGATAGAGTGACAATGGAACAACCTATGCATAGGTAAGTATAGGAAAGTTGGTTTATATCAAGGATTGTTTTCAGGCTACTTATCAAGGTGATGAACAATTAGATATAGACTGCAATTCAAGTCGCAACTAGGTAAATCGCAGAGGTAATCTAAGTTAGTACCTACTAAGGTAGTAAAGCACTTAACATCGTGTCACCGCCTGTTTGCACAGGCAGATTGAGATAACACATCCTTTTTTTATCAGCTCAGATGTACATTGGTACTGATATAAAAACGCTTAACAACAATGGAATCATGCCATTGTTTATCGTAGGTAGACAAGGAGAAAATATCTTGACAAGGTCCGACGTGAAGTAGTTATCAACTTGTCCAGGATGGGCTGTAATTGTATTTGCGGAAGAGCCTATAGAGTATCTGGTCTGATTCTATGACGGTCTAAGATAGTACTTAGGCAATAGAGACGATCAGCACATCTGAGTATCATTGGTATTCGACAGCGCTGAACAGCCTCTCGTTCTCAGGATCAGCTTTAACACATGCGCCTGGATACAACGTTTGACCAAACAAATACAAGACTGCAGGTAAGCTGTAGCTAAGAAATAGAACCCATCCATGCTCTCCCATCTACGGCTTCAAGGCACAGGGTCCTCATATTGTTCGGGATTGGCGCGATTGACCTTCTGTACCTTACCGCCTACAGCTTGGTGGCATGGCGTACATGGCATCCCTGGGCCGTTCGCGTGCCTCTCTTCAAAGCAACCATTCAAAAGCGACCAAGGGGTCATTGACTTGGCTTAGGTAAAGCAGAGACTGAGCTCCCATTAGCTAGAAGCACATATACGTGATTGTCCCTGCTGAATCGATCTGCCCTGCATCTAGGTTAGGCAGGTTGACTTAGTACCTGCGGCTGTACAGAGAGGTACCTAACGTTAGTTGTCCTTCATGGGTCCCTAAGGTTTCTACCGGCGCAAACTCTCTGCCAACTTAATGGAACTACCATCACGTCGTTCCAACCTCTTTCTTCCACTGTTTCTGTCTCTTTTCTTCAATATTTTCTCCTTCTCCAGCCTCGTCTCATCTCGTCCCGTCCCATCTTGTCTTATCGCCTCGCTTTGCTTCCCACATCTCTGTTCGTAATCCAATCAATGATTGACCGCCTCATGCGCTAGCCCGTGCTGTCTTTTTGCGTCTTCCGGCCTCTCACCTTTCCACTGTATCCCGCCGACCTGCCCGCCTGGCAGTCTCCCGCCCCGCCGTGTGGTGCCATACCGGATCTCCGTCCACCTCCGCGCCATTGGATCCCAACTTATCGCTATCAATCATTCTAGTCTACCGACTTGGCTTCGACAATACACCTTCCCGACTACGCTGCGACGTCATCAACCGATTCTGTCTTCGTCTCCTGATCATTTAATGACCACGCCTTATCCCGTGTCTATCCACAACCTCCCGCAGGTCCATCTTAGACCTAGGTAGCACATGTTTCGCTGGTGAGACTCGCCTGCACCGTCTATCCATCTTGTACTTGCATCTGCACCTGCACCAACACCCAACACCTAGCACACTACATCCGAGACGCCGTTCCATCTGTTGCGCTCGTACCCACGATAAAAGACAGTTCACTTGTTTTATCTTGCCTTGTCTCGTTTAACCGCCCCGCCGAGCCTCTAATAAGCTTGTTCGATTATTTGCGTGCCCACCAGCAATCGCCAATACTCATCGCCTGCCTCACATTGCTTTATACTTCAAATCAGCCGACCTATTCTGCCCTACCGATGACGGATATTTCAGTGCACAGGCTTCAGTTCCTATGCTAACATGCTGCGCCGTCTAGCCTCACTTAGTCACCAAGACTCCAACGAGACTCCACACGAGCACATGTCACCGCAGCCAGGAGATGGTCAATCATCCCCAGATACGTCCCGTCAGGGTGGCCTTGCCCATGTTCTGCGAGGCCTGACAAGCTCCAAGCTCTCTAAATCGTCGCCGTCTATAGCATCACCTTCGTCTACAACCGCTCTACCGACTGCCGAGTTCGTCCATGCTCCTCTTTCAGCAACTTCTACGAACCCACCCTACGGGCTATCCTCTAGTCATATGGAATCGTTTGAGCTTCTCAAGAATGGCTCCCCCAACGAGCGTATCACTGCTGCCAACTCACTGAAGTACGCGATCGCCGAGTACCCTCTGAACCCGGTTTTGGATATTTGGTATGCTGCAAAAGACCTTATCGATCCTGCAAAGCCTGCAGCGGCACGAACAGCTGGTTGGGAGCTCTTGACAGAGTGCGTGAAGCATGAGGCTTCTTCAGACCTTGAGCGCCAAGAATATTTTACAACCCTATCAGCTCCCGCAAACTCAGAGGATTTCCATCTACAATTGGCCGCTCTTGTGGACCTCACTCGACGGGGCCGAGTCTTAACAGGCTTCGATTACGAACTTGTTCCTCTGCTGACCGGTTGGCTATGGGAATCGTACAACGTGGTGCGCGCAGCTAGGAGGAAAGTGTCCAGAAGTTCGAAAGGCTCGTCCCGAAGTAAAGTTGTAGCTTCTGGTGAAGAGAAAAATCTTGCTCAGCTATTCAATTTTCTCATCGACGTCATCAAGTTCAGCTTCAATAATGCAGACGAATCAGCTGTGACAGCATTAATCGACCGGTTATTGGCTATTTGTATGAGTACCAGTGTGGAAGAAGATCTGAGATCGAGCATTGCAGTTATTGATGCCATCGTGACATTTGGGTCTATTCCGGACGACAAGCTCAAAGGTTGTGTTCAAGTACTCAGCTCTATATATTGTATGGTGGGAAGCCTCCAAAAGGACGCCTGGAACACGATTTCGAATCTGTTCAAAAGCCATAATGGACAGGCGACCGTTCGCATTCTTCTCGACATTTTGCGAAACAACCCTGCCGATAGAGCCAAGGAGAAGGATACCAACAGAGAACTACGCGGCGCCCTAGCCGTACTGCAGAAACTCCTATCCAAAACCCCCGAGAATGGTTACCCTGGTGTTCCTTTTGCATTGCTGGCCGACGGACTTGCTACTATCGCGAGATCTGGAACATTCATCAAAACTTCGACTGCAGTTCTCCAGCTTCTCAACGCACTCTTCGACGATGGAGAGGGAAGCATGCATCGCTTGATAATCGACGAGGACTGGTCAGTTATCCTCGAGGCTGCCGCAGCTTGTTCCAAACGAGCAGTTCCTGGACCACATGATCTTGACGGCTCTCGTAGCCCTGTAAGGGAGGACAAGCCTGAGGAAGGACTCAGCCGAGAACTCATCATTCTCATCAAACGGCTTGACGTACTGATCAACCAAAAGTCAGAATTCTTTGTCCCTCGGGCAACCGTCGTTTCCTTTCTTACCGAGGTCCACCAGTTCCTCCCCGATGGAACTGCATCATCAGTCTTGAACTACTTTCAACAGTTCAGATGTTGCTCTCCATCTGACCTTCAATGGGAAGAGAACCTGGCCCTGGTTCTCAAAGGATTCTTCGGCAACAGAGACCGATCATCTCAGATCAGGCTTCGGGCACTCGAGACGATCATGGATGCTTACGAGGTTGTGGATTTGGTGGGCGATGATCCTGAAGAGAGCTTCATTCCCCAATTGGCCAAGAGCGTTCTTCAAGATGTTGCCGAAGAAACGGATGTAATTGTCCTCGAGGGCATCATGTCGCTCATGGTTTCCGTGGTGGTGTCTTGTGATATGGAACTTTTCGATTATATCGTTGATGCTCTCAGAGGTATCGTGATTGGAGACAGGCTCAAATCACCGATGTCGGTACCGCCATCTCCCATTCCGCTCACACGTGCATCTTCCGATGATCGCTTGCCTCCTGAACAATCACCATCGAACGTGGTGGCTAAAGGCTATGTCAAAATGTTTGTGCAGACCATGGATTATGATGGTGGAAAGTCTTTGAGGTTATACCATGCGCTGGTCAACATTGTTAAAGCGAACCACTGTGAAGTGGATGCTCGCTTGACCGCCATGAAGCTCTTGTTCAGGCTGCGTGCTGACTGGGCTAACCGCATCTTTATCACGAAAACTCTTGAGACTAACTTCGTCGCCCCCAATTTGTGTCGAACCCCCGAGAGCTATGCGAAGAAGCAGGCCGAAGAGGCTGCGCAGTCTTTGCGCCTATTAAGGAATGAACATGGTGGATCTTCCAAGTCTGCGCGTGGTATTCCGTTCGGTCAAGGACAAAACCACGAAAGGGGGATGCCGATGCGGTCTGCAAGTGTAGCGGCTGGCAGTGGTCTGGTGGGGAGCACTGGTAGTGCAGGTCGGTACTATCAGCTTTGGAGCCTTCCTGATCCCGATGCTCTTCCTGATTCTGTCATGGGTGTCTTTAGTCCGATTCTGGTTTCATGTCATCCCGTCTCTGAAGAACAGGAGCCAATGGATGAGTCTGGAAATCAAAGCGTTTCTGGTACTGGCGCTCTCGATGTCGCGATCTGGCTTGAGGCAGTCCTTAGTCTGTTGCATGGTTGTGATTGGGAAGTTTACAGTTTTGCGCTGGTTCATCTTCCTTCGCAGCTAAGTAATCATGCAATTTTCAGCAGCGCGATTCCTCAGATCCAAGGGCTTCGAAGGCTTATTTGCGAGCAAATCCGGACAAACTCCTTCCAAGAACCACCAAACGTCTCTGGCCTGAGGCGGGCCGATGTGGCAATCTGCCTTTTCCACAGTCTGACCATGATCCTTAGTTATCATGATCACTTTCAAAAGGGGGACGAGGACGAGATTGTCAAAACATTTGTACACGGTATCGCCACTTGGGAACGAAGTGCAAAGTGCTGCATCCATGCTCTGTCTATATGCTGCCACGAACTGCCACTTTCTACTAGCAAGTCTTTGGTGCAACTGTTGACCAAGATGGCTACCATCATTACTCAACCCCATGTTTCGATCCATATCCTCGAATTTTTGGCTTGCCTCAGCCGTCTACACCATGTGTATGTCAACTTCAGAGAAGAGGAATACAAGATTGTATTTGGTATATGTATTCGATATCTCCAGTCAGTGAGGGATAAGAAGGGCTCCAATAGGAATAGTCATGCCAGCGAACCTTCTACTCCAGCCAACTCAACACCCAGTCTCTTGGATGCCGTACATCCAAGTGCAACGGATGACCTACCGCAATACGTGTATGCATTGGCATATCATGTAATTCTCTTTTGGTTCCTTGCGTTGAAGCTGCCTGATCGCGCCAACTTAGTTGGATGGCTTGTCAGAAACATATACAGCGAAATCGAAGACGGTCACACAGATAACGAGCAGGCACTCACCTCGATCGACTTCATGCAAAGATACACATATGCCGACGTGGAAGAATCTTCTCAAGACCCTCTCTTTACTCCAGACCGGTTCGGTGAGATTATAAAGAAGAGATGGCTAGTTGGATACAGCATTGTTACTGTAAGGCAAGCCACAACCACTGGCTGGGCTCAGATCGTCAAGAGACAACCCTCCGGTACCTCGGCATTTACAATTCGAGAGACGTTTGATCCACCACCACCTCATCAGACGCCTAACTACGTGGACATCAGTAGAGAGGGACAAGTATCAACCAATACTATCTTACCTAGCCATATTATGGTACAGCTCATGTCATCTATCCCGCAGGGCCATGATCTATCACGTCCTATTCCCCTCCCCGAAGACGACGCTGTTGACAGAGCTATTCGGGTTTTTGACCGGAGCTCCACTGTTGATGGACACAAAGTCGGCGTTATATACATCGGCGAGGGACAGACCGATGAAGTCGAGATCCTCGGCAACGTGTCAGGCAGCAGTGACTACATGGAGTTCCTTAATAATCTTGGTACGTTGACAAAGCTCAAAGGGGCGACCTTCAACACTCATGGCCTCGACCGCGAATTCGATTCAGATGGCCAGTATACCTTTTGCTGGCGGGATCGCGTCACAGAGATTGTGTTTCATGTCACAACACAGATGCCTACGAACTTGGACCATGACCCGCGATGCACTCTGAAGAAACGTCACATTGGCAATGATTTCGTCAATATCGTCTTTAATGACTCAGGCCTGCCTTTCAAGTTTGATACTTTCCCGGGCGACTTCAATTTTGTTCACATTGTCATCACACCTGCGTCGAGGGCGTCGTTTATTGCTGCTAGAGACACTTCGAATCACAACCAGCCGTTCTACCGAGTTCAAGTTTTGAGCAAGCCGGGATTCCCTGAGATCTCCCCAGCCTCAGAGATGAAAATTGTGTCATTGAAAGCCCTGCCCGGCTTAATTCGCTTGCTGGCACTGAACGCTTCTGTGTTCTCTCACGTGTGGGCCAATCGTGAAGGTGGCGAACATGTAAGCTCTTGGAGAAGCCGTCTTCGGGCCATCAAGCGGCTCAGAGAGAAATACACACCGTCAGGTTCTGGGCAACTCACACCATCAGCCTCACAAAATTCGTCTCTCGGGGGTGCAACCTCATTGCACCAACAGCAACAATTTCAACAACAAGGAGATGCATCGTCTTCGCGGCCATCGAGCACCGTTCGCGATAGCTTTACCAGCCTCCGTCGTACAAGCGTGGCCACCTTTTTCACAAGCACTAGTGAGCAGACCTCGCATCGGTCTTCGATGTTATCATCATCTACCACAACCAATGACACCGAGGTCGGAACATTACATGGACAAGATTCGCACACCGATACTGTCGACTTTTCCAAATGGGCATGAACAATGCGATATTGAATGGAATGTAGGAAAAGTAAGGAAAGGAGTTATATTATGAAAATCGACATGTTATTTAAAACGGTGTGGGAGGCGTCCTGTCTACGACATACTGGTTTCAGTGGGGGTTTAAAAGTTTTTGCTTCGGGTGTAAATGTTTCAAGCTTGCTTGTTTTCTCCTTTTTTTTTGCGCACTGCTCACTTTGATATACCCTTGAGCTGCATCTCGCTCAATGTAGATTATTTCTAGACCGCGAGATCTCATCTTACTTATTAAGGCTGTCTTGGCGTTATTTTACAGCTTACAGCACTCAGCATTCAGCACTCAGCACTGACAAGCTGATTGATCACTATGACGAAGTGACTTGCCAATAGCCTAGGTATCTAGGGTTACGGATCCAGTATTGAAGCTCATACGACTTGATCAGCCGATGAAAAACCTGTTGTTTCCATGTCATGCTTGTGCGACCCTGCGTGTTGAGAAGCTGTTGTGTAACAACTGACAAGTGCTGAGTTTGCTCGGCCCGCATGTCAAAATCCTGCATATGTTTGGTCCGTTTCCGTACTTCATTGCCAAAGTCTGCCTACCGGCCGGGCTGTGTGTAGGGTGGCTGTTAGCCCAAAGAGGCTCAACAAGGAAGGGGACTTGATTGACAAATCAGCAAACATTTCGCTACACAAATACGACACGTGCGACTTGCGCCGCCTGAAGCGTCCTTGGATCAACTAGGAAATACCGCCCATGAGTTTTGTTTTGTTTGGCAGAAGAACGAAGGCGGCTAGGCGGCACACGGTGATGGTAACACAAAACTGATAGACTGCAGCTTCTTTGTGAAACCGGCAAAACATGAAAGGGTTTAGAGGTGACATGCTTAAAGGAACCAATGAGGTTGTAAGCATGATTTATCAACTGGTAATCCTGCATACACAAAACGGGGGTGCGATCAAAAAGCCACTGCAAGCTGATCACACTTGGCCAATCCAGCATCACAAGTTTATCAAGTCGGATGGGTGCACCCGAATAAAGAAACTCGACATGGCCTTGTCGCCACACGTCAGCAGCTGACAGAAGGACATGTTACACAAGAAGACCGTCCTGTAAGTGGTTGGTATGCGGTTTGTTGAAGCAGGGAATGTCAATTCAAGAACTTGTTGGGTCAATAGTAATGCGAAGAGGAGTGCTTGCGAGTAGTTTCTTGCCGATGCAGGTTTTCATCTAAGATTGGAGGCAGATGCTGCGACATACCAGTCTATCGCGTAGATTGGCGTGAGTGAAACTTATGAGGAGCCGTAAGCGTGTCCTGTTCTTGATCATACTGGCCTGATAGGATTCTGAGTGAGAAAGAGTGTCTCACATGGCCTGGTAGCTCTATGTGCAGCTCCGTGATTGACATTATTGTTTGTTAAACACGTGTTTGAACACGTATATGTGATCCTTTGGCTATGCTGGAAAGATGTCGCGCGAACAACGATATCCAAAAGAAGTGGAAGCTAATGGGGAAGCACGAAGAGAAATGCTTGTAAAGACATATCGTGCATTTCAGGTTTCGAATTCAATGTGTCGAGGTGCGCCTCTCATCCGCTGCCTGGCTGCATTCGAACCATGTTCTTGCCTGCTCAACATGATTTTCCCAGGGAGGAGATTTGTTCGTCTTCCTGTTGCGTAGCTTCTGATATAGAGAACTTTCCTATTCTCAGACTTTACGCCACACCTCTTTATATTCCGCCCATTTACCGAACCCTGTTAAAGTCAATAATTAGTGGTCATCTCCAAGGGAAGCTCCAGTTATTTCTTACCCAGAGACTGTAACATGTTTTCATCTGACCTGCTGCCATCAACAAACATCCCTACCATGCCTCTTTCACTAAGGGTTTGACGACATGCAAGAATTAATCTCGTTGCCACTGAGTCCCGGTGGTTAACCATGTCTGGATCGTCATCTTATAACCAATCAGTGAAGTTCAAACTATGGTTAGTCACTCACCTTTGATGCAGATGCAAGAAACTCCCCCAATACTTGGTCCAATCGTGGCTGGCCATGGGATATCTGCACCGCAAGGACTTCCGTTGCTGGGGAAATATGTAATTGCCGCCGCAACTAAGTTGTTTCCTTCGAGCCCAACAACGACATCGTTCATAAAAGAGCTATCCATATACCTGGCGTATTGATCGTACCACCCGAACCCATATCTCTTCTGGGATTCCTTATTTGCCAAGTCTATAACTTGTTGATAGTCTGAGAACTGGTATGATCTGAAGGTCAAACCAGCGGATGCCAAGTCAGGAACTGGATGATCGGCGAATCTTAAGATCCAGTCCAATGCGCGTCGACCGTTCCCAGGTGTATTTTCCTTCGTATTCCATCCTCGCTTCTGGAAGAATTCAGTGTTACTTACAGGAACTGGAAGACCATAAAGCAACCTGGGAAATGTGCTGCCAAGCTGTATGATGCCGACACCTCGAATTCGGTGAAGTTTACTCATTACTTCATTGTAAAGTGTGCGTCCAATACCTCGGCCCCGATACTGTTTGTGAACAATGAGAGCGGCTATCGACCCAATCAGTCGATCGCCGCTACTGTCCGTAAATGTTGTGAAAGTAGCGCAGAATCCCACAGCTTTCCCAGTCTTCGGCTCACGAACAAGGTAATGCATCGCATAACCATCCCGCTTCAAGAGGGACCCAAGGGTAGAGCGGTCTAGATGAAACTGGGCTGGGAAAGCTTCTTTCCACAATGCATGTATATCTGGGAGATCCTTTTCGAAGTCCCATTTTACTAGTGACCAAGGGGGTGAAGGAGAGTCTCTGACCGTTGGCCGGATAGTTGTTGCTGCTCGGTCACTTGTCAACAAAGCAGCGGTGGCTTGAAGATCTACCACAAAATAGCTCGGAGACTGTATTATGGTTTGAAACCCGGATTCGTGCGCTTCATTTTTGAGGACATCGCAGCAGGCCACAAGAGCGATAGGGCGTTCCTCGCATGCTTCTCGAACTTCCTCCGCAAGTTCTAGTTGGAAAGCACCTTCTTCTGACGAGAAGCCAGTCAACACGAACACCACAATCCGTGCTATCTTGATGAATGCCACATGGTCGGAAGTGATGCCACGCTCCTTTGTGTATGGAACATGGCGAGTCCAGGGATGGGTTTGTGCAAGTGCTTGACCCAGGGGCTCGAAGGGGTCAGTTGCATTGGCAAGACTCGGATCTAAAGGAACAGCGGCGGGAGTTAACAACAAAAGTATATCCTCTTCGCGAAGACTTTTCTGAATAGGGACCAAATCTTGGTGATCCCATAGCAAAGCCGGTGGGCTCTGACTTTGCGGACTTGACATTGTCTCAGGACCAGTAATTACATGACCGATCTGAACTGTCAATGAACTTGCGTTTTTCGGTTACGTGCGCCGTCTCCACAACAGCCCCCTTCAGCATAAAATTGCTCCCAAAGAATGTTTGTATGGGAATAGTGGCAATTGTGGTGGTGAAATAGTCCAGTCAATAGTTGAATTTATGAGCGGTCCCACTGCTTTAGAGATAACCACAGAGGCAGGTTAAGAAGGCTGAGCAATTGGGTTTTAATATAAAAAAAATTGAAGAAAAGAAAAGCACTCGTCAAATCAAAACGTATAGGTCAAGACGGAGTTGGCTGGACAAGAAAGCAAAAGTCGAAAGGTGAGAGCCTGCTTGTTCATCTGAAACCGAGCCTGAACAAGCAGGAAAGTGAGAATAAGCAAGTCAGTCATCTATAAATGCGGGTTTTGTGGCTGGACGACGATAGTCTTAGGGCGTCTGCTGGGGCCTGCGAAGTCGCTCAACCAGACTGCTGGGAGGAGTGTTCAAACGAGTGTGGGGTTAGATTGGACGAAGGCTGCGACATCTCAAGAATCAGCCGCTTCGAAGCGCCAGGGCCATACAGGTCTATCCAGTTGCTAGGATAGGATGGATAGGCAGGGTTTCCTCTCCAAAAATACCAGCCTCGGCCAAGGCCTATTGGATGTTGTGGCGGAGGGAATATCTCGACGTGTGCGGATAGGTTCCCAAGATTGACGAAATGGGATTGCCGAAGGCTAGGATCATCCGTAGTGACGGCGAAAGCGGGTTCAACTGCACCTACAAGATGTTGCCGGATGGTGACACGAAGACGCACCTCGGCAGAACCGGGGTAGCGATTCGTGATACAGTGGCATGGATGAATGATAGGTCTATGCGTTACTCCGTAGACTCATCGTGGCCCAGAAATGGGGTTTCATGAGGCCAATGCCACGGATATGGTGATCAGAGAGGCTCGAGCGACCGAGTGCGAGCCCAGCGAGTTACCGAGACGTGGGTTTATTAGTCTCGGGATTGCGCCGGATAGTAGCGTTCGAATGTGAACTACGATTGGAGAGAGGGTGAAAAACAGGATGTCTCTGGAAGAAGGTATTGATTGTATTGTCATCCTCTATCCTTGCATCCCAGAGACATTCCTATGCAATGTAGTTTGCTGCACCTCGTCCCAAGTCCTCCAAATTGATTAGAGAATAATAAGACCGTGCTCACATGCGGGTGGGTGGTTCCAAAAGCGCCGCTTTTTATATCACGGCAGTCTTCGTATAGGTCAGAGCCTCACAAGGGGCCTGACCGCCATGAAAATGCTTTTTCTGGCTACGCAAACTTGGAGGAGGGTGGTTCGTTCGACGTGGGATTGTCAGCCACGGCTTCGGCTGGCCTATCGACAGCAAGTAAACACAGACTAATGGGTCGTGCCGCGATGACTACCTTGCACCAACATCAAAGACATGACGAGACAAGAGATGGGAAAGGAAAGGAAAGGAAAGGAAAGGAAAGGGGAGAGGGGAAAAGAGGACAGCGTTAGGATGGTGATGAATGGTCAGAAATGCTCTATAGCACTGCCGAATTGCAGCGGGAGGAATTCTAGGGTCGTAGCTTCTATTCTAACTAGGTAGGTATTACTCAAAGTCGCCAATTGGAATGGAAGGCACTAGCAGGTAGACAGGGCATTAACAGGGTAGGTGCTCATGTATCTTTGGGGAAAACACCTTGGGTTGTGGCAGGAACGAGCCGTAATGGTTACAGTAGGTAGTTTATGGCGTGAGTAAGTTGTCAATTCCCGCAAGTAAGAGCCTGAGCTGTGATAGTACCTTGTAGTAGATGTTCAGCCTTTGAGAGCGTTGCTGTTGCTGTTGACTTATCGATGCCGCGGCAGGCGACGGCCGAGGATATTCAGTTTACGGATACGGGGGACGTATGGATGGTATTGGTCTGGGTTTGCCTTGGACTGCCACCTGCAAGAAGGAGACCACAGATTGAACAACAAAAGAGAACAGTATCGTCTGCAACTCGAATGGAAGCTAAAATTAGATAACAACGATGTTGGTTCAACTTGAGGTTGAACTAAGCTTCCCGCATCTCCAATTGTCCAACGTCCCACGGCTCTTGCGGTATACGACCGATACGTTGCTACTAACAGAGTCAAGAAGCAGTTTGCTACTATCAGAACATACAGTGATTAAAGTATTCTAGCACTCAGCTGTTCCCGGCCCTTTTTACCATCACTACTACCTCAATTATCTACTATTGTTGTACAGACTACTCCGTATAGAGTAGGTCATCTCTCGCTTCCTGGACGGAATTGAAGGCCTGTGCCCCACTCCGGACATGACCCACTAAACCCCCCGAAAACCGAAAGCGCGTCTGCCTTTCGCCGACGCGTCTCCCGGAGTGTCCCACTCATTCACACTCTACCCCAAAGTCCCGACATCTGCCGCTCCGCTCCGGGGCATCTACTTACCCTGGCTATCTGATGGCGACACACTAAACATCAAAACGATCAGAAAAGAGGCCCTGTGCTAAGTACGTGACACATGGAAACAGATATAGATCCCGCTGAGGCGGGTCATGAGGAGATCCGGCTCCTCGTAGGTGATGTTGTTGAATGTAAGTTTTTGAAGTTAACATTGCAAATCATCGGCTTATGAGACTTAGCATCCAAAGTACCTGCCAAAACACGCGCAACCAGCATCAAACCCACTATCACCAACCTCACTTCTCTCTGCTACGAATGGGGTCTTTTACCTGAGACTCTTGACCATCTCATTAACCTTGTTACCACGCCAAATCACCTTGATCAAGCAAGTCAAGCTGCCATCATCAGAAATCTCTACCCAGCCGCACCCGTTTCCCGAGAATCCACTCTTCTGGTCATCTCTTGCCTCGGTCACGGGGCTCTCAAGCCGTCTCTAACTCTTCAAGCGGCTCTTCTCAAGTGGCTCATCACAGTCCACCACACACTGGAGTCACCGCAGGTACTCTCACAGGTGTATCCTGTTCTTTTCAACCTCCTCGACACCGCAGCCACTCGGTAGGTCGGGCATGTTTTGCTATAAATAATCCACTAACTCGACCCAGACCTAATTTAAGCCATCTTCTTGCTCTTATCACACGACGAAAACATGTTCGACCTTTCCGAATTCAAGCCTTGTAAGTTCCAGACATTCAAGTCTATGACTATCGACTCATATGTTACAGACTTAATCTCTCAAGACAAACAGGAAACGATCCTTGCTTAATCGGTCTTTTGAGAGTATTTAAGGATTATTACCCCGAGGTTATTGTTGGGGAAGCTGTTCGAGGCAAAGCATCCTCCTTCAAGGTTCGTCTTTCAACAATCACATTTGTACCGTTTACTAAGATTTTTAAAGCTTCCTGATCCCCAATGGCGAGAAAGGCTGGACGAGATCCAAGAGGCACACTACCATAAATCCCAAGGCGGCCCATCACAACCTCGCGATGGCTTCCGCGTCCATCGCCCTATCGGCCGCAGTGCCAGAAACAAGGTCGTTCCGTTAGTTCACACATCTCATGCAACAGAGGTTCGTCACGCCGACTGCTGGTCACAGCTTGTGTGCTCACAATTATAGGATGCGGTCACACTGGAAGAAATCGAGAATGCTACCGGCTTCGTCAAGAATCTCGACAAACTGGAGCTACCTAACCAGCTAATAGCCGTTTTGGCAGATCCACTGCTGCAAAAACTCATGCTTCTGAAGCCAGGTTATGAGTCCGAGCAGAGGATGTCAAACTGGCTCAATGCAGTTCTCCAAGATGTCTATGATGGTGACGCGGATGAGGCCACTTTCTTTGATATGTTGGACATTCTCCGAGACTATGTCGTGTCTACCAAGGCGTGTTTCTTCACAGAACGTCGTGAGAACTTTTACTGACAGTGTGTAGCATCTACCCCCTCTCCTCCTCAACTTCTTTGTGCGCTTTCTTCCACTTTGGGATGGCTCTGGGCGTCGCGACTCTATGTTTGAGATCTTGTCATACTCCCCGTTGCTGGATTTCCAAGGTAACTTTAATCTATTACCGAGACTGAGACTGTGCTAACACCCTTCAGAACTGTATAAACATGTTTTGCAGCCCCTTGAGGCTGCAACGCTTGATAGCACCCCAGAATCTCAACTCGCCCTCCTCGCTCTGTACAAGAACCTCCTCCATCACTGGACGGTCGTACTTGGATCCAGTGACCCGGTGCCAGACAATGCTAGCGGTAGTGTTACGGCTTTGGTCCGCCACGTTAATACCCTGACCCTCAGTCTCGTCCAAACATCCACTTCTGTCTCGGCCCGTTCAGCTATCCTCGACTTTTACGAGCAAAACGCCCGGCTTGTCAGCCACGAGACGCTCAAGCACCATATCCGTATTGAGCTTCCCCCCTCCTTCCTGATATACATACTCTTCTTTAGTAGCTCTGCCGCTATCACGTCACGGATCTGTGCCATCCTTGCCTTGTACAAGAAGGGTTTCGAGATGGCTATGTTCACCAAGCCGCGCCGTGACGGAAGCAACCGTGTAGACTCGTCGTCGTATAATAAGGTTTTCGTCAGCTTGTTCAACGGTTACCTCATGGATATATGCAACTGCTTCTGGCGCGGTCGGGCGTTTACCGACAGTGACCCCAACGCCCATGGCTGTATGATTCCACGGAGTCTAGTGCCCAAGCTGTCATCGTATGTGATTTCCGTGGAGAAATCACACACCTTAACATCCCTCTTCTCACTCTCATACTCGCCACTTCTGTGCCTGCAGAGCACAAGGTGTATACAGGACCTTGAAAGCTCTGAGATAGATGACCATACATCTTTGCGCGTCAGACACGAGGGACCACCGACACAAAGTAGTCTTGGGCAGCTAGCGAGCTCAGGGGGCATACGGGTCTCCTGGCAGGATTACAGGATTAAGGTGCTCGAAACACTGTCCGCCAAGGAACTCGCAGGTATCACGGACCTGCTGAAGAACACGATGACAGTGCTGAGGAAATTAATAGACGGCGAAGGAAACACTAAACCAACTGCGACGCAATGATTCAATACATGGTGGAAAGGAATATATCAAGCTTTGAATGTTCATTCGTTATAAGACTTGTCTAGTTGAGGTGACCAAAGTCTTTACCCCTTTGGTTGAAATGCAGGGTATCTAGAAGAGTACCTATATAAATCACCGCCACCATATTTCCATACGCCATGCATGAGTGACAAATATCACTATCGTCTTCCCTTTTACTGTTATCCTACGCTGAAAAATGCAGTTGAGTGCTATCCGTCTTCCCAAACTCCAAAGCTGATTAAAACGAACTCAAGGCGATTGTTAAAATGCCTCAGTTTTGAAACCCTCCCGAATTAGCCAAGCAAGTGCGTTGTGTCTATACCTCACGCTGCTTAGACTCATCGCCGTACCCACCAATCTGTATACCTCCAAAGCCATAAGTCTTGCCTTCAGGGTTGCGCTTGGTATTGCTTCGAGGTCCTCGCTCCCTCAAATCGTCCCGGAGCCAGCTTAGGACAAGTTCTCCAAGACGACTGTTGCCAGAGGCTCCCACAGTTCCGTCAATAGTGGCGAGCATCTTGTCGGCCTCATCCCACTCCTTGACGGTACCGAGATGCATGTGGGCGAGGTGAGTAGGCCAGCCAGCAAGGTTATCAAGGATATGGGTGGCGTAGACGATGGTGCACTCGCGAATCTCGGTTTCGCGCTTGAGCCAGCCGAGGAATTCAGCTCGGCTCAGAACGTCAAGGTCGACGGTGATTTCGTCGAGAAGCAGGACAGTCCAGGGCCTCACAAGACCCATGGCAAGCTGTACACGACGGCGCTCACCATCAGAGACAGCGTGCATGCGCCAGTTGGTGTCGACATCAAGCATGGCGACGAGCTCATCTCGACGATCCGGGTACGCATCACCACCGACAGAGCGGAGCAACTCGTTGACGCCAATGTCGTTTCGGACAATTGGGTTAAGAACCCATTCAAGACCGAGATAAGTGACTCCCTCAAGACCCTCCTTGAAAGGGTCAACTCCGCAGATGGAGATGGTGTCGCTGGGCGCAAGACGCTTGCCAGCGAGAAGACGCAGCAGAGTAGTCTTACCAGCGCCGTTGGCACCGATAAGAAGGGTACGTGATCGTGGAGGAAGATCCAGACTGATGTTGTTGATACCAGTTGAGTAGTCGGGGAACGTGTATGAGAGGTTGTTGACCTCGACACGAGGAGGCTTAGGAGCGGAAGACATGGCTGAGTAGGTGTGTAAGAAGTGATGACGCTGAGAAGTAAGAAGCTGGTATACAGAATATTCGGAGTTGGGGACTGAGAAGGGGTTACGAGGAGAGAAAGAAGCAAGATATGAGATGTTATGTCTGAGGTTTATATGTAAACAAGTTTGGATTTATTATATCGTAAGATGTTGTGTGTAGTGACAAACTTATACGAGTCAGAGATTTCCCTTCCCCTCGACCTAAGTTAAGAAACGCCTACAGACAAGATCCATCTACTCAGGCTCAGCCGGTGCATGGCGGGGTCCGATGAGCATGAGACTCAGACTCAGGTCGATATTCCATTCAGGGAACCCCGCCATAAGCTTTCAGCTGTTTAGTGAGCTCACCGCCTGTAATGTAGCACGTCATCCACTGAGCAGGGCCTCCACTTCCACTATCGGTTCCCGTCCAGTCCAGTCCAGTCCACTAGGTTCCCTTATCCGTTGCCTAGCCACTTTACGCCAGAAATTCGCGTCTAAACGCGGACAAAGCTTCCCCACGCGTTTTGCTTCACCCAAGGAGAGCTTCAATTCCGACTCCAACTTTAACTACCCGTAAAGTCAATTGTACAGCCACGATAGATCTCACTATAAGTTGAAGATTCGAAGGGCTAGTCTGGGCTCATCAGGTCTCGTATAACACCGGCGTTCAAGTCCCTCTGCCTAGGGGCCATTCAAGATGGTGACCCTTGAAGATGTCGAGGGCAGCCTCCTCCAGAAGCCATCGTAAGCACCATCGATGCCGTACCTTGGAACAACACGTTTACTTACCAGCATACAGTGATGCTGCTCACAAAGTCCAGACTCGAAGCGCCTCCGCCTACAAGCCTTTACAATCCTTCGCTCTCGACAAGCAACGCTCCTACAAGCAACAGTATGGCGATATGTATTTTTTGCGCCTTACCAAGATCAAACCAGCCGTCGATAAAGTAGCTGATGCAGCCTGGACCGGTACAAGTATCGGCGACGAGGAGGCCCAGAGGGTTGAGCGTGTGCTTGATGTCCGTCAGGGAGAGCTGTGCTATGTCACTGGCACCGTATATATGGAGATGCCCCTTAAGCCGAATATTTTGGAAGACGTTTCCAAGGACGTAAGATTTCCTCTTCCCTGCCGAGTGTTGGACGAAGAGTGCTAACTTACATATGTAGCGCTGGATCTCTGCCCCTATCTCGACACCTAAATACTTCTCCGACGACGACCAGGTCATGTTGGAGGACGAGTCAGGTCGTGTCAGACTAGTAGGCGACCTGTTGAAGAACTTACACCTCGTAACGGGATGCATTATCGGTGTCATGGGCACAGAGAATTCCAATGGCGAGTTCGAAGTCATTGACGTCAAATTCCCTGACCTACCTCCCCAGCCCGACCGCTGGAGTCTCTCGAAGCCTGCATTAAACAAGGGCAAGAAGAATGATGAAGATGAGGAAATGGCTGATGCTTCTGAAAACAAAAAGAGCAGCAACAAGATTGCCATTGTTTCTGGATTGTTATTCTCAGGCACTGACGCTTCTTATGCCCTCGAGATTGACCTTCTTCTAGAGTATCTACTCGGTGAAGCTCTAAGCCCTAAAAGCCAAGCCGATGTTGCCCATATCAGCCGACTCATTATCGCCGGCAACTCTATCTCAACAACAGACCGCAAGCCCGCCGCCGCAGATGAAGCACTCTCGGAGAAGAAGGGCCAGAAGAAGTACGGTTACGACGCCAGTGCCTACAACCCGCTCCCCTCTCAGCTCTTCGACGCTTTTGTCGCGGAGCTTCTCCCCTCTATACCTATCACAATTCTCCCTGGCAGTCAGGACCCAGCAAACGCTAGTTATCCACAGCAACCTGTGCATCCAGCTATGTTTCCCTCGGCACGAGCTTACACCCGCGACCCGACCGCTCCAACGACACAGCCAGCTTGGTTCGACACTGTTACAAATCCTTGGGAAGCTGAGCTCGAAGGATGGCGGGTTCTGGGAACTGGTGGTCAGAATATCGACGATGTTTTCAAGTACGTTGGCAGTGATGATCGCCTCGGCATGATGGAGGCCATGTGTCGATGGCGGTGCTGTGCTCCTACTGCACCTGATACACTCTGTAAGTCTACAGTCACTCAGATATTGACTATACGAATCTAACATACTATATAGGGAGCTACCCGTTCCAGGACGATGACCCCTTTGTTATGCAGACCTGTCCACATCTCTACTTTGTCGGCAACCAACCACAATTCTCGACCAAGGTTGTGCATGGCCCCGAGGGTCAATCAGTGCGGCTCATCACTATCCCAGCTTTTTCGGAAACGAAGGAGTTGGTGCTAGTTGATACAGAAACATTGGAGGTTGAGAGGATCAAGATTTCCGCATCATGAGAGCGATCATATAATGGAGTTTCAAGACATATAAAATAGGTGATAAAATACCCTGAATGCATAGTTGATTAAAGACGTTGAGCAATATTTCTGAGCAATTGACTGATCCCGCACCAATTCTGAGTTAAGATGGGCGCCTTTGCTACCAAAAGTTTCCTTCTCCCACTTCCGTGAACGCCTAAACAATTCCCCAATTCCCCTGTCTGCCCGGCAAGATGCTTCACATCTCGTAGTCCGAGTCGTTATCATCACTTGGTTCTTCAAATTCCTGGTCCATGTCCTCTTCGCTCCCCTCGTCATCCTGTTCCTGAACATCCCAGCCATCCCAGTCATCCTCCTCAGCGTCGGCATTCCAATTCATGGGCCCGAGATCTCCTCTCCTGACAACGTGTGGCTTCACATGTTTCTTGCAGGCTCTGATCACGGACCGTTTGAGCGCCATCAGTCTGACATTGATCTTACGAAGCTGTTCAAAGCGAAACTTTTTCATTTTCGAGTCCTTCCTCCAGGGATCACGTCTCGCGGTGTCGTCTTTGCCCCTGAGTTCGTCGTGTCGGAGATGTTTGTAGAACCGCAGCTGGCGGACATGAAGGACGAGCTCCGAAGAGGGCACTCCCAAGCCCTCGTTCAGAAACTTGTTCTGGATTTTGATGCGGATGGTGTCGCAGCATACGGCCCTTAGTGCCACCATGAGACCAGAGCCTGGCTCGAAAAAGTCGGCAAAGGTGAATTTACCACTTTCATACCGGGGGCTGATGATGATGCGTAGCGTGTGGATGTTGGTGGTGTAGGGTTCGCAGGCAAACATCTTGATGGCATCGGCCATGAACTCTTGCGTGTAGGAATAGTGTCGGTTGTGGTCTGCCTCGACAGTGATGTAGCGAAAGTAATCAGCATACTTTGTGATGTTGATGGTGCCGGGTTCGTGCTCTGGCTCTACTGGTAGATTGGGACCCCCAAATACCAAAGAGAATCTTTCTCCGATCCCAGTCTCAGGAATGTATGCGTCGTTGTTGACCACCTCATGGCTGTTGCTCATCACTTGAGATGGATTGGGGGCATCTCGAAGGCGGTAGAGGAAGGTGTTTTCTCCATAGAGAACGCCCCTGGCTTCGATAAAGACCGTCTTGCAAGTCATGAGAATGCTGATGTCAAGGCCTGGTTTCTGGCGCTGGTAGACTCGCTTCCATCTGTCGTAGACAGGAATGGGCTTGTCGGATACCAGGAGGCCGCGGTAAATATGCTCTCGAACTTCGGCGGGGAAATCCATCAAGCTAAGGCGCTTGGGCGCCTTGATCATGCCTCTGGAGGACTTGAGGAGGAACTGTGAAGCATGAGGCAGAGAGGGCCGAGGACACCGAAGCAGAAAGGAATTCTTGAAGGAGGTAGGAGGACGATCGGTGCTGAGCATACGGCGCATCCCACTACCGTACCCGAAATAAGGGGCTATGATGGCAGGCGGAGGAGCAGTCTCCTCCTCGTCGAAGGATTCTTTCTCAGGGCTCGGCTCACGAGAACCCCAAGCGAACTGGGTCTTTGGGATGCCATACTCCTTGGTGAAGTCTTTGAGGAGGGGTGCTTCAATTTTGACCTTGGCATTGCCGGGAGACTCGATTCTTTGCATGGTCGATCTCGATACTGGACTTCGACGCTTCATGGGACGGACCTTGGACTGAGCAACTTTGCGAGCTCGTGCTTTGGCTGCCTTTGTTCTTGTGACGGGGCGTGGCGCCATTGTGAATGGTTGGAGTGTAGAGAACAGGAAGGGGTTGGGTGGTGTTTAAGGGTAGGAAGTAGGAGAGTTGCTAGCGAGTGGTTAGAGAAGGGTTGTTGGTGAGAGAAGAAAAGGAGAGTGTCGATTGAGTAGAAGTTGGCCAAGTTTGGAGGTCAAAGGCCTAAGCTTCTATTGTGTGTGCATGAGTCGAATGCTCACTTGCTTTGAGATGATCAAGATGGAACAAGAAGAGAAGGATCTTTAAGTACCTACGAGAGAATGTTACCAAAGAACAAGAGTTGTGTGAGAGAGGAATCACGCTTCTGTGTTGCAAGAGAAGAGTAGATCTTTGAAGAGAGTAGAAATTGAGGGCCGGTTTTATAGTGAGATCCAAGCGGCAGTGATTCATAGCTTCTCTTTTGTAGAACCTTTCAATGTTGTATGAATTACTCCATGATTTGCTACGAGCTTATAGAAGTTTAGGATAAGAGAGTGAAGCAGGTGGTATGCTTTATGACACATAAACGATAGAAGGGGATGTAGCTTTTAGGCATACCAGGGGATACGGAGAAGGATATATTATTTAAAAACGATACATACATATATATATATATGCAAGTGACTGATTGCCACTTGTGATAATTGACTTGCTCCCAATGTTAAAGTCATGAGATGAATTGAAAACTTGAATAAACGTAGTCAACGAGTTACGGGATTTGCCATTGTGACCATGCTTACTATCTCTTAACGAGCCATGGAACAAATTACTTTAGCCCTTTCTGATATTCTCTCTAATAAACCCTCCTGCTACTTGAACTATTCCAGACACAATTCACGACTCGATCTTGGCATTTGCGCCCTTCGCCTGTCAAGTGGACAACGTATAATTCAATCCATAGCCATCCATAGGGATCCAAACCCCAGGGCCCTAGAAATAGAAACAGAAACACCATAGAAATATAGTGCGCCCTATGGAGACTCTTCCCTCTCGTCTACGGCTATGATTCGCAGAGCCAGGAGTAAGATCTGACAGTTGAGGAAAACTCACTAAAATACAGCGTCTAAAGCAAAGTGGGAGGTATCCACAGGGCGCGCTGTATTACGAGTCATTACCGCTAAAAGTTGACTTGCATATAAGGGTCCTTTCTCAAACTATATAACTTCGTTTCTATTCATCACTAAACGTCTTTAAACTACTCTCGATTCCTTCAAATCTCTTCTCCATAGAAACTCTTCTTCGAAATTGGTCATAAACATTCCAGACACATCAAGCGTTCACCCAAGTTGACAATCATCAAAAGCCCTCACCGACTCACCTCCTGAGTTTACTCACAGAGTTCAAAGTATTTACCATTGTGAGAAATAATCACCATGGGCTCTCTCAGTTCCGACGCAAAACTACCATGGATCAAGACACCATGTGTTCTAAACCCTCAACTATCCCGAGCTATAGGCTGGTACGCCCGTCCTTTCGAGACTCCGTACATGTCACCACCTCAACTAACACCTCACAAGCAATGTCTATCTCAAGCTTGAGAACCTGCAGCCCTCAGGCTCCTTCAAGTCCCGCGGCATCGGGAACCTTATGACTCAAGTAGCCGCTGCGGCCACAGGCCCTGTTCATTTTTACTGCTCCTCTGGTGGCAACGCTGGTTTGGCATGCGCAACTTCTGCTATCTCACTGGGCCAGAAAGCGACCATTGTCATGCCCACAATAATCAGCCAGTTGATGAAGGGAAAGCTGCTTGATCTGGGGGTCGAGGTGCACCAGAAGGGTAAGAACTGGGCCGAGTGCGATAAGTATATGCGCGAGGAGTTATTGGCGAACGATCCTGCGGGCGTCTATGTCCCACCATTTGACGATTCTCGGATCTGGGATGGTGCGGCAACTATGGTGGATGAGATGCGAGACCAGGTCGAGGAACCCATCGATGCCATTGTCTGCAGTGTCGGCGGCGGCGGTTTGGTCAATGGCATAATGCAAGGCGTCGAAAGCCATCCCTGGCTACTCACGAAGCCAGCGGTTATCGCTGTTGAAACCACAGGAGCTGATAGTCTCAACGCAAGTGTCGTAGCCAAAGAACACGTCACACTGCCCGAGATGACCTCAATCGCGACGTCACTAGGCGCAACAAGAGTGTCAGAGCAGACATGGAAATGGAGCCAGCATCCGTCAGGAACAATGAAGAGTCTCGTTGTATCTGATGCGGACGCCGCTATAAGTGCTGTTCGCTTCGCTGACGACGCACGGCAGTTGGTCGAAGTAGCATGCGGTGCAACCCTGGCTCCTGGTTATCGAGGAGATCTGAGGAGGATTCTTGGTGAGGGTTTGTCTGATGAGGAATGGAGCAGAAAGAATGTTGTGTTTGTAATTTGCGGAGGCTCTGGTGTTACCCTGGGTATGCTAGATGGATATCGGGAAAAGTACCAGGCAGAGTCTTCGATTAAGCTCTAAGAAGAGCAAATAGATGGTATAGAAGTGTATAGATCGTTTTTTACGCTACGTTTAGATGCGTATTTGTGAAAGCTTTTGACTTTATTGTTGGTTACTGATGAGTTGGACTATTTCTCATGCACTGAATTTCCGCATTACGCCAAACTCCAAATATCCCCTTTCACGACTCTACCGCTTACTCGCACCCCCTCTACCCTTGGCTGTTCCCTTTTCTGCCTTGGCCTGATCGACGAATTCTTTCATGATCTGATGCAAGTCTGGGTTCTTCCTGGCAAGAAGGAGCACGTCGTCTGTAGTCACGGTCGACCGCCCAGCGTGGTTGCTAAAGCTCTCGAGGTCTGTAGCCACGTTTTCTGCACCCTTGTTAGCCCATATTCTTTACTTGGTGTGTGTTAAAAGGTACCAATCTGTGTCCAGACCAGTTCTGTGAGAGCACCGATGAATTGCGGCGTGGCATTGCGGTTGCGGCGAAGAGACTCTTCGTCGACGATTTGACCGACGGCGTACCACAGGGCAGCTTTGAGGCGCTGATAAGGGGGTTAGTTTAGTTTTCGTGAGAGATTGGGGGTCGATGATTTACCTCACGATCTTCGTCTCCAGTTGTGTCCACCATTTTTGTTTTTTGTCTTTGTCTTGCCTCACGAGAAGTTTCTTTTTACAGTGCAGGATGATGTGCACGTTGAACGTGTTTGGACGCGTCGCGGGGCAATAAGTTAGTCCTCAGTGAATAGTGAGATCTCATGGCGGGGTACAAGACAAACAACGCCAGAAACTCGGAATTATCCTTGAATAAATTGTCATATTTCAGACTTGAATATACTTATCATTTATTGACTATTGTGTATCAAAACCATTCGAGTATGTCAATGTTAAATCAAGCTGCAGTGCCCTTTCGTGGCGTGGATTGGCCGACGCAGACAAAACAGCATAGAACATACCATGGCTACATAACGTATGCGTTCTGTGAATATTTTTTGGCAATCATGTTCAATCTCTGGCTCTGGGCAGTATTACCATTGCCCAACTCTCACTCAAGTACAGCCTTATTAAAAAGACCAACATCCCAAAACCAGGTATCCATGTCCAAAGCTTACATGCAAAGCAAATCCAAGGCTGCTGAGGAACAAGGCAACTAATACAGGGCCAAACATGACGATGCCTTCTGAACTCTTCAAGGCCATTTACTACGTACACTACCAGTTTTATGGTCTTCATTTTAGTTTCATCGTTTAGTAATCGTTTCGGTAGTTGAACTTTCTCCCCCCTGCCCATCTCTATGTTTTCTGGGCCTCGAGTCGATCTCTACAGTTTCCAGATCTTGTTTTTTTAAGATTGACTCTTTTTTTTTACTCTCCCGAAACTAAAATCGTCAATGGCGTTCAAGTTTTTTTTATTTCCCGGGTTGACTTTGTCCGGGGGGTTGACATCATCAGAATGGCTTGGCCGCTTGGGACCCTGATGATCGGCATGTGGTTTAAGTAATTAAATTAGCTCCACCATCCATTAGTTCGTAAGTGTAAGAAACTTTAATGCGTAAATGATGCGACTTGCCTTTGTTGTAATAGCGATAAGATTGATTTGGATAGTATTCTTCATTTCAAGAATGAATAAATAAATGAATGAATAATAAATGATATAATTGATTGGTCAAACAAATAAAGAATAAAAGAAACTCAGCCTTTAACGTCCTGTCCAACTATTAGAAGGTGATTAGGTTAAATATATATTATGTTATTCTTAGCTACGGTTAGTTATAATTAGGCTAGGATAAGTAAAGTATATACCTTAGGTTATTACTTTTAATATTACCTTTTAGCCTAATTAATTAATATTAAAGCTATTTATAAGAACTAATTCTCTCTTTAATACCTTTTTTTATAGTATTTTCCTCTTTTTATTATATCTTTATTCTTTTATTTATTAACTAGGACTTATAAATTAAGCTATTAAATAACTTCTTTATAGTTTATTATAATTAATACCTTTATTAAGCTATTAATAATTATTTTATTTATTTTAATATATTAAAAATTAAAATATTTTTTATTAATATATTAAATAATCTATTTATATTAAATATTAATATAGTAAATTTAGGCCTAATTATTTTTATTTAGTATTATTTTTTTTATATTTCTTAAATTTATATAAAGTAATAATAATATTATTTAATTTATTTCAATTTATTTTAATATATTTAAGATTTAAAGAAAAAATAATTTAATTAATATTAAATTAATAAATTCTATCTTTATAGTTAAAATAGTAATAAGTAATTTTTTTATTTTTTTTAAAAACTAGTCTATTTTTAATTATAATAATATAACTTACTATAAAATATTATAATAACTTATTATTTATAAAGAAAGTATTTATATATTTATATAGTTTAATATTTTAAATTTTATACTTACCTCCTAGGTATAAAATATATATCTTAAAACCTTTTAAATATTACTAAAGATATTCTATTACCTTATTATATTCTTTAATAAAATAATAGTTTATTTTTAAAAGTTTTTATATTATAAAAGTAATATTAAGATAAATACCTATTAAAAGATAATTAAGGCTTTTAATTCTTTATAGCTAATTATTAAAAGGTATTATAATATTATATATCTTTTAGTTTACTAGAATCTTATAATAAAATAGCTAGTTACCTAATTGCCAATAGCTTGCCGGCTCCCCTCCGTAGCTCCTTGCAGTACTTAGGAATAGTGTTCTTACGTAACGCGATTATTATAGCGTCGTCGCTAGGCTATATTAGCCTCTCGTAGACTTATAGCCTTGTATGTAGGCTTCGGTGGGTAGTAGGGGTGTTAGTTGCGTTTAATATCTTAACTGTAATTAAGGTTAGCTTTATTTATTTACTTATAAAGGTTAGTAGGTCTACTTCTGGCTTGGTAGGTTACTTGTCGCGATTTTTTACTTGTCTTAGGTGGGTTAATTAAAGTAGAGTATAAGGAGGGAAAAGTGGCCTTAGTAATCCTTACAGGGGTTTTTATACTATTAAGAAATAGAGTTATAGTTAATATAGTAGGTAACCTTATTAAATTTAAGTTATTATTACTTTTCGGTCTATATAGGAACTTTTATTATTAATATTTTTAAGGGTTTAATTAGGATAGTTAGATCTCTTTTTTAAAGGTACTACTAGACATAATATAAATAAAATAGCCCTAGTTAATAATATTATTAATAATATTATATATTATATTATAAAAGTAAGTATAATAGGATTTTAATAAGGATTACATAATTTAATTTAATTCCTTAGCCTAAAGGCTACCTTAACTTTAACTTTAACTCTAAATATATATTCCTTTAAGTAATATATTTTAACCTTTTACCTTTATTTCTACCCCCCCTTAATACCTTATATATAACTTCTCTATCCTTAATAGTTATATATTTTTAGTCTTAGGCTAAGACTAGAATAGTCTTTTTATAAATTATTCTTAAAGACCTTAAGTACCTTTATAACCTATCTCTTTAAGTTATTATATTAAGCTATATAGTAAGGCTTTAACTTAAATATATTAATAAAAACGCTATTAGTTTTAAAGACTAGCCTTTTTATAAGCCTATTTTTTAGGCTTTTTAAATATTTAAGTTATTTTTTTACCTTTTATATTTAACTTAATATATACTTTTAGGTATAGTTTTTTTTATTAAGCCTTAAATTATAAAGTATTAAAAGTTTATAATTAAAAATAATTAATTTAATTAAGTTATAATTATCTTACTTATTATAAAAAGGTAATATAAAATAATTATTAAAATCTTACTTTAAATTAAATTAAAGATTTCTAGCCTTATCTTAAAATAGGCTAAGTTTTTATTTATTATAATAATTATTAATAGCTTTTTAAATAATCTTATAAATTAAGGTAAGACTTATATTATAGTAAATATTTATTATTTAAATAGTAATACTTATTATAATAGTAATTATAAAAAAAGTTAATAATATAAACTAAAAGGGGTTAATTAACTAATTATAACTATAAAGATTAATTAACTAGTTTATAATATAAATTAAGTTAAAGATATAAAGAAAGCTAGTTTTTATATATATATATTAAGGTTTTAGGCTTTACCTATACCTAGGCTAGAAAGGGGTATTATATAACCTAATTAGGTTATAGTTTTTATATAATTAGTTATATAACTATAAGATATATTTATATATTAAAAAGAGTTACTTTTTTTTAGTTTCTTAGCTTTAATAATATCCTTTTATAAGTTTATAACTATACTTTATAATAATATAGCTATATAATATATATATTTATTTAATTAAAGTTTAGTTATTATATATAACTTTTATTACATTAATTATATTAAGTGTCTAACCTTAGAAAAGGTTATTTTTATTATTAATATTATTAAGAGATTTAAAAAGCCTAGGCTTAATAAAGTTAAAAGTTAAAGTAAAAAAAGAAATTAAAAAGAAATTAAAATAGCTAGGAAGTCTTTATTAAGTTTAACTTTCCTTTTATAAACTTCTTAATAATCTTCTTTATATATTTTCTTTAATATATATAAATTTATTAATTCTTTTTATTTTTAATAACCTTAAGTCTTAAAAACTTTTTTATATTTTTTAATTTCTTAATTTTAAAAAGTATAAAGATTTTATTAATTATATTATTAACTTATTAAAATATGTTTATTATAACTTTTATGTTATTTATATAAAGGATAAGTAAAATACTATTATTTTATATAAAAATATAAACTTTAATATTAAATAGCTAGAATCTAATTTTAATAAATTCTTTTATAGTTAGTTTAAATTATTAAATTAATAATATAATTAGGCCGTAAAGTACCTTTTTAAGCTTATAAACTTAACCTATACTATCTTTAAATCTATATAGTTAGTTAATATAAATCTTTTTCTTTATTATTAAATTTAGAAATATAGTAATAATATTATACTATTATAGTTTTAAATTATCTATAGTTACTAATATTATTAATAATATTATATATTACATTACGTAGGTATAGTAAGATTTTAATAAAGGTTATATAATCTAATTTAATTCCTTAGCCTAAAGCTACCTTTAACTTTAGGCTACCTTAACTTTAACTTTAACTCTAAATATATATTCCTTTAAGTAATATATTAACCTTTTACCTTTTTACCCCCCCTTAGCGCCTTATATATAACTTCTCTTTATTTTATATCTTTACTGGCCTTAATTACCTATTTAACTTACTTTTTTAAGTAATTATATTAAACTATATAATTAAGTTTTAACTTAAATACCTTAATAAAAAAGATTTTAATTTTAAAAACTAACCTTTTTAAAAACCTTTTTTTTAGGCTTTTTAGGTTTTTAAGCTAATTTTTTATATACCTTAAACTTAATATTTTTATTTAATAAGATTTCTAACTTAACTATATATAAAAAAGTATTAAAAGCTTATAGCTAAAGGTAATTAATTTAATTAAATTATAATTATTTTATTTACTATAGGGAGGTATTAACTAGCCTTAGAAATCTTACCTTATTTTAATCTTAAGGTCTCTAGCTATATAGATAAGTTATTTATACTTTTCCTTACTATAGTTATTAATTACCTTATAGATCTTATTAT